AGAAAAATGGCCGGTTTATAGGGAATACTGAGGTGGCCGACTCGGTGGTGTGGCCGACTCGGTGGTGAAATACGTTAGTTAGTTAACTTACATTGTCCCAACTGTTACACAACGGTTGAACTCACTTGCTCATCAACTCATTACTCAACCACCTGGTCCTGCTCTATATTACTCTTTGATAGGTGTCCCCAGTGGTCACTACTGCTGTACGATTCAACTCCGACACCATCCAACGCCATGGCTACTCCTAGCATCACGTTGTATCTGGACATTGTCAGTCCGTTCTCCTACATTGCATTCCATGTGCTGAGAGTACGTATTTTATTGTTGGGGTCCCAGGATCGAAAGAACGTCCATGTGTAAGCTGACCATGATTCAAGAATTCTCCCGTCTTTTCCCAATGCAATATCACCTATGTTCCTATCTTCTTGGGCGGACTGATGAGCGCCTGTAGCAACACGCCACCCGTCAAGATCAAGAGTAAGACAAGACATGATTTGAACAGCGAGATGACATCGGAACTGACATTGCTGGGCGTCAATTCAGATAAGGACATATGGATTAACCAACAACGACTTCGTTGGGCACGCGCATTCTCTGTTCCCATGTCGGAGCGTGTTCCCGAGGGCTTTCCGGTGCTCACCCTGACCACGCAGCGGGCGCTCTGTGCCATTTCCGAGAAGCGCCCAGATCAACTTGCCCCAGTCATTGAGGCGCTGTATCGCGCCTTTTGGTTAGATAGGGACTCGAAGATTGGGCAGCCGGAGGGATTTGGACCCGTGTTGGAGAAGGTGCTTGGGCAAGCCGAAACACAGGATATTTTGCAAGCTGTACGAGTCCATGCCTACTCAAATATGATCTATCGACGCTAACAGGTGGAAACAGATCAATCAAACGGAGATCAAATCCCTTTTGACGTCAAATACTGACCAAGCGTTTAAGTCGGGGGCATTTGGCCTCCCCTGGTTTGAATGCACCAACGCCAATGGTCAGACTGAGGGATTCTGGGGCATTGATCACCTGGGGCAGGTGGCTGACTTTTTAGACTTGAACCGTCAGGCGGAACAGGGGTTTAGATCGCTGTTATGAGAAGAACAGAGTAGAATAATGCAATAAGATATATGTACCGAAATCGTGGACGATTGATGAGCGGATCGAAATTGAAATTGTTCAATCAACCAAGTGGTTCTATCATCGATCAACAATGAAGAACGTATAACATGAGCCAGCCATGACAGCCGGAGAGTATTAAATATTCACGTAAGAAAGAGAGTTACCGACTTTTAGCACTTCGCCTGCGAATGCTTTTGTTTCGGTCTTGAAGGAACTCCACGATCCTTTCCTTCTCTAGATTATCAATTCGCTCGATCTCCTCGGCATCAGGCAGGTCATTCGGATCTAGGGATCGGTACCATTGTTAGTACTAGACCGCAAAAATCGGGGAGATTGATGGAAGCAAACGCACCTTGGTTGGTAGTTTTGGCGGCCTTCCCTCCCGTCGCAACCGATTGGACCTGCTCCCAGACATTCTGCACGGAATCGGAGGTGTAAATCGCGTTGAGCTTATTCTTCACCTCGCCGATCGACGACCCAGCAATGTCACCGATGCTGCTGCCGATATTCGACACGGTGCTTGATGAGGACGTTGACTTCGGTTGGGAGACATCGGATCTCTGCTCTGAAAGACGCTCGGGCGTTGTGTCCATGACGAGTTGAATGGCGTGGGAAGACTTTCTTGATGGCGTCTGACAGATTCTTACCCCTAGACGTCTTCTGAGGCCGTTGTCGAAACGAACGCGATGAATATTTATTGATGGAGACGGGGCAATGACATCAAATCGGCGCGATGATATCATGGGTGCAGAGCCGGGAGTGGGGCGCCATGTTCCACCTGGAGATGAGGATGTGCATCTTCACGTAAGGCAGCCGGCAAAATCAACGCTGGCAATCGGGTTTTAGTTGGTCAACAGTTCCGAGATCGTTGTGCGACGGCCGCGCGTCGCGACGAGGAAGCCTGGCAGCGTAACGGGAAATCCGCAGCCCTACGGAGGACATCGCGAAATCTTCAGCCTTACAAGTTACAACTTCCGCAGTCCCGCTGGAAGTCAAAGTCGTAGGGCTGGTGGGCTAATACCTACGCAGTAAGGGACCCGCCCGGTGGGTTGTATGCATTGTTTTAATGGTCTAGTCTCCAACTTCCCCTTTGACATGCCTGCTAAGACCCTACTATTAGGCTTAGCCTCACCCTAAACATCGGGCGATGGGGATGACTCAAGCTCCAGAGTCAAGATCATCAAATTGACTAGGTACTAATTCCTCGCTCAGAACATTTTATTCACCCCATCCAGATAGGATCTCGTTTCGGAAAACGCCCACTTGGTCCACGAGAAGAACCAACGTCTTGCGCCCCGCACCGCAACACTTCAGGACACTTTAAGAAACCATGGCATCCGCGATCCTCAAACCTCTAGCAATATTTTACAGTCAGTCCCAATCACAGCGGTATAACAAAACCACCAGAAATGTGGGCGATGCATGGCGCACGCTCGCAGAAAAGCCGTCTACAGACGCTGACCAGTCGACTGTCATCGAAACTACGTTCGACTTCGTCCTAGAAATCAACTATGCGTCCGGCCAGAGACCTGAACTCAACACGACACCGTCAAACATAAGAGCGGTTGAAATGGAAAACCCACGAATCCCTACCATCCGCGCAGACAGCACCTCTTCGACACTATCGCATTTTTGCCGACTACGGGACGGATTTCATCTGGCGACAGGTAGAGGACATCAAATCCGGCGAAGACAGCCATGTTGATGCCGACGAGGTTCTCTCCAGACACCCTTCCTCCGTGCTGGACCTCTATGATGCCTGGGTTGATACGTACTCAACCCTATTCAGAGAGCGATGTGAAGACACCCAGGATTACTCGGCCACCGTGTTTCCGACCGTCTCGGAGGAAAGGAGACGAGTGCTACGCTTGACTTCTTGACGGACCAAGCTCAGTTATTGGCCCGGGAGGAGTTGGTGGAATAGAATTGGCTTGATGATATCATGACCCGCATGCTAACCAAATCAACGCCAGTCAACACATGGTCAAGACCGTATCATAGAGCATCGGAAATCTATTTCGATTGCATTTGCTAGGAGAAAGTCGATCAGATCTCGGACTCCTTGGACTAAAGCCGAGCCGGTCTCCGGTCGCAGCGCTCAAGTAAAAGCCGGGCGTTAACTCCGTCCGTTGTCCTTGTACGGTGCATGTCCGCCAGTCCGCGGGTTTTGGAACCAGAACCACAGATCACGATCATTATAAATGGTCATGTTCTTCGCCATGGTCTATCGTCTTTCCTATTCCAATCATTCACTTCAATTACTACTCCAGCCTCAATCCAACACCACATAACCTATTTTGACTACACTAGTCTAAATCCCAACCAAACCACCATGTCCTTCCCCTACCAACACTTCCTCCTTATCGGCGCCACCTCCGGCATAGGCGCCGCAATGGCCGACCGACTGATCGCGCACGGCGCCAAAGTGACAGCTGTCGGACGCCGCCAGGACCGCCTCGACGCCTTCGTACAGAAGCACGGCCCCGAGAAGGCCAGCGCCGTGGCCTTCGACCTCAGCCAGACGGAGCAGATCCCCGGGTTTGTCGCGGACGTGACGACGCGGTTCCCAAGTATCGACTGCGTGTTTTTGAACGCGGGTCGTCAGCGCCAATATGATCTGTCGACGCCCGAGGGGTTCGATCTCGAGGGCTTCCAGTATGAGGTGCAGGTGAACTTTACGAATCTGGTGGTCCTGACGCAGGCGTTTCTGTCGTTTTTGAGGGGTAAGGCGGAGAAGGGGAATGGGGGGTTTCTCTTGTGAGTTTTTCGGATACAGAGAAAATGAGAGAGAATGAAGGATGGGGAGTAAGCATCCTTGCTAACGAAGATATTACCTATAGTACCGGTACCAACCTGGCTGTCATCCCGGCTTACCCCATGCCGGCCTACTCTGCCTCTAAGGCCGCATTGAGTGCATTCGTGCTGTCCTTGCGTCATCAGCTGAAGAAGACGAATGTGAAGGTGATTGAGCTGTCGCCGCCTGCTGTTCAGAGTGAGTCCTCCCTCTTAGGCCCAAGCAGAACGACGAAGCTAATCGATAATAGCCGAATTGCATGATTACATGACTCCCGAGATTGGACGCACCGTGGGCATGCCGTTGGACCAGTTCGTCGACCAGGCCTTTGCCGGTTTGCTGGAGGGCAAGGACCAGGTGGTTGTGGGCAGCATTGGGAACTCAGAGAGATTCCACCTGATTGTTGAAAAGCGACGGGAGGCGTTCGAGGAGCTGGCGGCGATTATTGATAGCCACCATTAGGCTGGTTGGTGAGGAGTGTAGGCTATTAGAGACATGTTTGGGAGGGCAACAAGTGTTACTTACATGTATGAATAGAGCCAGTGATACATTCTTTTGCAGCTTATAATTATCTCTTGGACATTGTATGATCTAGGTCTTCATGATATGAAGCCCACAAGTATCTGCGAAAACAGATACAACTCTACATTTCAATTTGTACAAGACTTAAACAAAAACAAAAGCAGTAGTAATGAAACAAGTTTTATTCAATCATTATAGTTCGTATCTAGCTATAAAGGTCATGAAGAGCCAATCTAGGTACTATATAGATCACACCACCACAATCACGGACCGGAGTATAGATATAAACACCAAGAGAAGACACAACATCATCAACACTCTCTCGGAACCCTCGAGTTAGACAAGACCGGAGACGTGATGACAATCGTCCCATCAACCGGCTGCTCCGCAAAAATGCCACTCATAGACCGTTGATAGTCGAGCGCATATTGTTCCAGATACTTCAACTGCTCGCGGGCCTTGCGCTTAACCTCATCCAGCTGTTTCCAGAGGCGCTTATCGGTGCGAACGTTGACGCGAATCATGCATCCCCGTCCGTTAAACTTCGCTGGGACATGCCCGGGTCGACACAGCATCTTTTATGATGTTGAAGGACTCGTGTGGGGATTCTTTGTGCATTTCCAGATGTCTGCATTCATGCTATATCCGACTCTCGAATGGCTGCATTGCTCCCTCCGGTATATCATTGAGACCATCGCGAACAATTAGATCAATGCAGCGTGCGACCCTCCTGATACAAGAATCGTTCAGCCCCGCAATGTTGATGCGGCCGTCGGGGACGAGGTAAATATTAAAATGCACCGTAAGCTCGTGGCATTGCTGCGGCGTCAGGCGCAAGTAGCTACTCGCCGTCAGTGTCTGTTGGGGCAAATCGAGGAAGGAACCGATTACCTAAATAGCCCCTTCTCGTGAAGAATATGACTCCAATTCCCGGGTGTCTAGGAAATATTCAGTTATTGTCTCTTGTGAAGGGTCTCAATTCTCTCACCTCTAAAACTTGGAATGACTCGTAAAGGCGTAGACGATTATGTTGCAACCTTGACCTCATCAGGTCGAGCTCCGCGACCCTGTGACCGGCTTGTCAGCCACCTCTACCACATCAAGACTGGACTGCACAAGGATACAATCATACCATGTTTGCCGCAGCATCTGGTCCTTTAGTATGGTATTCACCAGGCGCGCTCCATACGCGGGTGACGAGGAAAACTCTGCACGGATCAAGCGCTGAAGCTGGCTGAGGGTGCACTGAGCTGCTTTTCGACTCCTGGTAACAACGTGCAAGATTCCGACTCGCTCAGAATACAGGCCAAAATTTTTGGAGAATGACTGACACACGAGCATCTCAAATCCCTGTGCTGCAAACAGCCGAATTGGATACGCATCCTCGTTCTCGCCACTACCTAGGCCCTGGTATGCAAAATCGAACATTGGAACATGATTTCGCTTCTTCATCTCGTCGGCAATAAGCTGCCATTGCGGAGACGAAAAGTCCGCTCCTGTAGGATTATGGCAGCAGACTTGAAAAATAAAGATGCTTTTTTCAGGGGCCGCCCGGATGGCAGCTAAACAGCTTCTGAGATCTACCCCACGCTCGTCTCTATCGTAATAATTGTACTTCTCGAGATGAGTCGCCACCAACTTAAATAACGGTTCATGGTTCCCCCACGTGGGTGTTCCCACGTATACTTTCTGACCCGGTGTGGTGGCGACTTTTCTCAAGAACAATGCCCCAAGATGAATTGCACCTGTGCCCGCAATCGTTTGTACAGACGCGACCTAGAAGAAAACCCGTCAGTGATACAACATCGCGGGATTATTCATATGGTCATTTACTCGTTGCGATGCTAATGTTTCACTGTTGGGTCCAAAGACAAGCTCGGCGGCGTGCACCAGATACTCGTCAATGCCAGTGGAGGCGGTATACTAAGAAACGTTTAGTTCTTCTCTCTAGTGGCGACTCAATTGGCATTCGTACATTGTGACCCGGGTCCTCGAAGGAAAGTTTCTCCTTTGCCTAGAGTGGATTGTTAGATTGATTCCCTAGTCACAGCATCTATCAAGCTCAGCCCTGACCATCTTGACGCAGTAGGGCTCATGAATCTGCCCTTCATCGTTTTGGTAGATCCCTATACCCAGGTTGACCTTATGAGGACTGCTGTCGCTATCTACAGCCTTCTTAAGATCCAGCAAGGGATCAGCGGGTGCCAAGGGAATATTATCGAACATCGTATTGCTTCGCACTGGTGGCAGTGTCAAAATCAATCAAATAGTGCCAATGTGATCTGAGGTGTAATCCTATGAGTTGACGATGCATTTATGTAGTCATGGTTTGGTGTCTGCAATTCGCCTGCGTGGGCCCTTTCCATGGTTGGATTCATAAACTCAACAGCGAATGCAGGCTCGATCCAGGAGGGAATCCTGCTCGACACAACCTAAATTTGCAGCGACGGGAGTTATGTCCTCTGCCTCAGATCAACGGCTTTTGAATTATATTTTTAGATGGTGTTCGATGATATCAGAGGGGTAACTCTGACATCGTTCGAGACACACTGCCCCGATATTTGCCTGGCTATGCCTGGTCGAATATCACCTCGTCGTCTGTTTTCTTGAGGTTCTGGCAAGATGATGTAAACGATGATGCCATTTGAAATCATCTGGGAGAACCGAGTGCGCCAGGTCATTTCAAAGACCGGGCGTGAAGCTGCCCCGAAGGAAATTGGGCGAAGGTGTGATGCAAATGCCCATTGTCATAGTCCAAGTAAGCATGAAATAGAGAAGGGGCTGCATTGTCCTAGTACAATCCTTCCTCCCCCTACATAAAGCGAGTAAGTGCTTACCGGGGGCGAGAACCGAACTGTGCCAAGGAGGGAGTTTGTGTCTTGTGTAGTACGGCCCCGCCAGATAATCGTCACTGATCGCAGATCCCTCAGGCCTACCAATTCCCTAAAATAGAAGGCCGGTGCCAGGATCTTCTCCTTTTCGTGTCGCATCGTGAAGCTCTTCCAAGGATCGCCCCAGTTGCTCGCAATCCAGTGGCCCAGAATCTTGGGGCCTAAAAGATGGGGGCACTTTTGCTCGGCTGCACATAAGCCGTCACTCTGCTCCTCGCTATCCCTTGAATCGGAACGAAGGGAGAGCAGAAAAAGGCCACTTGAGCAGCAACTCCGGCATTCACTGAAAGAAAAATGAAAGGTCTTTCTGCCGGCATTGTCTTTTCCGGCATCACCGGCGTTGCCAGTGCCGCACGCTCGAATGGCTGTGGGAAGCCGTTGCCCACCCACCAGAGCCCTGGAGGAGATAGCCACCAGACACACTTCACGACGTCTGACGGTACTGAGCGCACCTACCTGATCCACATTCCCTCCAACTACGACAAGGACACCCCGGTTCCGTTGATCTTTTCGTTCCATGGCAGGAGTGGAACCTCGGCCAAGCAGGAGGCCCTGTCGCAATTTAGCAACGAGGAGTGGAATCCCAATGGCATCGCGGTGTATCCCCAAGGACTGGACGTATGTAAATACCTCGGTTATCTGGAAGATGTTCTCATCGCATTCTAATCCGCAGATCGCAGAAACAATGGGAAGGCGATCCGGCCTCCAAAAGAGTGGATGACGTCGCGTTCACCCTCGAAATACTCGACCACTTTGAGGACCGGTACTGCATTGACTCGTCGCACGTCTACGCCGCGGGCAAGTCGAACGGCGGCGGATTCACTCATCTATTAGCATGCGACAGCACTGCGTCCACTCGGATCGCCGCCTTCGCACCAGTCTCAGGCGCCTACTACCAGAAAGTGTCCGAAGAGGACTGCGATCCGATCACTGTTCCAATCAAGTGCAACCCCGGCCGGTCTCCTATCCCGATCATTGAGTTCCACGGCAGCGCGGATGAAACCATCCCGTATGCTGGGGGGGCCAGACGCGGAGAATGTCTCCCCTCCGTGCCTCATTTTGTGCGCGAATGGTCCAAGCGCGATGGATTCGGACTGCACAACAAGACCACCAATCTGTACGATGACCAAGTGCAACGGTATGAATACGCGAGTGGCGACGCCCTCGGCACCGTGACGCATTATCGCATCGGAGGCTTGGGCCACTCCTGGCCAAGTACGGGACCAAACAGCGACAATCCGGATGGAACGTATCTGAACGCGACGCCGTTGATCATGGACTTTTTCAACCGATGGGCATTGTAGCTTTTCATGTTGGTTGTGGTATCTAGGTTTAATATGAATAGGAGCAGCTGTTATTTTATGATGACGGTATCTGCATCATACTCAAAGGGGCCATTCGTTCCTGGTTACAGAAATCTACTGACAGCCCAAAAGCACTGCGCTTCTTTCTATTAACTAGTAGCAACTCTCCACATGTTACGTACTGAAGCTTCATTGCTCTTGGAAGGTATTAGGTCCCGAGAGACCTGGAAGTCAAACATTTGAATATTTGCGGAAAGGTCACGAAGACGCTCTAGCCCATCTATAGCTTCAAGCCCACCGTGGCTAAACCGACAATGCGCATTGATACTGAGCTTTTAGACAGATATAGAGCCAAACTCTGTCCTCGCTTCACTGTACTCCATCTAATCAAATGCACCTAATCAGTTTCAGACAACGCGCAAGCTCGTTACGTGCAGCGCGCGTACTTCTACAATAGGCTGACAGGATAAGAAGAAAGAGTCCGGGTGAGTGCCGGTGCGGAAATGATTACAACCCGTTGTCTTGAACAAATGATCCCGGTTTTTCGTATCTTTTGACAGAAGGCGTCGGGGTTACTTCTCGACAACAAACCATTCAGGGACGAGCCCAGCAATAGGAGCCTAGAAATGGAGCACTACTCCGAGAACCAGCAACATCAGAATCCAGATTCAAGTTTTGTAGAGGCACAAAGAACGAGAAGACGAGAGGAAAATAGATAGGGAATATGCGTGTCTTAGTTCGGAACAAGAGGGGATATGAATGGTCCTAGGAATACAAGCCTCTCAGCTCTGTTTTGGACAGCCCCACACAGATGAGAAGAAGCTATCCATGGTAAGACAGGAGGATAGCTAAGACCCTTCGAGACTGATCCAATGAACAGCAGTTCGGCCGCCTAGCCCACAACAAAGAAAGGTTACGTGCTTGACATGTTAAAGTATTGGAGCCAATGCTTCTCCCGGTGGGGCTTCTAAGGGGGATAAGGGGGAGACGTTGGTGACGGCTACGGAGGCATCTTCTGGATGCTATTAATTAGATAACGCAGATTTAGTGGCTCATAAGAAGCAGTTGTAAATTCCTCAATTTCGGTCTGTAGGTGTGTAGAGTATACATGTCATAGGAGTTACCCAAAAGTGGGTTTCAACAAAAAAACAAAATAAAAATAAAAACGAGAAAGCAGGAAACACACAGTAAAAGGAGAAGAGTATAAGAAGGTAAAGGTAGAAAAGAAAAATGGAGAAAAGAGACAAAGAACAGGACCGCTAGTGCCAGGGCAACAGAATAAGGTCACGAACCGGCCCAGAGACGGGCTCTTCCCTTCTTTTCTTTACCAAAGGCGCTTTCCATTCCTTCAGCTTCTCAATGTCCCAGATGGCAAATCCCCATTTCTATAGCTCACGTGGATTGTTTTCCATAATCCGATCGAACATGGCTCCGTCAGTTGTACCAGGGCTGTCCAACACTCTCGTTATCCAGCCGTAGTTGGGTTGCTCGGTGGATGGAAGTCCAAATACCCAGGCTCCAATATTATGCAGGTCATACTTGTCGACAGGGTATAGAAGTGGTGGCATTTCATGATCCCAAGGCTTCCACCACTCGAAGATTGGTGTCACCATATCTGTTCCTGCGTTGGCCGCGATCCAATTACGCCGGTCCATAAAGGGACCATGGGTAACCTTGTAGATAAACCTGAGACCGAAAGACAGGAACGTTTCTATATGGTAGGGGTAATTCACTGTACCACTTGTCGGTATCCATCCACTTCGGACAAGGCAAACCCTTCGAGTAATTTTTTCTACAAAGAATTCCATTTCGTGATAGAAATGAAATAAATCGATGATCTCTTCTAGACTGTTGGGCTCGTACAGTTGGTTTTCAGATGTCAATTTGAGATCACGGATCTCGTCTCGACGACGCCAGCTGTCCAAGAAGGCAATCGCTTTTTCTCTGTCCGCCTCCATGTATAGACCTTTAGATCGGAGGACTGCAATCGCTTCCGATAGGTCGGGGAGGTATTGGCTGTATTGTCTTTTCAGGGTGCAGCAGAGCACCTCCCTTCGCACCGTGAGATAGACTGTATGGCATGCTGGGGATGCAAGGACCAGAGACCGGAGAGTATTATTTATCAGGAATCCGGAACAGAATGCTGATGAGTAGTTCGTTCGGAAGCTTTTCGAATGTTGGTTTCGCCTGGGAACCCGGTGTTAGCTGCTTGTCCTCATTGCAAGAATGGGCGTGCATCTCACCATTTGTGCTGATCGTCGAAGGATTGCTGTTGAGAGAACAAAGAAGAATGGTAGTTCCGAGAATGGGATCGAGTATTGCCAAACCACCAGTGAGTTGACTCCCAAGAACTTACATAAGATGCCTCTTTGTCTCTATGTAAAGTTGTAGCGCTAATTATCGTACGCAGGTGTAAGCAATCGAATTGATTGAATCGGATTAATTGCTTGATGATCAACTATATAGGTGGAGGAAGGCTTCCAATTCATAGTGAATGAAGGACCAACTTCACGGAGTACTGCGCATGGTTCTATGGAGTATTCCTCTTCGAATACCGGACTATGGTCTTTCATCCTTGTTTCCCAAGCATTGCTTGCAGTACTTCAGAAGACAATACCCTCTTTGTCGAGTCACTCATTTTCTAGAAACCCGGACGTAGCTATGAACGTTCTGCATGCCATTTGCCTCGGCCTTGAAAGCCTCTTAGGTGCCCTGTTTTTCTGTTAAGCCTACATGACAAAATATACTCAGCTGGTCTGATGTATTTGTCTGGCTTCGCTTTGGATAGTGTTTGGGGTGAAGGTTTCTGAGGCGATACGCTTCTAGACACAACAATGCGAAATCTAAGACACTCACAACGGAAGCCCAAATCCTGAGTTCATTCCCCATAATGGGGAGCAAGCTCGTCACAGAATCCCTTTGTCCCCTGAATAGGTTTAAAAGACAAAGGGCGCAAAGGGTTCTTTCATTCCTATTCACAATTTGCTAGATAGATGCCAGGTCTCCCTCTTCAAAAAGTCATCGTCAGAAAGCCCATTAGATCATTTGAGTCCATATCAAATTCATCTAACGGCGCAGTCTCTACGATCACGCTGTACTTTTACCTTCAAATTTGAGAATCAAACCCTCCTTTAGCCCTTTCCAACCACCATAATGAGTAGTTCTGGCCGTCGGGCTCTCGGTCCTGATCCAATTGTGCTGGGGAGGAGGGCAAGCGAGACGTTTTACGAAATCAGAGTGCCGCAAATGGCACATCCACAAAGACGTCCAAAGCCAGCGCATCATGGCCCCCATTTTGAGAAAGCTCTCCTCCAGGGTAAAGCCCTTGGACCTCTGAAAACAACCGGCGGTACGGCCATTGGCCGCGCACATTCTTTCAGTCTCCCCATCTGACGACGAAAGATAGTCGAGCCATACGAACGCAATCCCGAGGATTTCACTGAGCGCATGCAAAAGGAACACCACAATAACAAGGTCCTGTCTGATACCCACAATTCTGCCGACAAAGTGTCATTCCGTGAGGTAAGGTCTTTGAAATTCGAGAGAGACAGTGCTGTGCAGCAAGCGGAGGCCATCCTGGCTGGCATAAGAGCTACTGCAGCTATACGGGATGCAGCCAACAGGTCCGTGGGTTTACATCTCCTTATATCGACTTTTCAAAGAAGAACACATAGGAGTACTAATGCGTTTAGATTAGGGCTAGACAAGCCCGCTCATGCTTCGATCAGAAATACCCGCAGGCGCAAAAGACGCTGAAAGACGTCGAAAATCACGAAAAGGAGGCCACGAATAAAATAAACAAGGCGCGGACTTTCCGGAAGCACTGTGAGAGTCTCCAGAGGAAATACGAGTTGTAGCGAGATCGGATAGGAGGTTGATCGAAGGGTCGGCCTCTTGACCGGATAGATTGTCTATTCCAATTTGTTCCTTCTTTCCTTTTCCTCTTTTGTGGGAGGTTTTCTTTTCATTCCTTTGCTTACTTATCTTATCAGTTTGGATATCATATCTGTCTCGGTTTCTTCCATATGTTCTTGCCTGTGGAATCGCCAGCTCCTTGAATACCATGGGCTCATTCCGTGTGAATATACTATAAGGTAACTGGCTATGATTCGTGAGATCAATACCTAGGTGTCACTCTATACCCAGTCTCATGTATTATCAGGCTATACTTCGATAGCAAACATGTGACCAACAAGACGAGCGTCGGCATGAGATCCTATCTATGCCATCTTCTGGAATGTCATATAGCTACCATCTGGAAGCCACAAGATGATAGAAGCGCATCGTTTCTTGACCCGGAGCTACTACCATGTGAGATACAGACCCAATTGCATGCGAATCGAATCCCTTCAAGCAGATCCCAATGGACACTTCTAGGGCAACCCCCAAAGCGGAATAGCGCAACTGCCCCGCCGCCCCGCCGTTTTTCATCGATTCATTCCATCATTCCTTCCTTCCTTTCTTCATCATTCAATCTTCATTCCTTCCTTATAGACGACTATACATCAACAACAGAGAAAAGAACAAAAAAAAAGTCAACCCAGAAAATGCCACCCATCCCCATAACCATCGTCACCGGCTTCCTAGGCTCCGGCAAAACGACCCTCCTCCTCAACCTAATCCCGCAACTCCCCCCGACGTACCGACTGGCGCTCCTCAAGAACGAATTTGGCGACGTGGCTATTGACTCGCAGCTCGCCTCGACGCAATCCATCTCCGGGGTCCGCGAGCTCCTGAACGGCTGCATCTGCTGCAACCTCGTGGGTCAGCTCAGCGACGCGCTGGACCAGCTGCGCACGGAGGTCCAGCCGGACCGCATCGTCATCGAGACCAGTGGGAGCGCGTTCCCCGCGACGTTGGCGATGGAGGTGAATCGGTTGGCGCGCGAGCAGCCGGGCAGTCTGGTGCTGGACGGGGTGATCAGTGTGATCGATGTCGAGAATTGGCAGGGCTACGAGGATACGTCGTATACGGCGAAGCTGCAGGCGCGGTACACGGATCTGATCATTTTGAATAAGTGGGAGAATGTGGGGGAGATGCGGTATGAGGTGTGTTTGGATCGGTTGGGCGATTTGGAGGTTGAGACGCCGTGGGTGAAGTCGGAGAAGGGGAGGGTCGATAAGGATGTGTTGTTGGGGATTGATGGCGCGTTGTTTAGTAAGGAGGGGGGAGAGGGGGTGGATGGGGGGTTGGCGCATCATGACCATGAGCATAAGCATGATCATCAGTCCGAGGTGGAGGTGCTCTCCGTGTCCTTGAAGACGACGCAGCCCGAGCAAACGGTCGATGTCGCCGCGCTGGAGAAGCTGTTGGCGTCTGCGCCGCGCGACGAGGTCTACCGGATCAAGGGCATTCTGCGCTGCTCGACGCAAGCCCCGCCGGCCGAGTCGTCGGAGAACCTGGAGGAAAGGAAGCCGGCGAGCGAGCAGGCCGGAGCGACGGCATACTACATTCTCAACTGGGCCTTTGGTCGATGGACGTTCACGCCATCTACGACTGTTGCGGAGGGCGCCGATCCCGCCGTGGTTGCGCGGATGACGCTCATCCTGGCGCGGAGCGAGTCGGCGAAATGGAAGAAGAAACTGGATGCCGGGGGTCTGGTACAGGTGGGCGAGACGAATGAAGGTGCGGAATTGGTGGTGGAGCGACTGGTATAGACTATAGATAGACCCTTATAGATGCATATGGCGCAGGCTTTCCGCCAGGCCGGGGAAGATAGAAAGATGGTCACGTGGGATGGGAAACGTAATTTATACATACTAGAAAGATACCTCGATAGAAGACTAAAAGAACAGAACTGCCGGCCCAGTATGTGGGTCTAGACCAATTATTGGGATGATATCATTATGCAAGTGTGTACTCCAAGTGATTACGACGCAAAGTAGTTTTGGTGAAGGAAAAAAAGTTTGGGGGACCAATTCAAGCCCGAGAATCTAATCTATCAGAATGATAGCAGAAAATGCCAAAGTAGGCGCGCGTTACAAAAATGACCACGAAAATTCATCGGCAGGCTATTCCAAACACAAACGCAAGACAAAAAAAGAATGTAAAACATGTGACAAAGAGAGAGAATGCTAGTACTCAAGAAGAGCAGAGGCGCCGGCTTCGCTCGAGATGTAGATCACCTCGTGGTTGTCGGAGAAGCCGTTGAAGCGGGTCGCGCTACATTTGGTGTAGGCGCCCATGTCTTCGAAGTACAGCCAGTCACCCACATCTAGGAGACCGGGCAGCTCGATGCGCTGGGTGATGACATCGATACCATCGCAGGTCGGTCCCCAGATAGAATAGGCGATGCCCTCCGAAGTCGCAGAGTTCGGAGAAGCAGACGGCGAGCTGGCGGCCGAGCCAGACGCGCAGGTCAAGATCTGCGCCACCGGGTGCTGGTGGTCGAAAATAATGTTGGAGAAGTTGCCGTACACGCCGTCGTTGAGATAGATCATGAAAGCATCGTTGGCCGGGTCTTCCGGGTCACGCACATCGCGACGAGCGATGACGTTGGCGGCCAGACTGAACGCACTGGCAACGTAGTAGCGGCCGGGCTCGGCGATGATGCGGATGTTAGGCGGGAAATACAAGTCAACGGCATCACCCAACACGCCGGCGAACTTCTCAAAGGTTTCCTGGGTAAATCCTCCACCCACGTCCAGGGTGTGCAGCTCGTGGCCCACCTCGGTCGCCTGGTCAAAGACCAATCGAGCATCTTGAACGGCCTTGAAAAACGCAGCCGGGTCCTCGGCCCCGGAGCCGACGTGGAAACTCACACCGACGACCTTGAGATCCAGCTCGTGAGCAAGCTCCAGAAGCTGACGCGCCACATCGAGCGACGCGCCAAACTTCATGCTCAGGCGGCAGAGACTGGTGGAGTCATCGGTGAGGATCCGGAGGTACAGTTCGGCATCGGGAAAGCAGGCCTTGATCTTGTACAGCTCGTCGGCATTGTCAAAGGTCATCTGCTTGACGCCCTTCTGGGCGGCGTAGCGCAAGTAGGACTTGGTCTTGCAGGGTTGCGCGTAGATGATACGGCTGGGATCGATGCCCGTCTGCAGGGCCATATCGATCTCGGACTTGGACGCGCAATCGAAGCCGTTTCCAAGCTGAGCCATGAGACGAAGGATCTCCGGGTCAGGGTTGCACTTGACCGCTGTGAATGACAAATTAGAATATGAAAGCAAGTAGGAGGCTTAGCGCGACAAAAAAGCGCGCGCAAGGTCATGAGGAATGAGACTTACCGTAGAATGGCTTGACGCGACCCAAGTTCATCTTCCATCGCAAATGCTGCCGGTAGACCTCGCCCATGTCTGCCACATAGAACGCATCCTCATCACCAGGACCGCAGCGGTCCACATCAACTTCCGTGGCGCGCTTTTTCAGCACGTCCAGGACAAGCTCCTTGGCAGCCAGCCTAGATTGCGAGAGGTCGTCCCCTCCATACTTGCTGACTTGACTACTAACCGGTAGAGTCAGGTAGTCGGGTTTGTCGTATGCAGATTTAATCATGCATACAGATTCAGCGGGTGAACACGCAGTCGGTGCCATAACCATGTGCGCTGCGACGAAGCACACGGGATAGGTCTTTTTTTTAAGAGAAAAAAAAGAAGAAAAGGAAAGAAAGTAGAAAAGTTTATACGCGACTGCGTGTTAAGGAGGACGAAAACTTTCGCAACCGAAGTTGACTGGACCAAGCCTCCTAGACCCTTCCTCTTTAAGAGGAAGAACCTTCAGAGAAGTCCTATGCGGCAGCTCAGGGGGCGAGGGAATAAATTGAGAGGGCGTCAGGCGGTTAAGAAATGGCGCACCGGACGAAGAGACGGGAGGCGAGAGCAGCAGGAGGTGGAATGTTGTTAAGAGTGTTGCGGGAACGTCTAGCGGAGACAATTTGACGGAACGAAATATGGGAGGCTACGAGAGCCGTGGTGACTTGGAGGGAAGGGCTTTGGAACTGGAGAATTCCAAAGGCCCGACAACTCTGGAACGAGCGGGAATTAAATTGGGCAAATCACCAAATTCGCCCGAAAAATGAGATCTGACAGCGAGAAGAAACGCGGTCAGCGAGGATTGAGGAGACAGGTAAGAAAGCCAAACGGCAGACGACAGTATGAGAGATTTAAAAAGAATCAGGGGGTTGGTCGGGGGGGTGGCCGCCGGCTGAGGTGCGTGCAGAGTTTTTTTTTTAACGACGGCGAAACGAGTTTAGGGCAAAGGGCACACCCATTAGGCAGAAACCGGGGGGGAAACAAAGAGGGGGGAAAGGGAAAAGGAGTGATTCAGATGAAGCTGAACCGAGGGAATGAATTGGAGCGACGCAAGGATAGCTGCATGAATGGAAGAGAAAAATGACTCACCTCGAACTTGCGATATGGCAGATGGAGAGAAGAAAGAGGAGGAGAGGAGAGGAGAGCGGATGGGGAGGTGAAAGGCGAGAGAAGTGGGAAGGCGGAAGGGCAAGTCTGGTTCCCGTGTGGAGAAGTCCGAGGGCTTTGCAGTTTGCTTACTGTCCACTGTCCATTCTGCCAGGCACTTCCCGCTGGGAAAGCCTGCAATTCCAGGCAGGTTCATGCCGGGTGGATGCCTCCGCCACGTCGCTCCGGTTCAGGCATCAGCCTGCAGTCTAGGCCCCGGGCATCCTGGAGTTCCGACTCTAGAATTCCGGCTTCTTCAGCAGCAACGGCGGGAAATCGCTGCCTGACATGGACATGACTGCAGGTGACTCCTCGGTTGCTCAGGCGCAATATGATCTGCCAATCAGTCCGGGTGTCAGCGTGACTCAGTCTCGTCGACCGTTTTGAAGAACCTCCCGATCGGGCCAGGATGAGGTCACCGGCCCGACTGACATTCTTTGCTCTCTAATTGGCTGTCTATATATCTACCGCCTTTATCTGCCGGCAGAATCAAAAACCGGGCAGCGGACGGTGGGGAGCGCCCCGGGGCCAATCAGGAAAGGGTTGCCCCTCCATGTGGATGTATCACGTGAGTACCTTAAATGCCTCAGGTGCCCGGATGGTGACGTCCGTGAAGAACTATTGAACAATATATGTACAGGATGTGGAATAGGGTGACTATCATCTATAGTCTGGAATCAGCCAGTACATAATGTTGGTATGATTGTTGTTCAATTGTTATCGGGGTATTTGTACAATATAATTGATTTATGGGAGACAGATACGGACACGGAGTACATTCAAGCAATGTATATATACTTGTATTTTCAGCTTGACCAACACATTGACACACAAGTACACAACACAGACAATAGGATCCAAAGCAATTAGTAAGTTTACACAATAAACTATGGATAAAATGCAATGACATGGGTTCATCTCTATTCGCTCACAACAGCAACATCAAGAGTCTATATATATGACCGGGCTAAAAAGAAAACGGTAGCCCTAGAATCAATCTAGCGTCTCATCTCCTAACACCAGAAGAAAGATACAACACAACCAGTCAACCCATAAGACGAGTATACCCTCAGTCGATATTGCACCAACACGCTAAAACCATCCTTACTCCCCACCAGAGGCCTCGCAGATACTCGCTTGCCGGGACCGAATCAGCACCGCGGGCTCAACAATCTGAACCCGCTTAGGCTGCGGACATATCAAGAGCCTCAGACCACTAGAATCAGCAGCCGTATTCTCGACCGAAAACCCAGCAGTGGAATCCGCAAACGCCGCCAACTGATCCGGCGACAGCCTCCATAGCTCCGGCATCGCCGTGAGCGAGCGGTCCCCGTCCGCAATTTCCTCCCAAAGCGGGAGGCCGTCCTCAGTGCGCAGGTGCAGGTTCCGGAGCACCGCGTTGCCGATCTCGAAGTACGGCTTCCCGGCGTCCACCATGGTGGTGACCAGGTTCGACAGCGTCGCGTCCTGCCCGTACATGTACCGGTGCAGGCTCTGTCCGATCTCGCAGGCCGTCAGGCCCTTCGCGGCCCAGACTTTGAGATACAGCGGGAGGTCGACCACGGCGTCCCAGTTCATGCGGCCGGGCGGGCACATGCAATCAGCCAGGGACTGTTCGCTGTGCTCGTCAAACTCGTAGTCCGTGAGGCTGTCGCTGGGGGAGAAGGAGTAAGGGCTCGTCGCGATGAGGTCGGGGTCTTCGGGGAGTACTTCGTAGGTGAGTGGACTCACGGGGCTGTCATCTGGCTTGATTGGGCCAATTAGCGATCTATGGGGGCGATGCGTGGCGTTGGATCGCTTGAGGGAACATACTGAGTCCAGGGACAGGCTTCTAGTCTGCCGCCCGTGTTCCATCGTGATTCAAGGTGGGGATGTGTAGGATTGGTGGCTGGTATAAAGGGTTCGGGGATATCAAGGTATAGGATATAGATGTGTCAGTGATTGGAATATATAACGTGGATGACAAAGACGATAGCGATATGGGGAAAAGAAGACTGGCCATCCTCTGGGGTCTTTATAGCTCGGAGAGCTGGTGTAGTGATGCAGAAAATCATCGTCACAAAGGTATGGTGGAGAAACAATGGACACAAAGAAAAGGTCAGTATATGACCCAACTCTCGCGTAGTCCCGTTGAATGATCGTATTGTACCGGCCATACTCCTACCATTAGCAGAGCCACAATGACGGGAATGAGACATATCCTAAGAACATACTTTCTTTCCTTGGCTATTTGGAAGGAGGAAAATGATAAAGTATATCTCGTTTGTTCGGCAACGATAATGAGCTCCGGTCACTGGATTGAATCACAACGCTGGGTCTGTTCCATTGTTCAGGAATTGTCCGGTTGACTGATTAAGTGACAGACACTACAGGCAATACCCTTGGAAATGAGACATGAAAAGGGCGAAGGTGCTTTGTTGATCAGCATCTGACAACTTCCAAGTCATCGAAGCAGAGAAGTATCATAATGAGAAACACATTAAAATTATGTACAATTGAGTTAAATGCAAAAAGAAATTGTGGGTAGTAAAACAGAGTGTAAGATATGAAAATTAGATGAAAAGAGAAATGAAGGTCCGCAGAGCCGAGCGGGAGAATTCAGCATCACAACTTGGAAAAAAGGGTATAAAACGAGATATAGTCATACTGAATATGATGGAAGACATTGCTAGAAGGCATGTGGAGCCTCTCATAGCCATAAGACCCACCGGACCCCAGAAAACACGCCGCGAAGAACCCCGCGAATGATTTTGAAGGCCATGACAATTAACCAGACCCACCATAAGATTCCCACGAGCGCCCATTCAAGCATTCCGAACCCAGCACGGCGAATCCAACGCAACCGCCGGTGGCGTTTTCGGATACCCTTGTCAAGCGTGTCATTCAATTGCTTGACCGCGAGAGTACTGGTCGTGTTGAGTTGAACACTGAGATTCTCGGCATCTTCCGCTGCAGCTCGGACACGCGGGTTCAATGAATTGTTGACCATATCCTCAAGCTCGTTGAGACGGACCTTCAAGGACGACGAGTCATGTCCGGGGTAATTCTTGATGGACTGCTGGAAGCGATCGTGCGACGTTTCAACTCTTCGGCCTAAGGTCTGCACGGCCAGCTCATACTCGTGATACCGAGGAATCGGTGGAATAGAGCTGTTGGGCCCAAAGGCGTGGCGGAGGAAATCAAGTGGGCTCCGTACACTTTCAGCCCGCCGAGTAATCTCCCGCGCTTTGATCCCGGAGGAAAGTAGGAGAGCACGCGTGCGCTCAGTTTCTCGTTTGCTAGGAATTCCAGTATCGATACTAGTAGATATACTTCGGTTAGAAATACTCCAGCTCCGTGACTGATTCGTTGCAGTGGGCTGTCTCTCCTGGAACGACGAAGCAGGAGAGACTTTTGCTTGCGCAAGGCCGGTGATGGGAGGATGCGTCATGCTGAAGGGGACCGACGGGTCCTTAATTCTGCCCTTTTTAATCTGTTCCCTGACAGTGTGTAGTTCCGGACCAAAACTAAGAGCTTTCTCAGGTCGTCCTCCAGGGACATTGGTATTGGGTTTGTTGATTAGGGGAGTTGAGAGGCTTTTGCCAGTCATTTGTGACTCCTTCAAGTCGTGTGATTGTGAGTATATATCATCCTTGGATAGAACATCTTGTTCGGGCGCCTTGCGCTCCTCTTCCACGTCGCCTTGAGGAGAGACAACAGCTGCTGGTGACGGTACAGGTATCTCTGCAGCTGCATTGTCCGATGCTCTGTGCGCAAAGTGATTCCCTTCATCTGACGACACAAAACTTTGCTGTGGAGGAATCGCCGAACGGGTGCTGTTGTTTCTTTTCATTTCCTCAATACGAGAGTCTTTGCTTTTCTTAGCTTGTCCCATGCTATCAGACACATCGCCTTCGTCTGTAGTAGCATTGGTGGCGAGAGACGATTGCCGAGAATGTTCAGTGTTGTCTTTCTTCAATATAAGGCCTCCCATTTTCGACACCTCATTGCTGACTTTTTCTGCAATCTTCCCGGGTCCTTTCAAAATACCGCGCAATTTAGATTCATGTTGCATTGACCCCTTTCGAGCATGTAAGCTGGGTCTTCCGTGTTCACCATGATGAATAGGAGAAACTCGGTCCGGAAGAGGACTTGACTCGGTTCTTCCGGGGGAAAGAAAGGTATCCGAAGGCTTCGAAGCACTGTTGTTACGCAGAGTTTCCGGGCCAACGGAGCTTTCGTCTGCGAGTTCTTTCGATTTTGGATCATTGTGCTTGACCTGGTCATTACGAGAAGCAATGGTCCGTGAAAGCCGTCCCTTGGAAGGCGATGGAGAGCGACTAGAAGGAGGTGACAAGTTCGAAGCAATGCTGGGGAAATAACCCATATGAAGCGGCGTACTGGGTGCCTTAGAATCTATTGTTGCAAACGATGGTAGAGGGCCGTACCGATCCTCTCGGCTCGGCGCGGAGGATATCGAGCCGCTCTTCTCCTCAACCTTAGCTCTGCCAGCAGAGCTCTGCGCTGGTATGACCGTACGATCTGCAAACCTTTCTCCATGAGATGCCTCCGACCCTCGCGGTTTCAACAAGCCGGTTGTTGGAGAAATGGATCGCCCGGAGCGCAGTACATCGTCCATGCGCGCAGTCCAAGACGGTATCGCATCTAGGGATGATACACTCGACGAGCTGCTCGACGCCTTTCCTAGTTTGCGTCTCCTGGAGATCGACGACCCTTTCTTCGAGACACTGTGGCTTGACAGAATAGGCGAGGGACTTCGGAATCTATGCCGTCGTCTCCCACGACCAATTCTTTTGAATTCAGTCGCCAACCCAGGATGCGTATCAGACATCGAGGTACGGGAAGTATATCCTTCGGCATCTAGAGAGTCCCTTGTGGGCAGAGTCGGCTGTTCAAAGGTTGGGACGCTCGGATTAGCATCATGATCGACCAGCATGGTGGGATCCGGATAAAGATTGTTTCCTTCTCTATCGATAATTTTGCTCTTATTTGGGGCGTGTTCAACCCATGCTGCATCGGCAAGCAACTCCGATGGCGATACGATCCAGTCGAGTCTTGGTCTGCGGGCCTTGATGCTGCTAGTACGGCTAGCTCGCCTCAAGCTTGAAGGAGGGGAGCCAGCCCAGGCTTCATCTTCATTGGGCTCTTTCTGAGATACATCTGAAGGCCGATGAGGAAGTGGGGGCAGCTTAAGGCACTGTGAAGGGCTGTGATCTTGTCGACCGTACTTGGTCTCAACCGAGTCAACCCAACTTCGAACGTTATCAATGTCATTCCACCCATATCCGTCCGGATCGATCGGACACCGCTCTCGAAATCTGACTTTCCGGTTACGGATCGACTGTAAAGGATTGTGAGACCGCCCTGCGGTTGAAACATCGTCACTGACAGGTTTGGATTCAGTTGCGGCATTGCCATCAGTAGACTGCAGAGGAGGGAGGGAAGGAAGGAGGCGTAGATATTCGGTGAATAACTCAAAGTGCTGCCTAGCGTGTTCGGCTCGGGCAAGTGTGCTTTCTGAAAACACAGGTGGCAAGGTATTAGCTTCTGCAGATTGAGGCAAAAGACTTAACACAGAGGGTGCCGCGTTGACCGTGGAACTGGCACGCCATAATCCAATAGTTTGCGTGCGATCCTCGTTGGAAGAATGCGTGAAGTTGCGACGTGGGTGAAGGTTATCATGGCCCAGACCACCAACAGCAAGTGGTGGGTGGCTCTCAGTATGAGGAGCCGGGGGTGGACCGGTTGTCGGGGCCCATCGACCACTGGAAACACGATGCGACGCCGACCGACCAAGGGTGTTGGTTTTCCTTGATTCACTCAAGTTCAAGGCCAGGTTGACAATTTGTAGCGAGTCCCTATCCAAGCCCATCGAGGATCGTTGGTCGGCTGTTGTGGGTTGTAATTCTTGTGGCCTCACTTCCTGCTGGACGTGGGATGTAGGTGTCTCTTGAATTGTTTCCCCCTCTGTTGATTGAGATGGCGACTCATTCGATGCATCCTTTTGGCGAGTCCAGGGAAAGCGCGACCGTTTCTTCGCTTTGACGACATCGTTATCGGGGACTCCGCGCTTCTCTCTGCGGTCCGGTTCTGAACGACGTGGGAAGTGGTAGCTATTTCGGAGGCTTTTGGATCTCGGCAAGAACGATGAATCGAGGAGGAAACCGCTGGAGTTCTGCACACGTCGTTGAGCCCGACTGCCTTGGTCCGCGTCGCGAGAGCTGCCCGTGAGCGTACTGCCCTCCAACTCCCCGCTCTCGCGTCCTTCATTCATCTGTAGGCTTTGCCGTCTATCGGAACCGTCATTCGACTCGGATTGGCGCATGGATTGCCACGTAGTGGATTGCACTTGATGTCCAGACGTACTAGACCGAGGAAATGGCGCCGTGCGTGTTTCATCGGTTTCCTGCGACGTCTGATCTTCCGTCCCGTCCGATAGGAAAGGGGCAACGCTCGATAGCAATAAAATTCATGAGGACTAGCAACCAAGGTGGCGCAAAACAGTCATACTTTCCAGGAAAGACACGTGGAAAGATGCAGGACGAAAGGCGGACATAGGCTCGTCATTGTCAAGAGCAGGAGGGTTGAGGTGGTACGGTCGACAGTCCGAATGGCTAGGCAGCAGATGCCGGGGATGCACGTGCAGATGCAAACAGAACAAACACTACGTTTACTCCTACTCCGTACTACAAACGAAGGCATCACAACACAAGGAAAGATTCTGGCATAGAGTCTAGTGAGGCAGAATAACAACTAGAGATACAAGGCCCGGGGGAAGAAGGCCAAAGAATTTAACTGAACATGAAAGAAAACGCTGGATTTTATCGATCTATTCAACTCGGAGGCACTGAAGGCGCGCCTCAGTTTCGATGACCTGTAAATCCGGTTAGTCATCGATTTACAATATGTTAAATGGTAAGAACATACCTCAAGAGCCTGCTTGACCTCCAAGACACGGCGCACTTCGATGAGCCAGTCCTTACTCAAGATCTTGGCCCATCCGTTCAGACTGTTCATCTCACGGGCAGCAGCGTCGAGCTTGCCCTCCTCCAGAAGATTCTCGGTCCGAACGAGGACACTCTCAACATCGTCACTACCCGCGACCACGTCCTTCTTGAACATGACCTTGCTCAGGACAAAGCTGGCGGCGTGGCTTGCAATACCCGCATCCTCGGGCAGAAGGCTAGCCTTGCGAACCTCGTCAGCGACGCGACGGAAACGCTCGATGATTTGAGGCGTAGCCGGAATTCCGCGCTGGTAGGCAGCGGGGTTGATGGAGGCAATAGCAGCATCGACAACGGCGTCATCAGCGGCCAGCTCCTTCACGGCAACAAGCTCACGGATGAAAGGCCGGGGAACGGTAGAGCGCTCAAGGACGGAGCGGACAGCATCGACGGCGACCTGAAGCTGCTGAGTCTTGAGGTTGGTATCAATGACATCCCTCCAGCCGGAGGTAAGCTTCTCGAGGTCGCTGACGTTGGCGGTCAGTTCATTTAGCTTGCTGAGACGGCCCTCGCGCTCGCGCTCAACGAGGTCCTTAACCTGGTGAAGGTACTTGCGGTTGAGTTCAATGGCCTGCTCAACCAGCTCATTCTGAAGGCGCTGCTCAGCCAATTCCTGCGCTCTCTGCAATTCGGTCTTGATCTTGTCCTGGTAGGCGTTGGCTAGCTTCTCGCGCTCGGACTCAAATTCTTCGCGGAACTGAGCCGCATCAACAGAGCGTGCTTCGTTGAACTGACGGATGAGCTCACGAGCAGACTCATCGAAAGTCGAATGGGCCTGCGCAATCTCGTCTCGGGCGGCGCTGCGTGCCTCCTCCCGAACAGCGATGATCTTGTCTCCAACCTTCTGGAGCTCCTCCTTGGCCTTTTGGATGGACGTAGTGTACTTGCCCGCGTTGTCATCAGCACCGATAACAGTGATGATGTCGTTGAAAGTCTTGACCAGCTCCTGGACAATTGCCTCATCGCCCTCGTTCACCTTGGCGAATTCAAGGGGCGCGACAACAGGAACAGCAGGCTGTCTGGGTTCCTCGAGCTTGGGAGCTTCCTTGGAGGCCTTGCTGCTCTTCGCCGTTTCCACGGCGGCCGTCTTCTCCTCAGGCTTGGCAGCCTCAGTCTTAACCTGCGCCTCCTCGCCCTTCCGGGAACTCATGTGAGGACCTCTCTGAGAAACATCAGTTCCGGATTCCTCCTCTTCGGCGACCTTGGAAGAGAGACCGCTCTTGCTCGGGATTGTGATCTTGGGGCCTTCATCCTTGGAGCCACCGCGCTTTTGGGTTCCGAGGGTGTTGGGGAATCGACGGTAAAAGTCACGCTCTTCGAAGTAGAGGACAGCCTCCTCACCGTAGGGGACGTACTCCGTGAAGAAATCGTGGAAGTTGTCGGATTTCAGGGCAAGGAAGATACTTCCACCGTAGGCAAAGCCCGAAGTGAGAATCAAGTAGAGCAGGAACCGGCGGAAGCGACCTGTTTTAGGGGCCGCAACCGGTGCTGGTGACGAAGAGCTCTGCGAACCTGTAACTGACTTAGCATCGAAGACCTTGGCGGGGTTCATTGGTAAGCATCGTCGAACCTTGCTCGCTGGGCGACGCCTTGGGGACGGTTTCGGGGGGGACGACCGAATCGGACGACGGAGAGGCAGGCGTCGGCGCACCAGTAGTCGGGGGCTTAGAGTCGGCAAAGAATCTCTGAGGGATGAGAGAAGCGATTAGACCGGCACATGATAAAGGAGAATTCCAAGCATCGTCACCATACCTGACCGGAGAGCCGGCTAGTGGCCCCGGCTTTGGTCAGCCATTGGGACGCTGTCCGTTGACGAGTCGAAGACAGCAGCAACTGCCGTCCTTGTGCAGCAGAGGAGCGCAGCATGACGGGCTGCACTACTGTGGAGATAGGCGCTGAAGGCGGGTGTATCCTGGGGGGAATGATGTTGGCGAGGGAAAACGCGGACCGGAGTTGGGATAGATGATTTAACGATCCGCTCCGACCCTGCACCGCCCGGCTGTGGCTCAGTTTCGGGTGTTCGCGCACCGCCTCCGAACGCCTCAACCCTATGCATGGCTGATCCCGGGCATTATGTGAACTACACGAGATCTTCCCTACCTACGTTCAGATGCGAGCCAAACGACTCGCGGAGGGTAGAGAATTTAAGAAGTATTATATAGGCATAGCATACGGGGGAAAGATTCCGGAATACTGGACAGGAAAAAGCAAGGGAAATGTAACATGAATTCAGCCCAACAGGAAGAAAATGGATACAGACGCCGTTTAAAAAAAGAGTATGAAAGGAAACAGAGACAGATAAGAACGAAACAAAAAAAAAAAAAAAAAAATTAATCATGTTGCAGGGATCGTCCTGCCACATGACGTCTAGAAAACGGGATCCAACTAGGTCACTGCAGGGCATTCGAATTCCCACGCCCGACATGCAATGAAAAAACGGATCTTTCGATGGTTTTCATGAGCAACGGATAATGCGCGGGTAGTGGAATCCAGAAACCAGCAGCCGAGCCCTAGGGCAACGAGGATTTGGATACCTCGTAAGCAAGCGAATAAACTTTGAATCCAGGAGGCCTAATTCACGACCATAACAACACCATTAAAAACACGCAGCAGTCTGGTTGAAGACATGCACCTTCTGCATCGAAGAGACGAAGGGGAACGAGAGCATAAATTAGAACGGCAATGGAAGATACAGGTTGTCGCAAGAATCGGCCTAAAGTTAGAAAATCTAGCAGTTGCAAGCGCCGGCGCCCTGGGTACCGGGTGCCTCGGGCCGCAAGTCCACACCGGGACGGGGGGTCGTCCGCAAGTTCCGGGGTCCGGCTTGATCAAGGGGCAGTTTCTTTGCAATGGCTGTGAAAAGATCCCGCACATTCGAAGAAGTCTTGGCCGAAGTTTCAAAGAAGAGCAACCCGGCTTCCCGAGCGTAAGCCTCGGCGTCCGCAGTTGGGATGGCTCTCTTATCGGGATTCTCAGTGACCAAATCGAGCTTGTTGCCGGCGAGGGCAATGACAATATTCTCGTTCGCTTGGCGCTGTAGCTCCTTCACCCACGACTTAGCTTTGTCCAATGACGACTATTCCCGGTTGATTGTATTAGCATTCCACCACAAGAGCCTCAAGTTGGATTCGAGGGGATGGGGGGAGCGGAGTCGCATACAGCTTGTGTGATGTCGTAAACGACAACTGCGCAGTTCGCATTTCGGTAGTACATCGGGGCCAGCGACTTGTATCTCTCCTGACCGGCGGTGTCCCATATTTCAAACTTGACCGTCGTGCTTTCGTCTAAGGAGATAGTCTGAGTTAGGAAGGCAGCGCCGATCGTCGACTCTCGGTAGTCATCGAATTGATCCTATGAGGTGAAAGTTAATGTGTATTCCCAAGGGCCGAGCGCAGGCCTTTTTGTGTTTGACGAGTGCACGAGCGATCCAGTCTTACCTTCACGAATCGTAGTACTAGTGAACTCTGTAGTAGGACACCTCCGTTAGCGACCGGTATAAGAACAAGAGATCACGCAGCGTGTAGAATCCCAACCTTTCCAACGGCCGACTCTCCTAACACATTCGGAAACGAAAGGTTAGTACATGTAACATGCAGGATACAGCGGAGCTATGATAGGATAAGCTAGCTCACCGAGCAAGACCAGTTTGAACTGAGCGAATCTCGCGCCCGGTCGGGCGCCAGCTGGGGCTCTGGATGCCATAGTCGGTGCAGGGACGAAAGCAAATTCGGGGAGAGAAAATAAACCGTATTCACGGGCGTGGGAGATCGAGGGCGATAAGATGTTATCGGAGAGCGGACGGGAAGGGGAGAAGGCGAAAGCGCTGAGGTTGGGGGGAAGATGGTTTGACGGCGGCCTGCCGGGGCAGTAACTTGTACCGTTGTACGGGAGTAAGATGACGAAGGGGGACAGTCAGCCACACCCTGCCTTTTGCGGGGCGGTGTGTGGCGCGTCCACTCCTTCCACATGCTGATTGCTGGCAACTCCTAGGCTGCTGCGCTCTCTTGTCGGAGACTCCCTCCTCTCTGTCTCTCCTTCCTCCCTGTCCCTTCGCACTATGCGTTGATCTCGGTTCTCTCCACGCTCTTTTCTCATCTGTTTCCTTCTCGGGTTTCTTCTTCTTCACCATTCTTTTTGCTCCCCCCGTGTTAGCTCGGTTTATTTACTCGTCCCTAGCAGATCCCCAGGACAGTGGGTATATCATCGACCATGGCAACCCCAATTCTCCCATTCCGGGATATCAATCTCCATGCCTCTGCCGCTCATTACGCTTTTACTTCACCCTCGTCTCCGAATGCCCCTGCCCTGGTCGTTGACCGACCGACCGGTGATCTGCGTCTCCACGATGGCCCTCTCTCGGGCGCGAAACGCATCTCGAGTATTGCCGGAATCTTGGGTATGATCAAACTGAAGCTAGGTAAGGGTGTCATGGATTCACGGGGCGCTGTGCAATGCTGAACACTGTAGATAAATATCTCATCGTGATCACCAAGGCCCAGCCCATGGGTCGACTACGCGGCCACATGGTTTACAAAGTTGCCGGCACCGAGTTCTTGCCCCTTCGTGAACGTCCTTTGCATGATTACGACGAGGACACCTATCTCGCGCTCCTCAAGGAATTGCTACGTACCGGACCGATGTACTTCTCCTACGCATTGGATCTTACAAATAGTTTCCAGCGCCAGTCGCAAAGCGATGCCAGTCTCCCGATGTGGAAGCGGGCCGATGACCGGTTCTTCTGGAATCGCTTCATTCAGTCCGATTTGATCGACTTCAGTGTAGGAGGACAGGATAACACAAGTATGCGCTATGGTCCCCAGCCCGGAGTCGATCCATATATTTTGCCTGTGATGTACGGAATGCTGCGGATCACACCTGCGAAAATCAAATCAACTTCGTTCACCTTTGCGCTCATTACGAGAAGGTCGCGGCATCGGGCCGGCACGAGGTATTTCTCTCGCGGCATAGACGACAACGGCAATGTTTCAAACTACAACGAGACCGAACAAATTGTCATCTTGAACGACACCGCCGGAGGTCTGGCTGGTTTTGCGGGGGGCCAGTCGATGAAAGAGAAACCCGGTGTGTCGGGCCACGACCTCCAGGTAATAGCGTTTGTTCAGACCAGAGGAAGCGTGCCGGTGTATTGGGCCGAAGTCAACAATCTCAAATACACTCCTAAGCTCCAAGTTCGTGGCGTGGAAACGGCTATTGATGCGGCCAGAAAGCATTTCACCGATCAGATTCGACTGTACGGGGAGAATTATTTGGTTAATCTTGTCAACCAAAAAGGAAGAGAAGAGCGTGTCAAATCCGCCTATGAACAACTAGTACGCACATTGGTATCTTCGTCGACAGAGAGCACCGAGGCTGACGTAAAATCCGCCGAAAAGGTCCATGTTTTGGAATCGGACCAGACACAGAAAGAGCTGGATCGTTTACATTACGTGTACTTCGACTTCCACAACGAAACCAAGGGCCTCAAATGGCACCGCGCGGAGCTATTGATGGACCGACTATTAGACGGACTGACGCGCGGTGGTTACTTCCGTGGCGTGGAGGACCCAGTATTCCCGGATGGGCAATTGGAAATCAGATCCTCCCAGAGCAGTGTCGTCCGCACAAATTGCATGGACTGTTTGGATAGAACCAACGTGGTGCAGAGCATGCTGGGACGGTGGGCTTTGACACGGCAGCTGATTGATGCGGGGATCCTTCGCGCCGGAGAAGCCGCAAATGACGATAAAGATTTCGAGGATTTATTCCGCAACATCTGGGCCGACAACGCCGACGTTGTTTCCAAGTCCTATTCTGGAACTGGGGCGCTGAAAACCGATTTCACTCGTACGGGTGAGCGCACGCGCGCGGGTATGCTACAGGATTTGAATAACTCGATCACCCGGTATATTCGGAATAATTTCATGGACGGTCCCCGGCAAGACGGATTCGATGTATTCCTGGGAACTTATCTTCCTCCGAATTCAACTCTTGGGAATTTGCAGGTCTTTATTGATCGACGACCGCTCATCATTCAGTCCATTCCGTACATCCTGGCCGCAGGAGTGTTCTTTATCATGATTTCCATGTTGACTAGACGGTTGCCTGATGCTGCCGTGTGGCCCTTGCGTTTGTTCATTATCGTGTGCCTAGTTGTGTCCGCCTGGTGTGCGCGCTTCGTTCTGGTGCATGGCATGCTTTACGTACGTTTTTCTTTCTTTTTCAATTTTTCTTCTTGTTTCCCCCTGCCCTGTTGTCTGGCCCCCAGCTAACCATATGATATAGGTCAACTGGCCAAAACTAAACACACCTACGGCTGGTTCCGAAGGTTATCAAGATGCTCTTCTCAAGGCCCGAACAGACCCTGTCGTTGGCCAGTTTCTTCCCGCAAGAAGACACCAGAGAGGTTACAGCAATGCTCGTTTGGGCTTCCTGGAAGAAGGCAAAACGAGGATTGAATAAATCTCTCGTAGTATTGCTCAGACTGGAACATTTCATCTTCTTTCTCGAACGGCTGTATTTGAGTCATTGTACGGCTCTGGTGTCTTCTTCTTATTCTATTATCTACTTTTCTCCTTCTGAAACATATAGTCCCTTTTTTTAGTTTTTATTTCTTCTCTTTTTCACTATCTTATATCACATGCCCTTCTTCGTTTCTTTTTGCTTTTTCATATACTCGCCTCGAGCTTTAATGTGATCACATTTCCCACATGTACAGAAATCATATCCAAATTGTCTTGCGTGCTGAGACCACTACTTGGCCTGGCGATTATTTACTACATAGTAAACTCCGTAGAAAGACCAGCGCCGATATCGCTCACGTGATGCCGATAAGCAGGCGGGACGGCAGCGGACGTCGGGGAGAAGTGAGTAACATTCCTACTTCCTCTCTTGCATGGGTTGGTGACACTCGCGGTCCTCTTACGCCTCCCCCGATGAGAGGCTTGCGCATGACTCCTAGATTCTCACCTGGCAGTCAAATCCTTCGGTCCTTTTCGTCTTACCCCGCCATGTCTCGCAATTATGAGGTATGCGCAGACTCCCGCGAGTCCACCTAGGTCTCTAGAACAGGCATCTAATATTATGCATTTCAAAGGCTGCCATCGCGGCTCTAAATTCTTTGCAATCCAACTTTGCGACCGTCAAACTACTGAATGTGCCGGAGACGAGGAAGGCTATGAACCTACAGTCCCTTCCGGAGACAATCGAATGGTTTCGACGCATCGGGTATCAGCCTTCTGATTTAAATCGCCTCAACCCTGTCCATGTTGCCGGAACAAAAGGCAAAGGATCTACTTCAGCCTTTATCGCCTCCATTCTCTCCCAGTACACGGGTTCGCAATCGTCCGGATCAGAGGCATCCCCACAGCTACAGAAAGTCGGCCTATATACCTCCCCGCATTTGCGTTTCGCCCGAGAGCGCATTCAGATCGATAACGAGCCGATTTCCGAAGAAAAGTTCGCCCGATACTTCTTCGAGGTATGGGACCGCCTCGAGGCGGCCGCCCAAGCAGCCGGTGAAGACCCTACGAGCTCGCCAACCAAACCTCAATACTTCCGCTACCTCTCTCTCATGGCCTTCCATGCGTACCTGAGCGAAGGAGTTAATGCTGCAGTTATCGAGTGTGGGATTGGTGGGGAATATGATTGCACCAACATTATCGAGCGCCCGGCTGCGTCTGCAATCACCAGCTTGGGTATCGACCACACGAACATGCTTGGAACCACGATAGAGGAAATCGCTTGGCATAAAGGTGGTATCATCAAACCGGGGACCAAGACTTTTAGCACCCCTCAGCAGGCCAGCGCAGAGAAAGTTCTCTTCGATCGTGCAGCCGAAAAAGGAACGCAACTGGAAATCGTGGCGAACCACCCTGATCTGACTAGCAATGGCAGCATAAAGCTTGGTTTGGCAGGTGACTTCCAATATACGAACGCAGCGCTGGCTGCCGCAACGGCTGCTGAATTTCTCAAGGAAGTTGGAATCGAGGATGTCACCCAGGATTATCTGCAGAAGCCTTTGCCAGCCAAGATTCGCAAGGGTTTGGAATTAGCTCGGCTAGGAGGTCGATGCGAAACCAGGCACGAGAAGAACATTTCTTGGTACGTTGATGGGGGCCATACGCTCGAGAGTATCAAGCTGGCTGGCCAATGGTTTGCCTCCCAGATTCAAGCCAACTCCTCGTCGACTGACGCAGCGAGCAAGAAGCTCCGGGTCTTGATCTTCAACCAACAGACTCGCGACAGCAATGCCCTTGCCCAAGCGCTTTACGACACTCTGGTCGGGCCTCTTGGGTCTGAGCAACCGTTTACGCACGCCATATTCTGCACTAACGTCACCTACAAGGATGCTGGATACCGACCCGATCTTGTCAGCATGAACACCAATGCATCAGATGTGGACAAGCTGCAGGTTCAAAAGAGCCTGGCGGAGAAGTGGAGTGCCATCGATCCCCAGGCAGAGGTCAAAGTTTACGGCACCATCGAAGAAGCTGTGGACTTTACCCGACAGTTGGCAGCACAGGAAAAAGATCGTGTCGGCAGCGACGAGACTCCTGTGATGACCTTTGTCACCGGCAGTTTGCACCTGGTCGGTGGCTTCCTCGACGTGATTGAAACCAAACCCAGCCAGCAGTAATGGGTACATTTTACTTTTACTACATATACAGTTCCTTCTGGAACAACGCCGATGGTGACGCGGGCTGATTTCTTGGAATCCCTCAAGTTACCAGTCAATGGTGTTCTCAACAACATTTTTGAAAGATACCCAACAAGGCTGTGGTTAGTCCTTGTTTGATCCATATGCGGAATGATTTATATACATGGCGAGGCGTTCGTCTTGGGGCTTCAACAAAACCTCTTCCTGAGAAATGCACATTTACATTGAAATTGCCATAGCTGTCATGGTGTATCTACTTTGAATATACGGTTGTGTATACGGCGTGGATCAATCGTCAACTCCGGAATAATGGACCTTCTGCGTAGCCCAGTGTGACTTGTGAGCCGTATGAATGTAGAGCAGTACATCCTGATGGGGAGCGCGGAGTGACGTGGGGCCGATTCTCGAAAACCAAACTTCCTTCCCGCACCAAACGCCATTCTGTCCTGTCCCTCTTCTTCTCCCTCATCCAACACCCACCATGTCGGACTCCAAGGATAACAAGGGCAAAGCGCCCCAAGATGTCAACCCCGAAGGCGACGCGGCCCAGAACAAATCCTCCTCCAAGAGCGACAAGAAATCCAAGGATGCCAACCCCCTCGCGAAGATTACCCCTCAGATGGCGGAGACGCTGCTAGAGAACAATCCCGCTTTGAAGAACGAGATGATTGGTTTGGATAAGGACAAGGCGGCGGAAGCTCTGCGCAAAATGGATATCTCTCAGCTGCTGACGGGTCTTTCGGTCACCGGCAAGAACCAGAAGGACATCGCTTCGTACAAGTTCTGGCAGACGCAGCCGGTGCCGCATTTCGATGACACGGGTAGCGCAACCGGCGGTCCCATCAAGGTCATTGACCCTGAGAAGGTGTCCAAGGAGCCGGACACTTTGATCGAAGGATTCGAATGGGCGACTCTGGACCTCACCAACGAGACCGAACTACAGGAACTGTGGGACCTGCTGACTTACCATTATGTGGAGGATGACAATGCCATGTTCCGATTTAGATACTCGCAAGCATTCTTGCACTGGTAAGAATCCTAGAGGAACCGGTCATCTATTCGCGTACAGCTGCTAATAGACGTGTGTGATCTAGGGCCCTGATGTCCCCCGGCTGGAAAAAGGAATGGCACGTGGGTGTCCGCGCCTCCAAGTCCAAGAAACTGGTCGCCTCGATCTGCGGTGTGCCTACGGAGATTCGCGTGCGCGACCAGAAGATCAAGGTGACGGAGATCAACTTCCTTTGCATCCACAAGAAGCTCCGGTCGAAGCGCTTGACCCCGGTTTTGATCAAAGAGATTACTCGTCGCTGCTACCTGAACGGAATATACCAGGCCATCTATACCGCCGGAGTGGTCTTGCCGACTCCGGTGAGCTCGTGCCGATACTACCACCGCCCTCTGGACTGGCTGAAGCTGTACGAAGTTGGCTTCTCCCCTCTTCCTCACGGCTCGACCAAAGCCCGCCAGATCACCAAGAACCATCTCCCCAGCACCACGTCCACCCAGGGCCTTCGCCCAATGGAGATGAAGGACGTTGATGCCGTTTACGATTTGCTTGAGCGCTATCTGAAGCGCTTTGATATGAACCAGGCCTATACCAAGGAGGAAATTGAGCACTGGTTGGTGCACCGGGAAAATGCGGAGAAGGAGCAGGTTGTCTGGTCTTATGTGGTCGAGGACCCTGAAACTCAAAAGATTACCGACTTCTTCTCCTTTTACAACCTCGAATCTACGGTTATCCAGCACCCCAAGCACAAGAACGTGCGCGCCGCCTACCTCTACTACTATGCTACGGAGACCGCGTTTACCGGAGATATGAAGGCTTTGAAGGAGCGTCTTCTGCAATTGATGAACGATGCCCTTATATTGGCCAAGAAGGTATGTATTATTCCTCTTTTACCGTACTCACGCAGCAGCACTGGTATTGCAGAGGCTAATTTCGGTTGTTTAGGCGCACTTCGATGTCTTCAATGCCCTCACCTTGCAGGACAACCCTCTGTTCCTGGAACAGCTCAAGTTCGGCGCCGGTGACGGACAATTGCACTTCTACCTATACAACTACAGGACTGCGCCAGTCCCCGGAGGTGTCAACGAGAAAAATCTGCCCGACGAGAAGAACATGGGCGGCGTTGGTGTTGTTATGCTGTAGTTTCCCTCCTCAGCACTGTATCTAGCGATGTCAACCTCGACTGTATGTACTCCGCATCAGAGGTGGCTAAGAAGTTATGAAATAAACATTTATCCCCATTAATTGATACCCGATCGAAGGTAGAATATTTACAACGTGGTCAAAGTAGAGGCATTACGTACTATTAATAATAGGAAATGGGGTGCCTGAGCGAAGATCCCAAAATAGCCGGGTCTGCCCCAGGCGCCAAGACTGTCATGTTTCCGCATCCGTGACGTCTTCGTCTCCCTCGCTTCCCAACTGTCTCTTGTCAACATCTCTCTCCCCTTGCGGGTTGCCTGACTCAACTGGATGTATTCATTGCTTGTATGGCCCGCCCCTCACGCTGTGGCTAGTATCGTCATCATTCCTCGCATCATCTTCCTCCTATAGATTCAGATAAAGATCCCAATGACAACCGGCCCACTCTGTTTATGGGGCCATTCATCGTGACATATATACATCAAACCAACCGCTCTATCTAGACCTTTTGACTCATTTCGGACGCTCATCACGCCCGCTTAATTATCGCCCTTCCAGTATTAACAATGGGCGTAGGTTCATCGTCTGAAAATCACGGCCAGACATCCTCGCCAGGTCAGTACTTTGTCCCTTCAGTCATCAATATACTTTCAAAGAAAAACATCATCCGACTAGTCAATTTATACTAATAACCGGACAGAGGAGCTGAGCTTCATACTTGCTGAGCGTTTCGCTACGAAATGCTTCACCCCTTTGGAACTAACCCATTTCAAAGACAACTTCTTTAGCCGTGCTATAGACCAGGGTGGCATGAAGTACTGGAATGAGAAGATTCTTTCAGATTTCCTGGGTATTCCAGACAGCAGTGATGCCGACTGTCCGTTGGATGCGGGTCCTGCGATCTTCCGTATGGTCTCGTACCTGGGAGCGTTTCCCTTCCAGAACACGCTGGCCCCTAGCGTTCTGACATTCGAGGCCATGGTCAAAGTGGTTGTGCTACTGACAGAGCGATACGGCAAGGTCCTGCGTCGGGCACGCAAGGACAGGATTAGATTGTTATTTGGCAGTCTTGCCGATGTTGGGCGAAGAGATCTTGACAAACCGACGGCCGAGGAAAACACGGATGACAATAAGAATGACGATCCCCCCGTTAAAACCTATGCGTCGGGTTTCGATATCGATGCACCGGCCAATGACAGTTACGAAGAGGAAGATGACGATGATCTTGCGCTCGCAGCTTTGGAATCCTTGGACGCCATTGAGGTCTTCAGACATGACTCCCGCATTGACAAGGCTGTCTACGAAGCTCGCATTTCTGTTGCGACATTCCGACGGCTCCTGATGATGCTCCTTGTGATATCGCCCCTGAAGGCCCTTCAACCTGTTCGAACGTATACGTCTGATCTGTCAGAAAGTCGAATGGAGAGCGTTCGGAAAGAAGCAGATAACATCTTATCGGCTTTCGCCCAGGAAGAAACGGGGGGTATTGGCTACAAGACCTTTGTCAACACCATCACTCACTGCTTCCCCTACCTATTTGATCCGTTGACGCCATTGTTCGAGCACCTGCTGTTCAGCAAAAACCTGAACTTGTCCCAAAAGCGCTCTTCAGGCGACCCTCCTGCGACCGAACCACTCGAGGAGATATCAGAGTCACCGCCACCACCCCCAGAATCTGTCATGCTCCCTGGTAGCTTCAAATCCGTGATCATAAACCCCAGCATCGTATCCCATCTCTCTTTCTTTCTCTCTTCTACCGTATCCAACAAGAATTTCTTCCACGGAAACATGCGCCTACACCCCGTCTTTTCAACGGCAGAACACGGCTCCTCGCTCACGTCCTTCTCACACAACGTGCTTACATGGCAATCAGGCACGCTTCTGCTTCTCGAAGGTGCCGTGATCGGATCGACCGAGCAGAATAACACAGTGTTACTAGGCGCCTATCTCCCTCAGCCCTGGAAATCCCCTTCTTCGTGCCCGTCCAAGTCCTCCGACTCAACATCCCTCCCTTGCCTCTTCCAGCTCTCCCAAAAACACCTCATCCTCCAGGGGAACCCATCCCCCTCGGTCCAGCAGCCCAAAATACCCACAGCCTACTTCTCATCCGCCGCCGGCATCGCCATAGGCTGTCAAATCCCTCCCTCTTCGCGAACCCAACCGCTCCCCCCTTCTCCCCACGGCGCAGGCAGCCTAACCATCGACACCAGTCTCGAGACTGCCACCTTCTACGTGTCCCCGGTTGGACACAACGGCGTCTTCCTACCCCCTGCTACCCTGTCCCCCACAGATACTAGCACAACAACCAAAACAAACATCGACATCTACAACCTCGAGATCTGGGGCCTGGTCCCTGACCCGACGACCGCATCATCCGAACAAGGCCAGAGTGCCATGGAACTACAGCAAGCGAAATGGGAGTTCGAAGCCCGCGAGGCAGAACGAAGACGGAACTTAAATCTCAAAGCCGGGGCGGGCGATAGCGCCGCTGAGAGCGCGCGATGGCTGCTGGAAACGGCGGGACTGATCGGTGACGGGGCTGGTCGACAGGGGGGAAGTGTCTAAGGGATCTTGAATTGAATGAAGCAAATTTTGTTGGGGGTTGAGAATTGATGGACTGGCTGGTTCGGTGGTTGACGCTCCCTTCCTTGCTTTGGTTTTTGTTTTGTGGCGTTATTGGGTTTTGGCTTTCTTGATTGTTAGTAGGTACTTTGGGACACAGTGGAATGTACTTTTCTTTGGGATATTTGGATATGAGTATACACTCTACAGTACAGACTAGTACACGAGGAAGTGAGAAAGCACTGTAGGCTTCTCTAATTGACCTATCTCATCTCTTTCCGATTCAAATTCTTAAGACAGGTAAGTAGTGATTATTGTAGTGATAGCCGTAGCCCAACAACGGAATAATAAAACGCTAATCAAACTCAGCAGTAGAAGCTTCAAGTAAGCATATTTATATATCAATATATATCCGAACAGCAGCATTACATGGGAGCCATGGGCAAGAGACCCGTCGGCGCGCCATAAAAGTCCTTCAGTTCCTCTTCCTCCTCTTCATCGAGCTTCTCGACAAACTCATTGTTCTCGACATCCGACTCATCAACGGCAGCCTTGCCGCGGGATGGTTTTCGTCCAGTGGAAACAGGAACCGGAGTACCAGCTTTCTTGGTCTCCTCTGCTTCAGGCTCCTCGGGGATCTCTTCACGGGGAAGACGGTAGGCGAGGAAACCGTCAGGAGCGCGCTCAGCGCGATCCATCACCTCGTTCATGTACTTGCGAACTTCATCGGCCGGCTTCACAACGCGGTTCAGGGGCTCGAGGACTTTGGGGTTGGTGCTGTGGATGCGGAAGGTGACTGGTTGGTAGTACTCTTTCAGGTTAGAGGTATCCTTTGCTTCCTCGGACTTTTCCTTGCTTGGTTGTTTGTCAGTGTCGGCTTTGCTAGGGGTGGCGTTCGCCTGGTCCTTTTGTTGGTTCTGTTCACCGGCCGGGTTGTCTCCTTCAGCGGCGGGCTGCTTGGACTCCGTCGAAGACGGATCTTGCGGAGTGCTGGCAGATTGGGCGTTGCTTTTGTCCTTCTCGTCGGGTGCCTTGCTTTCTTCCTTCTTCTCCTTCTCTTTCTCCTTTTCCTCTTTTTCCTTGTCCCTTGCTTTCCTCTTGTCAGACTTCTTAGATCGGGATCCCGATTTGCCTTTGGCCCGTGTGCTTCCTGCGTCCGGTGCAGTTTCAATGGGGAATGGTAAATTCGGGTCAACCTTCTTTATAAGCAGGAATGATGCCAATACCGTGTTTCCGCCCGGAAGCCATTCGAGAATGGTATATTCAGGAAACAAATATCGATCACCGGATCCCGCATGTCCGGAGGTACTGCTTCCATACGGCGTGAGTGGTGAAGTGAACTCGAAGACAACCGACTTAAAATTCATCCGTGGAGGCGGCGGCGGAGGCGCAGGGCGATAATAAGGAGTTGGAGAACCGTACTGTGGGGGTCGGGATTGGATTGCGGGTGGATGGCCCTGGTGAGGCTGTGGTTGCTGAGGCTGGTGAGACGGATGTTGCGGTCCTGATCGCGGACCGGTTCCTGGAGTTTGTTGAGGTGGTGGCATGGGGCGAACCGCCGGGCTAGGCTCTACATTAGGAGGTTGCCCTGTCGTCCCGGGTTCTTGCTTCACTTGCGGAGTGGAACCAGGTTTTTGGGTGTTCGGCGTTTGAGGAGGAGCTTTGCTTGGTGTGGCCCTAGTTGAAGAAGGCGAAGGAATTTGCACTTCGACTCGTGGATATGACTGATCTGGCGCTTGTGATGGTGTTGGTTGCGACTTCGGCGTACTCTGCTTTTGTTGAAGTGGAGGATTTTGCGGTGGTTGCGGGCCTGCCTGCTGTCCACTCTGCTGCGCTGACTGCGGAGGTCTTTGTGATGGCTGGGGCTGTGACGTCTGTTGTTGTGGTGTCGGTTGCGGCGTTCGAGGCGATGCCTGAGACTGAGCAGCGGTGGGTGTATTAGACTGTTGTAGTTGCTGTTGCTGCCTTTGCTGCTGTTGCTCCCTTGCTCGGATGATGGCATTCAACTCATCGATGTGAGCCTGGAAAGCGCGAAGTTGCTCTTGCGACGCTTTGCTCGACGCGACTACCCTCATCAAAGCTTTGAGATCAGGGTCTGACGCAGCGCGGGTGGCAAGCATCTGAATAACCGGGTCCGGACTAGGCTTCGCAGGTTGCGGCGGTTGCGGTTGTTGGGACGGGGATGGTCTCTGTGCCGATTGAGGGCCAGGCGCAGGCGGCGGCGCCGCCGGCCGGGGAGTAGTAGGGTGGTTTGGAGTTCGATTCGGGGGCGGAGGGGGCGGATGGCTGTTTGGTTGGTGACCAGGCTGAGGGGAGGATGCATGCGTGGGAGGAGTTTGAGGAGGATGCTGTCGTCCGTGCTGGGGCGGCGCGGGAGAGGGATAGGGATGGTACTGCTGGAAGTTATTCGGGTGACCATAATGCACCATGGGCCGTTGGGGCGGCGTGTATTGAATCGGCGGAGGCGCATTGGGGTCTTTGACGGTGTAGAGCATGGCATCGAACAGATGAGGGCCAACCACAATGCTGCAGGGTCCAACTTTCGACATGGACTCCTTGGGCGGATTCTTGCCTTCGATTTGCTCCCTCTTCGTCTTCTTAGGTTTAGTCCAGTATCGCACCAAGATTCCATCACTGAGCCACTTCTTCTTAGATCGTTCTAACGAGACGAGAAGAACCGCACTGCACATGTTATTAAAACACTGTTAGTTCCCACGTCCCAGTGTCATCCGTCTGTCCTTGTAGGCAACTCTTACCTTTCTGCGATCGACTGGTATTCCTTATCGGACAGGGTCTCCGACTGCGGTGACGATAGGGTGGGGAGACCTTCCCCATCTTTGATTTTCGTTGGTAAAGGTTTTTCAACTACTTCGGGTTCGGGTTCGGGTTCTGGAGCTGGGGCTGGGGTGGGCGAGGGAGCTGCTGTAGGGATCGAGGCCTTTTTCTTCGAGGACTGGGATGCAGGCGCGGCTTCGGAGGCCCGTCTCTTCGCCGCAGGTTCGCGACGTTCGCGTGCTGATGAACGGCGTTTCTCGGCCATGGTGAGAAACGATTAAGAGCGAGTTATGAACGGAGAACGGTTAATCATGGCGTTCGGGAATGAGCGCGCGAGAGAGCGAGGATGCGAAGAAGGGGATGCGAGGAAAAAAGGATGGAGAAGAGAAGGACAGAAAAGAAAAGAGAAGAGAAGAGAGAGACGCGGGAAAATTAAAAACGGTTAGGCCCTTCCGCCTGACATCACAGGACTTTTTCCTTATCTTCGTCCTTTTCTCCCTTTCATCTTCCCTTCCCTTGGGGATTTTTTTTTTTTTTTTTTTTTTTTAAAAAAAAATTCTATTTCCTATCCCCTTCGTATCGATATCATGGTCCAACTTCTCCCTATCTTCCGAAAGGCCTATTGGACGCTGGCCGGGGCCGGTCTGGTTTACGTCGGCTTCATCTGCTCCATGACATTCCCCGATGTACAACGCTTGTATGGACCCATGAATGCACGTAGTCAATGATGCACTCTGTTCGCTGATTCCATAACTTCGGGGATGTATTTAGCGTCCTCTACGCAAATAAGATCAACCCAACTTTATGGGAGGATGTCAATGTGGTCGAGTCCTTCGGTTTCTTAAGTATGTCAACCAAGACCCACTCTGATAACACCCGTTAATGGCAATCCATAGAAACGCAAGTCCAACCCTTCAATCTGGGCACTCCGGACAATGAGACCCTCTATGGTTGGCATTTAATCCCTCCTCATTTGTGTCTGGATCACGAGGAGGAATTGGAGGCGAATGAGCCCTCCGGTCCTGCCGAGGATTACACGAAAACGACCGCATACAAACTCCTTGCGAACGACCCAAATGCAAGAGTTGTTGTTAGCTGTAAGTAGATGGGAAAGGGCATATGCAATATTGATTGCTGAACTTGCAAGACTAACTATTCTACCTGTCAGTCCATGGTAATGCCGCTCATCTCGCGTCTGCCCAACGACCCGAGATCTACCGTATGCTTCTGGGCTTATCGACGCCTTCTCATCCCGTCCATGTGTTCGCTCTTGACTACCGTGGATTCGGCGTGTCGACCGGCTCCCCAACCGAAGAAGGATTAATCACCGATGGCGTTTCCCTGCTCAACTTCCTCACCGCTGGGCCCTTGAAGATCTCTCCCTCCCGGATAGTCATTATGGGCCAGAGTCTCGGAACCGCCGTGAGCGCCGCCGTCGCAGAGCGCTTTGCCTTTGGATCCCCCGACCCAACCGCCATTCAACCTGCCCTGAAGAACCCCGAGCCTTTCGCCGGTGTGATCCTCATGGCGTCTTTCAGCAACCTGCCTAGTCTGGTTGAATCGTACAGCTTCAAGGGCTTCACGCCGCCGATGCTCTCGCCGCTCATGGGCTACCCTCGTGTCCAGAACTGGGTCCGACGCCATATTCTCGACCGCTGGGACACGGCTGCCCGTGTTGCACGCCTGACCGGTGTTGGCCCGACGGCACAAAACGACTCTTCCACTGGATACGCCAGCAAGGGACTGGATCTGGCTATCGTGCATGCCCGAAACGATGTGGAGATTCCCTGGTACGAAGGTCGTCGTGTCTGGGCCGCCGCAACGGGCCAGGATACCAAGGATGCCCCCGGAAGTATTGTCTTGCAGCAGAAGGCTGCTGAGGGTCCAGGCGAGGTGCTTGTTTGGGAGAACAGATCTCCGAAGGGCTCTGGTGCGGTCAAGAAGGTCCGCTGGGAGCGCGTCACCTACGGCGGTATGTGAATTAGTCTGCAGGATCTTATTCGACACGCTGACATGATATAGGCCATAACCGTGTCGCCACTTTCTCTGCAGCCGCACTATCTGTGCTCAGAGCATTTGAAGAGTAGATCACAAAAGTATGCCGCGCTTAGTATGTGAGACTATTCTATCACATCCGGAATATACTTCCTATACCTCCCGAGAATTCGTGAAAAGGGTTTAAAACATATATAAGAATTCCAAAACAAGACCAATCCATATTCTGTATCTAGAGGTGACGAGAGGAGATGCTAATTAACACGCGACCAAATATGTACATATATTCTGCAACCTATTCCCAGATATCAAACTGCTTTTGTTCCGCTCCAAATCATACACCAGCGCGATTAAATGAAAGCCCGCAGTAGCAAATGTCATCATAAAGCTTCACAGGGTCTTTCTATATCTGTTAAATAATACAGGACTCTTCAAGCCGAAAAAGAAAATAGTAAAGCAGAGTCTCCTGGTCGTGGAGTCTATTCAAGAAGCATGAACTTGAGGCTGGCCCGATCGGAGCCGAGGGCCATCCTCGGTGAGTTGAGGTAGCTGCCATGATGGACAACACCGAGGGTCTGATTGCTGAACCCAATCCAAGGCCATGTCGGCCGAGTTGTTTATTTCTTGTGGCGGTCGGCCTGGGCCTTCAGGTACTTCTGGATGAGTTCCTTCCTGCAAGTAGAAAATTTGGTTAGTTATTTCAAGAACTTGGAGCACGGGGAGACAAGAATTAGACATACTGGAGCTGAGGCTGAGCCTTCTCGTAGTGGCTGAACTCCATGGAGTATTCACCCTTACCCTGGGTGGAAGCACGGAGGTGACTACTGAAACCGAACATGCCGTTCAAGCTGCAGTCGGCGAACACGGTGAACTCGTCGACACCAACTTCAGAGTCATTGATGGTGGCATTACGCTTGTTCAGGAGCGAGATCACGTCACCCTGGAACTCGGCGGGCGCGGTAACAACGGTCTTCATCATGGGTTCAAGGACCGAGGGGGCACTCTCCATGAACGCCTTACGGAAAGCTTGCTGGGTAGCGTTCTTGAAGGACATTTCGGACGAATCCGTCATGTGGGTAGCACCATCGTTGATGACCATGCGAGTTCCAAGCACCTTGTGACCGATGAGGGGACCCTTGTCGCAAGACAGGTGGAAACCTTTCTCGCAGGCGAACAAGAACTTCTCGGAGATACTTCCACCAACAACCTGTTCTTCGAAGCTGTTTTCCTCGAGTTTCTCCGAGGGCTCCATCCATCCGACCACACGGGCATAGTCACCAGGACCTCCCGACTGCTTCTTGAGCAGGTGGTCGAACTCGACACGGTTGCCGATGGTCTCCCGGTAAGCCACCTGAGGAGGACCGGTTTCACAGTCGACGCCGTACTCACGACGCATACGCTCGATGTAGATGGAAAGATGCAGCTCACCCATTCCAGAGATGAGGGTCTGTTCACTCTCGGAGTCATAAGTCACACGGAAGGTGGGATCCTCTCGCTGGAAACGAGCCATGGCCTTGGAGAACTTGGCACCGTCCTTGTTGTTCTTGGGCTTGATAGAGAGCGAAATGACGGGCTCGGGAACGAACATGGACGACATGGTGTAACCCAGCTGGCCGTCAGTGAAGGTGTCACCAGAGGCGCATTCGACACCGAAGACAGCACAGATTTCACCAGCGCCGATCTCGGAGACGTCTTCCATCTCGTTGGAGTGCATACGAACAATACGAGGAATTTTGACCTTCTTGTCGTTCCGTGCGTTGAACACGTTGGAACCCTTGCGCAAGGTTCCCTGGTAGACACGGATGTAGGTCAGCTGACCAAAGTTGCTCTCTTCGAGCTTGAAAGCAAGTCCCACCAAGGGAAGAGAGTTGTAGGGGACGAGCTTGACGGAAGCCTCGTCACGCTTCTTATCAAGGGCCAGGTTTTGCACCTCGGACGGGTTCGGCAGGTAGTCAACAACACCATCCAGCATGGGCTGCACCGACTTGTTGGCCAAAGCAGAGCCCATGAAAACGGGAGTGAACTTCAGACCGATGGTGGCACGGCGGATAGCAGCCTTCATCTGGTCCGGAGTAGGCTCAAGCTCACTGAGGAAGAGCTCGGCGATCTCATCGTCAACATCCGCAAGGGTTTCGATAAGCATCTTCCTTCTCTCTTCCACGATACCCTTGACCTTCTCGGGGATCTCAGCCTTCTCAGCGATCTCCTCGCCGCTAGGACCAACGTTCACCAACGTCCTCATGTTGATCAAGTCGACAACACCTTCGAATTCGTCCTCGGCACCAATGGGCACCTGGACCGCGGCAGCGGGGATCTTGAGCTTGGCGTTGATCTGATCGATGGCCTTGAAGGGGTTGGCACCCATGCGGTCCATTTTGTTGATGAAGGAAATGCGAGGAACGTTGTAACGTCTCATCTGTCGGTCGACAGTGATCGTCTGGGACTGAACACCAGAAACAGCACACAGGATCATGACCGCACCGTCCAGGACACGGAGGGCTCTTTCCACCTCAATGGTGAAATCAATGTGACCGGGCGTATCGATCAAGTTGAAGTGGTATTTCTGTTCCTTGCCTTCGGCATCCTTTTTGACCCAGTCACAGAATGTAGCCGCCGACTGGATAGTAATACCCTTTTCACGCTCCAGATCCATGGAGTCCATTTTGGCGCCAACCTTGTCACCACCACGAACTTCATGGATGGCCTTGATACGACCCGTGTAGAAGAGGACTCGTTCCGTACAGGTGGTCTTTCCACTATCGATGTGCGCCTGTTATGCCAGCAACAAATCAGACAACTGCCAATTTCATTCGAAATGTCGAAGATTTGCTTACCGCAATACCGATGTTTCTCACTCGAGATAGACGTTCCGCCTCGACGGGGTCAAGGTTGTCGATAATGGCCTCCTGGGACAAGGCGTCGGGGGTGGCGGCAGCAGCCTCCAGACTGGTTTACCACGAAGTAGATTAGGAATCTGAATTGACAATGGATTTATTTCCTGGCAGAGTAGATAGATGACATGGAACAGAGACAACTCACACGGCAGCGGCAGTCGAGGAGGCATTCCTTCTCTGCTCCAGCGTTCTGTTCAGGACGGACTGATAAGCGGGAGCAGAACGGAGGGCGGCCGTCGACGCGCATCGCAGGCGTTGCGACAGGAAGTTCTGAGACTGAAGACGGACCGGAGATCTGACCAAGCCAGAGACCGCACGGTACTGCAACCGTGCAAGAGAAGGACACCGCATGACTGTCGTCCACCCACAGGGAATTGATCGAGACACTCGAGAGCAGATGGAGAAGTGCCAAACAAACCTCCGAGAAAAAAAGTTCGGGGAATGGCCAGGCACGCGTCACGTGAGGATAGCCGATTGACCATTCGGTTGCTGCGAAATGTTAAGCCCGTCGGGGTGGTCCCTGCATCTCAGGGCGGAGGATTCGATGGGGGTCAATGGTCCGAATATGGTTCTTCCTCACTCGAAAATGTAGGAATATCACCGTGAACAAGTCTATCTTCGTCGTAAAGATGTCTGGTGCTCCCCAAGTCCTCCGCGGCGGTTCTCGGACGTACCATACCGAAATATTTCAGGACAATACGGCGAGTGCAGCACCTCACCGCCTTTGATTTGGGGCATTTCCATCTACCTACTGTTCAGTGTTCATACTCCATACTGCTGTTCATCAGTTGAATAGAAGCCACGATGAGACCCTCCATCCGACTCCTCGCGACGGTGTCTCGCACTCAGCCATCCAAGCTGAAGAAGCCCGCAATTGGCCTAGACCACGTATGTCAATCCAGTTCCTGTCTGCCTTTCGACCTACTGACTCATAATCTAGTTCATTCAGAGACAACGAGTGCTGGGGTTTTGGCGCGAAATTGTCCGGGCATTGAATAGTTCGTCGACTCAACACCTTGAAGCCCGTGAACCTGCTGACTCTATGAAGAAATTCCCCAGTCGTCCACGCGCGACGAACTGCATAGTTATGCCCGCGATGAGTTTGAGCGGCATCGCAACGTTACAGATCTAGTAAGTCATGATCTATGACAAATTCCAAGCACAGGGCTAACAAGGACTTATCAGCAACACATACGATATCTACTTTCGGTGGGTTCTACCCTTTTTTCTCCTTTCTGCTTATGCGGTAGCTCTAATTCAACACAGACCGGAAAGTCCGAGTTCGAGACCATGAAACGTTACGTTGACGAGCAAGTTCTTGGTTAATGCCCGTAAATATAGCAAGCTTACTGGATGGTGGGGAAGTCTTTGAAGTATGACAGGAAGCGGTTGGAGACGAGATGTTCGCATGCAGAATAACACCTAAATGTAAATATATACACTATGATACCCAAACTCAATCAGGATTGTTGCGGGTTCCTGGAACCCTTTTTTAAAAATTTCGCCTTGTCTGAAATCCCCCGACCTTTACCGCTGCCTCGACACGAGCTCTTGGACAGCCGCCAACACCCCAAGAGACTTCTGCTCAGTTGGCTCGATGACGGAGCGAGCGGCATCCTGCTCGGGCGCCGGTTTAGCATTCGCAGCAGAGACCTTGCCAGCCTCCTTGGCCGCCGACTCCATGGCAGCATGACGCTCCCGCCAGTCCCGGTCCTCCTTGTCACGAATCTCCAGCTCGCGCAGCCATGCGTCCCGCTTCTCTTGACTCTTGCGCGCCTCCACCGCCTGCTCGAACTCCTTGCGCTGCTGTCGCTCCGTCTTATAGAACATGCCTCCGGCAACCACGGCCACAAGCGTGAAGAACTGGGCGTAGATACGAGCACGGAACATCTTATTCATCTCCACCGAGTCGCCGGCCTTCATCGATCGATAGGCGCGGTAGAGCGCGTAAGAGGTGGCGGCGCATCCTACCGACAAATTGACAATTAGCACTAGGGCTATGGAGCTACACAAGCTCTTGTAAAGCCGATCGGATTACCTAGTGGGATCAGGGGCTCTTCCTTGAAACGTCTGCGGAACTTCTGGAGACCGGTTTCCTCCTGGAAGTGACTATGGCAGATGATCAGTATCCCCGCTTCCAGTGTACTCGGAAACAAGGAATATAGGGCCCGGATACGTACGGATTATCCTCCAGGGAGGACGGAAGAGGCTCGCTAGACATTATAGCTGATAACAATGGACAATGATGCTATATCGCCTGTCGAGCGTCGTCGGAATGATTGTCCGGAGAGAGGATTCGGACGGAGGTGGTATGATCTGGAGAGTCGGGGTCGACCGGTTGTCTGGTGGGTCTTTTCGTCTGGTTAGCAAGAGCAATTCAATAATATCGTACCCTGTCGCAAAAGGAACCCACATCTTCTGTGCCTTCTCCTTCGATCTGTGACAATGGAAGGAGGGTCAGTCAGGGACATGACGTCGCGAGGAGCAGAAGATTCGGACGAGGGTGGTAATTTACGGTATGTTCTGGTAATACTACTTTTGTATACACATAGATAGTTGCCTGAATGCCTTATCACTATCAAGCATGAAGCAATCCCCGATTTGAGTGCTCTGACCAAGATTGAGATGCATATGCGGCCCCAGATTCTCTATCATCCTGTTTATCAAGTCTATTATGAAATTTGAAATGTAATTGAAACGAATTCTCGGTCACTTTTAGAACCTAACACTGGATAAAGTTCCGGACAGGATGAATGTACTGCCTAAAAGGGTCCTCCGCGTCACCAGGACGAGGCGCATGCGATCATAAATGGACATTCACTTAGGTATAAATATCACCCAGGCCTATCCCAGTCAACTCTCTCCAGCGTAGGAAACAACCAGGGCGCAGTTAGGGCTGGCTGGCAGGGTTGATGACATAAACAGTTCCGCTCCGATCACGGAATTTTTGCCTCCCCGCGGAAGAGTCATTTGCGGTTTGCCTTCGGAGGTGCTCCTTCTCATCCCAATTCCCCTCCAATTTTCTCTCGTCCTTCGACCTACGCCATAATGTCTGAAGATTCCTCCACAAATGGCATGGCGACCCCAGTCTCCGCGCAGATGAACAGTTTGGCCCTCCACCAGAATGAATGTTCCCCCCAGTCCGAGCGCGGCGAGCGCAAACTGTTTGGGCTCGACTGGGGAATCCCCGATGCTTTCCTCCTCCCCAATGGGTTTCCGGACGTAAGTTCGAGTTTATTCGCAGTCTCGACTGTTTCGAAGGAACCTACAATCGCTAACCCGGTGATAATGGACAATAGTACCTGCGCTTGATCTTGACCTCCCGGGTCTACGACATCCTCGACGAGACTCCTCTCCACCACGCCGTCAACCTCAGTAATCGATTGGAATGTCGGGTTCTTTTGAAGCGGGAGGATTTACTCCCGGTCTTCAGTTTCAAACTTCGTGGTGCCTACAACAAGATGGCTCATCTGACTCATGAGCAGCGGTGGAAGGGTGTGGTGGCGTGCTCCGCCGGTGAGTCCAGCAAATGGCCATTGACCATAACCAGCTGACGTCTGAGACAGGCAACCACGCGCAGGGTGTTGCATACTCCGCTCGCAAATTGAAAATCCCCGCCACCATCGTCATGCCCTCGGGCACCCCGGCTATCAAACATTTGAACGTTGCTCGCCTCGGTGGCAGTGTGGTTCTCCACGGGCAAGATTTCGACGCGGCAAAGGAAGAGGCACACCGGTTAGAGAAGCAGCATGGGCTCACCAGTATCCCTCCTTTCGACGACCCTTACGTGATCGCTGGTCAAGGAACCATCGGCATGGAAATCCTGCGCCAGGCGAACCTGCAAAACCTCGAGGCCGTATTCTGTGCTGTTGGGGGTGGAGGTTTGATTGCTGGCATCGGAGTCTATCTCAAGCGGATTGCGCCCCATGTTAAGATTGTTGGCGTGGAGGCACATGACGCGAATGCGATGGCCCAGTCCCTGGGCTCGGGCGCGCGAGTGCAGCTGAAGGAAGTCGGACTCTTCGCCGACGGTGCCGCGGTGAAGAATGTGGGCGAGGAGAACTACCGGTTGGCCCGTGAGGTCATCGATGAGATCGTCCAGGTCAGCACGGACGAAACGTGCGCTGCGATCAAGGATTCGTTCGAGGACACTCGTTCCATCATCGAGCCCGCGGGCGCCTTGGCTCTTGCCGGTCTGAAGAAATATGTTTCCTTACACCCTAGCCCGGACACCAACCGCGAGCTGGTCGCTATCACCTCTGGTGCTAACATGGACTTTGACCGTCTGCGCTTTGTCGCTGAGCGTGCCGCCCTCGGAGAGCGCAAGGAGGCGCTACTGAGTGTCAACATTCCCGAGAAGCCCGGTGCTTTCGCCAAGCTGGTTGAAGTGGTTCTCCCCCATGCTGTGACGGCGTTCAGCTACCGCTACGCTCGCGACGACTCAGCCGACGTCCTTATGGGTGTTTCTCTGTCCGCGTTGACGGGACGGGAGGATCTGGCCATCCTGATGCGGGAGTTAGAAAAGGGAGGCATGAGCACGAAGGACCTCAGCGACGACGAGCTTGCCAAGCGCCATGTTCGCTTTTTGGTCGGTGGACGCTGCGACGTGCAAGACGAACGTTTGTTCATGTTCGAATTCCCTGAGCGCCCGGGCGCGCTCGCCAAGTTCTTGACCACGCTACGTCCCAACCAGAATATCTCTCTATTCCACTACCGTAACTACGGTGGCGATGTCGGCAAGGTACTTGCTGGTATCCAGTGTCCTGGTGCCGAGAAGGAGGATCTCGAGGCGTTCTTGAACGACCTGGGCTATCCGTTCAGCGAGCAGACCGATTCCCCCACTTACCGCACTTTCCTTCGCTCGTGAAAAGCTATACACTCTTCATTCTCGATGTAAAGTTTGATTCGTATTTTTTTTTTAGCTTGTTTATCTTCGTGTGTTGGCAAAAGATTCTGCTGGGCGGCTGTGGATGGTTTCGAGTTAAGCTTGTTAGGCGTTTGGACTGGAGAATTAAAACTATAGACTCTATTGCATCTGTTGTTACGTTATGTATTCATGATTTCTCAGTCGTGTCTACTCTTTTGGCCGTCTTTGCGCATTGCAGCAATAATTACCCACTATGAACTAGGAAGGTCCTCAATAATCAGGCCACAAGGCCAACAACACGTGACTGTAATGTCGGCACCCCGGCACAACCAAAAGTCCGAAGCTCCAATCCTGGCCCGCGGAAATCAAAAGATCGAAGCAACAGAGCGAGCGAGCGCGCGAGAGAGAAGAGAGTCCAGACAGCGAGACGCAGAGAGGCCGATAGCCACCCTTTTACGACCCCATCGACTGCCATCTGTCAATTCCACAGTCCCCTCACCCGCGGAAACTTTCTCTCCAATCGCCCGAAAACCCCGGCCATACCACCAAACATGTCTCTACGCTCCATCCTCAGTTCCTCGACCGGCGCTCTCCGACACTTCCTCCCCTCGCTGTCCCGCCAGTCCTGGGCCCACGGAATTCTCTCCTCTCGGCCGTTTTCGCACCTCGCCAAACTCTCGATCGGTAATGGCTTGCGGGCCTTGCGGGATGGTGGAGCGCAGCAGAGCTCGAATCTCGGCGTGGTAGCGTCGACGGTGCGACAGATCGAACAGGTTCGAGGGATGAAGACCCGGTCGTCGGTGAAGAGGTTGTGTGATGGGTGTAAGGTATGTTGTTTTTCCTTCCATATCTCCTTTGTGCGGAGTTTGAATATTCGGGATCCTACAAAGTCCTAAGGAAGGATGTTGGAAGATGGATGCATTGGATGGCTAGCTAACCTGGTCTGTTTTGTATAGCCCGTTCGCAGAAAGAACAGAGTCTACATCATCTGGTGAGTGGTGTTCTGAGAACCCCCCATCTAGTCTAGGACAGGCTAATTGCGATTATCACTGCAGCTCGAAAAACCCCAAGCATAAGCAACGTCAAGGAAAATAAACGGCGCGGTGTCGGAGACCAGAATGAACGGAGAGAAAATGAAAAACAAGAGGGAAATAGAGGAGGTCAACGGGCTACCGACGATCTTTCGACTATGAACTCGCCGAAGAGCTATGGATGATGGAAATGACTCTCTGCTAGAGTCGTCAACTCACACACTTACTCTGTGCATAACTGTACTGGATATACCGGGTATTCTCTTCTCTTCTCGCCACTGACATTGGCATCGGCATTGACATTGGGAACTTGTGCATTTGCGATATTTTGACTGGGATATGAGGCGCTTATGTTCAATTGTATGTATGTATATTATTGTTAACTACTTGGTCTATGCATTTTTCTTTCTTTCCATGTGATCTTAGAATGTATGAGTGGAAGTGGATAGATAGTCAAGATAAATATCGTAGATTGCTTCATTAGATGTGGTTTCTATATTCAAAATATCGTTTTGCGGTATCCAATTACATTTCAAATTCCCTTCTTACGACTGCAGAGGCTCGCCCATTCCTCCGAACGTGACGCTCTTGATCGTAAGGAACTCGTCGATTCCGTACTTGCTGCCCTCGCGGCCGAATCCACTCTGCTTGACACCACCGAACCTGGGACGGTTAGTATCCGTTTGGAGGGTGAAAATCTGAAGGAGAGGAAGGAAAACTTACGGAGAGGCAACATCACTGATGAGACCAGTGTTCACACCAACCATTCCTACTTCCAGGGCCTCGGCGACCCGGAAGATACGTCGAACGTTACCGCTGAAGAAGTACCCGGCAAGACCGACTTCAGCGCGGTTCGCCAGATCCACGACTTCCTTCTCGGACTCGAAGGGGAACAGCCCCGCGACGGGACCGAAGGTCTCCTCAGACGCAAGCAGCATGTCCTTGTTCATCTCGGTCAGAACGGTAGGGTCGTAGAAGTTGGGGCCCAGCGCGGGGACCTTGCGGCCTCCAACGACCACCTTGGCGCCCTTGGAGGTGGCGTCCTGAACGTGCTCGTCGACTTTGTCGATGGCGCGACCGTGGATGACCGGGCCGTGGGTGACGCCTTCGCCGAAGCCGGCACCGAGCTTGAAGGTCTTGACTTTCTCGACGAATCGCTTCACGAACTCATCGTAGACGCCGCGTTGGACGTAGATGCGGTTGGCGCAGACGCAGGTCTGGCCGGAGCTGCGGAACTTGGAAGCGATGGCTCCGGCAACGGCGGTGTCGAGGTCCTCGACATCATCGAAGACGATGAATGGGGCGTTACCTCCCAGCTCCCAGGAAACCTTCTTGATGGTCGACGCCGACTGCTTCATGAGCAGCTTGCCGACGTTGGTTGAGCCGGTGAACGACACCTTGCGGACTTCGGGGTGAGTGGAGATCGTCTCGCCGACTTCAGGGGTGTTCTTCATAGCGGTGACGATGTTAAAGACACCCTTAGGGATACCGGCGCGGTTGGCCAGCTCCGCAAGAGCGTTGGCAGTGTAGGGAGTCTCTCCGGGGGTCTTGACGACCACCGTGCAGCCAGCCGCCAGAGCAGGACCGACCTTTCTCGTGATCATCGCAGCAGGGAAGTTCCACGGCGTGATGAGACCGCAGACGCCGACAGGCTGCTTGAGAGTAATCACTCTGTTGCTGGCCACGGACGAAGGAATCGTGTCGCCATAGATACGGGGAGCCTCCTCGCTGAACCACTCGAAGAAGCCAGCCGCGTAGTTCACCTCGCCTTTGGCATCCGCGAAGGGTTTGCCGTTCTCCCACGTAATCAGAGTCGCCAGATCATCTGAGTTGTCTATCATCAATTGATACCACCGACGGAGCATGCGGGCACGTTCACGGGGCAAGGTGTTGCGGAATGTCGAGAAGGCCTCGGAAGCAGCCTGGATGGCCTTCTGGGCGTCCGTGGCGTTGAACTCGGGGCATGTTCCAATGAGCTTTCCAGAAGCCGGATCTATGATGGTCATAGGGAGTTAGATTCACAAGTTTAACGGATCCTATTTTCCAGCCTGGGAAGAATGTGCCTACCGTGAATTTCAAAGGTCTGTCCCGACTGGGCGCCTACCCACTCGCCGTTGACATAAGCCTTCTCAATGAAGAGAGACTGGTCTTTCAACTAGATATCACGGGAGATTGGTTAAAATCATGCATCTCCCATCTAGACCGGGGCAAAAAACGCACTTGAGGTACAGTATGACCCATCGTATATAGTCGTTTAGCGTAAATTGGCGGCGGAATCGAGAACGGGTAACGAGGACGCGATCTCAAAAACTGTCGAGAAACAGGACGGATGAGTCTTTCCATGGTGTTAATGAGTACGCCTGCCTCCGATTTAAATAACAAAACTGATGCGCCACAGAATCTCGGACAGAAGGCCGAGCGAACTGATCTTCCGTCTAGTTCCTAGCACTTCTTCCTGCTGAAATGCGGGGGACAAGCTGGAACTCGGAGTGTGACGGAACGAGGGACAAAAATGCGACGAATAGAAAGGTAAAAGGAGTACTGACAAGAAAAATTGACTGCGTGAGATTCCGGGACGGCGGAGCCTTTTAACTCAAGCAATGGCGAGCAGGAACAGGTATCCATCGCCCTTGAAGACTCCGAGTCGCCTGCGCTTCATTTCCCGCAGGCGGGGAAGCTCCGCATCACGTGGGCGACGTCATCGATATGTTCTTTCCCTGTTGTTGCTCCCATTCCCCATTATTAAGCCCGGTATTGAGATTGAATTGAACTCCAAACACATAAATTGCCATATTCCTTTTCTCACGCTCGTCACTCTGGCTGTTATCCCCTGGCTGCGCGTTGTTTTGTTCAACAAGAACTCGGGGATAATAAATTACGATGCGGTATTGCAATTACCATATCGGCATGTCGATCAATGCGCCGGAGCATTAAGCCAATAAACAGCCATCATTTGGTACTGGCTCGGCGCTTCGGCGCAATTAGAGAGGAGGCTGTAACATTCTGTTACACCATCATACCATTATATTATCTTATCTATGTGCATATAGACAGTAGTTGAAAGTGTTATATAGATGGCTTTTGTTCATTGATTTTAAACAAGATTTATTATACACCTCACATATTTAAAAGGGCAATATATGTACATAGAATACAAAAACAGAGACCTGCTTCATTCCGCGTCTTCACTCTCGGTGCGTACCGATGCAGACCTTTTGATATCGGTGCTTTTTGGACGATACCCTGGATGAATACGCTTCAAGTGAAGGTTGAGATTCCACGTTCGTGAAAATCCGCTTGTGTGTCGTTTACAAGCCCTGACAGGGCATATTAGATCATTCTTGCGATGCTCCCCCTTACCCTTAGGCTCAACCGTCCCTTCGACCTTGTCCTGGGCAGGGCTTGTTGCGCGCGACGTGGCTCGAGACGTGGCCCTGGATGTAGCTTGCGGTTTAGGGCCATCTTTGACCGACGGTGCACGAGATGTTGGCCGGGATCGTTCTCGTTTGGACTTGCGCTGAGGAGACGGTAGAGGAGGCTCGCCCTCTTCGGACTCGCTTTCTGCATATACCCAAGAGCCAGTCTTGTCTTCTTGTGTTTGCTGCAATCTCCCCTCCTTCAGAGTTTGGAATGCCATGTTCTCGCCGAATAAGCCGGCGCATCTTTGTGCCGTGCGCATCACCACGGACGGAGAAACCCCTATCATCGAGGCTATGCCTAATACTTGGCTCCAATCTCGTACTCCAACACGCATGCGGCTGACAGACCGTGGGGTTTTACTACCGACTGATTGACCTCTTGAATTTGCAACTCCCGGGGATGCAGATCGTTCCGTAGACTGATATGTGCTCCGCGATCGAGCGGTCCTGGGTTCTGATACTTGGGACGACCTGCGCGTACGTTTCCTGCCTCTTGACAAGCTTCGATCTGTCGGTCCGTTTGATCTCCGTTTCCGGGGTGAGGAGGTACCGGAGACGACGCTCTCTGCATCAGTCTGCCATTCACTGGCCGAGCTATCATCGGCGCCCAAAGCCCCTTTGCGCGCATAGTGAAGACCGTGAAGGATGTGGTCGAATTGAGTGATAACATTCCGCGTAAGAGGACGTAGCTGCTGTCGTGATTTATCATCATCAGCCTGAACCACCGGGCGCAGTAGAGGCTTATCTAAAGGCTCTGGGTCACTCTTCACATCCAGGTCGATGCTCTTGCTCTCATCCTGAGTGTCTCCTTGGGACATGGTGTCGTCTGTCTGCTTTGAGCGTCGGCCCCTCTCCTCCCAGGGCCTCGAATAGAATCTCTCTTTTGCCGATTTGGTCATCACGGCCACGAGGGACTCTTCCAGTTCCGCGCTTGGTCGAAGGTCTGGTGGCATTTTCCATGTCCAGGTTTTCTCCTCGATTCTTCGAAGCTGCTCATTCCCACGGGGCACCTCATTCGCGGGCAGAGGCCACAGCGCCCATCGTTTCGGCGGTGCAAACGCTTCCGTCGCATCTGGTGATTCATTATTCTCTGCTGCTCGCCTGGCTATGTCACGAGCCCGTATGCGAAGAGCATAAGCATTGTACAGGTGAGCGGCAAGATCTCTGGCGCGAATGTCTTGCAAGGCTTCCGCATTCCGCCTATCCTCGGCGGTTAATTTTCTCCAAGTAGACTCCGAGCCTCGGAATCTATTGGGACGGTACGATGGTGAAGATGGAGGACTGCTCGGAGGTTGCTGCAGGGCGGTAGTCGTCAGGGTACCGCATTTTCTGTCGAGTTTGCTCTCCGCAGTTGGAAGATCTGGCAGACTATCCAAGTCTGAGCCATCATCTCCGCTATCGTTGTAGGTTGCATCATCATCATCAGAAAAATTATTTCCCTCGATCAAGGACCCATCTTCCATGATGGTGTCGAGTTCATTTGGATCAAAAGCAGCTCCCTGCCCCTGCTGCGTGAGGGGGTACGATTCCGAGTCTGGTACATCTTGACTGCTGTCTCCTCCGAATAGAGATACGTATGGTTGCGCAGACTGGGGTGGGATGAATCGAGGAGATTGGTTGCCGGATATCGAGGACATGCCTCGCTTCTTGGGCACGACCGCTCGTCCAGTGAATGATTAACACGTCGGAATGAGCAGTCAAATTCGAGGGAAGTCAATGTAACGTCCGAACATAGAATCGGAGAATTGATTGGAATCCCTGGGGCGAAAGATAAGGTGATGCAATCATTGAGCAGATTATACTAGCAGAGCGTCTCAACAGGGGCATCAATTTTCCATCAAGAAAAGAAACAGGGTTTGATGTCCGTCAACATTAAGAATAACACTCGGTTTAAAATTACGCCGCAAGAACACGGCATTTGTGAAAGATGGACAGGTCAACGTGCGCAATCCGAATGTGATCCAGAAAAAAAAGTCGATATCACGTGATTATTCATCAGACAATTTCTGATGGATTTAATTTCTTCTCTCGCGGCCGATCTTCTCTGATCGGTTGTTTTTAGATTGATTGTAAATGCCTCTAGTCGTGGAAATATACTGTGAGGAGAACTGTACACCGGAAATACATTAGACTACACTCTATGTGGAAAGATTGAATGCCGTGGACTGTATAAATATTCAAGACGCCAAATTTAAAAGGTACCAAATCCAAGTAAGGATATCAATTTTTGTCGGTCAACTTCTCTTCCCCTGAATTTATTTCTCGTCCTTCTTCTCAAGCTTTCTTCGCTTCGACCGCAACTTCGCGGCTTCGTCCGACTGCTTCTTGTTCGAGTACATCATCTTCTCAAGCAACTTCCGCTTCTTTCGGCTCATCATCATCTTCTGTCGCTCCAGTTCCTCCTCTTCCTTGCGCTTCTTGGAGGCATTCTTCTTGGCCTGCTTGGCCTTCTTGCTGCCCGACTCATCGGCAGCACCGTTCGAGAAAGGAAGACCAGCAGCCTCGGCCTCGAGTTCCTTCTGGTGTTGTGTCCGAGCGGATTCCTCGTCGTCTTCCGATTCAGAAGCCGCTTCGTCATCATCAAATCCGCCAAAGTCCTCGTCTTCCTCATCGCTCTCACTCTCGTCATCGGTGCCAGCAACATCCATACCACCGTTGGCATCCTCATCTTCATCTTCACCCTCAACCTCGGATACTTCGTCCCTGGCATCCGCCTTCTTCTCATCGGTCGCCTCTTCCATCTCCTCGTCACTGTCCTCCTCAGACTCCAGGTCAGCCTCGCCCTCGTCTTCCTGCTCGGCCAAGCTGGCGCGAGGGTCGTAGCCACCCTTGGAAGGCTTGACCCAAGGACTCAAGTGAGGGGGAAGAGTAGCACCCGGGGCATAGAGATCGGGACGGAGAAGCTTTCCTTCGTTGATACAGTCCCAAACCCACTGGGGCTGAACGTAGGTACGACCGGGGATCCGTGTACCGGGCTTGACCTTACCAGCGCCATCCTGCGACGCAGCAGGGACAGCGGGAAGAGATCCTTCAGGCAATGCAGGTCGGTCCACGATTTGGTGAGTAATGCGGGTGTCCGCCTCGTTGTGCGTAAAAGCTCCATCACCCAGGACGGTATCCCAACCGATTCGCTTACATCCGAAGGCGCGCAGAATGAACTCCAGAGGAGCCTTAGGAGCCTCTCGGGAAATGTAGACGGTGTAGGGAGCAAACAAGGAGCCGGCACCGTCCACGGTTAGATCGGGCTGCGGGAGTGTATCGGCCTCGGGAGCCGTGGGCTCAAATTTGTCGATCGCCTCGGTGGATTCCTCCGTCGTGTCCATGGTTTGATCATTCGTCGCCTGGTTCAACTTGGCCTTCTTGATCACCTTGTCAACCTTCGCCTGCACTTCCCGCGAGACTTCCTGGTTATCGGAGGTGCTCTTCGCCTTGTTGTTTGCTTCAATGGCCTTGGGAGTGTCGGCAACCGCGTGGCCCTCGAGGGTGAAGGCCGCCAACTCGGCACCGTTCTCATCGCTTCGGGTGTCGAACTTGGGCGGGTATCTAAGACCGATAGTGGAGTAAAGGCGGTAGTTAACAAATCCCAGAAGGGTTGTGTAAAAGTCGACGAAGGTGGCCATGATCCGGTAATCGACGTCTCCGTTGACGCGCTGCACGAAGCGATAGGGGACCAACCACATGATGTCCTGACCCTGGATAGTCGCCTGGTAATAGATTCCCTTAATAGAAAGGAAGGATTTGCGCAACGAGTTGGTGGTGATCAGGAAATGCTGGAACTCGTGGCATAGGCGCTGGCAAAGCGAGATGGTCTTGGGGGGAACATGCGTGGTCGAGGGAAGACTAGCGAACAGATGCAGAAGGGACAAGGCATCGTCCAAATCTCTCAGAGCATCAATGAAAGTCGGATAGCGCTCCTTGATAACATGGTCCAGGCTCAGTTTGGGCGCATGGTTCTTCTCCAAGCGAGATGCGTCGCCGACTTCTCCGCGCCCAAGAGAGCGAGCAATCTTCTTGGCGACCGACTTTTGGTCACGGAATTTCCGAAGCAGCGGCTCGTGCAGAAGATATTGAATGTCCTTGGTGTAGTAAAATGTGGTGTTGGGGGTGGAAGTCTTCGAGGCCTTCTTCTTGCTCCGAGGCTCACGGGGATAAATTCCTGTACGACCGCAGAGGAAACGAGGTCAGAATTATGAAACACAGGTAGTAATTGAGCAGTCATTCAGTGCATACCTTTGAAGATACATAGGCGACGGAAATCAGGCAAGGAGATCTGAAGCTTGCGCACTGCCTGCGTCCTAGTAATGTAGTTTTTGGCTTGACCAGACTGGCCTACAGGTGATCAACGTCAGTAAAATAATTGTCGCGCATTCCAGAATGACAAATCTCACCCTTCTTCTTTATTTTACCCATGGTGGCGTGGATTGGATTGGAAGTGGAGGTGTTGGATGGGTTGGAGGGAAAGAGACTGAAGGAAGCTCAGACTGATAAACCCGAAAATTTTATTGTCGATAAGTTTTTTTTTTTTTTTTTTTTTTCTTAATCGGAGGGATTGGCCCGTGCGCCGCGGAAAAGGCAAAGTCGCGGAGTCTTGGCGCTGGCCGAAAGGGACAGCTTACTTTCCTGGCTCTGCCTCTCCTCCGCTGTGGACGCTCGTTGATCTCGAGCCGTTTTGCTGCTTTCAAAATGTCGGTCGGTCGGAGGAGAGCAGTCGTATTCGCAGGCGCTCTTGCGCTGCGAATGCTGCTCATCGTTCTTTTCCCTTCTCTTCCGGATCTATTGACGGGGAGAGTCGAAGTGTCGACTCCGGTCAATAGCTTCAAGAGACGTGAGTTGAACCGCCTGTCAATGCAAGACTATTGAGGATTGAGCTAATGAAGTTGATACGGTGGTTTAGTCCAGGAAGGCCTTTTTCTTTATACTCGCAATGTGTCCCCTTATGACGGAGGAGTCTTCCACCAGGTACGAATCCAGCGCCTCCCCGCTTTATTCGCAACAACAATAACGCCCTACTGACGAGGGTTATAAAGGCACCTCTTCTTCTCCCGATCTTTTCCTTGTTGCCCAACGCCAGAGATTACCCTCTATCCACTGCGTTATTTTTCGCGATAATTGATCTGGTGAATGCGAACGCGCTAGTCACCATATCGGATTCGAACCAGGCGGTATTGGGAAGACTGTATAGTGCGCTTCGCAAACAGATTCGCTGGGATGGGATTGAAATCGCTGCATGGTACGCGCGCATTCAAATTGGTCTTCGGGTGATGTTTCTGACGTATCAGGTTCCTGTTCAACCCCTTCACGATCGCAACCTGCCTCGGACGATCCACGAGTGTGTTGACTACAACCGGCATTCTGTACGCTGTGTCCAACGCCGTGAGTGGAAACACTCTCAATGCTATGCTAGCGCTAGGATTCGCTTCCTACCTATCAATCTACCCGGCCCTGTTATTCATACCGCTTGTGCTTCTATGCTACGACCGACGGGCTCAAGACGCCAAATCCCCCTCTGGAATCGCTACTTTCGCAGTTCAACACCTGGGGGTCTTTTTACTAAGCATCGCCGGCTTACTTGGTGTCTCGTGTTTGCTTGTTGGCAACCTCTATGAGTTTATCTCCGCCACGTATGGGTTCCAGTTGCTGGTGCCAGACCTTACCCCCAATGTCGGTTTATGGTGGTATTTCTTCATCGAAATCTTCGACTCCTTCCGGGAATTCTTCCTCGGTGTTTTCTGGCTACATCTGGCGGCATACGTTGGCGCTCTCAGTATAAGGCTACGGCGCCAGCCCCTCTTTGTCATTGCATCACTTCTGGGTGTCTTCACCATCTTCAAACCTTATCCGAGTATCTCAGATGCGTCGCTTTATTTTGCGCTTTTGCCCCTTTATCGACATCTCTTCCCTTGTAAGTTTCATTTCTCGTTGCAAGGTGTGATCTGACTAACACCCCCCAAGTAATGCGCTATACATTCTTCGCCATCTCCGCCCTACTTTACGCTACTCTCCTGGGCCCTGCCTTCTATCACCTCTGGATCTACGCCGGATCCGGAAATGCCAACTTTTTCTACGCGATCACTCTAGTTTGGAGCCTAGGGCTTTCGATTTTACTTGCGGACACCCTCTTCGCTGCTCTCAGAGAGGAGTGGGAGCAGGACAACCCCGAGGCGCGAGGCAAAGACGTGAGACAGGTGTAAATGTCCACATGCGTTCATTGTGATGAATGCGGTAATACCGGGTTCATGTACCCTGCGCAGTGCGATTCTATGTATCACTGTTGTCCTTCGTCTTTCAATGATTTGGACATGATCCGATAGTCTGGCTCCTTAACCGTTCCGTTGCGCAGCCTCCGTGGTCTTGGGGAAAACTCATCTTCGACATATCCGAGTTTGTCGTAAAATCGCACCGCTTGCGCGTTCGACCTGAAAACCGTCAACATGGCTTTCTCCAGACCGATTCGTCTTCCGATATTTGCGAGTCTCCGCATCAGCTGCTCGCCCAGTCCCTGTCCCTGGGCAGCAGGAGACAGGTGAATCTCATAGCAGTAAATGACCTCTTTTCCATCCTCGTACGTCACCATAAACGAAAGAAACCCAAGAGGTTGTGCACTGCCATCTTCGCTGGCTGTTCGTGGAACCCGTCGCAAGACCATGTACCTCATATCAGGGAGTCGCATCTCCTTGATCTTTTTCGACGGAGACCAGCCGAAACTGGAACCCGTGTAGGCGTTTGACGACGTGAGCTCGATGAGTTTGAAACATGCCTCGAAGTCGGCATTTGGTATTGAGTCGGCGGTGTAAATATCCAGTACATAGTCTAAATCTTCATGGATGTGATCTTGATTGTCGGCATGAACGGCCTTTTTAGCCGTAGGCGTAGTTATCTTGAATGCGAGCTCATCGGGCGGTACATATAGTGATAGGAGTTGGTCCAATGACAATGCATTGGTGCGTTCCACCAATGGTAAGGATTGAGAATCTGAAACATGTTAGAATCCTTTATGAATTATCTCATTAATCTCCAAAATATCAGATCAGAGTCAAGTTTCATGAGTCGGTCGACTTCCTCGGCAAAATGCATCCAACTTGTGGATTGTACCCAAAGAAATAATGAAAATAAGATAAAATGCAGAAACTTATGACTGTGCACCAACACTCTTACCTTTTTCACGTTCAATATCGGCCAATTCAGCTTTGTCCCTCAGCGAACTGCGTTGCGGTGGCCGCCTCGGTTTCGGCTTGGTCACCCTGCCTTCTTGGACGGAGGATGGCATCGTGATTTCCCCTGAGACGTGGATTCTCTAGTTTCAATCCTGTCGGGGCAAATATATTATTGCCAATTGCAATGACTGAGTTTTTTGATTGATTGCGTGGGGTAGTGGTGTTTCGGAAGTTTTCTTGGATGTTCCAAGTTGGCAGATCCCTTTTTTGGTGTGGGCGTTTTCGGGTCGCGCCTACTGTGTGTTGAATACATCATTTTACCTTACCTTTGTCGGAATCTGCTTGTTTCGACACTTTCCCATGATCAATGGTCGTCGATTTGAGTTATTCATAAATTATTATGCTTGACAGACGAAACTTAACGAACCGTCGTTCAAATGAAGTTCATGGTCATCCAAAATATATAATCGTTTCTATATCTCATCATGTACAATGACATTCATTCAAAACGAAGCAAAACGCAAGCATCAGGCATTCGCCCTCTGAGTAGCTGCATGCTCCTCCGCACGTCGCTCGGCCTCCTCAGCACCAAGTTCCCCGAAGACATCAACGCCCCAGCGGAAGGGGTAGCTGTAACGCTCGTTACGCTCCAGTTTGTTCAGGGCCTCGAATTCTGCGTCGGGAACGATGAAGTCTAATTTTATTAGCTATGATCGTTCGCACCAAAACAAGAAGCACAAACGCTCGTACCTTGAAAGTTGCTCTCGATACGCGACGCCGTGACACTCTTGGGCAAGACGGCAGTGCCGCGCTGGACAGCCCAAGAGATCAGCAAAGCAGCAGGGTCCTTGCCCAGCTTGGTGGCAATTTCCTGAATGGCTGGATCATCGATGACACTGGGACATATGAAATTAGCGGAAGTCTGAGGTTACATGAGAGGACAGGATGTAAATACCGCGGACGGCCAGCCAGGTTGTTACCCAGCGGGCTGTATGCGACGGGGAGAATTTTCTATCAAGTGTGAGTCCACCTAGCGAGCGTGTCCCGTAGAATTAGGCCCTTACCTTCTCCTTGAGGAACTCGAGCAGACCGGGCTGCTGCAGGTACGGATGGGCCTCGTACTGGTTGGCAGCTGGAGGAATCTCCGCGGTCTTTAGAAGCTCTTGGAGCTTCTCAATGGTGAAGTTGCTGACACCGATGCTGCGGATCTTTCCTGCCCTGACGAGCTTCTCGAGAACCTTCCAGGTATCGGCAACGGAGACATCTGCCAGCCTGAACCGTTGAGTAACGGGGTCAATGGGAGTGAAGGTGTCACTCGAGTGCTCGAAAGCAATAGGCCAATGAATCTAGAGATTTAATTAGAATTGCAAATTTCCATATGATCGATGAGCATTGCTACCAGGTAGAGATCAAGATAGTCCGTCTGCAGCTCCTTCAGAGTCTTGTCGAGAGCCTCCTCGATGTGGTCGGGGTGGTGGTGCGTGTTCCACAGCTTGCTTGTGATCTGCCTCAGGTCAAAAAAATCAGTGCCAACCGCGTCGACTTTCTCGTTGGCAGAAAAACTCACAAAGATCTGCTCACGTGGCACCCCCGACTTCTTCCAGCCGTTTCCCACTTCCACTTCGTTTCGATAAATCGCCGCACCGTCAAGATGGCGATATCCCACTCGAAGAGCAGTCTCGACTGCCTCTTCCACTTCATGGGGTTTGGAGAGCTATGAGCACATTGGTCAGACTTGATCTTTTTTTTTTTTTTTTTTTTTTCAATTGATAATTGCGTTAGGAGAGGTGCGTTGTACCCAAGTTCCCAGGCCAACGGCAGGAATCTCGTATCCGGAGTTGAGCTTGAAGGTGCGTCCTAGAGACATGGTGATTCGGTGATATTGTTACTGATTGTGAAGATCTAGGTTGTTGAAAGAGAGACTCCGAAATGAAAAGCAAGAGAGCGAGAATCTGGATATAAGAATGGCGAAAGGACGAGTGTCGATGCAATTCTCCTTGACGATGAGGAAATAGACTGCCACCCCTCCAAGCTAAGCCCCGTCCCGATAAAATGGATGGAGATAAAGCCGAGGCTCTGTGGCTGATTGGACTAGATCTATCTCATCTATGGAGTCATTGGCTTGTCCCATCATTGCCGTTATTGATTGCGCGATCCTTCTACTTGTGCAGTCCAATTCCAAAAACCACGAAAGAGTACCCAGTTGCAACAGCATTGTTTCATTACAAAATGGTTTTTATGCATGGTAATGCATGGACAAAAGCTTATCTCCTCTGCTTTTCCTGAAAGGATCGCGTCAGTTAAATCTGCAACAGCTGAGGTCTGCTTGGGCCCTGAATCACTTTTCTCGGATCCTTGTTCCGGGCCAGAATCGATTCTTCTCACAGCTGAAGATTGCCGTGGAAACTCATCTATTATTGACATGTCGTGCTTACACACTTCACAATCGATGGGTTGAAACCAGCAGCCGACCGGGCGACCAATCTGTTAACAGCCACCCCAATTTTCACCCCACTCTTCGCCTAATTGACACTTTGACTTACCCCAACGCTCTTGATTGAGAGAAGGCCGCACTCAAGAAGGGTATCAAGAAGCTTATGGTGACTACTTTAAATACCGCTTAGCCCCATTTCAACTACACCGGGGAATTATCTCTGTACCCTGCGGTTTCCCGGGACGATATCGAAAATGGCTTAACCATCCTCGCCCGGTTTATATAGTGGTCAACGACCAGGTTCGAAAGGTTGCCTAGCGGGAATTGATTTTCCAACAAGATTGCAGCCAACGAATCTTGAATCGAGCCAACCGCACAGTCCCCATCGCTGATATTGTTCGGAGTCCGGTATCAGAGCCGATTTTGACCGAATGATCTATGGAAACATACCTGGTGACATTTCTGTGTGCATTCTCAAAACATTAGCGACCTGTACATGTAGATGACTTAGGTCGATTAGCAGCAGCGGCGGCAGCAATGCCGTCAATGGCCGAACCTGATTCTCTGCAGGGGAGCACTGCGCCGGAAGTCTTTTGTCACAGCATAGTACTCTGTAGTAAGAGTACAAATCTCGCAGCGAAATCAGCCAAACGAATCATCACCGGAACTGCATGACGTGATTACGCACTACTGAAGCGGATGAAGGAGAGTATACTCCGTCCTCAGTAGTGAATACAGCAGGGACCAGTGGCAGCACGACCTGACCAAATCCCTCAAAACAACGGCGCATTCTGGGCACGTTGGGAGATGATCGGCATTGAACAAAGACGGAGGATTAGGGAACCCTCAGGCCCCTTCGGGGTTCCGTTCTAACATCCACCGAGCCTTGCATTAGCCTAAGCTACTCCATACTCTTCTGTCCAAACCTGACTCTGGATTTGACGATCTGCTCTTCATCAGGTCATCTTCTCACATTTCTGACTCGATTCTGTAATCGAGTCCATTTGACCGGCTCCGGTTGCCCGAAGAACCTAGCCCCCAAGGATGAAACCGGCCATTTATATATTAATGTTCCTGCACCTCCGCACCGTCTGACCTCCCTGCAGGGATGGTGAATTTAGACTGGCCCGCTTCCTTGTCTCCAGCTTCATACGACTCCACATTGGCAAGGGGGTACTGTAGCAAACACACAACGAAGCTTTTAGCACCCCTGAGCTTGGCATCTATTTGGGGTTCGTTTATTGCTTTTTTTCTAATGAAAAATCTCCGAACATCTTGGGAAACATGTCCGGGCTGACAGATGCCGGTCTTCACCGAAATCGGCTCTCCATATACCCGTCTTTGCCAAGTACCAGATGACGAGGCTTAATAAACGCGAAATCAATTAGTTACTTCGCTACAATGCAAGCATTGCAGGCATTGAAGTGATCGTCGTTTGAGTTGGAATGGTCAATTTAGTAGCAAGGGAAGAAAGGATCAGAAGATGCCCTGTGGTGGCTATAAGTTCGGTGTTCTCCCACAATTACTCGACGACATGCCCAAGCAATTTTATTTTTATCTTGCAATTGCCATTCATTTCATCCATTGAACTTACAAGAACCTCTGCGTAAAGTCCAACCATGAGGTCGTCGTGGATCCTAGCAGCTGCGGCATTTCCCTTTATCGCGGCGGGTCTTACTGTTGATGAAACCGACGATGGCATTGTCGTGGACACGGAGAGTGAAGGTGGCCTAAAAGTGACGATCGACTCCTCCGGATCGATAACGTCCCTTGTTTACGGAGGGGAAGAATATCAGTATTCTTCTACGGGCAGTCACATTGCCTCCGGATTGGGCTCGGGAACCACAGTGAGCCACACTACCGAAGGTTAGTTCTCCTAGTTTCCTTCATGTTGGAACTTTGTGATTGAACAGTTCAACAGGGAACTATGCTGTGGTATCTGCCAAGGCTGAGAGTGATGACTTCAATCTCACTCACTACTACGTTTTCGAGGATGGAAAGAGTGTCATTTACATGGGCACTTACACCGTTGATCAGCCAAGCGTTGGCGAATTGCGCTACATTGCCCGCCTAGTCAACCTCCCCCAGGCCTACAAGGAAGGTGAGGTCTCCGACACTACCGGAGGCGATACCGTTGAAGGCAGTGATGTTTTCCTCGTCGATGGCGAGACAAGAAGCAAGGTATGCAACCTTGGTCGAAACCCTGACTTGCTGAATCCTTTATTAAGCCCAACATTTAGTTTTACTCCTCCCAGCGCTTCATCGACGATAGTGCATACTGCGCCTATAGTGAGGACAGCTCTGTTCATGCGTGCTTCTTCTCTGATACGAGATCGCGCGAAAAGTCTTCTGGAGGACCATTCTTCCGTGATATTGACCTCAACAATGGCGGTGACTACCAATCTACCACCTTCTACATGAACTCTGGCCATGTGCAGACCGAAGACTTCCGCACGGGCTTCTTCGGTCCCTATATCCTGTCCTTCAGTGGAAGTGATATTCCGTCGTGGGACGACTTCGATGTTTCCTTCTTCGACGACCTTAATCTGGAAGGCTATGTCGGCTCGTCCGGACGTGGTGTTGTTTCCGGCAAGGCTAGTGGTACTTCTGACAAATTCCCAGCGATCGTGCACTTGTACAATGATGAGTACCAATCTTGGGCCAACGCCTCCGGAGGAACATTCACCACGCCTGAAGTTGTTGAGGGCGACTACACGCTGGCGCTCTACCAGGGTGAGCTTCTGGCAGCCACGACCACCGTGTCCGTTAAGGCCGGTGCAACGGCCTCAGCCTCCATCAGCGCCACCAACGACATCATCACCCAGGAGCGGACAACTGTTTGGCAGATTGGAGATTACGATGGCACCCCTCAGGGATTCCTCAACGCGGACAAGCAGCTTCGCATGCACCCATCTGACGATCGGATGGGCGCGTGGAAGGCCTCAGCGTTCGTGGTGGACTCGAGCGAGACATCCGACTTCCCCATGGCCATCTTCGCCGATGTGAACAACGGACAAGAGGTGCAATTCAGTGTCTCCGAATCCATTGAGTCGGACGTGATCGTGCGAATTGCCACCACGCTTGCATTCGCGAGCGGCCGGCCCCAGCTCACTCTCAACGAGGCCGACTGCGACGCTCCCGGTGCCCCCACCAAGATTGACAGCCGTGGCGTAACTCGCGGTGCTTATCGGGGCTTTGGCGAGGTCTACAACTGCACTTTTGCAGCTGATGACCTGGTGCAGGGAGACAACACTTTGAAGATTAGCGTTGTGTCCGGATCAAGCGGAGAGGAATTCCTTAGCCCCAACTTTGTAAGTCATGCTCTTTTTCATCTCCTTGGAAATCGCCGAGAAGTGACGCTAACGCTTTGCAGGTCATTGATGCAGTGGAGCTTTACTACGTCTAGGGGATGTGACGATACTCCCTGGGTGCTGATGAACTGAGGGAATGAGAGTTGTATTGGTAAATAATTTGCGAGCTTAATCTGTCTACAAAACAAATAGTCTCTTGCTTCCGAGTAATCAATTCCACATAATCTGAACAAGTCTAATAGCTATACATGGAGTATTAAGCGACCTGGAAAAAAGTGTAGATGCAACGAAGCCCAATAAGCCAACCGAATGCAAGAATCTCCCCATCACCTCACCATCCAAAAAGATCTACATACTACTTTCCCTTCAGAGGCCCCCACGAACCTCGAACCTCGATGAAAGGACAAACCCCTCGTCTGACTCATGCAGAGTGAGTGCAGAGCGCACACTCTGGCGTGCTCCATGCCTCCGCACGACTAACAAGACCCAAGGCAATAGATTAATCTATTTTATATTAAGGAGACGACGATCTTGACTCTAGCAGGACGAACGGTTCCGGTAGGGGCCTCAGGGCGGGGTGGTCTGACGTTGGCCTTGTTCTCGCTAATGGGCGGGTGGGGAGATGGGGGCGTGGGATCGGCAGTTTGTTTGGCGTCTACTGAAGTACTGGTTCCAGTGTCTCCATAGTACGGTATATGGAGTGGTAAATATATTCTAGATTGGAGCTTTACTATGGTGCAAAGAAACGTAAGATTGCGGGAAGATAATTGATATTCTTTTTTGGTATACTCTGAGTCCTAAACCCCTTCCTTCATCCTCTTATGTACCAAAACATACTAAGCGCCGTGATGTATACGTAAGCTCTCTACTCATCTCCGGAAGCGTACTCGCCCGCAGCAATTTTCTTGCTCAGCGCCTCGTTAGGCGTGATGTAGTCTTCCAGGTCGGAGCGAGCGTCCAGCAGAAGATCGGCAACCAGACGACCAAAGACGACACCACCGGCTTCGTTGATATGAGTTTTGTTTCCATCGGACAGGTCGTAGGTAGTGGCGTTCTCGTCGCCAATGGCGTTGATGTAGTCGGTGCTGGCGGTGGTTAGATCTAGGTACTTGATTCCCACGGACTTGGCGGCGTTGATGGCTTGGACTCGCCACTCCACGAAATCCTCCTTGACGGTGTCGCCATCGGAAGTGCGGCGGGTCAATGGGGTGATGATAATCTGGCAGCGCGGTTAGTCGAATGAATAGAAGGAATGAGGGTGGAGGTGCAACGTACAGGAGTGGCACCGGCATCCTGGACCTCCGTAGCCAGACCTTCCAGGTTCTGTCTGTACTCGTTCACATCAAGTGCTTTCTGGTCGTTATGGCCAAATTGCATGGTCACAATGGGCGAGTAGTCGGAGACGGTGGAGTTGATGTTCGATAGCAGGTCGTCCCATCGTCCGTTGGCACGGTATGACACCGTGGTGGTGCCGCTCTTGGCACGGTTGACGCCGTCCGCAGGATCGGTCACGAAGGATAGGAATCCGTCGCCCCATCCTCCTTTGGTGGCAACAGTAGAGTCACCGACCAGGAGGAAGTATGGCGGTTTGGAAGCCCGAGTGACGGGAGTAGAGTGGACAGCGCCAAAGGTTGCGGCGAGAATGGCGGCGATGCTGGCGGGCTTCATGTCGGTCTCTCTGTTTTGCTTTGAAAAGAAACGGAGTCCAAGAGTTGTATCGGTGATGGCCTCACAAGGAGTGTAGAAGAATAGACGATGGACGATTGTTGGAAGTTGACAAAAGGTGCACTCGAGACCCTATTTATGTTCAACAAGATACTCCCTCAAGAGATTTGAACTTATGAAGAACAACCCGCCGTGACGACAACATGTGTTGCCCGAGACAATAGATCAGAACGTTGCGTGTGTCCATTCCTGCAGCACACCGACGATCTCTCGTAACATCGATGGACATATTCGAAGCAGATGGAAGTATGCTGACTCGGAGTACTCTATACCGACATTTTCCATGTCCTGTGCAAAGGGACAAGCCAAGGCGTTGGGGAGGTGACAGAAAACGCGGTCATGTTTGGCCGAGATCTGACGATCCTGCCTGTTTGTGAAAAGGTTTGGGAATTCAAGAGGGCTATCATAACCAGCAAGATGACGATCGCGGATCCGTGGAAGCTGCAAGAGAGACGTTGAGGACGGAAGAAAGGAAGCCAGGGCGTTGAAGGTCAAAACCGGAGCTAGCTCTATTCCTGGTCTGAGAAGTAATATAAAATCTAGGGAACGACGTGGCGTTGACGCAGCCAAGAATCCGGGGTTCTCCTCGTGTTGGATATAACGAGTCATCCGCGAACCTTCAAAATCTGCACGGACGAGAGGGACACAAGATCAGGATGATATTCCCTGCTGGTGTTCGTAACTCTCTGGCAAGACAGGAGCCAGATGGGGACATCTGGACCTATTCGAGCAAATATGCAGTCGATCAATTGCTTAACCGAGCTACGGCCGAGACCATCCTAGAGCCAAGAGGACCGGAAGAGCTGACACCTAAAGCTGCAGGATGGCTGTACGGACATTTCTCTTGTCTGGTCATTATCCGATTCAGCATTGAGAGGGGCGAATCCTTCTCTCCTTGTCTGCAGTCATTACAAGGCATGAGGGGCTGTCCATTCATCGTTGGGCAACCTTGAGCTTCCAGCCGTCCGAGCTAGAGGATGACATACTGAGCTTGAAAGTTTGAGCTCGGGATATGTCACAGTAAGGGTCGAATTCTGGCTGATTGGTTTGCGGGGTGAAACTAGTATGTTTGGTTTAGGACAGTGGTAACTATGGCCCCTTCATAACTGAAGACTAGGGTGCCATTGTGATTGATGACCGGGGTTCCTGCGGGATCCAATTGCACTATCCACCAAGGACGGAAGATGGAGACGTTAGAGCTGAATGTATCAAATGGCGAAAGAGGTGAACAGAGAGAAAGAAAGCAAAGAAAAGATAGGTCTGTTTGACTAGTTTACCTGCCCCAGATACTGCTTACTCATCCGGACTTCAGGAATCCTGCCTCAGGCATCGATGTGAGATCATCCCGGCAAAAGTCTCCGGGCCCCGACAAAGAAACTCCGCGCTCCGAACAGTCGATTGATCGTTGAATGGTCCAATTTTCATCAAAGAAATACCCCTGAACAAAAGAAATACCTTGACCTTACAATTCATCCATCATGGATAATTGGTGGAGTTTCAAAATTGAAATTAGCCATGGCCGAACGAGCTAGCATCCCTGCATTTTGCATCCCTGCCAGAATTCTGCAGAATTATACTGACTTCACACGTGGGTCTCAAAACGGTCGAACACCCGACCGTTTCAATCAGGATCATCAACCTGAGTGATCCAAGTATGAGATGTTTCCGCCTTCAGTCGCCAAGTTTGTCTATGAACCTGGAATTCTCTAGCGCCGGAGACTTTCGATAGAGAGATGAACCCATTTCAAAGGCCGAAGGCCTCACTCAATATGAAGAATGGCTCGTTGGGCCTCGTCCGCGGGGTTCCAAGTTTCTTCACAAGCTCACAACATCCGATGAGTCTGATGGCGACCTTCTCGACATGTGAAAAAGCTTAGTCGATGATGTCCTGCCTAACACACAGCGTGCTCTGTATTCTCGGAGGGTCCTTTCGGTGTTTGATGAATTATTAAGCCTATCGTCATGGAAGTGGATCAGACCCTCTTACGTCAAGATCCAAAGCTGCCAACAGACCGCCCTATTTAGTTGTGGAGATGCCCCTCATCCAAAATAGTTCAAGCATCAATTGAGATACTTTGCGGTCAAATTGCATTCTTTTTGAAAGTATCAACCATGGAATCAGCTGGAACTATGAAGCAGTGGAGTGTGGTGAGCAAGGACAAGGACTTCGATGGCTTGACCTATGGCGATGCCCCGGTTCCTAAGGTCGGCGAAAATGAAGTTCTCGTGAAGTTCCACGGCGCATCATTGAATTACCGTGATTTGATCATCCCCAAGGTTAGTTGGCTTCATTTCAACCTGTGTTCGTCAGATCAATGGGTTCTCCTGGATTTGTCACAGAAAAGCTATGAGTTAGATCTCAATGACTGACATTGCCACCTCGTTTTTAGGGACTTTACCCTTTCGCCGTCAACTTCCCCACAATCCCAGGCTCAGATGGTGCCGGCGAGGTCGTCGGCGTTGGGTCCAAAGTGACACAGTTCCGCAAGGGTGACAATGTGGTTACTCTGTTCAACCAAGCACACCAATTTGGCGATATCGACTTTGCGGGGGCCCAGTCCGGCCTGGGAGGAGCCGTCGATGGCACTCTGCGCCAGTACGGAGTTTTCAACGAAAACGGCGTTGTCAAAAGCCCCAAGAACCTCAACTCCTTGGAAGCAAGCACTCTCACATGTGCTGGACTCACCAGTTGGAATGCTCTGTACGGCCTGAAGCCTCTGAAACCCGGACAGACCGTGCTGGTGCAAGGAACAGGTGGTGTGAGCATTTTCGCATTGCAGGTAAGTTGTCAGAAAGAAGAGTACCTGGCCGCAAGTGCAAGAAACAGGCAAACTGATCTATGCCCGTAGTTCGCTAAAGCGGCCGGTGCTTCCATTATCGCGACCACCTCGTCGGACGAAAAGGCCAAGAAACTGAAGGAGCTTGGAGCAGACCATGTCATCAACTATAAGAGCAACCCCAACTGGGGCGAGATTGCTCGCACGCTGACCCCCGAAAATGTTGGTGTGGATCACATTATTGAGGTTGGCGGTTCTGGCACTCTTAACCAGAGTTTCAAGTGTGTCAAGTTCGAGGGAGTCATCTCTATCATTGGTTTTGTTGGAGGCACCGACGCTCAGAGCCAGCCCCCTATTCTTGCTACACTCAGCAACATTTGCACCGTGCGAGGTATTTACGTAGGAAGCAAGGCTTTGATGACCGACATGGTTCAGGCAATCGAGGTGAACAACATCCACCCGGTACTCGATACCAAGGTCTTCTCCCTTGACCAGACCAGAGAGGCCTATGAGTATATGGTAAGTGCTTCAGTCATTGGACATGTGTTGTATACAAATACTGACTTGTGGTGATATAGTGGGCTCAGAAGCACTTCGGCAAGGTTGCCATCAAGATCGAATAAATGGCACAGTAGATGAGGTTTACGACACATGCAGGAACGTGGAATGTAACTATGAGATAGCCCGGGATGGCATTGTACCACCGTTAATAATGAAACTATTCAAATGACCGTTGATCATGTCCCTGTGTAGCCTCAGGCACCGACCAATAAGAGACCCCAGGGGCCTTCCCCTCACCGCATCCTCGCCACTGCAACCAACGCATCCATCGTCCGTCGTTTTTCATCCTAACCACACCGGCAACTATCAAGTCGGTCTTCCAAACATTTGACTCATCGGCGGCACTTTCATCTCCAGATGCCGAACAACGCTGAGACGACCTCAACCCAGCCCATCTTTGGGCCAGCATGCTATCAGAAGGCTTCACAGGCGCGAATAATTTGCCCGACACAAACGAGTATGTTCGCTCAAGTAACCTGTTACCCACCTTTGGGCCAAGTAACGTGTCCCCAGAGGATACAGAAAGCAATAAAATCCGGAAAGAATGATACGGTAGGCCGACGCTACCATAACCGAACTTATATGTATTTAGTAACGAGGTCTCTAGATTCGATTCATAGCAGTGATAGAATCGAGCACTGCATTTCCTGAGCAGTCTTGGGAGGTCGACATCTGGCACAACATCACTGGCCCCGAATGGAGTGCTCTTCCTCTGCAAAGACAAAATGGCCCCATAGCACCGCTTATGAATGGCGAGAAATCCGAATACCAGTCATATCGCCGTGTCTTTTCCCAGGAAATTACTCTTCCGAACAATGGTGGTCATGCTCAGTTTACTATTCGCTTCCGATCTGATCCGGATGCGGACTGGCGTTGGGCGAATGAGCAGCAGCGCGTGAGCGATGGAGAGCTGGTCTTTGCCCCGAGGATGACCTTCGAGAAATCCGTAGTTTGCGGGGAGCAGCTGGGCAAGTATTTTGAGAAGCTATCCCCCGAAATAAATATCGAGCCACGAAAGAGTGAAGCCCCTGGGTCAGTCTTATGGAAGCTTTCTGGAGGCATCGATCCCGCAAAAGACGGCAAATCTAGTTCCAAATCACTACCTCTTGGAGTACCCTCTTCGATCGCTCGATACTTTGCATTAGTCCGGGTATGGACGCCATGGCTTGGACCTAGGCATGGTCGAAAAAAGTTCGAGTTGGCCGAGGATGCCATCCTATGTTCCTTTCTTCGAACAGACGGCATCCATGTAGTTGTCTTGGCCGTCTCCGGGACTTCCAACGTAACTGTTCTTGGCTCCGGAGAAGACGGGAAAGTGATCGTTCGGTCGCAGAATGATTCTACCGGGTCCTCGGAATTTCAGGTCCTGGTTGCCGCGGCAGATCAGTTTGACGTGGCCATTAGCGCAGTGATGTACGAAGCACGCAAAGCTGTCCGACCGTATAAAGAGCCACAGCCGTCTGGGCATCCATTAAGCCCAAAGTCACCGGCCGGCGATAGTTTCGTCATGGTTGAAAAGGACCCCGAGGCGCAATGGCTGGCAGACTGGTACGATGGGTTGACTTACTGCACTTGGAACGGCCTAGGCCAGAGCCTGAATGAGGAAAAGCTTTTGGCGGCTTTGAAAACACTGAAAGACCATGAGATCAAAATCTCCAATTTAATCATCGACGACAATTGGCAGGCCTTGGATCATGAGGGCGGACCCCAGTTCAAGCGACGATGGACGCAATTTGAGGCAAACCAAGATGCATTTCCCCGAGGATTAAAGCGCACTATCGAGACAATCCGCGAGAGCCACCCCAATATTGATCATATCGCCGTCTGGCATGCCCTTTTTGGATACTGGGGCGGCATTGCCCCGGACAGTCAGTTGACTGCGAAGTATAAGACCAAACAAGTCAAAATCAAAGATCCTAGGGCCAGCGGGCCTATCGCCCATGCGTTCGAAGATCGATCCCTATTGGCCATTGATCCAGACGATATTCAGCGCTTTTATAGCGATTTCTATAGCTTCCTGTCATCGACAGGAGTTGACTCCGTGAAAACAGATGCACAGTTCTTCCTTGACCTTTTGGAGGATCCGGAGGACCGGAGAGAGTTCGGGGCTGCATACCTGGACGCATGGTCTATCGCCTCGTTGCGATACTTTAACACGAGGGCGATATCATGCATGTCCCTTTTCCCCCAGGCTATCTTCCACAACCAGCTACCGACAAACAAGCCCACCATCCCGCTGCGTAATTCCGACGACTTTTACCCTGATATCCCAGAGTCTCATGCCTGGCACATATTCTGTAACGCCCACAATGCTCTGTTCACTCGATTTCTGAACGTCCTTCCTGACTGGGACATGTTTCAAACCAGCCATCCATACGCCTCTTTCCATGCAGCGGCGCGCTGTGTCTCCGGTGGCCCTATATATATTACCGATGAGCCAGGAAAGCATAATGTTGCGCTGCTCAATGAAATAACCGCCCCTACTGTATATGGGTATACTGTAATCTTGCGGCCTAGCCTGGTGGGCCGCACAATCGACACATACAATGGCTACAACGACGACCAGGTCTTGCGTGTTGGAACCTACACTGGCTGGGCAAGAACCGGAAGCGGTATCTTGGGTCTCTTCAACGTCTCCGCTGCCAAAAGGTCATGTCTAGTCTCCCTACTCGACTTTCCTGGAATCCACGAAGATTATACTACGCAGTACATAGTGCGCTCCCATACCAGTGGCAGTATTACAGACCCAATGTCTCCAACAGATACCAACTCTGTTGTGGCACTTGACCTCGAGCGGAAAGACTGGGAAATCCTTACAGCCTATCCCGTTCGAACATTAACCCTGAAGGCCAACCCGGAGAAGAACATTCCACATGATCTGAAAACCGACGTTGCGGTTCTCGGATTGCTGGGCAAAATGACCGGCGCGGCTGCTCTTGTCAGCTCGGATATATACGCTGAGCAAAATGGCCGTCTCCGAGTGGACGTTAGTTTGAAAGCACTAGGTACATTGGGAATATACTTCACCAACTTGGGATATCGGAGTATCGCGCAGAACTTCATGGTTACGATATTGGGAGACCCGGTTCCACAGAAAACTGTGCACCTGGAGGGAGGCGAACACGGTCGCCTTTTATCTGTTGATATTTTGGCAGCTTGGAGAATAATGCGTCTCGAGCCTGGCTGGAGCAACGAAATCATTGTGCATGTTTTTGTTGGATGATTGAATATTTTACTGTGCTCATGCTTGATATTTGCTAGACTGGTTTTTATATGCGGATTGGTATATATTTGGTGCCACTTATAGTTCTGTTTGTTCATGGAATTGAGGTACTACTACTCTAGAACTGCTCTCCAGCCTCGTCTACCGACAAAGCCCTTCACATCCTCGTCCTCTAGCACATCCTTTCCTAACCGCGCAGTAACAACACTTTTCTCCACCTCAGGCCCGCACACGGAGAATGGGTCAAACCCTAACAATCGACCCGTCTTTGCGTCTTGCCTACGTACCCACTGCTTTCGACCAGAATGGGGGTTGAGCTCATCCTGAAAACCGGAATTGACACGGTCCAGAGTGATGAACCAGCGTCTTTGATGGACCGAGCCAATCGAGTTTGTGGAGCCAGGGTAAGCGTTTTTTAGACGTATTTGATGGTCCAAATCATCTTCTGAGTCCGAGTGCGGCTCGAGAGGGGGAGAGGCCGACGGATTTATGTCTTGATTGGAGTGGCGAGGTGCCAGTGTGCCAGTGTCGTCTCTTTCCGGCGACGAACCTGATGATGAGGTACTCGGCGGCTGGGCATCTCTTGGTTTGGCGGATAATTTGATCCTTTTGGGCGTATGCGTTGATTGTCTGATATCCATAGCCTTTGCTAACCGGAGAATAATCGTATATCCAGGAGGTAAGCGAGTACCGTGCAATCGCAGACGAATTTTTCGCTTCATGATATCAGCAAGTGCTTCTACGGGGACGGGAAAAGCAAAATTGTGCTTCTTACATTATGAAATGCCTGACGAAGCTTCTCACTATCGCTACTCTGATCCCCAGTAGCCGAGAGATTAGACGAGACGTTGGAGCGAGAGTCGTCGGTTTCAGGACCCGACGGCTCTTCATAATAAGGCAGGATTTCATAATGGCCCGTGTCCCAGATGATCATGCTCCCTGTTTTGGCGGAAGCTGTTTCTACGAGATGGTTCTTTCGCAATAGTTAGCCTGACATCTTCGTGACTCTTGAACAGACCAGTGGATCACAATTACATACCCACAAACAATGAACCCTCGTCTCCGTCGCATTCCGGTTAATCCGTCGGCTATTCGGATCGCCAGGTAAGCCGTACATAATAGACCAGCTTACGGAGCTCGAATCCGAGAATTGCAGCCGAAGATCATAGTGTGGACCGGCGATGGGATGGTCATGCTGGTGAATCACGAAATGCCTCCCTTCGATATGCTGATTGCGTCGGTACAGTTCGGCCCATTCTGAGATGGGTATTCGCGGAGTGGATGCGTCTGTAGAGCGAACTGCTTCACCGAGTCGTGAGGAGAAGATAGAGAGATGATCGGAGACCTGTACTTGGCCAGCCTCGATGGCGGCTAGATTGGGTGGGTTTGAGTTGACTTTCGCCGTTGAAGTTGAAGATGTTGTTGGTATAGGTTGGCTGTCGGCAGACTTGTTTCCCTTTGATGGTTTCAAAGGAGGAGACACAGGCGTGTGAAGTGTAGAGAGTTGGATCCCCCTTGATTTCTGGGGAGGCGGGATAGGTGGCGAATTCTCATGGGTATAGCGGTTGCGTTTCATGGTTGGAACTGGGCATGGCTAAAGGATTCGAAAGATCTTCCAACTAAACAGAACTTCGGTGAACAATGTAAACCAGAATGACCAAGTCCAAATAAGAGCAGAACAAGGAGTGTTCTGTGAGGCTTTTGCGATAACTAGTTAAGATCGATATGTCATGAGTCAGCATGCCGCCAAGATCTCTCGATCGCATTGTTCGTTTTTCTTTCGACTTCAACATCTTCCATTCTCGACCTTGGAAATTGACTCTGCCCTACAGGACCGAGGGAGCACATTCACTGCACAACTGTACTCACGGCTTATGCTCCTCAACGCTGCATCGGGGAATTCGACCGCGTCACGAGCCGAGTCCCCTAAACTGAAGAAGGGAAGATCCCCAGGAAATGACCCATACGATGACCCAGAAATGAGCCAGCTTGGCAGGTTCTTAGTGCGATCAATAGTCCCCGCCACTTGCGTTAGACCCTGATGCTAATCGCGATCTGTGACTCTCATTGGCAGGACCGTCCAGCAACGACGCTTAACCCTATTCCAAATGTCCTCGAATCGGCCAATACGAGGCCATTTTAGATCTCGCGGATCTCGTCCGAAATAGTATACTGGTTTCGTGGATTCAGGTACGGCTGAGATTGGGTGGTGCATTAATCATGCATGCTTCTTGACAAATTCCCCGGCGATAGATCATGAGTCTGACCTGAGAAGGACAAAAATAATGGCTCTACGAAGTGCTTTCCTGCATCCTGGCCAATCCAAACACTTCAGCCGTGATCGATAATTTCGCATGTGAGGTCCTCTGCAGAGTGTCGAAGGATTCAGCCTCCTTCAGCAATCGACCGATCGTGTAGATCCTTTCCTTCTTCCACTATAGTTATGAGCCAGATCTTCCACGATGAGAAGGCCGACTGCGAGCATGTGGAAGGGGCATTTCCGATACGAGGAGAGTTGGACCTGGAAGCCAATTCCGAGTTAACAGCGGATATTTTTCCTGTCTTTGCTTTGTTTTCCTGGGTCCTCGACCCATTTTCACGAGCAGCCATATAAATGAGAGCCCCGGCTTGGAAGACCGTCTTGTTCGTGTTCAGTGCCCAATTCCCTGATTTAAACTAGCATACTTTCATAATGCGTGTCTCCGAGTCTGTCCTCTCTGTGCTGCTTGCCTCGCTTTACGCAGGCCATGCTGCAGCTGAGAAGTACAATGGAACTTGCGAGGGAGATAGCCCCGTGAAATTGCGCATTGGCAATGGTGGCGCTGGTCAGAGTGGCTTGGTCGAAGGTTTGTACATCTACACGAAACAACGAAGGCCCGCCTATACCGACATCAATTCCAGCGCTGGCTGAAAGTTTCATCAAAGCAAGACCGATGACTGCAAGAACGACCCCTTCCAAGTCGAATGGGTCAAGGGAGACACTACCGAAACTATCAACAACCTCAAGGACGGCTCAGTTGATATCGACATCACCTACCATAAGACTGCCGAGGAGATTGCTATCTCGGGTGGCATCGCCGAGGACTGCAAGTACAAGGACGAGAACAGCACCGAGGCTTGCTTCGAGAACTGCGACGACCACATCGAGAAGCCCTGCTACACCTTCCGCGATCACTTCTACCTGACCGGTCCTAAGGAGATCACCACCGGCATCATTGACGACGACGATATCACCGAGACGTTCTCTAAGATTTACAACTCGGCTGAAGCTGGGAAGGCTCGCTTCCTCAGTCGGTTCGATAAGTCGGCTACCAACATCAAGGACTCTGAGTTCTGGATCAACATTGGACATGTAGGCTTTTGAATATACCGAAATGAAAGGACACCCAACTAACACAGCCAGGTGCCTTGGGCCACAACGTACTCCAAGTGGTACCACCAGTACATGGACTATCCCATCCAGGTCCTGAAAGCCGCCATCAACCTAGGCGAATACACGGTCACCGACCGAGGCACGTACATGACCCTTCAGAACGAGGAGAACATCACCGACAGCATCCACATCTACAAGAGTGGTGAAGATATTCCCGAACTTCTCAACCCTGCCGACATCCTCATCAGCAAGAAGGCCGAGGACAAGGACCTTCCTTCCGACTTTGTCCAGTGGGTTCTCAGCGAGGACGGTCAGAAAGTCATCGTCAACTTCCACAAGGAACATGGATTCTGCCTGTACAGAGGTTTCCCTGTCGAGGATGGCGATGATGTCAAGCCTACCGATTGCAAATGGAATTTGAATGCAAGCGACGACAGCGACGACAGCGACGACTCGAGCGCGGAAACTCGCCGAAGTATCCGCGGTATGCGCTGGAGATCGTGAAGACTTGCAGAAAGCAACATCACGCATCTAGTATAATACCTGAAGTATTCTTCAAAACATTTGTGTATAAAATGTCTAATGATTAATCAACCTCAACTAAACAAACAAGCTTCCACAAGGCAGTTGCTTCCGCGGATAGTAAACCTTTTTTTACTTTCTTGATTCCATTCACAGGCTTGATCTCTATAGACTCGAGATAACCAAGAAAAAGTCAACCCTAGAACAAAATCCTCAATCAAATGCATCTTAAACACTACACCCTAGCCCTTATGACCCACATGGGCTACTTCTCTGTCAGCCATACCGCTTGAGTTCTTGGGTTTTATTTTTACAAACGAGAGATATAAGGATCAATTGAATAAGGGGGATAGAGGTTACGTAGGGGATATAAAAGGCATTTTTATAGATGAAAAGAAGAGATAGACGTTGAAAATTCAAGAGCTGAGTAATTGATTCACTACAATAAAGGCAAGCAAGAAACAAGAAAAAGAAAAGCCGTTTGCACCTGCAAGAGATCCGCTCCTGATGCGGGCGTTTCGGCACAAGGTCCTGCTTCATTCGGCGAAGTGCCTGCGTAGCGGATTGTTCAATGGATAGACTCTCGCCCGTTAATAAAGCTTCGAATGATTAATTGGCCGAGTGATTGGCCAAATCAGTAATCGCCCGTTGGCATTCCATGGGTTGGAATGTGCTGGCCATGGAACCCGAATGCCACCGGTCCATTAACATCAGCTCTACCCTTCTCTGTCAGGTCATGAGCATCCAGACACAGAAGGTAGCTCCTGCCGGTTCTCCCATTGAGCACTACACTCAAAACCACGCCGTCGTCTTCATTTGAACCACTCGGGTCAGCGACAAAGATGGGTTCCCCCGGAGAGTGCGCATGAAAGCTCCACAGGCGAGTTTCTTTCGTTTCGGCGTCGAACTTCACGATTCCGTCGAAAAAGCTTGATTTGCCACGATTGGAAATCGTATATGAGTAGCGGTACTTTCGAGTGACATAGCCAGGATTTATGGTCGGTAGATCGGGAGATAGTTCCTTGCATGCGTTCCATACAACGGTTGCCGATTGTATCTCCGTACAGGGGGTTGACAGGATCGCTGGCAGACGAAATCGGGTTATTGTTCCACGATTATCTTGCATCGAAAGGATGCGTTCTTTTGCCTTGGGAGATGATGATATGAGCTGTTCGTAGAGACCCTGATGTATGAAATTCAGGTTATCGTACGCGATAAGATCCGCTACAATATCGAGCCTGGTAGGATCGGCCGAAGACGGTTCCTCCCAGGCATTGACAGTGTGAAAGCAGAAGAAAGCACAACTCTCGTAAGTTGCGACAAGGCCTTTATCTCCTCGGCGATCCACCACGTACCATGTTGCCGGCTTCGATGTATCGTATGGCTGAATTGCTTCCGTAAAGCTTTTTTGGAGTTTCGCCGGGGAGACGTGCGAGTTCCATACGCAAAATAGAACGTAGTTTTTGGTTATCAGGAGAGAGTGAATGTAGGCAGGAACTCCAGGGAAAGTTGCAAGAATTGTAGTCTTTCCCGTGGAGGCAGAGACTCGGAAAATGCGATAAATCGATTCTCGGCCAAATGTAAGATTGAAGTTGAACATATCCCCCGTCGCCGGGTCGGACCGGGCATGGGACGCAGAGAAGAGCCCACCCAGATCAGGATGCAGGCTGCTTTGTGTGGCAAGACCAATTGGCTCTAGAGTGACAGGATCAAGTTTCTTAAGCCTGGTGGAATCAGTCTTTGCGTACAATGTTTTAATGTCCGAAGCGCCAGTCCAACGGCCTTGAAGCTCTCCATTCGGTGGAGGATATGGTCCGTCTAAGCCCGGCATGTTGACAGACAACGTCACACCGATATTTTGCATCGAAGGGTCATTTGGTTCATAAGTGCTTTGAGCTTTCTTGAAAACAGCCCTGCACGGATCTTGGTTTTGTCCAAAGCTGATCTTTTCCATTGATCCGGTTCGTCGAACCTCCTCAATCAGATGGTCTGTGGAATAGCGCGAGCTGTAAAACACCCGTACTAAGTTGGATGATCTATCCTCAGCTACTATTTGGAATCGATGAGTTTGACTGAATCCGTCAAACCAGTGGGATACTCTGAAGATGTCTCCTTGTTCAGTGACGACGGAAGATCTTCCTGGTCCGATGCGATAGAGAATACCAGCGGTGTAGGGCGGGAAATGGCCAGTGACATCTAATTCAACTGGAGTGCGTTTCTCATAGTTGGCATCAAACTGCTTGGGTTAGTGGATGCATCAATGGAGATTCGGAGGTCATACTCCAATTTCATTGGGCCAATCGTTGAAATGATCGTGAAGACCGGTGTCATCAATCGAAGGAGCCATAGCGATGTGTGGAGAATGCAATAACGGAACTTTATGGAAAGAAAATAAGATCGGTATGAGTTCTCAAGATGAAAGAGATGGCTGCCTAGGTAGACCTAGTCGCCTGACATGATGAGTCTGCGGAATGAATTCAGGAATATGTCATGCGTCGGTATGGTGCCAAAGATGAAAGCACTAGCAGGAACTTATAATTCGGGCTCCCCACGTGGGGGTGGGAAGGGGCCTTCTAGATAAGAGCATCGTTTTTTTCTATAGGCAATATGCTGTTACCTCGCAGGAAGAAATGAGGTTGGTATGGGTCGCCTATCCAAGATCCTAGTTGGCTCAGGAGCAATTCATGACAGGCACAGTTCCAGAAGGGACCAAAAACCTGGTAAATAGGCTTTCCATTTGCACCACTTCCATTAGAGTTATCCGATTCTTCCGATCCTGGTTTTGATACGAGGTTTCTTTGTCTGGGCCTAGCCCAGAGCTCTTGCTCAAACGCTGTTAGGTGCATTGTTTGTCTGGAGCGAGCTGCACTTCCATGCAAGGGTTGTCTGCAGTGCTCGATCGAGGTTCACACAGTGGTCACACACATGTCTCCTCTCTCGCTTACATTGTCCGGCTTGGGTATTTCCGAGCAAGCTCGTATGTGGGAAGAGCATTTTCTGATTAACTGCGATACAGAGAACAGCCTTTTAGGCAGAAGTTACCCAGGTTAGCTGTGCCCGTTGTAGTTGTATTAGGATGATGTACCTTCGCTTGCTCGGTCCGAACGCCCACATTGACACAAACTCTGGATCTCGTCTACTTATATCCCAGTCAGGACCCGTGAATCCCGAGGTGAAGTCGGTATACAGTTGTTGGGATGGCATTCGAAATGGTCTTGCTGCCGATGTTGGGTAGCTCAAAGGCTTGTTCTTCAGCTTGGATGCTGAGAGGTCGTTTTGGGAATGGCTTCAATGATACGACAGACCATTGCGTTTGAATGCCTTGTTACCATGGAATGGATCGAACACGAGATGCTGTCACCCTGGTTGATGAGCAAACCGACCGGCGGGGAGTTGCAGGTCGGACGAGCAACAAACGGGAGGAAGCCAAAACATTCCCGGGGGCGGCTGCCCCGTGACGAATCTCCCATCATCGCCAATCTCCCATCATTCTGACGCGCAGAATTAAGTAACCAGTATGAGACCATCGACATTTCTCAAAGAAACTTTAATTACAACTCGATTCCTCTCGAAGACCAGAGACTCTCACAAGAGATTTTCCACCAATGCCCTCAGCTCAGCTTCACTCGATTGCTTCACGCCCAATAGCTCATTATCCAAATGAGCTGAAAAATCACAGCCATACTCTGGTCCCCACGAGGCAACAATGCAGAACCCGAGCATTGCGGCATCGATGTTTGCATGCGCACCTTTGGCCAACTCCGCGAGGCTTTCCTGCTTGACCTCGTTGGTATGTTTCACAGCGGCTTGCCATGCCTTCCCATCCTTATCCTGAGCGTACTGAATCAATCTGTTCTGGGTAACCACAGCGGAATGAATGTAGACAATCCGGTTGGAGGTCTCAGCCTGGTGCTCAATAACGCCCACGACGCCCTTGGCGACGTCAGCCAGAGTGGTGGCACTGAAAGGTACATCGCCGCCGTTGTATAACGTGGCAGTATGGTGTGCTAGATCCAGAATGATTCCCTCCGTCAGACACCAGTCAAGAAATAGACCATTCGCGATTCCGGTGAAAGTGAACCCTGGATGGGAGACCGACTTCTCCAGGAGGTACTTCTGCGTCGCAGCCTTGGGTTCGCAAACCGGGAGCTGTACGCTGAGGGGGTTTCGAGAGTCCATACCGAACTCTGCCGGGATGAATCGCTTCACTCCTGCATCAACGGATGCATCAATCAAGGGGTTCTGGCTGCCTATGGCTAACGTGGCGAGGCATGAAATGACCACATCGGCCCCTTGCAATGCCGGAATCAATGATTGAACGGAGTTGAAGTCAACTTCTTTGATGACAAGGCTTGGGTGGGGCTTCAGTCTCGATGAATTACCGCCGATGCGCGAGAGGACTGTAACGTTGTAGTTCGCGTCAAGAAGAGCTTCGAGGATAGGACGACCCAGGTTTCCTGTAGCACCTGCTAGGGCGATTCGAACCGAGCCCATCTTGCCTTGTGTTCGGAGGTAATATTAAATAACTAAAGAAAAAGAAATACTTTTCCCCATTCATAATGCGTTGCAGACAATCCTCGATTCTGTGTTCTTATATTAGACCACATTCAAAGGATTTGGAATATTGATAATAATTAGTTAGTGAGCATGCCTCCCATTTGTAAGCACCCTGATACAATTCGTCAGCATTTGATATCAAATAGTTAATTCAAAGTTCAATTATTTTATATTAACAGGATTTTAGAATGCAGAATGCAAGACAGCTCCTTGATTATCATAGGCCATCACAACTACCAGCTTTCCGCCCAAGGCAATATAGCGACTCCATCCAACTAATTGTGGGGCTATTGTTAATAACCCCTTCTGGCGCGACCATGCGAAGAAGTGTCTTGAGAATAATTAAGCGGTCATCATTTTCTATTTATATCGTGTGGAGCTAAGTTGATATGTAAAGGTTATCCAGGACAGCAATTATGAATTATTCCCGGTCACCGCTCCCCAAATATATGCCACCCAACTTCCCATGGTGATCAACAACAGAAGAGTGAAGCAGGCGACCGAGATCCGCTTGCTGCGTGTATAATGGGTCACTAGATGGTTCTCACGGATTGCAGCGATGACCTCGGGGCCGATGGTAAGTCGTTGTTTTCTGGTCCACTGCAATGGAGCCAGGTTATTGCTCGTTATGGCACCAATTAGAATGGCAAGGCCCACGACGACGGAGCCCGCAGCTAAAAAGAGATAGACCCGGACGACACGGTCATACGAGTCATTATCGGCGTCTTGCAGAGCACCGGTGATGATTCGGATGATGATGCTCATACTGTCACTCAAGTTAGCGATCGATATGTCTTTGAAAGGATGACCAGCAAGACATACGCGTTATTCATCGTCACCTTAAGGGCATATGCTGACCCAAAGACAGACTGATGCCAGAGAGTGGTGCGAATGCTATCGATGACTGACGTCGGTCCCAGAGACATGGCGATGGCGTAGATGCCGAATGATGCGGCGGTACCAGATTCGGTGGCCGCAAAGTTGACCAGAACCATACTCAGGAACATACCGATTCCGCACACGGATACTATATAAATTAGGCATTCGTTTACTGGTAGGTCGTAGGATCACAAGAACTTACAAACACTTGCTCTATTTCCAAAAATATCGATGAAGACACCAAGGCACGGAACCAAGAAGAACCCTAACAAGGTATTAGAAGAGTTTCAAGCAACTTAGAAGGGTGAAAAAACCGACCTGCGTACTGAGACAAGGAGCTATACCAGCCCGCCTTGATAGAATCAACGTTGAAGCGCTTTTGAGCTAGCTCAGTGGAGTTTTGGGTGAAAACAGAGGCAGTGCTGGTCTGGAACAAAGAGAACGCCAGGACGGACCAAAACATCCACGGCAGTTGGAACAATTTTTGAAGCTCGAACTTCTTGTTCTTCTCCGTCAGAGTCTCTTTGGTGGCTGTGTCTTGTCTGCCTTTGTAGTGCTTGTTACAATAGCGGTTGAAAACCCAGAAGATGAACGTAGCAGCGTTGGTGAACACGTTCATGAAGACCGAGGTCCAGAAGACCCAGGCGAAGTTACCGGTGTTCTAACTCGTCAGATTGCGCTCGCTGAGTTAAAGTGGCTTTGATTACCTTGGCAATGATATTGGCAGTTGACTTTCCGACAAAGCCACCGATCTAAAATGCCAAAGTCAGATACCAATCCCGTTTATGGAGCTGTTGAGATAGAATCACCTTTCCAATAGCCAGTTCAAAGCCCAAAGTAGACGCAAACCCATTGCTGGGTGGGAACCAGGACGAAAACATCTTGTATTGGGCAATCTGTGTTGCGATATCTCCGAAAGCGAGAATTATCCGACCGCCGATCATGAATTTGAACGATCGAACGGTTGTTGCTGCTGCGACGAGGATGGATCCGATGGTATAGACGATGTTTCCGTATACGATCATTCCTATGGTTTGAATCATGTTAGCAGATGCAAAACTATGAGGGGAAACAAATTGTACTCACCAGCTCCTCCGACGCGATCCGTGATAATACCGCTAACCAATAGCAGCAAGGTTGCCATGAAGTCCTCACTTGCCTCTAGCAGGGAAAACTGAGTGTTCGATATGTGCATTTGCTGAGCTCGGTTAGTTCAACTGATCGCAATACCACAGATTGATCATCCAGCAATTCATACCTTCTTAATCGTGCTCTTCATTGCGCCCGTCACCCCGGAGCTCCAACGAGATCCAAAACTAATGCAAGAGATGAGGAACACAGCGAACAACTTCGCCCAAAGCGGGGGCGCGCGCTTTCCAGCATCTTCGTCGGTCTCTAGTTGCTCCTGCGAAGGAGTCGAGACAACGGGCTCCTTGGATTCCAGAACAGCTTTTTCCAACTCCATGACGTCTATCGCGCTTGGAAAAAACAACTTTTGCTCGGATCTGCGTAGAGACGATCACAAAAGAAGCAGCGACACATGGTGGGCAACCGGTCAGCTAAAATATCAACGAAAATCCTGCCAAAGCAAAACAGCTCCGAAGCCAAGACAACTTAAGATGGATCCGGGCAAGGTCCGTTGGGAAAAGAGTCACGGAAACCAAAATCAGATAAGATTGAACGATTTAAGCAGTCAACGACTGCGGCATGGACCACCCGGCGATTTCTCGCCGAAACTCTCAGTGGGGAGTGTGGCCCGGATGCCGACCATCATTGGCTTAAGCTCCTTGCGCTACTGCAAGATAATCAGCACTTTACCATTTTAATTTATGATTGATAAGATCCGGAGACTCTCCGAAATGACCTTTTGTCCTTGGCTTTCCCCTCTCAGTAGTCTTCTCCGATTGTCTCCGACTTAGGAGAAAGAGACAGGTCTGACCACGTGGATATGGATCTACCGATGTGCTATTTCGATGAATTTGAGAGCGGACTCCGTACTCTGAGCGGCATTTGACACTAACGGCGATTGATCAGAGCCTTAGACTGTTACGTTGAGTTCTACAGGTCCACAAGGAAATTGATGCTAACCAATCCTATTGACCGGAGTTTTCTCACCGAGGATATACATACCTTTTCTTATGTCGATACAAGACTTCTTGAAACTAGGGTGGATGTATAGGCAGCATTATAGCCCGGGGCTCTTGAAGATTTCTGGAATTTTCCGACGGGTAGGTATCTTTCAGTCCTGACATATTTGACTGGGCAATCTCGAACAGGTATCTCATAGACAACTATAGGGCGCAATTCATGATTTTTCACTAGAGAATTGAACAGGCTTAATGGCATATTCAGATATTCCTGTGCTTCTATGCGTCGAACAAGCTAATGACTAGCAGCTACTAGCTTGCTCATAGACCAGGAAGATCGAGACGTAGACAGATTTATATACTCGAGTGAAAAGCAATAATAGGTAGCCTCGACAGACTACTTACTACCTGTAGGCATTTGGGATGCCTGAGGCACAAACCATCGATTTATGATACTTGTACGCAACATCGTGCATGACATCTTTCTTTATAACCCAAGTAGTTAATCCAGGGATCCATATTATTATTTAATTGATTCTTATCGGTCACCGCAGTGACAACCTAGCATCTGAGGCTTCCATACTACATATGATCAGTGAAATTAACTATTTTTCACCTTGTATTTCCAGTCATATTTTCACATGGTAGAATAATAGACATCCAAGACAACAAAGATAACTTATTTAGTAGTATTGAACACTTCATTTTGCAAACATACTATCGCAGTTAGCTATTGAGCAGTTTTGAATGCGCGAGAAAGAAGTCAAGCCAAAAAGAGAGAAAGAACATTTGGCCAAGTGTACTGTACTATGTTGTGGTTCTGGGGCAGGTGACAATAATCTGAGATAATTCAACAAAACAAGTCCTGAATTGCAGTCTTCAGCTGCTAGATTAATTAAACAAGATTCGGTCGGTAGGTGCCCCCAAGCTGTGAGGACAAAAGATAGTCAATACGGGTCCCGCCCACAATTTATACTCCCCTCCCACAGAAAGCTAGAAATCTCTGTTCTTACTAACTCGGAGAGTAACTCGTTATCTGATCTAGCTTGGTCCCTATTAAAAAGCAGCAGCCTAATCAGATGGGACCAAATCAGCCCTCGGCGCCTCACCCGGATCCACCCCGGAATTTCATGATCTCATGCCTCACCCTCTCACCAGTTAAATCGGCAGTCGTAAGATCTCGGGATCTGGTCAAAGTGTCTCATCCTGGTCAGCCCTAGGGAAGTAGAAAATCCTCCAAGTATATGGGGTTCCATGGCAGCGATTCATCGAAAGCTAACGATCTGGCATTGGAACTCATTTTTGGCTCCAAAGTAACGTCGTATTTCAAAGCCGGACCAGGAGAATGTCTCACGCCAAAAAATGCCCAGACCTTTTCATCCTTCCGGTCAAATAGGAGTTCAGCAAGGTATGGGCTCTGGAATGCTTCATGGGTGATCAATTCCTACTTTGAATGATAGTCAGGCTGTAGGGACAGAAATTGACGATCCTTCGTGAATCCTTCACCGAAGAACCTGGAAGTAGGTTTGTGATGCTGGCGGATATACGTCGATGCCAAGTCGCCCCAGGAAAAATTAATGGGGTATACTCACCGATCCATAACAACTAACAGCAGTAGGGAAAAGATATTCAGAGGATTCAGAGGAAAATAGACCGACGAGCGTCTATAAATTGGACCAGTCATCCTCATTTCATAAACCATCCCAAGGACCTCCAATCCATCCTTCCCTACAAAAATATTCCTTCACACAGGCCCAACCGACCATCTCAAAATGCAGTTCTCCAACATTGTGAGTTTCCCCTTTCCTTTCTCATCTAAATTCTCGTTTTGACCCACATCACCTAGGGCTCCGCCGTCATGGCGACCCTCACCTTCGCCCTGACTGTCCAGGCCGCTGCTGTCCCCGAAACGGCCGCCAGAGCCGTCGAGAAGCGCGCCTGCCCTGGCGGAGGTCATGCTGAGTGCATGCCACTCCTAGCCACGACCTGCCAGATGCGCTGCAGCGGCAGAAACCCCATCCGTCTAGAGGTCTGCAACGAGAAGTGTATCCAGCAGGCCATCTTGAAATTTCATTTGTCATCCCCACCCTCATCCCCCTCCTTCTTCATCTCTCAGTTTTCCTTCTTTTCCGCTTCCGAAAGACCAGAAAGACCCTTATCATATATATTCTTCCATAAGAGAAGGCCAAACTGCCGCATGTAGAAATCCGACCTTTTCTCCGCACAATCAATCTGCTTCATCAGGAGTCGAGATTTGCGCTGATATCTGGGAAGTCAGTTTCTTCTCCTTCGTGGATCCTGGCTTCTTGATTTCGCCAAGTTGGTCCTCTGGTCTATCATCTTCGCGGCTTCTTTGGGCACGGAAGCGTTGTTGAAATTCTGGATGGACGTTAGTGGGATTGTGGGACTAGGGATAACGCAGAGAAAAGATATGGGGCTGTGAGGTGAGGAATGGGCCTTCTTCCTCTTGTGCTATCTTGCGCTTTTCTTAGTGCGAGCCGTTTTTTTAGGTGAAGGATGTCCTGGGTGACAGCCTATAGTGCGTTAGATTAAACCCTAGTATTCAAATACTGTGATGATATGGCTCACCGATAGATGAGAAATCGTTTGGCTATGATGAGGGAAGAAGGTTGACTGACGCGTGAAGAGGGAAGAACGAAGGTGAGAGAAGAGGACAAGAGAAGACAAAGATAGCATAAACAGCATTCACTGGGAATGGTGGAAGTGGGGGTCACTGAGTAGAAGCAGAAATCTAGACGCACGTTTAATTTCATGTTACAGTGAATGAAATAAACAATGACTTTGTGCTCCCCATGCACTACATTGGTTTAATAATATCGCCTTTTCAGCTTTTGCATTTTCCACGCTAGAGTTTTGATGGCACTATCATATGCTTTGTTTGTAGTACTCATATCTCAAGACCGAGTTGCTTCACCCGTTACCCAAGGATCTTCTAGCAGCTCCTTGGCAGTTGGTCTATCCTCAGGCATCCAGGTTAGTATTCTTCGGATGAATCGAAGGAAGCCCGTATTATCCTCCAACTTGGTTTCAAGAGCTTCCAAGGTCCGGTTCTGCGGTATGGGTGCAAGGCCCAGCCATTTTCCTGCAAGAAGAAAAGTTAATATCGAAAACGAAAGGAGAAGTTCGTTTGTGGCGTTCCTCATTAAGAGGTCCACTGCAAGAGTAGCATACCTTGCTCGTCCCAGAAATCCGCTTTCCTCTCTCGATTTCTAGAGAGAAAATCAGGTGGCGGTGGTCCTAGCGCGGCGATGAACTGGGCCAAGTGCGCAGCATCATAAAGATCTCCATCGTCATCGCGTGCCGTGAAGAGCTTCTTGGATTCCAGAAGATCCCAAGCCTGTACCAATATCGCTTTAGCCTGGGGTGCATAGTGCCAGATCATTATTATCAACCTACTGTAAGGCCAACGCTCCAAATATCGACAGGATAGCTCCACTTCACATAATGTAATGTTTCGGGAGCTCGATATTCTAAAGGCATTACATCGCCAGCATGTGGACCTGGACCAATCCTAGCCTCCCCGAAATCTGAAAGCAGCATCGGACCTACATTAGGTCGCAGGAGGCGTGAGAGGTAAATAAGATGCGTTGATGACACCGACTTCCGAGGTACTGGGGATGAAAATTCCTTTTCCTCAAGAGGTCTCAACAGCTCGTTATCGTCAACGCCAAGGAGCAGGTTGCCAGGGTGTATATCTGTCTCACATTAGCAGATAAGCGACGTAGGAAACTGGATATATAAGACAGCAGTACCAGTATGTACAATTTCCCCATGGGTATGAAGAAAATCCAATGCTTTAAGAAGTTCCGTAATGGCGCCCCGGACGAAGTCTTCGTCAAACCCATCTCGTCGGAAGACCAATTTCATGTCACGCAAACTCATTTGCGCAGGTTGAAAGACAAGAACAACATGTTTGCCTTGTGGGCCAGTCACTTCAAAGGAGTCTAGCAATCTCCGGACATTCCCTCGCCCGGGGTGTGAACCTTCTTCCATGCGACTTGCAATGTGATGATAGAAAGGAAGTTCACGGTGAACTAACGAAGTATGAACATACAATTTCAGTGTAACATATTGATGGTCTCTGCAGAAGTGAGTTGAGAGCCAAAGCCTGGGTATAGGTATTTACTTTAGATCTCTAGCCAGCCAAACAGTCGATGAGGTACCGAATCCGAGCTTTGCGATGATCTGGTAACGGTTTTGGAGAACCTCTCCCAGTCGAACCGGGTAAAATCGCTCAGCCCGGTAATCAGGCAGTTCCTCTTCTTCGACAAGTTGATCAATGTCGATAGTTTTGAAGCCTGTGGCAGGAAGCTCTCTCGGCGTTTCGGGGGGACCTGGCGTCATCCGTCTATCGGCGGACTTGGTTGCTAATGACTTCAGCGCGGCCCAAGGGGAAGGCATTCTGATTTGTCGAAGAAAAGTGGTCTGAAGAGTGGTTCGAGGGCGAATACTATGTGAGCGCAAACCGAGTCCAGGCATTGATGTTTTACTCAAAAGGGATGCCATTGTTGAAGGACATTGTTGTGCGGAGTACATGGCCACATTTAACCCGGGGTTGGTGAACGCGTCGAGACCTGGCGGACTAACTTAGTCAGGCCGCTCAGGCGCCCGGCTGTGATGGGGTTGAATCTATTTATAGTACTATAGTAGGAAGGGTTAGACAGGATATGAGGTTGCGCTCTAACTTAACTTAGCTATATGGAACTAGAGGTCAACTATATGTCATCTATCTCGCTATGAATAACGATGGAATAAAATTTCATCGTAAAGCCATGGAACCCATATGGGGCCGTATAAGGAGCCTTCGGCATGCAGCCTCAGAGGATCGGTTTCAAACAAGGGGGAAGAAACAACTACGTCCAACGAGGCCCGGGAATAACAAATACACCTTCGTCTACTCGTTTTTGGCAACAGTTACCGAACTATGGCATCAATATTTACGATAACTTGAGCTTCAAAGTTCCACTCATGTCATTATCAACTATCGTACATCCACCTCATTATCTAACAGCTAGCCCCATTCTCCGAAAACGAACATCCAGGATCCGGCTGATTGAACGGCATCGGATACGTATCCTGATCGTTCTTGAAAACCAGGGTATTCGCCTCCAGCGGCACAGGAGGTCCCAGAGGCGATGGCCCAGCCTCGTATTTGAACATGACGTGACCGGAGTCGCAGACAGAGACGTCGGTTTTGCCGTTGTCTAGTTCGTGCTCATGTTAGATTCTTCTCCTTTGCTATGCCAGGTGTTGTGTTGTAGGAGATATCCTGGTTAGGTGGACCAGGTTTTGGACTTACCGGTGCAGTGTGTGCCATCCCAGTCTCCGATCGGCTCATTTGATCGGCCACTGCATCCGTGGAGGTTGGTGAATTCGGCCCAGCAGGTGTTGTCGGCCATGACGAGAGCAACGGAGAAGGAGTCTTGGGCGACGACGCCGGTGACGGCGGCCAGGAGGGCGAGGAAGATGGAATGGAAACGCATGGTGATGGATTTAGTACTCGCTGTTTGCACTTCGCACAGAGAGTCAAAAGCTGTGTGAAAATAATGGAGTTTGGTCTCCCTTTATGTAGGGCCTAAGACCGTTAGTGACTGGGGAAGGATTAGCGGTGTCGCTGATCAGGGGTTGGATCCAAATGTTGGTGACATGATGCTCCGGAGACTGAGTTCGAAACTAACGGACGATGGTTGCGTATCTATCTACAGCTGGATACGGCGTGTAGATAATTTGGCCCCAAAGCTGGGGGCCAAGAATGTTAATAAGGTGGATCGGCGAAGGATCATCCATTGGAGAATAAGGATGTACAGGAAGAGGCTGAAATGTAAAAACAGTCCACTACCAGACATAAGTCTCAACTTAAAATAATCTAAATGCTGCTAGTCTCCACACGTCGGTCAGGCTAAATGTTGCAGTGGAAGCTCATACGCTGCTGAATATTTGTGTTGCCCTTTGATTCCCCCAGTGGAATTGAGACGACTTTCAGTTGCGTGGGGCTCAGTGTAAGGATTCTATCTACACCCCTGTCTTCCTCCTGTCATTCTGCCTTGTTCTATTCTGAACACATATAGCCGCGTTAGGGGTCGACGAGAGTCACTTGAAGAGGTGTCTTTGTTTTGAAAAGTCACGGATAACCAACACTATTAAAAAGCAATAGTCATGTTGCGAGAACGAAAGCGAGAAAGAGCACAACTATACACACAAACAAACGGCCCCCAACCTCATTGTCTTCCACGCACACTCTGAGGATTATGAAACAAATCCTTCGGGTCGACCGCCGCCTTTATACGTTCTAACCGGGGCAGATTATCCCCCCAGTAGGCACGCTGAGGATCCGGCAGTTCCGGGTCCACGAATCCCGGATACACCGGCAAATCAGCGACCGGTTTGCTCAGGACCCGAGAGGTAGTGTTCATTAGGCCGTCCAGGAAGTCGCGAGGTGTCTGGGGAACCGGAAACACCAATGTACTAGCCAGACTCTCCATCCAAATGAGCACATCGCGGTGTGGATACGCCGTAGCATCCTTAGGAGTCTTGCTGATCGCACCGCCAGACTGGAGAAAAGTGACAAACCAGACCGGGGTGCCCTTGTCGGCATTATGGAGGTACTCGAAGAGCTCGTCAACCCCGGACGATGAGAGCAGGGTCTCGCGCGTAAATCCGGTTCCTCGGTCTACGAAGCTCATAGGCAAGTTATTCCCCACGTTGAGAACGAGACCCTGGAATGCGTTGCCTACCATTCCTAGCCAGTTAGTCAGAACGACCACATTTCCCGGGTTCTGAATTGGAAAGCGATCCTCCAGACCGAAAGCTTCGTACTCCTTCCTGGATCCAAAGAACACCCCGGTAAGAAGAATGGATTCCGGAAGCACCGTGAGCGTGGAATAGAGCTTAGGGGTCAAGTCAGGGTCTGAGATCAAGGCCTGCCAATCTTTGAACAACTGTGCCTTTTCAGCGGTGCTACCAAGATTGAAGGTGAAAGAATACTGGACGGCACGGTCTTGCGCTGGTTCCGTGCTCACTTTGAACTCAGTTATGATGCCAAAACTCGCAGCGGCGCCCCGCACGGCGAAGAAGAGATCTGGATTCTCAGTCTCGGACGCCCGCACGATCTGGGAATCCGCTAACACCATTTCCACCTCGAGGATATGGTCCACGGCAAGTCCCCATTGTCGTGCTGTGGGTCCACTTCCCCCGATAGTGAAGTGACCGCCGGCCCCCAGGTCTGGACACACTCCGTGCGACATAGCTCGGCCACCTGCGTTGTACAGGCGTGTATCGATGTCCCGGAGACGGGTACCGGCGCCAATGGTTGCGACATGGGTGTTCTCATCCATGTCGAATTGCTGGAAATTCTTAACGTCGACGACCACAGCCCCGTCATCTCCTCCCAGCCCTATGCAGCATTCGTCAATAATGGATCCCATCATGGCCGCCTTCGCATAGACACAGACGTACCAAAATTCGCATAATTGTGCCCTCCACTCCGACCCTGGACTTTGTAGCCATGCTCGCTCGCACATTTCAAGATAGCAGCGACCTGCTCTGATGTTTCGGGATACGTGACGGCTATCGGAGTGACGGGATAGTTGAGGTTGTAGGGGTGCACAGCTGTGACTTGGTATAAAGGGTCGTCTGGAAAGGCCAAAAGCGCCGAATTGCCTTCGACAGCAGAGACGAGACATTCCCTGCCCGCCACACTAGTTGTATTTCCCATTTCAACCTACGGATTGAAGCTTTGGAGGGTCAGTCCGCTGGTAAATATCGGAGTGCATCCCTGAAGGAAACAGCATGTTCTCGAAGATGGTGTACAGGCAATTCTCAGGGGCAATTTGGGCCATTATAGATCATAACACGATGGGTCACAATGATCTTCAATATACATGCATAATGGTCCGTGTGGTCAGCCACCGAAGGAAATGATACAATAATGGACTGGTAAACAGGACGCTTATGCAGCCTGGCGGCTAGTTTGCTGTCAGGCCGTATATGAATAGAACCAATGCTGTGGTACAGTCTTTCATTGATGCTGCAGCGCTTCTGATTGATAGCTTCGCGAAAGAGTAGTAGATAGACAGGGGACCGGTAGGAATTTGTGTTCATGCCTGAGGCAGCAATATGGAACGTATTATAACATGATGTACTGTCATTCATGGAGGAACGGGCCATCCCATTGGCCAAACCAGCACCTCCCCGGTAATAACACAGTACTACCCGGATTGTGTGTCGAGCCAGGCAGCACATGGTTTGGGGGCCTGAAGTCAGGTGGCCTATACTTCTGATCAACCAGGGTTTCCCAGACGCTCCGGTGTAACAATAGATGGACCGGACATAGACACCGCTTCTTCAGGGACAGAAAGATGGCACTCAATTGCCCGAGAACCGTTACCTTACAACCCACTTCCGCCTCGGTGAGCGGGTCCAATGCCCACTTTCAGTCTCGGGGACCAAGCTGAGGACCGCGAGCCATGCAGAGATCCGGATGCATGGTTGCAAGCTTACTACCTGAGACTGGGACAGACGGTGGAGATGATCTGGATACGAATATCACCAGACAATGCACCTTGCTGTCCAACCTCTCCGAAGGTCCGGTCGACGGGAAGACCCAAACTTTGGTCGCTCGGGGACCATCAGCGTTGAACTCAAAGGCAATGGCTGCTCTGGTCGCCGACCACAGGATCTGCTGAGTTTCTCCCCCGGCGATCCCGTCGGCCTTCACCTCGCACAAAACCATCGGTCATCTACGTCTTCCACCGGTCGTTACACATGGAGGCAGCCACGGCTTGCGGGAGGAGGCGACTTGGGTTTGATCACATCCATTGACCAGAGAACAATATTGAGATTTTTGCGTGTCCATGTTTACCCCCGTCCACACCTCCTTGGGGGCCCTGTTGCTCTTTCAAGGGTCAACCGGTCTCCTGCTCCATAACGGTGCCGTCTTTGGCATCTCCTCTCTACTGGCTGGTTGCGTTTTCAATCCGAGTCGCGACAATGTGCCGATTATCGCTGGCCTGGTGTCCAGCGTGGCGCCCGTTCTAGTCCTGATGCCTTCGCTGATCCCGTCGTATCCACCGGCACCGAGCTCGTGGACATCGTTGGCATCCACGCTAGGGATTGGCTTTCTGCTGGGATGGGGGACAAAGGTAAGATTGCAAATCGACCGGCCTCGGATTGTGCAGGCATCTGACGAGTTGAGAATATAGAATGGAAGGGGATGCACGTCAGGCCACATGCTGTGTGGTCTGTCACGTCTGTCACCGCGTTCCGTCATAGCAACCGCCATTTTTTTCACCACCGCGTTCCTCACGGCGAACCTAACCTCCGGAGGCCAAATTATTCCCCCTTGCGCCGACGGAATGCCATGCCACATGCCCGTATACCCCTCGACTGCAGAGTTTGTGTTCATGGCTAGCACTGCCGGTATCTCGTTCATCGCCAACGGGTTCGTCGTGCCCAAATTTTTCGATCGATCAGAATCAGCCAAGTCAGTGTTCGGGTACTTGGCCGGTCTGCAGTTCGGCATGGGTTTATTCTTCTCGGGAATGGCCGATCCGGCCAAGGTACTGCGCTTCTTCGCTTTCCTCACAGATTTCTCTCGATTTGACCCTTCATTGGCTCTCGTCATTCTCTTTGGCATCGGTCCGTCCGTCATAGCTTACCAGACCGCTAAACCCGGCCGGAAGGTAGACCAACAGACAAACCAAATAGCCAGTCCTACCTTGGCGGGGAATTGGCGACTTCCCACCGCCACCGTTGCGGATATTGACTGGCGCTTTTTGACGGGGGCGGTGGCGTTTGGAGTTGCCTGGGGACTACGAGGGGTGTGTCCGGGCCCGGCAATTTTGCGCGCAACGCTGCAGCCGATCTGGGGCCTTGCGGAGATGACGGGGTATATGCTAGGAAATCTATTATAGAGGGTGAATGGCATTTTGTCGGGAATACAACCCATCTCTCCCGTTCAAGAGGTTCCTAGGTGCGTTGATGAAATTTAGGTACAGGGCCAGTCGGGGCGGAGGCCGAGAAGAGCCTTTCAAAAGCTGTGCGGACAAGCGAAAGTCAGCGCCACTCCCAAGGCACGGGGTGTAACATAGCATGAGTAGATATTTTGTACATAACAGGAACCAGACATGGCATTCATGATATAGAGTTTGAATTCAGGCAAAGCTTACAACTCGGTTTTATCCCACTTAGATTCTGTCTTTGGCGCCGATCGTCTGTCGTCTGTGTGCGTCGGCATGAAGCCCTCCAATTCCATCCATTCGGCAGCGAAAGCAGTGACGAGCATACTCCAATCTTCGACGGTATTGCCATCCAAGTGCTCGCCGTCGTCCGGGACACCCCGCTGGTTGTGCCATACCTCAGGGAACCCGACGCTGGGGTGTGCATCAATGACATGCAGAACCTCCACGCCGCGGGCTAGGAACGGGATATGGTCATCCAATATAGAAAGATAGGTACTGAGCTCATGCTCGGTCTTGGAATCGTGCACAAACCATGCGCCATCGGGGGAATCCTGCGCAGCCGATTTGAACTGTTTCAGGTCGCGAAAACGGCGTTCCAGCGCCGCCAGCTTTTTATATGCCCAATGCGTCGTTCCGAAATACGACTGAATAGTCGGGCCCTTGGCGCCTAGCAGATCCAGGAGCACAAACAGGGAGATCGACGACAGTGGGGATTTAAAGGTCGACATAGCCGGGTTGACTTCCGAATCCCATTGTTGCGCCAAGGAACGAGCACCGTACAGCGAATCGGTATCGGACCACGATTTGAACGCCTCTTCACCATCCAGAAAGATAATCTGGATGCCCTTCTGTTCTTCCAGCGACGCGTGGGTCCGGCCCTCCGCTTTCATTCCCTTCCACTTCTCCGTTAGCCCTGCATCAATACTGCGCATGGCGTGCATGAGCATCGCGCACGGCGCAGCGCTATCAATAGCCCCGATAAATCCCTCCGGCTCGTATTTACTATCATAATGAGCCACCAGCGTCAAATGCCCGACATCCCCCTTCTTTGTCCACGGAGGATCGCGAGATGCGATCAAATTGACGAACGGAACTTCTTTCCCGTTCGAAACGGGCGTGGTATATGTCGAGTTCTGGAGTTCAATATTCCAGTCGGGGAGCGATGTGCGGATGAAGTTCGCAAAGTGGTTGAGGACAGCGGTTGAGCCCTCGGTTCCGGAAACACGGGGCCTCAGGATAGGAGCTAACAACGCTCCATTGTTGATATCGAAGTCATTATTCGGTCGGGGAAGGGATTTCAGGGTGTCGTCGGAGATATCTTGGTAGGAGGCTCCCAGCTGAAGAAGAAATAGCAACGTGACGCAGAGGGAGAGTAACGGGGATAACGGACGGTAGGTAAACATGATGAATAGCGATTGTGTTGTCACGGCACCCTCGACCCTAGTGACAGGCAGTCCACGGGGATGGCTCCTCGTCGGTCAATCGAGGCGACGCAGATAGACCGCAGAGATGGGCATCCAGATGCTTCTTGCGATGACAGAGGACGCAAGTCGGGGCATCGCAGGGGGCCAAGTGGTGCCAAGCCCGGTCACGTTTCATCCCCATACGGAGTGCCTGTTCGGGACTAGCGCCACTGCCTCTCCGCTTCGACGGAGTCGTTCCCATGGATTCACTCCTCCTATTGACCTTATTCACTGTGAGTTGCTCCATAAGACATTCAATCATCGCATGCCCTTAGCTTAGCGAGAATGCACGATACCTAACTGTCTTAGTATTGGCGTATCTCCAATCGACGTTCAATCTTTACGTCTTCCTTTCCCATTATATATTATGCCACGCTCAGCAGACCAGCATTCCGAACCAGCGCTTGACACAGTTAACTGTGACTCAAATTCATTGTGGATAAGTCCTGGCTTGGAAGAGAAGTCAATATTACTCTCAAGTACTAACAATTGACTAATAAATTCCTCTTCAAGCCTGCCGTATAACTTTAGAATTTGTGATCGACTGCTTGAAAGATGAGTACAAGCCTTGCCGAGGTCTCAGTACTATAGGCCTGCCATGTAAATTCGGGTTGTCATTGGCTCGGAATATTCTTCCATATGTTGAGGAAGATTGCATGTCAGGAATGTGACGGTCTACAAAGGAGCCTAGTAAAAGACTAGTTTGTTTATGACTCGTAGCCAAGGAATATTCCCATGGAGAAGAAAGGCTATCTATGAGGGAGGATCTATCCTCTATGTACTACCGGAGGGTCCTCCATATCAGGAAGTTCGTATCGGGAAGTCCTTGGCTCAGGAGGTAACAAGGAATGCTTTATACTATTCCTACGTGGGTAGTAGTGAGGGCTCCTCCCTCCGGGTTGCCAGGAATAAGCCGCAACAAAGATTTAGGTGGGTGATACAATGCACATCCATTTGTTCTTGCATGCTCAGTGCTAATCTCTCGAGTGGAAGATGGGGCGATGATCATCCCAGTGCACTGCGACAAGGAGGTTTCTAAGCAAGGGATCGCATCGGCCGTTTATGTAGCCGGCCATTTTGAGGAACCGCTCCGAAACCACTCCCAGCCCCCCATTGCAAGCCTCTACATTTATTCCAATTTGATTTCATCAAGGGCCCCTCCCTCTGTCACGATGGGCACCATCTCAGTCTTGGCAACTGCCACCTCCAACACCGCCGGGCTTTGACACCGCAGTAGCCAGCAAATAGACGCCGACAGGTCCTGTCCGGGCATATGCCTCGCCCCTTGACAGTCCATGCAATGAGCTAATGCTACAAAGTCCGGGTTGGCTTGCCTAGCATGGCATTCTCTTCCCCCGTAACTTGAACGTTGCAGCTGCGTAATCATCCCCTGCTGGCTATTGTTGAGAATGATGACCTTGACCGCCACGCCGTGCTGTGATGCGGTAAGCAGCTCCGCCATGGTCATGCAGAATGAGGCGTCGCCATCGATGTCGATCACCTCGCAATCAGGCTGGGCTAGTTTGGCCCCTATGGCAGCGGGAAGTCCAAATCCCATGGTTCCCAGACCCCCGGAGGTGATGAAAGGACGGCCAGGGTGCCATTCCAAATACTTGGCCGCCCACATTTGGTGTTGACCAACTCCAGAGGATACCAGAAGGTTGTGCTTCAAGTGAGAGGTCTGCCGGTTCAGTTCAGCGACTACCTGTTGCGGGAGAGGATCCAAGTCACGATGCGTATTAGGAGCCGGTGAAAGATGACGTGGGATTGTATTTTCTGTCTTCCAGCGATTGATCCGAGCAAGCCAGACCCGTCTGTGCGCTTTATATTTCAGGTCAGGGATGATCAAAGGGAGAGACTCGGAGAGATCGCCCAAAATGATCTCCGTCGGCTGCACAACTTTCCCAATAGTATTGCTACTGATATCAAATTGAATGATTCCTCCTGCCCCCTTGACTCGAGCACTGAGGGCAAATCCCTGCGGATTCCCGACGACACGCTCGTCCAATCTGGCGCCAATGGCCAGAATCAAATCTGCATTTTGCACAGCGAGGTTGGCGGGCGGTGCTCCGTACGTGCCGACCATGCCCACTGAGAGGGGATGAGTCTGAGCAAAACATCCTAGGCCGAGGAGCGTTGAGGTGACCGGGATACACCCCTTCTCAGCGAGTTGAGATATGAGGTTTATACCGTTTGGGCTGGCGAGGACTCCATTCCCGGCAATTACCACAGGTGATTGAGAGGAGTTGATTAACATTGATACGCGATCCAGCTGTCTGTGTCGACTAAGAGTGCTGTGCGTGGGAGCCACTTCAGGATTATGTCTAGACGCGTCCTCTCCCCCTATCAATGGCGTCGACATAGAATGAGGGGATGGTAGCGTGTTCAGATCAAACGTAGCACGGCCAACATCTTTCGGCACGGCGACGAGTGTGGGCCCTTGTCGTCCATCCATGGCACAGCGAAAGGCCGAATCTACCGCATCGGGAAGCTGACCAACGCTCTGTACGCAGGTCGCCCATTTGGTACACGGCTTGGCCAGTCCCATGATGTCAATTTCCTGGAAGGCACCGGTACCTTGCACGGCGGTTGCAACCTGGCCGCAGATAACCACCATGGGGGTCCCGTCGAGCAGGGCGTTCAGCATAGGCGTTGCCACATTCGAGCTACCGGGACCTGAAGTCACTAAAACGACTCCGGGTTTACCGCTGGCTCGCGCATAACCTTCAGCCATGTGACCGGCGCCCTGTTCATGGCGGACGAGGATGAATTCAAGACGCGATGCATTATAGATGCCGTCGAAGAGAGGGAGAGCTGCACCACCGGGATATCCAACTGGTTTGAATTAGTAGCGTACGGGGTTTTCATTCTCGAAGCAGGCGGATTTCGTACAGATGTGTTTCGCGTCATGGCTGTATAAGAGCTCACGTAGAGCGTCACCCCCTGAAAGACCGACGAGCTTTTTCCTTTCAAGCATTGTTATTCTCCTACCTTTTGAAATCGAATAGGTTCTTCTCTATTTGTCTTTGCTGTGTTCTAGTCTCTTTCTTGGAACACACACCAAACTTTATACGTCTTTACGGGGTATACACCACTGACCCAGATGACGTGCAACAAGCGGGAGACTTTTCCACAGCAGGCTGAACATGCTTCAGGTATGTTTTTGTGTTACCCTCTTGGTCCTCCCTTGCCTTGGTCGTTGCCTATCACCGCGGATCGCCGGCACTTCGATTACAGAGACCATGTTCGAAAGGCCTGAATTCCATCGTCTGCAAAAAACCTAATCGGATAATTCTAACTCAGGGATGATTTACTAGGTCACATCATGTGTAACATTCTTACCAAGATGTTCCAATAAAACCTTTCAGCGCTGATCGCAGGCACGGCATTTTCTGGAATGGTTCCCATGACTTCTTGATCGAAGTCGGATAAATGGAATGAGACCACCAGCGCTGACGACACTGTCAGGAAATTGGTTCGGGGCCCACGCCTGCCTTAAGTGAGCGACGACTACACTCAGGCCTATATCTATCTCATCTTTCTCCCAAGACAACATTCTCATTCCTACCATACTCCTCACCTGGAAGTCTATCCCCACCAACAATGGCAAACCAAATCTACCAATACTCGCTTCTCAGCGCCCTGATGCACGGCATCTGCCACGAAGGTGCAACTGTTCAGCAAGTCCTCCAACACGGAGACCACGGCCTGGGGACTACCCGCGGCTTGGACGGCGAGATCATGATCGTGGACGGCAAGGCCTATCACTTCCCCTCGAACCCTAAGCAGTCGCCGCGAGCTCTCCCTGCAACAACCATCCTGCCCTACGTGGTAATCACCCGCTTTCAACCCACTCTGCACAAAAGCCTCCCCTGTCTCCCCATTGCCTCCCTACACGACGCCCTCTTCCCCCTCCTCCCGACCCAGCAAAACACATTTATCTCCGTTCGCCTTGACGCCTGGTTCCATAGCATCCGCTTCCGCGTGATTCCCGCACAGAGCCGACCACGGGAATCGTTGAAAGTCCTCGCCACGCGTCAGGTTGTTAAGGAGTGTCGCGACATCCGCGGCGTGATCTTCGGGTTCTGGTCCCCACCGTACACTAGTGGGTTCAGCGTCGCCGGGTTCCATCTCCATTTCATGTCGGAGGACGGCGCCAGCGGTGGCCATGTCGTGGGGTTCGAGGCGGGCGGGGAGGAGGTCAAGCTATCGGCGGCACCGATCCGGGATTATCGGGTGGAAGTACCTGCGGGAGAAGAGTTTCACGAGGCACCGGTTGGAAATTTTGCAGACAAAGAGTTACATGCTGCGGAAAGGGCTTGACATTGACGATCTATTACTTGGTTGGGGTTGGGGATGGATAGGTGCAAGGCGAACCCCATGGTGGATATGAACTGGGGCTTTTAGAATATTAGAATATCCCTCCATCATAGGTATCGGAAATGCCGGAAATTTTTGTGTTCCACAGCAGATAGAAAAAAGAAGCCAACCACTGGTGTTGAAGGGTCTTATAAGGCCGAAGCCCTAATCAACATGCTATAGATCTGCCAAGTCGGAGGGCGAACAATTCGGCCTGGCCGGAGTCCTCGCGCTGCATCCGTTTGCCCCGGTCGGGGTCAAATGGAGCCTCCGGAGTGTGTCCCCTTCATCTAGGCTCGGGAAGGAAGCATTGATCGAAATAATTGGCCCTCTCTGGCCGTACTAGACTCGATCACTCGATGGAGAAGACGGAGGCAGGCGAGTTCTGCGCGATCCCGGCGAGGCGAGCCTCTTTGGGCTGAACTCCGGCAACTCCGGGGCCGCATAACCAAACAATGCACGTCCCGACGCTGCATCTCATACTTCCTCTTCACGATTATTCACCAGGCAAATATGATATGGATGATCTCGGATCAGCTTGGAAGACGCCATAAGACGCCATGGGTCTCCAAGGTTTCTGGGTCGTCCCATATTTATAACATCCAGTCCCATTAGGCAACGCGTTCAGCATCTCTTCTGCCTCCCACTGCTCGAATCTATGCCTATCAGCGGGGACGACAAGAACAAGATGACCGAGCTCACAGGCACGCCCAGCTCGGGGAGCCTCACGGGTCAGCTCGAAAAGGCCCCCGTCAGCGACCTCGAGAACAACAGCCCGCCATCCGACTCGACCCCGAACTCAGAGACCAGCGACGGAGACCGCAAACGCACTGTCACCGGCGTGCGATGGTTTCTAATCTGCGTGGCGATATTCTCGGCCAATGTGCTCTACGGACTGGACACGACCATCGCTGCCGACATCCAGGCGGTGGTATCAGAGACGTTCGACAATGTGACGCAGCTGGGCTGGTTGGGCGTCGGGTTCACGCTGGGGTCGACGGTGGCCATCTTGCCGCTGGGTAAGGCATTCGGCACCTTCGATGCCAAATGGGTGTTTCTGAGCTGTTTGACCATGTTTGCGGCGGCGAGTGCGCTGTGCGGTGCCGCGTCGTCGATGAATGCTATTATCGTGGGAAGGGTGTGGGCTGGTGCTGGAGGAGCGGGCATGTATTTGGGGTATGGCAATTCGAACTCAATGACCAAACGGGCAGGTAGATGCTGACGAGTGTTACCAGAACCCTCAATCTAGTAACCATCATGAGTAGCCCACAGGAACAGCCGTTCTATATCGGAATGACCGGATTTGTCTACGGTAGTGGTTGTATTCTGGGTCCTATCGTGGGAGGTTCTTTGGCAGACAGTTCCGCGACGTGGAGATGGGTATGTTATTAGAGCCCTTTTCACCACACATCTAGCTAACAAGGTAAGGCCTTCTATCTCAATCTCGTCATCTTCGGCGCCATGGCTCCCATCTACGTGTTCGTCCTTCCACCGCTGCCTCGCCAGCCGGAAACGACCTTCCTCGAGAAAGTGCGCTCCCTCGACTGGCTCGGCATCGTCCTGAACGGCGGCCTTTACGTTTCCTTTGCTCTAGCTTTCACCTTCGGCGGATCAATCTGGGCCTGGAGTGACGGACGGGTCATCGCGCTGCTCGTCGTTTGCGGCGTGCTCACGATCATCTTCTGCATCACCCAGCGCTACTCAATTCTCACCGACCCGATTAACCGCATCTTCCCCTGCGAGTTCCTGCTCGATCCCCAGCTCGTCCTGCTATACATCTGCATGGCCTGCGGCGGCGCCGCCCTCTTCGTCTCGGTTTACTACATCCCGCTATATTTCCTCTTCGTGCACGGCGACACCGGTACGCAGGCAGCCGTGCGCCTCCTCCCGTTCATCTGCTTCTACGTGGCCACCATCCTGACCTGCGGCGCCGTCATGGGACGCACGGGGTACCACAACATCTGGTACATATTTAGCGGACTCTGCATCACAGCCGGCGCGGCGGCCATGTACACAGTGGGATACTCGACCCCGGCGGCCAACATCTACGGGTACGCGGTGCTGCTGGGTCTGGGGATGACGACCACGCAGGCCGGATACGCGGTGGGCCCGCTCTACGTGAAGCCCGACCGGGTGGCGGAGTTGATCCAGTACCTGAACATCTCGCAGGGCTCGAGCCAGTTCATCGGATTGGCCATCGCTAGCTGCATCTTTCAGAGTCTAGGATTGCAGCGGTTGAAAGCGGTGCTGGGGGAGACGGAGTATTCGGACGCGCAGATCCGCGCGGCGATTGCCGGGGCGAGGAGTGAGTTACTGCAGGCTGTGACGCCGGAGGTGAGGGCAAAATGTGTGGATGCGATTGTGAGGACGATTGGAGACGTTTGGGTCATGGTGATTGCGGCGGGGGCGCTGTGGACGGTGTGTTCGTTGTTTTTGACGAGGCGGCGGTTTGTATAGGATTGAATGTTGATAGTAGGAGCTAGAGTAGTAGGTAGTATAGAATGTTAGTGATTGTCTGCTGGAGTTAATTTATCTTCGTCTTAATTCCGAGTTGTAGAATGTTGTACAATGGGCGAGTGTATCTCCATTCATCTTACTCCCTCAGCTCCATAGCCCTAATTCCCTCGGTACTTCTCCGCCAACTCCGCCAACTCCTTCCAGTCCCTTCCCGCCTCGTCCTCGGAGTCTGGATTTAATGCAACCAACGCAGGGATGCCAACTCCGGAGCCGCGACGCATCTGTTCTTTCCTTTATCTCTTAATCACTTTCACTGTTTTTACCCCGCCTGGGAATTGCCACTGTCACTCTATATATAGTCCGGGGTAGCTCCAGCCGAGCTCCAGCTCATCCAGAATTTCTCCATTCTCCAATTTCCCTTCTCTCAATTGCTTTCATCCATTGCCCATCTACACTCTCTCTAGTCGCATCCAACAAAATGGCTCTCCCTCAAACCTTCAAACAAGCTGCTTTCAAATCCCTCGGTGCCCCGCTGGTCATCGAGGAGGTCCCGATGACGCCTCCCGGTCCAAATGAGATCCTCGTCAAGGTAGAGGCCTGCGGTGTGTGCTATTCGGATATGTTTGCGCAGAACAATATCATGGGTGGAGGATTGTGCGCTCTCTTCCTTTTTCCATGAGATTGTAGGGATAGAATACTGACAATGGTTGAATTGAAGCCCCCTCGTCCCCGGCCACGAGATCGTCGGTCACGTCGCCGCTGTCGGAGGAAATGTGTCTGGGTGGAAGGCCGGCGATCGCATCGGTGGTGCGTGGCACGGTGGTCATGATGGTATTTCTACCTCCTCTGGGTTTAACAGAAGAATCTGAACTGATAATCGAACAGGAACATGCAAGGCCTGTCGCAAGGGATTCTTCCAAATGTGCGACGTGGCACAGGTGAACGGCGAGACGAAGAACGGTGGATGTATGTCTTAGTCCCTTCACTCCCTTCCTCAATCAACTACGCCTGTTGCTCACCATGATAAGACGCCGAATACTGCCTCATCAACGCCGAAGCTGCTGTCCGCGTCCCCGCCCACCTCCCGGCCGCCCAATACGCCCCCATCCTCTGCGCTGGTGTCTCCGTCTTCAACTCCCTCCGCCACATGAACGTCCCCGTCGGCGAGACGGTCGCCATTCAAGGTCTCGGTGGTCTCGGCCACCTGGCCATCCAATATGCCAGTAAGCTCGGGTACCGGGTGATTGCGATCTCGCGGGACGGCAGCAAGGAGCAGTTTGCGCGCGACCTGGGCGCCCACGAGTACATCGACTCGAGCAAGGAGGATGCGGGCGATGCGCTGAAGAGACTCGGTGGTGCGTCGTTGGCTGTCACGACGGCGCCGACGGCCGACGTGATGAGTGGGCTGTTGAAGGGTTTGGGGATTTTGGGGAAGTTGTTGATTTTGTCGGGTATGTTTCTTTTCCTTGCAACTTCGTCTTGTCCTGAAATGGACAGGAAAATGAAAAGTAGGATAGATGCTAACGAGGATTTCTACTACAGTCCCTGGTGAAGTCTCCTGTGACACAGCCGTCATGGTAATTACCCTATCGCATTCCTGAGAAATAGATGGAAGCTAATGGGCCTCTATAGCTTAAATACGGCCTCTCAGTTCAGATCTGGCCCGCGGGCCACTCCAACGACACCGAGGAAGCCCTCGCCTTCACGGAATTGCACAAGATCAACTGTATGGTGGAGGAATTCCCTCTGGAACGGGTGAATGACGCATACCGTATGTATCCCTTTCGTCTCCTGCGCTCCATTGTAGAGGTGTCTTGGTAAGAAGAGTTGGCTAACCGCGTTGAACAGAGGCGATGTTGAACGGAACGGTTCGGTTCCGATCTGTTGTCACGATGGTGTAGAGTATGTATTTGGAATCTGGAGTTGAGAGTATGGAATTTCAAATCCAGGGGAGAGAAATAAATTGATACCGGGTGGTTGCGGCGCAAGATAGAAGAGGAGTCGGTAGATTCGTTGAACACATGCATACATGAAGTGAAAGATGAATGAATAAAATGAGATTTCTATACACAGCTACATTTGTCCTTGGTTTTTATCGTAATTCATATTCATATTCATGAACGGGACATATAGACATGGCGATGGCCATAGGTGTAGACCAAACGATCGAAACAGGAATATATAGTGTATCAGAACTCATAAAACCTCATGACCAAAATTCCACGCATCCCCCAAGTCCCTCGACCCGGCGTACAAGGGCTCGAAACTATAGAAAGAATCGACATTATACGCCAACCCCATCGCCCCGGCCAATGTGCTCTGGAACATGGCCGCTGTCGTCATCGGCTCATCGGCCAGATCCGAGCCCCCACCAGCAGCACCACCACTCGGACCACCACCGCCAACCGACGCCAGGAACGGCTCCATCTGATCGGAGAAAGGCGGCGTTAGGGTCGTAGGCACGCCAAACCGACCGCCCCCGCCGGCGGCAAGATAATCGGCCTTGGCGGCGAGCCCGCGCGTCACGTTCGCGGCGCTGCCGGCGACGGCGAAATTCAGGCCGAAGATCTCCAGCACGGTGACGGCGTCGTCGATGGTGGCGCGCGCAACAGGTGTCGAGGCGTGTGATGGATAGGCCAGTACGAATCCTACCATGGAGAGCGTGGCGCTCCATTGCCACTGGAAGGCCTCGTACCAGCCCTTGAGGAAATCGGTCGAAGGGAGGATCTGCCGGAGGATGTGCGTGATGGCAATGGCGTGGTCGACGCACGAGACGGCGTGCGCGTCGACCATCGGGGTGCTGCTGCTACTACTACTGTGGCCGGTGCCCGTGCCGGCTCCGGGGAAGGGAAAAGGGGAGGTGGAGGTGGAGGTCGATAGGGATGTAGATGGGGATGGGAAGCAGATGAAGGGTCGGTAGGCGTTCATCGACAGGTTGTGGTAGAGGAGTTCCAGAAGGAGTCGCTGGCGCTGCAGCCACGAGGGCGCGTATCGCTCCAGGTCGAGGGCTGATCGGTCCGTGGAGAAGGACTGGCCGCCGTCTTTGCGTTTGGTCTTCATGCCGTCCGGGACGTTGTGCAGCCATTCGCGCATGCTGCCCAGCTGCGAGGTGAGGAATTCCGCCAGGGCTTCCAGCGCGCCCGGATCCGTGTAGAGGCTCTTGACGTCGCGAGCAGCCAGGACCTCAGCCCGCTCGTCGTAGATGTTCAGATGGACGGTCTGCGCGGCCAGCACCAGCTCCGTCATGAGGCGACTGTATGTCAACCAGGTCACTTGGTCACCGTAGGCGGCGATGTTGGACACCGACAGGCGCGCCAGCTCGTGGTCATCGGCGGGGAGTTGACAGGTGGCCATCGTGTCGGCCATGGAGCACGGACGGCCGAGTTTCATGCACGTTTTGATCTCGACGGTGTACAGCGTCCACCAGATGCGTTTCCGCAGTTCCCGCTGGGGTCGCGGCAGGCTCTCGCGCGGCTCGAGATGCAGACCGAGGATGTGGGCGGTGCGCACTGCCAGCGCCAGGGTCGTGTGCGCCATGTTCTGAAAGGAGGCGTTGCAAAGGTAGACGACAGAGAAAATGTGACACTGCAGCGTGGCTATGGACGGACTTTCCAGCTCGGAGTTCAGGAGCATTTGCGACCGGCGGTAATACCAGCGACCGGCGATGCTGGCGTCGTGGAGGTCGACCTGGCCATCGGGTCGATCAGCAATGCCGTGCGGCGTCACGGCGACGCCATACTGCATGCACAGGGCCAGCACGATATCGACCAGGGCGGAGGGTTTGCGCGTGGTGGCCGAGTCGACCCAGAGCGATTTGTAGTGTTCCCGGAAGTCGGCCTCGTCCAGCACCTGGTAGATGGGATGGTAGGATTGCCAGAACAGGTTTAGAAAGAAGTCCTCCTCGATGCCGCTGAGATAGGACTCCTCTTCCCCGACGGCCGACGGGGCCGGCAGCTCCTCCGGCAGAGGTTCTTTGGTGGAGGTCGGACTGGTGAAGAAGCGACTGGCGGAGTTGGGCTGAATCTGGTGCTCGTCCTCCGGCAATTCCAGCACGGCGCTGAGATAGGCGCTCATGCGACCGATGAAGTAGAAGGCCGACGAAGGACCGTACCACTGCGTCTGCGTCGAGTGGGCACTGCGCGTGTGGATTCCATCCGCCCCTCGTCGCGTCCCCAACGGTCGATGTTGCTGCTGCCTGGGTTTCGCATCTTGTTTCTGATTCTGACTCTGATTCTGGTCTCCCTGCACCGCCGTCCGACCGGCCTGTTCGACTTGTTCCTCCAATTCCTGCACCCGTTGCCGCAATCGCTCGATCTCCCGCACGGCGTGGGGCAGCGTGCGGATCTCGGCAGCACTTTTCTTTTTGCAATGACCGCCGCGATTGCGACAGTTCTGACAGGGGAGACTGCTGTCACATTTGATGCGATGAACGCGACACCAGTCACAGGCGCGGGCGACCTGACTGCGCTTGGAACGCGGAGGAAGCGAAGGAAGCGGCGTGGTGGAGGTGGTGGAGGTGGTGGAGGTGGTGGAGATGGTGGAGGGAGCATCCGGGCGATCGGGCGAGTGGGAGTGAGCGACAAACGTTGAGAACATGACGGTCGGGATTCAAATGGGGATCTCAGGCACAATCTCAGGCAGGCAATCAGTCACCCTGACGGCGGGGAGAAGGAGAGGAGACGAGTTCGTGTTTCTTTCTTTGTTCTCGCCGTTTTGGCGGCCGCACTATAAACCGTTCGGCCGCGTTCGCGCCGGAGAAATCTGCAGTTGAAGCCGACATGGATGGGACAGGAATGGACATGGAGCGACATGGATCCCCTGGCACATTACAGATCGAACCATGAGCGCTGTAGAGCCAGTCAGCGTCGACGGCGTTGGTGACGTTACATTTTGCGCGTCGCTTATCCAGTCGGAGGCCGTTCGCCTTCCCTGAGCGTCAGGTCGTTTCTTCCTTTCTCCCAGGCCTTCCCTGTCTCTTTCTCTCGGACTTCTCCTCTACTTTTCTATCTTTACCTTTTGTGTTTTCTTTTGCTTTTGAGGACAGCCATCCTGACCTCGAACATACCCCTCCAAAGCACTGACTGGAATCATCCTCGGCTCCTCTGACCCAACCTGCTAGTGCTGAGGTGAGATCCTCCCAGCGCTTTTCTTAATCTTATAATTAATCCACAAGGGCGCCTTTGGTTTAGCTCTGAAGATCTGGCTGTGAGGGAAATCCATCTGTCATAGATTCGTCGTCAAATCTAACCACAACAGCCAATACGAACTGGTCTGCATCTCGCCGAGACCTGACCAATCCAGCATCCTTGCATGGTTTATAGAGAGTTCTGGATAGAGATATGGGGACAGAATGCCCGACGATTGGCCTGGGAATGAACATTCCTCCGAGGACGATTCTTCAAATGTGCCGGACTGACAATCGGCATTGTCCTAATCACTTAGCTATCAAGCTGGATCACACGAAGGATCTGCTGCCAAAATCTCCGCATCCTTCTCTTCCACATGAGGTATTCCCTCGTCTCCTTCTGGAAAGTCTTCCTGACGTTCAGGCTCTCTAGTATTTAGCTCTCGCGACACGCCAACCACTGTGGTCTCACCTCAGCCTGTCTATCGTTTGTTGAGCTCGAGTCTGCCTTTTCGGTTGCGGATCGCACCGATGCTGCCTTTCGACCGTGATTGGAGAGGTTTTGGCCCCCTCATCCTGCCTTAATCAGGCTGCCTACGGCATATGATAGACCCGTCGGGACGGAATACCTCATGTTGACTTTCCCAGAAGAGGCTGACAATACACGTGGAGGTGCCCCGGCTCGCGCGTTCTTAGCGTGAGATCCTACGAGGTGGACTGATGCTTGGGGGCCGATTCTTTCCTCTTCAGACTGTGGTTTCATCGCCATGTGCTGGATGGAGATCGGGAGTTGATCCTCCGGAACTCCTGGAGCTGGTAGAGCTGAATGGGCTGAGGACGAAAACGAGATGTCGTTGCTCAGCATGATGGGCTTTCTTGCCTCCGTGCCGGTCGTGATGCTGCTTGGGAGTTCATGACGATGAGTATAAAGCTTGGTGTTGTCCAGCGATGATCTATTTCCCGCTTCGTCACTCAGACACGGCTTCTTCGAAGGACAGAACCCTTTCAAGTCTCGATCACTCTTATCACCAGTCGCCATGCATCTTGGCCACGCTGCGAGCCTGCTCACTGCTTTGGCAGTCTCTGTCCATGCCTTCCCGACAGAGTCGCATATCAAAGCGCGCGGTCTCTTGGGTTCTTCCTTTGGCGTGCCCGGGAACAATGCCACCTTCGACTACATCATCGTGGGTGGTGGTACTGCGGGCCTGACTTTGGCCACCCGTTTGGTAGAGCAGCAGAAGGGCTCCGTGGCCGTCATTGAGGCCGGTGGCTTCTACGAGATCGACAATGGCAATATCAGCCAAGTCCCTGCCTTCGACGGAACGTACACCGGCCGGTCCAAGACGGACTGGCAGCCGTTGATCGACTGGGGATACGTCACCACCCCTCAAGCTGTATGTATCTTTACCCTAATACCACTGAGAACGTCCAGACTAACCCAAGGTAGGGCTCCTACAACGACGAGCTGCACTATGCCCGCGGGAAATGCCTCGGGGGCAGTTCCGCGCGCAACTACATGGTCTACCAGCGCGGCACCACAGCTTCCTACAAGCGATGGGCCGATGCCGTGGGAGACCAGAGCTACACCTTTGAGAAGTTCCTGCCTTTCTTCGAGAAGAGCATCAGGTTCACCCCGCCCAACATGGAACTGCGCTTCAAGAACGGGTCCGCCGAGTACGACCCGCACGTCATGGGCAACGGCTCCGGTCCGCTGTCGGTGACCTTCTCTCACTATGTGCAAGCCTTTGGCACCTGGGCGACCAAGGGACTACAGGCCATTGGCATCCCAATCGTGCCGGGCTTCCAGAGCGGCTCGCTCTTGGGTCAGTCCTACAGCATGTTCACCATCAACGCCACCACCATGGTGCGCGACTCATCCGAGACCTCCTTTTTGCGCAAAGGCCTCGAATACTCCAACTACATGGTGTATCAGACCACCATGGCCAATAAGGTCATCTTTGACAAGAACAAGCGTGCCACCGGCGTGATCGTGGACACTGAGGGTCTCACCTACCAGCTCAACGCTCGTAAGGAGATCATCCTGTCAGCCGGTGCCTTTGGCTCGCCCCAACTACTCCTAGTCTCGGGTGTCGGCCCTGCATCCACTCTGAAGTCCCTGGGCATCCCTGTCATTGCGGACCGGCCCGGCGTGGGCCAAAACATGCAGGACCACATCTACTTCGGTCCGTCGTACCGTGTCAACGCGCCCACCCTGTCGGCGCTGGGATATCCCGACTTCGCCGCCGCTGCCGCGAAGGAATTCAACGAGAACGCTTCCGGCATGTACACCAACCCAACCACCGACGTGATCGCCTGGGAGAAGGTCCCCAAGCATCTGCGCTCGCGCTTCTCGAAGTCCACCTTGGCCTCCCTGGCCACCTATCCCGCTGACTGGCCCGAGCTGGAGTACCTCTCACTGAGCGCCTACCTGGGATATCAGGCCAACCTAGCCACGGGCGACCCGCACGACGGATACAACTACGCCACACTGTCCGTGGCCCTCTGCACTCCCCTGTCGCGAGGCAACCTGACCATCTCGTCCGCCGACGTGCACGACGACCCGATCATCAACCCCAACTGGCTGACCCACCAGTCCGATATTGACGTATCGATCGCAGGCTTCAAGCGGGTACGCGAATTCTGGAACTCCAAGGCCATGAAGCCGTTCGTGATCGGCGAGGAGGCGTTCCCGGGTCCTCACGTTCAGACCGACGCCGAGATCGAGAAGATCATCCGCAAGAGCTTCAACACGATCTACCATGCCGCGTGCACCTGCGCCATGGGCAAGAAGGATAACCCCATGGCGGTGGTTGATACCAAGGCCCGGGTGATTGGGGTCAAGGGACTGAGAGTCGTTGATGCGGCGGCGTTCCCGTTGCTGCCGCCGGGTCATCCCCAGGCTACTGTTTGTCAGTATTTCTGTGTCTTCCTTGGTACTGTGAGTTGCAGAGCTAACCTTGCATGCAGATGCGCTGGCCGAGAAGATTGCGTGCACTATCACCGGTGCTTGTTGAGTAAGGCAAGCTTGGTAGTTCGTTTGGACTGTCATTTTATAGAGCTAGAGTCAGGTTGTGTGGTCTTCAGTGGGCCTAAGTATGTAAAGTTATCTGTAGTCAATATTAAGACAAATATATCTTGTTTCGGTCTTCATTGAATACGCATGAGCACTACTAATAGCCTGATAAGAGCAGCCAAGTAAGTCCCTGAGTAGAATATGTGGTGCTTGGATGCCTGAGGTTCATCCCTCCATGTGTGCGACCCTCGAGAAGTCTCCCTCTTTTTCTTCCCCATTCTCCTTTTCTTTTCTCTTTCCAAGAATCGAATGTTTTCGTTTTCATCCTGAATAGTGTTTCATTCAAGATCCTAACGTCAATCCTAATACTGTCCTCCATTGGATCAATTAGTTCACAATATCATCAGGAAAAAGAGCCGATCCAATTTATCCACTACTCCCTCTCCCACACCCCTAGAAATCTCTCCACCAACCCCATGCCCACAACGTCAACCGTCTTTCTCATCGTCGCGCTATCCCTTCGCGCCACGTCGACTTCAAATCTCGCTCCTCTACCCTTTCCTCCCTGTGTATACGTCTGCTCATAATACTCGACTAGCTTGACAGCCGGATTCTGCTCCTCCTCACCCCTCGCCGCGCTATCTCGCAGGCCGTCTAGCCACTGCGCAAACGGAACGGTCGTGAATTCCAGCCCCGCAGTACGCAGCCGTGACAGCAGATCCAGCCACGCAAATTCGTGCGGATTCACAAGGTTATAGAAAACCGGAGGGTCGATCTTGTTGAATTTACCCGGGACCGGGCCCTGAGCACAGGTATGTGCGATCTCGAGGATGGCCGTTCCGAGGGCGTCGACGGGGAGCCAGCTGCATTTCTATTCATCCCGCACGAGTGGTTAGTATATCTGCTACAGGATAGGATACTGGAGAGAGAAAAGATGTAAGTACCTCCTTTAGATCTGGCAAAATCTTCATCGTCTTCGCAGACCGGATCATCAACGGGATACTTTCGCCCTCGTTCCAAACGCCTTGGACTGTATCCCCGACAACCTGTCCGATGCGCAGCACGTAGCTTCTAGCCCCGCGTCGTGCCGCGTTCCGCACGATATGTTCCCCGACAAGCTTCGACTGTGCGTAGCCCATTCCTGCTGCGAAGCCTAGCTGCTCAATGGGTGCCTCTGGAATCGTCTGCGATGTGGATGAAGCGTTCCACGCAGCCGAGATGGATGAACAGAAGAAAACCTGCGCCGGATCTGGTCGGTGCACAGAGAGCGAGAACTGCAGCAAGTGATGCAGGCCCGCGATATGCGGCTCGAAGCTGTGCAGCGGGATGTTGAAGTTGACCGGCCACGCGCTGTGGATGATCATCGAGACGGACTGGCGCAGCTGGTGCAGGGTGGTTGCGTCGAGGCCAAAGTCCGGCTGGTCGAGCTCGGTGGTTAAGGTGATAATCCGAGTCGGTGATGTGTTGCGTGGGAGGGCGAGGCCTCGAGATTCGAGGGACCGGAGTACACGCAGGATAGGATTCTTGCCGCGACAGAAGCAGTAGATTGTGCCGATGGTATCCAATGATAGGAGTTGGTGCAGTAGATGCGCGCCAATGGATCCGGTGGCACCGGTGAGGATCTGATGTGGTCAGTCTGAAGTCCAGATCTTGCTTGTCTATACACTTACCACAGAATTCCGGTCATCCCGAGGCCCATGACCATTAGGGACCCCATTCAAGTACTTGTGCTCTTGGAAGTGCGAGTATCGCTCGATCAACTCTATCATGCTAGTCTCCTCGTCCTCTGCCACAGTCTCGGTGTGATTGATCAGGGCATACAGATATGCAGCGAGCCTCTTGACGTTTCCTTTATTGTACACAACATTCTGCGGCAAAGTGTGTCCATTCAATGCGACAGTCTTCTGAATAATCCGGCGCATCTGGATCGCTTTGAGACTGTCGACCCCGGCAGTGAAGAAGTCCGTTTCTATAGTCTCTATTGGCATCCCAACAATATCTTGAAAAATGGACTGAAGACATTCCTCTAATCCAGGCAGATCCAGCTGGAGCAGTCCTTCGTGACTCTCGTCTAGCCGAACATACATGTTCTCGATCTGCTCTGCGAATTGACGATAGACTTGTGCGCGTATAATGCTTCTCTTGTCGGTCTGCGGATACGCCACGTCTGAAGGTATCAGAGTCACCATTTCCCTGGTAATCTGGGAGAAGCCCTCAGCCCTGGAGTTTGCATCAGCAATCGCAGGCCAAATAGCATCGAAATAGTCTTCCTCCGAAAGATGATCTCCGGAAGGTGCTCGGAAGACCAAGAGACCGGGGATGGCACGGTCGACGCCGACGACGACGGCCTCGCGAACAATATCTTCTTCGCGAATCCGACCCTCTATGGGGAGCGGAAGCACCTTTTCTCCATTGATGAGGGTTATTCGATCATCGATGCGGGTGACGTACTTCCACGCCTCTGGAATGGTCGGATGAGGCATGAAAACGTCCTTGGAGTGCCAGGATCCTGGAGCGGGGTCGTCTGAGTTGAATGTTGACAGCGCCGAATGACCTTTGAGATACACGCATTCATATAATCCGTCGCCAAGGGGATTCATATAGACGTATTTCCGGATGTTGGCGTAGATGCGGATGTAGTTCCACGAGTCGTCGCCTTTGGTTCGTCGCATCGTATCGCCTGCGAGACCGGCTTCCGTTCTGATTGTCGAGGTCAGCAAAAGTACCAAGCCACAGCGTTATGAATGTCTCATGATGTGGACTCACGTCCCAAACACAATCCCTAGGTTTACTCCCTCTTGGACCAGCCGATCGCCCAGTTCGTCAGGAGTACGGGCTCCTGCCCCCGTCACGACTTGACATCGCCGCAGCAGCTCAACTCCCCGGGGCTTCTCTGCCATCAGACCCAGCACGTATGGCACGGTATGAACGGCTTCTGGTTTTACGGTCTCCAGAATCTCGATCAACGCATCTGACGTGATCGGCATGGCGGCATTGTACAGATGCGCTGTCCTGCGCATCCACATCGCCTGCAGCGATGTCGAGACGCCGTATAGATGGTACCACGGCAGAGCGTTGAAATTGTGCAGTCCCGATCCCTGTGTGGGATGGGTGAGAAGGGCCCGGTGCGTGAGCGTCACAGCCTTAGGGAGTCCTGTCGATCCCGAGGAGTGCATGATCAACGCCGTCGCGGTATTCTCTTCATCTCGATCGATGGCCCGGGTGAACCGCTTCTCGATGCCCAAAGGCTGGTCATATTCATTGCGCGAGGGGATAGCATAAGTCCTGATGGGGAAGTCGGCATTGACGTTCTCCACCGTCGACAGGATCTGCGCCGTATCTCCATGCACCACTGTGCTGCAGTCAGTCTGCTTTAGGAGGTTGATGACTGCAACAGAGGCGATTCGCAGTGATAGGGCCAAGACTGTGTGGCCGAGACGACTGAGTGCGAAGAAGGAGACGATAAAGTCGACATTGGACGGGGCGAGGAGGCCCACGACTTTGTGCTCAGTCTGTTAGACTACGGTTAGCGAGGTATATCCACACGACCGTATGAGCTCGACTGCATGGTTTTCGTACCGTGTTCAATCCCAAAGACAGATATCGTCTGGCCGCTCCATCAATCAACCGATCTAGATCACGCCCTGTGAAGTACTCATAGTCCGCTACTGTTCCGGGGCGTGGATAGGCGAGAATTGGCGCGGGAGGATCATCGGCAGCCCGGTGGCGGATGATGTCGTCGAGGACTTTTAATTCCCCAAATTTGTCGTATAGATATTTGACGTGTTCTTGGGATAAATGAGCCATGGTGCTTGGAATACACAGTCTTTGGCTAGTCTACTCTGCAGAGAATGTCTGGCGGCGTCTCTACGGAAGGGGATTTAGGGTAACGCTCCTTGAATACTCCTAGGCCTACTCACTAACTCTTGACTAGGCATGGGAAATCTACCTTATCGTACGCTTACAGGAAGTGTCGAGGCTTACTCCGAAGCCCCTTCGAGCGAGCTGAGTAGAAACAAGAACACAACTTCCAAGGTTCTCTCTACAAGTGTATTTGATTATGTTCCGACCAAATGGTAAGCACAACTGGAGAAACAAGAACCCGGAGGTCAAACAAGGATACTCCGGGGGATGAGACTCCGCAGGTTGATCTTCTGTATAAACGGAGCCTAAGAGGAGATAGAGGAGTTTAGTCCGGAATCAAAAGTGGAAAAGTATAATGCTTGTTTTTCCGGAGTTCACCGTCAGGCTGATTAAGTTGGCCTCTGTCCCAAAAGGAACTCCATGATCTCCGGTTATGCGGGGAGAATTTTCCTGGGTAAGCATCGGAAATTCTTACTTTATCGTCCCTGCATGTCGATCTCGGTCTAGTGCTGACGACATCCAACAGTATTCAAGGACGAGGAGCGATGAATGGCCAGTTTCACGGATAACTATCGTCTGCAATGCAACATCATCAGCTCAAATTCTTCCTATCTAGGCCCTCCGAAACTACAATGGCGGCGTATCCATAAGCAAATAGCCCATCTGGCGCTCTGCCACGCGCGTGCCATGCACCTCTGCGCTCTCGATAGCCTTGCTTATCTCTCGAATCTCCGGCTCCGACAATCTAACCGCATACGCTCCCATATTCTCCTCCAGATACTGAATCCGTTTCGTCCCCGGAATCGGAAAGATATCCCCCCCCTGCGCCATCATCCACGCCAATACGAGCTGACCGGACGTGCAGTCTTTCCGCGCCGCGATCTCCTGCAGAGTCTCGACCAGTTGCAAGTTCCTCGGGAAATTCTCGCGTGAGAATCGGGGAATCGACCGCCGGAAGTCATTTTCGTCGAAGTCATTGATCGACTTGTACGCGCCCGTCAGCATCCCCCGGCCGAGCGGCGAATATGCCACCGTGGCGATGCCCAGCTCCCGACAGGTAGCCAGGAGACCCGTCTCGGGCTTTTCGATGTCTCGTGAGAACGGGCTGTATTCGATCTGGTACGCGTGAATGGGATAGACGGCACTCGCACGACGGAGTGTATCGGTGCCGCATTCGCTCAGACCAAGGTAGCGCACCTTTCCGGCGCTATCATCTCTCCGTCAGTTATATTTCTTTTTCTTTTGTGATCGGAACAAACTTCCACGCAACACGTGCAGAATAATAGGTTTCGGGGAGGTAAGCACTTACTCAACGAATTCCTTCATGGTCGCAACAATGTCCTCAACGGGCGTTTTACCACTAAACCGATGACTGGTAAATCGCTCCTCGTCAGCATCTCCGCACCCAGGATAGGAAACACCCTCGCAGAACGCAACGCCACATTGAGTGGTCCCATACATACCAGTACAACAAATCAATATAGTCCGTCCCCAATCGCTTCAGACTCTCTTCCACAGCCTCGCGGATATAGGCGGGGTCATTGCATATCTCGCGACCACCGTCAGGCGACACTTTGTTGCCGAATTTGGTAGCCAAGAAGATCTAGTTCGATGGTCAGATCGTCGGCACCAAAGACCATACCTGGCACATGATGCTGATAACGGATTATAGGAGCACACTAAGTGGCTCAAGTGGCACAACATACCTCATTTCTCTTCCCCGTCCTCTTGAACCACCGACACAATAACTCCTCGCTATCGCCATACAGCTGCGCCGTGTCCCAGTGAGTACAGCCGAGCTCGTACACTCGATCAAGCAGCTTCAGGCGCTCGTCATCGGGAGTGGGAGTGCCGTAGAATGCTATCCTCAAGGCGTTAGTCAATGAGTTAATTATGTAGTACGAGTTATTCTGTTCTGACGTTCTGGGCCGGGTCTGTGCTCTCAATGACAATGCCAATGGTAAGGCTGACTGAGATAGGGAGGGGCAGTGTTTGTTGAGGCTGAGGACGCACCGCTTAGGCCCATCAGGCCGAACCCTAAGGCGGGGATCTCGGGGCCGTTGCGGCCGAGAGTTCGGGTGGGAAGTTTGGTTGGAGAGGACATTTTGTGCTTCCTTGGTTGTTTGGTTATTTGGTTAGTTGGTTGAATGAGTTACAATTTAGTGGTGGTTGAGAAGGACATGCTGTGCGTACTTTATAACTTGACTACTTGGTGATTACCCGTACGAACAATCCGGACTGGAAGCCCGCTGGAGTTACCGAAGGGAGCGGCTACGAATTCGGCACCTGGACGGGTGTGGACTGAACAGGAAAGTCCTGCGACTCCGGGGAAGACCGTCTTGCGGGATCATCATTCTTTCATAAGCAGAAATATTCTCGTTATATTTCTCTCTCTCTAGTTTCTAGATACCGTTCATTCTAGTGATCACCGTTCCATCTCCATGTCCAACCAGGTAATTATCTAGTGGAACCCGTTCGCCTCAATAATGCTAGGCTTCCACTTGATCAGAGTGACTCCGTCGTACACGGGCAGCAAAACACTATCGATGCGATCGTCTCTCTTGCAGAACGTGTTGAACTTCCGCAGGGCAATGCCGTTCGCCGTCCAGTAGGCACGGGACTTCTCAGCCAGGTAGGGGTTGGCATCAGCAGAGATGGTCATACCGCGGGCGAAGACTAAATAGTTGGTCGGCGGGTCAGCACATCTAGTTCGATTGCAAAGTCATGATAGATACAGGGAGGGGGTATCTCACCGTTGTCGCACATGATGAAACCCTTCGGGCTCAGGAGTTTCTTGTCCAGCACAGTCTTGACATACCCCTCGTAGCCTTCCTTGTTGGCGTCCACGAAGATAATGTCGAAGGTGCCGGTGAGCTTCTGCAGGGAGTCCTGCGCAGGGCCCTCGATCAGGGTGACGCGGTCGTTGAGGCCGTACTTGTCAAAGGTGCGGCGCGACGCGGCGATCATCTTCGGGTCTAGTTCCAGAGTGATGATCTCGGCCTGTGTTGAAACAGTGCTCTCGTACCACGCAAGGGCGCTGTAGCCGGTGTAGCAGCCGATTTCGAGGACTAAGGGGGTGAATGAGAATGAGGCGAGATTTTTGGAATGGCACGAAGAAGAAGGGAGATCTTACCGCGCTTGGCTTGCTGGTGCTCCGCGAGGAACTTCATCGTGGCGCCCTGCAGAGGCGAGGACATCTTGTCGGCGTCCTCGAATTCCTCGGAGGTCCATTTCCAGAGTTCGTTCATGTTGTCGGATACATCGTTGGAGACATTGGTGCAGTACTCAGTGACCTGAGCAGCCTGCTCGGGCTGTAGAGGGAGGAGTTGTCAGTAGCTGTCTGGGGGGATCAGGTTACGATTCTCAAGAGTCCATACCGTGAAGGATAGAACGCTGGTAAGCATCTTGGTGGTATTGGTTGATGAAAGGGTTGGGAGTTTGAAAGTTTTGAGAGTTTTGCTGTTGGAAGAAGACTTGATTGTTTTGATCTGGGAGTCTGGTCTGAGGGTATTGCACGGACTCAACCGTAGTATTTATATCCAATTCGGTTGCCGAAAGTCTTCGCCTTCCAGGTAGCAACGGCCTCTGAGGTGTTGAGATAGGCGTCCATTCTGCTCCCTCCCTGCGGAGTACTGGAAGTCGGTTTGGACCCCAATCCGTATGCATTTCTTCACAGTATCGGAATCTCCAAGGTATCGAAGCTCTGCGTCTCCTTGGGGAATGCCATCGTAATCTCCGGACGCATCTTCATTCCAACTCCGCCGACTAATAGACCGTTGCATTTGCCGCTCCGTGGTCAATGTTGACGTGTCTAAGGCAGATCAGTTTTGGCAGCTTGACAGGAGTTCCGTACGGAGTATGCACCTCGTAGGGCTCGGAGCCCACGGGCTTCCAAAAGGAGATATCCAGCAATCCTTCAAGATGGTAAACTACTCCAGTCTCCGGTCTGAGGTGAGATTCGGATGGGTCTTACCGTGTGTAGATAGACGGGGTTACTATCATTTGCGCTTGAGCTAACCCCAATTTTTTGGCAGCGGTAGATAGGAGAGATATGCCGAGACCGAACTGTAATGGTAGAAGGGCCAGCGAGAACAAAACAGAGACCCCAAAACGGGTTGCATCTGGATACAGTCTTTCTCCATCTATCTACTTAACTTGATGGTGGTTCCTGGCCTCCGTGCTGTCCATTAGCATAGCTCACACTTATTCCACCATGTCCCAAGCGGCTCCTCTCCGCGAGGATATCCACCCCATCTTTCAGACCACCAATGCAAGCCCTAACCGGCTAGTACATTTGATTCCAGATGAGTTGGCAAGCGCAGTACCGGATCATCCACTCTTCGCGTACCCAAAGACGGCCAAACCTCAGGATGGCTTCGTAGACGTCTCCTGCAAAACATTCGCTGATGCAGTCAACCGAGTGAGCTGGTACCTGAGGTACCTCTTGGGACCTCCCAAGAACTTTGAGACAATTGGGTATATGGGACCTAGTGAGTTCTTGCTTGTCATGTCGCTTTCCCCTGATTCTGACGCCCGAGTCGAAAGGTGACATACGCTACTTTTTGTTCATGTTCGGGGCCATCAAGGTTGGCTATAAGGTAATCATTTTACTCACTCCCTCGAGATGGTGTGATAAGGGCTCATTGAACCTCTAGATGGTTTTCGTGTCCCCTCGGAATAATGTCGAGGCCCATGTGAATGTCCTCGCCGGCGTGGACTGCCATGTGTTCCTCCGAGCCAAGGAGACAAACATCGACGCTATCTTGAAAGAGAGGCCGATGCTTTCTTGGGTTGTCCCAGAGCTCGAGGAATTCCTCATGGATTACCCAGTGGCAATATATCCTTACAACAAGAGCTTTGAGGAAGCATGGTCGGACCCATGTCTTGTGCTCCATACGACTGGATCAACCGGTCTTCCGAAACCGATCACTTGGAACGTCGGTATTCTTAGCACGTATGAAGCCTGGAGGACCATTCCAGAAGTGGACGGATACGTTCCGACGACAGAGGTATATCAGCAGTCTCGACGAGCCTATACCTCTATGCCACTTTTCCATACGAGCGGGCTGAATGCCGGCATAACGTGGGCTATGCTGCTTGGCGTCACTCTGGTTTACGGTGCGCCTCAGGTCATTCCGAATGCGATATACGCAGATGAAATGCATCAATATGCCAACGTAGATGCATCTATGGGAGCACCATCGATATATGAGGAACTTTGCCGTAACCCAGAGGCTCTTGAGAGGATCAATCGGCTCCACTATGTTGTCGCCAGCGGTGGTAAGTTGCTTATTTACACTCACTTTGCCCTCTGATTTAAACTGCGAGATACTGACCATCCTTAGCTCCCCTGTCTCACAAAGCCGGTGACCTCATCTCAAAACATACGCGGGTCATCTGCAATCTCGGGGCAACCGAAACTGCCTGCCTGCAACGACTATCTCCCTCCATCGACGACTGGCCCTACTTCCACTGGCATCCTACCCATTCCGGTATCCAAATGAGGGAGGCATTGGACGGACTATACGAGCTCTTCATTGTTCGGGACCCAAATTTGAAACTCTACCAGGGAGTGTTCAACACGTTCCCTGATATTGAGGAGTGGTCAATGAGAGATCTCTACTCGCGGCATCCGGACCCATCCAAGCCTTTCCTGTACATGTACCAGTGCCGAAAGGACGACGTGATCGTCCTCAGTAACGGTGAAAAGATTGCACCCGCTTTAATTGAGGCGACGCTGATGAGCCACCCGCTCGTCAAAGGAGCCATGGTAGTTGGCCAGGGACGGTTCCAGCCTGCCGTGCTGATTGATCTGCTCTGCGACGTGCCCCGCGACTCGACAGAAAAATATCAGTTGTTGGAAAGCATGAAGCCAACCATTGCCGAGGCTAATACACATGCGCCTGGGCACGGAAAGCTGGATCAGTACCACATTTTGTTCGCGGACTCATCCAAGCCAATCAAGTATCTCGGACAAGGAAAGATTCAGCGAAAGAGCACATTCCACTTGTACGAGCAAGATATAGAGGAATTATACAAGACAGCCGATGAGGCCGTTGAGCATTCTGAGTTCCTGAACCTCCCTACTCTGGAACTCAACAATCCTGCGACCGTTGCATCGTGGTTGCAGCAGTTGATCAAGGAAATCACTGACCTGGGGCCGTTGCAACCAGATACCGACCTTTTCGCAGCGGGGATTGACTCGTTGCAGGTGATCCAGATGGCACGCGAATTGCGATTCCAGGCGAGAGAACTGGGTATGGGGGAAAAATCCGCTCAGATGTTTCCTCCAGCATCGGTATACACCCATCCAACCGTTGATCAGTTGACTAGCCATATATTAGATCAGCTAAGCGTGACGCCATCATCCGGTGATCATTCCATTGCAACAAATGGCTCACATGCAGACGAAAGCTTTCCACTTGCCCAAATGCACCGACTGTTCCAGAAATACTGCGATAACCTACCGCAGTCGAGCGGCCGTCTTCCTCCTCCACCCTCGAAGAACATGGTCGTTCTTCTCACTGGCAGCACAGGCTCTCTTGGGTCATATCTTCTTGACGAGCTCCAGAGGGACGAGAATGTATCGCACATCATCTGTCTCAATCGAAGCGCCGATGCTGCCCACAGACATACCCAACTTGGCTTCCAGCGCGGTCTTAGCAGCGTAGAATTTGGCCGCGTCGAATTTCTACAGGCAGACCTCTCACAGCCAAAGTTCGGTCTTGAAGACGCGGCATATAGTCGATTACTCCAGACTGTAACTCATGTCATCCGTGAGTACTTTTTAACGACAAGTGTTTGATCACATATTGACCTCCAACAGACAATCAATGGGCAGTCAATTTCAATTGGAAACTCGCCAGCTTCGAGCCATTTATCCGAGGGGTTCGCCATCTCATTGACTTTTCCCACGCCTCTGCCATGCATTCTTTCATCACTTTCATCTCCAGTGTCTCCGCTGTTGGCTCCTGGGATTCACCACACCCTGTGCCCGAAGGGCCCATTCATGACTTCTCCGTTGCTGCGAAGATGGGTTACGGCCAGTCAAAATTGATTTCTGAATGTCTTCTCGACAAGGCAGCCGAGGTTTCTGGGGTACAATCTGCATGCTGTAGAGTCGGGATAGTCGCAGGCCCAATTGAACAGCCTCTGGGTTTGTGGAACCCCAACGAGTATATTCCTTCGGTGGGCTCTTTTCCATCCCAAAACACAATGAACATAGCTGACTTTCGACTCAGATATTCATCTCTTCGGTGTATTTGAACGCGTTCCCAGTAACCTTCCCATCTAGAGACCGACTGGACTGGATCCCGGTCGACAAGCTTTCCAAAGTCCTGTTAGAGATTCTCCGCTACTCGACGGAATCGAATGAGACTCAATTGCCCTCGGGGACACACGTCTACCACGTCATCAACCCATCATGGACATCTTGGTCTGAGATTGCGCCGGAAGTCCTGGCTTGTTATCCTGATAAGCTAGATATACAACCTGTTTCTTTCGAGAATTGGGTAGAGGACTTGAAGAAAGCCGTTGAGACGACAACAACTGACCCCAAAGCCAACCCGGCCGCCAAGCTACTTGACTTCTTCAAGAACGCGGTTCACGAGTCAGCTGAAGCTCGTATGTTGCCACCCATCCGTGCGCAGGAGGCCAGTTCTCTGTTACGACGCGTAGGATGCGTGAACACACTATGGATCAGTAATTGGATGCGTCAGTGGGGGATTATCTCGGGCGGATCGAGTGAGAGTAGTTTCCCGAGCGAGGATAGTCTTGGGTCTGGCAGTAGTAGCGGCTTCCTGCCATTGAACTAGATCCAATGCTGAAGCAGAATATTCAATTGGGTCAGTTCGCGCATTTGTACCTTGATATCCAGCTTTTTGACCAGGACAGCCTTGGCCTGGCGCTGAAATATATAGTTCATCTTTGACTTGGTGAATCGAGTAGTTCTGTGGGGGTTGGCTCCCACAACTCAACGCTAGATCATGATATTCAGAGATAACTTGAATAACGAAAGAAATGTTACGAGAGTTCAAAGGATGAGAAAGTAGAAACAGAGCCGGAGCAGAAAGAGCGATGGACGGCGCTGACTAAGTCGGGATCGACACGTGCCTGGGATCGTCTCCGCGCGTCTCCAATTTATTGTCCGTTCTCTTCTTTCCCTTCAGTTGGTAAAAGAAGTCATTCAAATCAACCCCAATCATGCTGTCCACAATGAGGCTGTGGCCGTCATTATCATCGCAAATGCGCATATCGCTCCCTCGAGCTGTACCGAGAAACTTCGGCAGCAGACCGTCGATCCGGCGACTCGCGACTCCGATTCGAAACTCATCGTCCTCGACTGCCACAACGCATGCGAGAAACGCCATTCGACGAGGTAGAATAAACTTCAATGCGCAAGGAAATGGAGAACAACGCTAATTGGAAGCGACAGCTCCCCCGGAACGGATTCTAATCTATCAGGCTGGAACCAAGAGAATCAATTTCATCGGAGCGATGCGGATCACGACGATCTTAATGTTTGGCACTGCTTGTGTCCTCATTGCCCCGGCTATGGATGGCAAGGGCGAAGAGAGATGGAAAATTGGTTGTGGTAAGAACCAGCGTTCTGCGCGAGAAGGGTTCGTTGGGCTAACCTCATGCGTCCAGTTATCGCTGCCAGTGCCATTCCGATGATATTCGTTGCCCACGTAGCTGCCCCGTACGTGAATTTCATACACCTCAACCTTCCAGTATTTGCTCGACAATCTCGGGAAACTGCAATTCAATATGCGATGAATCTCCCGCCGACGGCAACCCTCTATATCAATACCATGAAATTCTCGGCTGGTCCGCGTCTCACCAAGGTACGGCTTGCGGACCTGGGCCCGTGCAAGTCTGGCTTCCCACCAGTGAATTTCCGACTACGCTACAACAGGGACGCTACTACTGTCAACAGTCTCTTTAACCAGTACAAGTTCTTCACTGAGCCAACGTGCCCACCAGGACCGCCTTCGAAGGCTTTCTTCCCTCAAGTTTGGGAGACAGTATTCAAGAATATCCAGAGTCAACGCAATCCGTACCGAAGAAACATAAAGTCAGAAAATTGACGTTTTGGTCTGCCCGGAGCTTTCCTTCATCTTTGTAATTGTAAACAAACTGAAGTGTGCAGGCCTGGGTGACCAGACATTCACTCGCCCAGCCTAAGGGACCTCCCATTCTTTCTCACCTTCAGTTCATTCCTCCGTTCCCTCCACTTCTGTTTCGTCCTTACTTTTTCTAAAGTCCTTTCTAATCTGGTTCACTTCTTCTCTTCTATCTTCCTTGTTCTTTGCCCATATTCCACCACCACACCTACCTTGACTCATCTCAAGGACATCTTCCCCCACCACCTTCGCTTCACTCGTCCCTCTTCCTACAGCAACTTTTATCATCACCTTTCTCTACACTAGTCTTCGATCTACGTGAAAAAAAAATCACTACTCTACTCTCAATCATGTCTGCTGCTGGGGTTGCCAAAATCTCTGCGGCTGCGGTGGCCAAAAATAAGCCAGAGGGCCTGCTGGGCCTCTCTGTCGCCGAAGCCAAGGCCCTGCTTCTTGGTATTGTCTGTGAGGAAGGTGGCAGGGTGAGTTATGAAATACGCTTTCGCAGGTTTCTAAACAATGGAGTCTCATCTTTTGCTTTTCTACAGGTTGATATGGAAAAGCTTGCTCTGAAGTACCCGTACAAGAACAGCGCCTCCGCCAGCACCTCGTACCGCAACGCCAAACGCAGGCTCCTAGGAATCGACACCAACGGTGCAGTCGATGGCTCTACTACGAACGACGCAGCCTCTCCCGGTGGTGCGTCAGCTGTCAATAGCGCGACTACCACCCCCAAGAAAAGATCTCCCGTCAAGCGCAAGAAGCCTGCGCCCATTGACTCCGAGGCTGCTGCCGGCCCCGCCGACGAGGCGAGCGGCTCTCCCAAATCAAAGCGACAGAGAAAGACCCCCGTGAAGAAGGCTCCTGTCGTCAAGAAGGAGGAGCTTGGCGAAGAAGAGTATGTTCTTCTCTCCCCAACCTAGTCCCTCTTCCCATGCTAGAAGAGTCCACTGACAGTTCAACAGCGACGAGAATAACGAGGGTATTGTTAAGCCCGAGCCCAATGTCGACGACAAGAGTCAGCTTGCCAACGTAAAGATGGAGGACGCTGATGAACATGCCGAATACGGTGACTTGGAAATGGCGCAGCCGCAGACCAGCATGTCGCTGCAGGCGCTTGACACTGTTGAGGACGACCTGAGAAGCATTGACCTCGATGCCGAGCTTGATGCTTTGGATACCCCCAAGACCGTCAAGGGCGAGGATGATCTCAACGATGAGATCATTGCCCTGGGTACTCCCGAGAGTATCAAGGACGACCTTGAGGAGGTCTAGGTCTGGGTTTCTCTCCCAGATGCCGGTCTGTTTTCTCTTATGGATCCTTCTCTTCCCGTTGATCTTGTGAAACATGCATTCATTGCCAGTGGTCTCTTTTTGCTTATTTTTTATCCCCTTGTGTCTTTTGAAGGTTTTTCATTTGACTGAGGCGGGAGCGTTGGCTGGATTTGACTGGCTTCGGCGATCCCTTGTCCTTTGTCTATGACCTGGACCAGACTTGGAGGTTTTCCTTGTGTTCCTCGGTCCATGGAAGACGAGCGCTTTCTTTTTTCTTTATGGGGACAGTTTATGACATGTTGCTTCTTTTCTGTATTTGGGGGGGGGGGGGGGGTTCACATTCATGGTTTATTTAGTTGATCTGTGATCTGGCCACTGAAGTCTAAACAAAACCAAAAAAAATTTTTGCTCAGCAATAAAAATGCTTACCCCCCTCTATCTTGCTTATGTTTCAACCGTAGCTTCGCTTCCAAATAATCCCAAGGAAATCTACAAATACCACAGAAGCGCGACAGAAGGGCGCGAGTGTCTACAAAAGCAGGTTTGAAGGTCGAACTGAAGTGATCAAAGAATAATATCTCTAAACGATTCTGTAGATAAAAGATACACCCGAGAGAGAATCTACCCGAAATTAAAACGTCGCTGGCCTGATCGCCATTTTGCAAAGAAACCATAACGCCGGACAACGCGCCATCAAGCAGAGCGTACATAGCTCATAGGAGATGAAATATCCGCAAATGAAACAAAACATAGCACGAAATGACAACAATCTTTCATCAAATTTCACACATTGACGCCATGGTCACTCTCTCGGACAAGATCAAGAGTCTTGTGACTTCACAGCGCCTCAATGGCTTTCCGGAGCACTTCCAGACTACGCTCCGTGACCTCGTCCTGTCCGGCATCATTCTCAGTGGACGACGATGAAGACTCGCGCAGAGCCCAGGCGACATCGCTCCACCAGCCCAGACCGACAAAGCCGCCGCCCTTACGACGCTCCAGGCTCTCCTTCAACCGACTAGTATGTTCCCACTGCTTCGCGGCGTCTTCGGCGGTGTCGATGACCTTCTTGGGAATACCGCACATGGACGCGCAGTGCATACCAAAACTGCCCTCGGCTACGCCTTCCTCGAGTTTGTACAGGAAGGTGATCCGTTTCTCTTCGTCGTCGACGTGGATCTTCATACGCTTCGGGGATATCTCGGGGTGGCCTTCGAATTCGGCGGCGAGGGAGTGGTAGTGCGTTGCGAAGAAGCCGAGAGCACCGATGTGCGTGGCGACGTGATGCAGGACTGCCTGGGCGACGGCGACTCCGTCGTAGGAGCTGGTTCCTCGACCCAGTTCATCGAGAATAACGAGAGACCGGGGCGTGGCTTCGGATAGAATCTTCTTCGTCTCGGACAGTTCCACGAAGAAGGTCGACTGGGCGGCGAAGATGTTGTCGTTGGCGCCCAGACGCGACATGATCCGATCGACTGGAGTCAGGCGTGCCGATTCACAGGGCAAGTAGCAACCGATCTGAGCCATGATCACGGCAACACAGGTCTAGAAAACAATTAGGTGAGCGGGTTGATATCAGGAGGACAGTAGGCTGTAACATACCATGCGAAGAACTGTAGACTTTCCGGCAGCATTAGCACCAGTAAGGAGATCGATGTTGCCACAATCTCCTCCCAGGCGCACATCGTTCGGAATAAAATCGTCCACCGAGGAGAGGAGACAAGGATGCCGCAGCTCCTCGAACTCCAAAACGCTCCGCTCGTCCTCGACGAACACGGGACGACAGCTCGGCTGCCCCAATGCAGCCGAAGCTTTAGCCAAGCTAATCAAACAGTCTAGATTAGAAATAATTCGGACAGCGGCGAGCCAGGTAGTGTAGTGCTCATCAAATCGCGCATAGAATCGGCCAGCGACTTCCTTGACGATCTGACTGTGCGTTTCTTGGGTCTCCAGCAATTTGCGGATGAGAGCGCGCAATTCAGGAAAGTAGTAGCGCTTGACCTGCTTGGTGGCGGACATTTGATCCCAGGTCTTGGGAATGTTCTTCACCTTGATCGGCACCTCAAGCTGATAAATTTCTTTTCCGTTGTCCTTGTAGCATATAGCACTAGAACCGAGTTCGCGACGAGTTCGCTTGAGTAGGTTATCGAGATCATTGTGCAGTTGCTCAATGCAGTCCTGTGACTTGTCGAAATCTTCTTCAACCCCAGGCTTCGGGACCAAAATTCCATTCTCCTTGGCTTTCATGCGATCAAAGGCGGTCTTCCAGTATTCAAGTAATTCGTTCAAATCGGGCATGCCATTGATCAGTTTACCAATGACCCCTTCTCCCGAGCCACTTTCTTTTAGAAGGCTCATCGTGTACTCGATCTGCTCAAACCCCTCCAAGACACGCACGAAGTCCTGCGCCTTACAATTGGCTGCGTGGATACGAGAGATGAGACGTTCCAAATCAGGCATCTTGGTCAACTGAGACGAGAACTGATCTCGAACGCTTGGATCTGCGTTGAGGGAATCAACAGCATCCAATCTGGCGTTGATTTTCTTGGAGTCCATCAAAGGATGACACACCCACTGCTTGAACATTCGCTTGCCAAAGGGGGTGATGCAGCGGTTGAGGAGCTGGAAGAGTGTTCCTTCCGCACCACCATCGAATGAATTGGCGAAGATCTCCATGTTGATAAGCGTTTGGCCGTCCAGCACCAGACTAGAAGCCTTCTTGATTGGATCGTAGGCGGTAAAGTTCCCGATGGTTATCAGGTCACGGTCGAGCTTCAGGATCCTGAGATATTGGACCAAGGCGCCAAAGGCAGACATAACAAACTCCTTGTTGCGAGCTTCGCGCAGAGCTTCAGGCCATGCTGCGATATTGTCTTCGTCCTGAGAGACAAAGTATTCACTCGCATCCAGTTCTTTGACCGTTATGTCAGCTTCCCAGAATTCCTTGCCTGGTTTCAGGTGGTTCCAGATCGTCGTGGGACCAGTGTTGTTCTTCAGGATTCGGAGGGCTTTTGGCGAAACCGTCGATTTTTCAAGTAATAGTTCCTGTGGGCGGGTCTGCGCAACGAAGGTCTCGAATTTGGTCATATCCGCATCATCCACAAATTCAGAAAGGAAGAACTGCCCAGTCGCGGTATCCACGAATGCTATGCCAAAGGTCGGGAGGTCATTGATAATGGCCTCCTTGATTGCCACGCAGTACGTAGACATATCGTCCTGAAGCATAGAACCCTCGACCAGGGTACCGGCCGTAAGAACAGAGGCAAGCTCTCGCCTGATGATTTTGTCTTCCTTGCCACCCTTCTTGCCATCCCTTTCGCGCATTTCCTTACCCAACGCAGATTCGGCTTGGTCCACGCGAGCAATCTTGAAACCTTTGGCCACGAATTGATTCGCCCAGTGATCCAAACTCATCTCGGGAACACCGACCATGCGCATGTTGACACGGTCGGTAAGCTTCAAGTCGAACAATTGGTGACCAACCGTGGCATCATTCTCGTAAAGCTCGTAGAATTTGCCCTTCTTGAAAAACACGACAGTATCCCAGAACTTTTGCTTGATTTCCCAGTATTGCTTCTCAAACGGAGAGAACTTCGACCAGGCAAGAGGAGGTATATAAAGGGTTCGAGGATCATATTCGGGATGGCCGATAGGGTTGCCGTCAATATCGCGAATCTTAGCCAACCAAGCGTAACGCTGTTCCGGCTCGGTGACATGTGCTTTTTGCTTGACTGGACCAGAAGATGGCTTCGCAGAGGGCTGGGGGGCTCGGTTCTGTCGAGGTTCGGGATTCTCGGGGTCGTATGTCCACTTGAGCGCCGTACCAGCTGAGCCTTCCGGAATATCCATATCAAGCTCTTCATCGGCCTCAGCTGCAGGTGGTAAAGAGGACGATTTGCTTTTCGCGGGAGCTGACGGTCTCTTGCGCTTTTTGGTCGGCTTCGCTTCTTCATCCGACTCGTCGGCAACTACAAAGTCATCCATTTCTGAGAGTTGTTAGAACCATGGCCCCGGAGGTATAGCATAGAGGGTATAATCTGGATAGAACTGACCGTCATCCGAATAGCCGACGTCGGCGTCACCTTGGTCAAACTCGTCTTCGCTTTCGGGGGATGTCTTCCGTCGTTTCGATGCGCGACTGTTCTGTCGCCCGGGGCGGAATATAGCCTCGTCGTCATCTTCGCCTTCCGAGTCAGATTCAGCATAGCTGACCTTCTTCTTAGCCTATTCACTATCAGTACCTCTCATTCACCACAGAATCGGAGCCATAGTGAATCAAATCGCATACCCGACGAGATGGAGAAGCCGTCTGTTTATTAGCCTATTCATGAAGATCATTGTCAGTTTACTACTCGGAGGTTGTACTGCAGACGTAACCATACCTCAGACTTGCTGACTTCCTCTTCCTCCTCCTCTTCCGGAATCATCAAGTCACTACTAGGAACAGATGCTAAGTCGGAAAAGGCCGGGACGCTCTTCTTCTTGGTCGCGCTTGTTGCGCGCTGCTCGGATGCCCGCTGAGCGGGCGACGACGCGGGCTCAGCATTGCGGGCAGTCGCTGGAGTTGAGGGCGAGGATTTCTGGAAAAAGCCGAGAATGGACTTCTGGCTGCGCATGTTCTGGGAGCTGGGAGTCGCGCGTTTCAACGCAGACGGAGGAGTTGCGGTCGTAGAGGATGCGGCGGGCGCACCTTTGGCCATGGCGGATGTTTAATTAGGGCAATTAAATGAGTGACATTCGAATGATGCTTTTTATGAAATGATATACGCGATCACAGAAAGTTAGGCAGAGAAAGGATAGATCAAGTTGGTAGGGGCATGGGGCATGGGAGACGGGGGGGTCGCAGGCGGGAAAACGTGATGGATCGAAAAGGCGGGCGGCAACGCGTCGACGCGTTTAGTGGTTTCTCGTGCTTCCCGCCGGACTGCGACAGAGACACCGTTTGCACCTCCTTTCTTGGACCGAAATTCAGGAAGGAATATTGGGAGATTGTGCATCTGTTTATCTGTATAGATATAAAGGGTCATTATATACATATGTCTATCTAATAATACATGATTAGTCGTGTATGGCGGAGTCGAGGTGCTTCTAATACGCGACGCTTTTCTGGCTTCAAATAGCCCATGGCCCATCAGCATGGCCACCCGTTTATTGCTTCGTTGGATCGGAATCAGAAGACTCGGATTCCGACACCTCCGGCTCCCATCCGGGCGCGCTGAGGCCGAGCTGCTTGTACTCCTCGTCACTGACAATCGTCACGGTCTTGAACTTCCACTTGCCCAACTTCAGGAACAACAGTTTGCCATCCACAATGAATTCTTTGGTCTTCGACCCAGGCCATGATGTGATGGGCGTGAAGGAGAGGTCATCCGACATCATGCCGCTATCCCCGCCACGGCTTCCGACATAAGCACCCTTGTTTCCGGCAATACGATGCCCCTCGCTCTTCGATGCGACCAATCCGGCGGACCAGAGGACCTTATGCAACGGCTGGTTATACACCAAAGACTCGGGCAGAGTTACTTGGATGCTCGGCATGTTCGTGAAGTTGACTTGCGGTGCGTGGGCGTTGCCCGCTTGCGGGTTGTCGAAGGATGCTGTTGGCAAGTTTGAATTTTTGGCAGGGGCGCGAGTTGTCTTGGGCATAGGAGTCGGCTCCGCCGTCGAGGATCGCGACCTGAACAACTGGCGGTGTTGCGTAGCGACGGCGTCCGCCTCCTGCTTGCCATGGATGAGTTCAACGAACTCAGACGCCAAAGCATGCTGTGCGACCCGTTTGGACGGGTCTTTGACCTGCTCTTCCATGATCTTCGTGATTTCAGGGATGGGAATGAAGGTGAACATCTTCAAGTAGCGCTCAACTACGTCATCGGGAGTGCGGACAAAGAACTACAATCAGTCAGAATAGTACTCGAGTAGAATGGGACATGTCCGAACGAACCTGATACAGCTCGAATGTCGAAGTCATATCTTTGTCAAGCCAAATAGCGTTTCCGGCAGACTTGCCGAATTTTTCACCGTTCGGAGCCGTTAGCAACGGCGTAGTAAAGCCAATTGGCTTGTCGAGATCGTCATCCAGAGGATTACGCTCTAGTTCCATGGCAGTGTTTTTGCTGATGGCCTTAACAGCGTCCATTCCAAAGAGGATATTTCCGTACTGATCCGAGCCTCCTACCTGAACCTGGCAGCCTTTTTTGAAGAGCACCCACCAGTCCCAAGCTTGCATCAAAGGATAAGAGAACTCGGCGAAGGACATCCCGTCACCTTTAGCAAGGCGATTCTTGACGCTAGGTGTTGGGTTAGCAAAAACTAGGACATAAAGGAAAAGAAGCTCCCAACTCACGTTTCTCTCCCCAGCATAGGGCCCACTCGCATATACGCGCCAAGATCGCGCAGCACCTCCAGGAAGGGCGTGCCGTTCCACCAGGTGTTGTTATTTGTCAAAGCCCGCCTCCAGTTCATCGTCTTCTCGTGTCCGTGTCTGCGACCGTACGCTTCGATGCTCGCGCCGAGTCGCTTCAACTGCATGTGCATGCTTGCCATGTTGGCTTTGCGGATCGAGGAATGGACTTGCTCCCGTCCCTGCAATCTTCCGGTAGGATCACCGACTCGCGACGTGGCACCTCCCAGCTATCCATCCGTTAGCAATTTACCAAACATCTCCAGGCTGTATAACTGACCAAGAACGTCACCGGCAAGCCCCAGACGTAACCCCAAGCCAAGACCATAAAAGGCAACATATGTCCAACATGCATCGAAGGAGCCGTCGGGTCAACGCCCACGTAGATACCAGTTCTCTTCTCGGTGAACACCTTATGCAACAGATCTCGTTCACTACACGATTCAAGTAAAGGTCAGCCTAGTCCTCTCCCCAGAACCTCAGAGTCAAGCGCTAGGATCCATCACTCACCCAACAACATCGTGTACCAATCCTCTCTCCTCCAGAAACTGCACAAAGTTCTGCCTCTCTCCCGCTCGGGTCTCCTCCGCAAATCTCGCCCATTCCTCCTCGGCCTCTTTCTGCCGCTTGATAACCTTTTGCGAGATGGCTCGTTTATGTACAATCTCGCTCTCGAGAATCTTCGTCTGCAATACTGGTCGAATGGTCGTTGTACGGAGAGGATTCGCTCGTAGGGATTCGGAAGTCCGCGCGTAGCTGCGAGCGCCGGATATCGTCTGTCGGATCGGCGATCGCATGGTTAATGCTTGAAGGCGCACCCTGCAAGGCAGGGACCCCAGTTGTGACATCATGAGCCCGGTTGTGGGTAGGATATCAAGTCAATCGCTATTGCGCGATAGACCAATTCCAAAGGTGTGGGTGATGAGGAAAGGCTGTCGGGGCGACTTTTTTGTTTCTCGAGCTCCGACGATAAGAAGCGGATCAGTTGCTTCCCCGACGGAGAATCTTTGATGCGGAGTTGGTATGTTTTTTTTTTCTTTCGATTTAATTATCAGGCAATACAGAGTATGTAAAGGTTTACAGGTCTAAATAACTGGTTGAATTAAGTCCATAAGCTAAACTATTGGACAAATGGTCTAAAAGGCAATACAATCTAATTTTCTTAAAGAGCGTGCAGAATTCAGATCGAGGGACAAGTCCAGTTAAGGCTACTGGAGTACGAAGAACGCAATGGTGATTAGAAGGGTATCAATATTATATTCATTATCATAATTCATCTATGTCGTCGAGGTCAAGAGCCCTTTCACCATATACTCCAACCGTCAAAACAGCCAAAGTATAAATCCAGGGTCATTGACCTCGACCGAAGCCCCGGAAGAGGCAAACACCACCAAGCAATAGATTGTATCAGAGATGCCTTCATCGCGTCCGTTAAGTAACAAGGTGGGTGTGCCGAACGCATATATCAGCCTCCCTCCATCCGGAACCAAACAGCCCTTGAGCCCCGAAAGGAGAGCCGCAAAGCTCCAGGAGGAGAGATGGGTCATATAAAACACACTAGGCTTTCATCATCTAAAGGAGAATGGAATGTTAGCTAGTATTCAAGAGGCACAAAATATTGCCATGAAAGGCCAAAGGTATGAACTCACTATTCAAAACTTGGAAGGATGGAGAAAAGAAAGACGGAGGGAGCAATTTCGAGCTTTTTTATTTTCGTCGTGGGGCGGTCGCGCTAGACTGTCCTGGGAAGGCGGAGAGGATGCTGCTCTCGCGATGGCTTCAACTTATGATCGGCCCTTCGTGACATTCGTTCGATTGACCCGGTTTCGATAAGTTCGGCCGTTTCGGACCCCCATTGCTTCGTTGCTTGCTGTGCATATCTTACCTTCCGCTCCGAAAATGCTCCTCAGCAGAGCGGGACGACTGTCCCCTCGCCTGTGCTCCAGCTACATCGAGATCTCGAACTATGTCCGCGGCAGACACGCGGGCTTGCGGACCGGGGTGTGTGGCAGTGTTATACCGAGGAAGGCATTCCATGCTCGATGTTCTTTGCTTGATGAAGCGCAATCTCGTCTAGAGCCGCGCCAATTCTTGGAGCAGTACAAGGCATCAGGTATGGTTTCCATCAGGGCTCACCTAGTCGCAATAATCGCTAACTCAAATCCTCTAGTTGAATTCCCAGCGGCCACTTATGACTTCGAGACCTTCCTTTCGCAAGCAACCCCGGACCAAGAAGTAGTCCTGCATGGATATCTGGGTGACCGCAGGGACTTATCCAAAAAGCTCGCCTTCGTGCGCCTAACAGACCCAACCATGAAACACAGCATCCAGCTTGTATCACTCGCCAAAAGCGGTTCCTTAGACAAGCTCAAGTCGGTTCGCCCGAACAGCCCTGTTGCAGTCCGTGGGAAGGTACAAAAGAAGCAGTCAAAGGGGTCTGAGATGGAGAAGACGGATCCGTGGGAACTGCAGCTCGAAGAGGTCTACCCTTTGAACGAGTTTCCAAAGGATATTCTGATGAAGTCGGATACCGTCTTCGCGCCCAAGCACCGGTATCTGCAGTTGCGAGCGGATGCCGAACTGCGCGAAGCTCTCCGGTTCCGGGCGCAGGTTCATAACGTTTGCAAGGAAGAGCTGGAGCAGTGCCGTCCGCCGTTTGTCGAAATCGAAACTCCTTTGCTGTTCAAGTCCACGCCTGAGGGTGCTCGAGAATTCCTGGTGCCAACCCGGAAGCGGGGACTGGCTTATGCTTTACCTCAGAGTCCGCAGCAATACAAGCAGATCCTGATGGCCAGCGGGATCCCGAGATACTACCAGTTTGCGCGATGCTTCCGAGACGAAGACCTTCGTGCTGACAGACAGCCGGAGTTTACTCAGGTATGAGCTTAGACCCCTCCAATCCATGAAATCCATTCTGACAGTCCTTCTCTTAGCTCGATCTGGAAATGTCTTTCGCTACAGGAGATGATGTTATGCGCACGATTGAAGGTGTTATTCGCCGACTTTGGTCAACCCTGATGAAAGATCCCGCTTCAGAGGAACCTTTCCGAAAAGTGTCCTACGAGGAAGTCATGAGTCGCTATGGCTCCGACAAGCCCGACACTCGATATGGAATGGAGATCTCGCGCATTGGCCACCTCCTGCCCGTTGACCTCGTTAATAAGATCACTCCCATTCTGGACCCGACCGTGGAAGTCTTCAAGGTGGAAAACAATGAAAACGACCCAGCTGCCATGGCTGAATTCATTAGCCAATTCCTTGATTCACCCGCCGGTGCACCATTCAATGACAACCCCGCTGGCGGCCCCGGTGTCTTCGTGTACGACGCAAAGAAACCCCTCTGCGGACTACAGCCTTTCGGCTTCGAGGCTGCTGAATACATGGAGGAGCTCCTAGATCTCGATCATGGCGATCTTATCGTCATTCAGGCGCGCGAACAAGCCCCATTCTCCGGCGGTTCTACCCCTATCGGCGACCTCCGCCGAGCCATCCACTCGGCTGCAGTCACCTCCGGATTCAAACCGGCGCCCACCGGCTTCGATTTCCTCTGGGTCGTGGACTTTCCGCTGTTCTCGCCATCCAACGATTCCGAGCCCGGTCAGGGCGGCGCTGCTGGTATATCATCCACTCATCACCCGTTCACGGCGCCTAAGAACGCCGCCGACGTTGACCTGCTGCTCACGGATCCCACAAAAGTCGTTGCAGACCACTACGATCTCGTGGTCAACGGCGTCGAGCTAGGTGGGGGCAGTCGACGTATCCACGACGCTGCCGTGCAGGAGTTCATTCTGCGCGACATTCTGCAGGTGCCGGACGAGCGACTCGCCGACTTTGCGCATCTCCTGGAAGCGCTTCGCGCGGGATGTCCGCCACATGCTGGCCTGGCTCTTGGATTCGACCGTCTGGTTGCCGTCATGCTCGGTAAGGAGTCTGTGCGCGACGTGATCGCTTTCCCCAAGATCGGGAAGGGTGGCGAAGATCCGATGGTCAAGGCCCCCAGTGCGATGACGGAGAAGGCCTTGAGCACATATCATCTTCGAATGAAGGAATAAGTGATGCCACACAGGGAAGTGACGCGACCTGTGGAAGGAACTAAAATCATGTACAATGTGTATATATAAATGTATGATATAGATGTTATACCCAATCTCATCTCAAGTCTTGAGAAATATATTTTTTTTCAACGACATTGGTTTTTAGCCGATTCTGATGAAGATAAGAAAAGTAATCCGCCAGCCATGTCAAAACATAAAAGTAGGGTTAGTTTGCTGTATAGATATCTACACGAGATGGTGTCCACAGGAAATGAGAAGAGACGGAAAAAAGACTGAAGAGCTGTTATACAAACGCCATCCCATACCGCAAAGGGAATCTAATACACAAGATGAATGAGAAAAACGAATAAAGTGAAAGGAACGAAAAAAGCAAAGGGTTTTCAAACTGTTGACAACCCACTCATGTTGTTGAGGTGTTCGGACGAGCAACTTCCGTCGAGGAAGAGCTCTGATTCAAGCTGTCGTCACCCTCTTCCTCGTCGTAATAGACATAATCGTCGTCCTCTTCTTCCGACGAACCAAAAGCACTCTTCCAAACGCCATCCCAGAGACCCTTCTTCGTCACGAGGCCGCCCACCAGGAGAATAGGCATTTGCCAGATGCTGGCCCAGAACAGACCACGAGCCGAGCCGTTGGCACCCTGGTGTTGCCAAAAACGAAAGGCCTCCTTGACAAGCCAGCCATTGGCGAAGGTACTGCCGACCAGGAACCCGTGGCCCACGACGCCAACCCACCAAAGGCCGATAGAGATGGGAAACATGACGACTGAGTAGCGCAGGGCGACACGGGCATTCATCGCGGGGTTCACCCAGCAAAGCATCTTGTATCCGGCATTCCGGTAATCATCCCGAATGAGGTGAGAAAGCGCGTTGAAATGAGGGAACTGCCATGCGAACAGAATTCCACCAAGAAGCCAACCGCCGATGCTGTTCTCACTGAAGAGCATGTCACGCCATGTGTCATGGCCCGTGGTTGCGGTCTGACCGGCCGCGGCCACCCAGCCCATCAGCGGGGGGATACCTCCGACAATGGCACCCACCCAGGTATTGACGACATGAATGCGTTTCAGTGGAGTGTACGCAAAAGCGTACAGGCAGATGTTCGCAGCTGAAAGCGCCGTGACCGTAGGGTTGGTTCCGAAGTACAGCAGGCCGAGACCCGAGGCGGCCGTTGCAATCGCAAACATAATTGCCCCGCCACGGGAGACAAGACCCCGTACCAACGGTCTGTTTCGTGTCCGAGTCATGAGCGCATCGTACTTGGGCTCCAGTATCATGTTCAAGGTGTTGGCACTGCAGCATGATAGAAACGTGCCGGTCGTCAGATAGAGGAAGGTCAGAGTCGATGTCGAGAGGGTCGGGAGAGGGGTCATGGCCGGATCGAGCGTGAGAAGAGAAGAAATCGGATACATCCCGTAGGCAGATGTCGTTGTCAAGACAATCAGGAAGGAGAGGCGAGGCTTGCAGAGGGCAAAAAACGCGGCCAATTTGCGGCGGAGGGACGTCGCGGGGAGAGCGGACGATAAATTCGACAATTGCGCAGATGCATCCGGTGGGAGCGCAGTTGCGGACCCATTATTCTGATCAGACTCCTCCTTTAGGCGCTTCCTCCGGCGATGAGGCAACTCTGTTTGGTCTGTTTCGGAAGCAATGGGACCGGCGTCGGTCTCATTCTTCGATGATGACGATAAGTCGACGGGCTTCGCTTGGGTGGAGGAATTGACGGAGCGCAAAGACGACAAGAAGTCATTCTTTTTCACAGAACCATCAGGTCCTTTATTAGGCGAAAAATATGACTTATTCGAACTGGAAGGAGCGGAGGGGTTATCGGCAATGCTCGATTGTAATCGCGAGAACGAGATGAAGCTGCGGACCGCGGAGGGCGGGGAAGAGCGATTGACACGCCAGAGACATTGGGAGCACACGAGAGATGGGTCCCGAGGCGGTGCCAGCCTCCGCAGAGAGGGGCGGAGGAGGATCATGGCGACGAGAACATACGCATGCCCTGATCGGAGAGGCAGCGGGAGAGCGAGTGGTGAAGGAGCAATCGGAATGAACGAGCGTTCGTCGATTCCCGCACTGGCAAAATTCGGTCCGCCCGGCAGCAGCGACCACAAGCGCAGCTATTTTTCCTTCCGGCAGTTGGACCACCTGTTCGGGCTTCTTGCTTCTTTCTATCCTTCTCAACTGTCAACACTCACAGTCAGTGTTGCTCGGTCTGCTCGCTGCAATTTCACTCATGTCTCTCACCACCGTCATGGAACCTCTTCAGAAGACCCTCATCGATCCTCTCCAGCCCTACCTGCGTCCGGTCGTCTCGTCCCTGCCGGAACCTGTTCATGATGCCATCAAGACCTTGATTGGAAACACTTGTCACAACGCTCTCGTGGTGGATCTAGACGTCACCAAGGATGCCGATTGCACGTCCCTTGCTATCTCCAAAGCTTTGGGCATCGCTATTGTGGGCGCCAGTGCTATCGTGAAGGTCCCCCAGATCTTGAAGCTGATCGGATCTCGCTCCTCGGCCGGCGTGTCCTTTGTGTCGTACGCTCTCGAAACCGCCAGTCTGCTCATCACGTTGTCATATAGCGTGCGCAACCAGTTCCCATTCAGCACCTTCGGCGAGTCGGCCTTGATCGCGGTCCAGGATGTGGTTGTGGGCGTGCTGGTGTTGACCTTCGCCGGTCGTTCCGCCGGTGCTGCGGCCTTCATTGCCGTCGTTGCGGCCAGCGTGTATGCACTGCTGGTGGATCATACCTTGGTGGATGCGCAGACCATGTCGTATCTGCAAGCCGGTGCTGGAGCCCTGGGGGTGGCGAGCAAGGCACCTCAGATCTACACCATTTGGCGCGAGGGTGGAACCGGACAGTTGAGCGCGTTTGCGGTATATTCTAACTTCTAAGTATATGCGGTAGAAACTTCTTTTCTAACGGTCGATTCATCTAGGTCTTCAACTACCTCGCCGGCTCCCTCTCCCGTATCTTCACCACGCTCCAGGAGGTGGACGACCAGCTGATCTTGTACGGCTTCTGCGCCGGATTCAGCTTGAACCTGATCCTTGCCTTCCAGATGCTGTGGTACTGGAACACCCCGACCAAGTCGAAGAAGCAGGCCACCAAGTCCAAATTTAAGTCCAAGCCGGTCGAGAAGGCCACTCCGGTGACCCCTGCTGCGCGCAGCTCGGGAGCAGCCCAATCTCCGAAGCCGTCTGGCAAGACACCGACCACGCGCCGACGGGGTTGATTGTGTCCGCCATGCTTTCATCTTTTCTTCAGGAACTAGTTAATGCATTAATAATTGCCGTTCCGCGAATCTTTCACTTGCTATTCCCCGTAACCCAACAACTTGAGAATCACCGCTGTCCCGGCGGCGCTCCCGTAGTCATAAACCTCAAGATCTCATTTAATGGCACGACCGGCCCCGTCGGCTTCTGATGCGTCGCAGCCGCAATATCAAACTCCAAACCACTCCCGGCGCCCGACTTCCTCCTAACACCCACAACCTCCATCTCATCCTCGACCTCGTCTTCATCTTCCTCATCCGACTTTTCGGGCTCTTCGTCCTCCAACTGCCTCTTCAACCCAGTCACCACATTCTGCACGCCCATGTGCCTCTCCTCCAGCGTGAAATTCCCGCCCCAATTCCGCTCCCTCGCTTCCTGATTCGCCTCCACCGGCGCCCAGCGCCACAGCTCCGCTAGTTGCGATTCACTTAGTCCCGCGGTGTCCTGTAGCGCCGAGTCGCCCGCCTTGCGACCGCGCGCGACCCAATCATCGACGCGGGGATCGAGTTTTGTGCGAAGCAGTTGCTCGAGTGTGTTGGCTTGGGTACGGCCCGGGTAGGAGGGGCCCGGGTAGGCGACGAGAGAGCCCAGGAGGGCGTTGTTCTCGGAGAGGTGTTCGGAGACGCTGAGGAGGTTGTTGGAGATGATGCTGGCTTGGGATTGGAGGGAGGACCTATAGTGAAATTTGGTTAGTATTACAGTAGGAATTGAGAATTGTAAGGAGCTTGTAGTTCAGGTGGATGGGAGCGGGGGAAGTACCAGGGTGGAAGGGGATCGCTCTGGTTGAGACTGGTGATGAGGGAGGCCAGGGAGCGCGTGAGTTGTGCAAGCCGTTGGCGGGATTGTTCAAGGGTTTTGATCTGGTCCGGGGTTGGAGCGGACATGGTGGATGGGATTGAAGGTGAGCGTTATCCAGAAAGAGGAGACGTGAAGCTGGGGGGAAGAGAAAGGAAGAAGGTGAGGCAGAGAGGGAGCGAGCGGAGTTGGAGATGGAGCGACAAAGACATGCACTATGCACGTCCCAAAGGGGTATAGCCCCTTTTATGTACTCCCCCGTCCACATCTACAGACTCTCTCTCCTCACTTCTTCATGCTTTCGGATTCTCTTTCTAATATACATTGTAATCTCCGCGAACCCATCATTTGTTCTGGTTAATATCTCATCTCATCTCAAGCGGTCTCATCTTATCTCCTGATATATATCTATCTGTCGGCTTAATGTTTAACGCTAAGGCCGACGATGCCTAGACGTAACAAGGAGTAGCGCATCTGTCTTTCTATGCCAGCACTTCATATTCATTCTCTGAAGAAGTAATCATGACACGGCTTTCATATGATATATTTTGCACTGCAAGTTATAAAGCTTTGCCCTTACGACGCATTGCCTCTCCTAAGCCCGGTCCCCGATTCCTTTCTCAGCGCAGGAGAATGGCGTCAATTCAAAAGTCTCGGCCACGCGCTTTTCCAACCTCGGGATTTGAGGTCTTAGGCGATTCTAGAGCCTTGGAAGAAGAAGCTCTCCCTGATTATTTGAAAGACCGCTACTATTCAGTGCATATCGGCGAAGTTTTCAAATCGCAATATCAGGTGGTAACTAAACTCGGCTTTGGGTCATCATCAACCGTGTGGCTATGTTGAGACCTACAGTACGCTTGCATAGATGCCTATCGTGAACGTGAGCTAATACAACACAAGTAATGGGCGATTCTTGACCCTGAAAGTCCACGTTCGAAGCAAACGACGACTCCCTGAGGTGGAGATCTCGAAGCACTTGCAGACAATTCATGACGTTCATGGTGGTGAAAAGTACGTCCGGCTGGTACTTGACTCATTCGAGATTTCTGGCCCATGCGGTGTGCATACCTGCCTCCTGTCTGCGCCTGCAGGTATCGACATCCGCGATTATATGCACTGTCTCCAGGGCGATGCCTTACCGGAAGCTTTACTCCGACCTGCCCTCCGGTTTGTCCTTGTTGCGCTGGACTACCTCCACCAAGCCAAAGTAATCCATACCGGTAAGAAATGACCCGATAATTGAAGTCTCTTCCCTCCTGACCTTTTCTAGATATTCAGCCGCATAACATTCTTCTTGGCATTGATGACGAGTCCATCCTTTCTGAAATGGAAGAGGATGAGGTTTCTAATCCTGCCCCGCGAAAGCAGCTTGGTGACCGTACCATTTATGCCACTCGTGCAATGCCTCTGACTGAAGGCGAGCCAGTCGTTGCCGATCTTGGAGAGGCGCGCATTGCTGAAGGGAACCAAATCGGCCTCATCATGCCAAGTGTTTACCGAGCGTCAGAAGTAATGTTGGGCATGCCGTGGGATAACAAGGTCGACATATGGGCTGTCGGTCAAATGGTTTGACTCTCCGCTTGTTAGTATGACATCTTCTAACCTTGGGCTTGATAGACATGGACATTGTTCGAGCAGGGGCATCTTTTCTCAAATCAAACTCTGGAAAATGATACTCAGCACGCCCAGCGATTTGCCGAAATGATTTCCCATTTGGGGCCACCACCGGTTGAATTCCTTAGACGAAGTGAAGAAAGTCTAGAATTCTGGGACGAGAATGGTAAGTGCACTCGGATAAGTTCTGGAGGCTTCATTAAACAGCTTTTAATATGTTACAGGTAATTGGAGAGGCTCTGTAGATATCCCAGAGCAATCTCTGGAAAGTCGTGAATCGAGACTTGAGGGCAGTAACAAGACTCTTTTCCTCGAATTCTTGCGCAAGACTCTATGTTGGTTGCCTGAAGAAAGGCCGACTGCGATGGAGCTCTTGGCAGACGAGTGGCTAAGAGGGGACGATTATTGATTGGAATACCCTGAGAATGGACATAAAATAGATAATACTTGGCTCTCCGGCTAAATAATTCTAGGCATACCATCCACGCCAGTTCAGCAAGAGAAAGTAGTCTGATTTCTGTGATTTCCTGGGTACCTGACAGCTCTTGTATCACAATTTGGAACCGCCCTTCTTGCCTATCCCGCGAACCATTGCTACAGCCTCCAAACCAAGTCATAACTAATCCCACCCATCCCCTCCAGTAAAATTAAACTCGCCCTCATCATCTTCCTTCCACGTCATCTCCACCAAAGGCTGCCCCTCCGCCCAATTGACCACATGCTGCGCCGCCTCGCTCGCCCTCTCGCGGACCCTAAACGGCAGCACCTGACCCCTATGATTCAGCGCCAACAGCAGCACCCAACCTTCCTCGCAGGCCTTCCGATCCGCCACCAGCACCATCGCCACCTGCGACGTCCGACTCTCCTCTTCCTCGCGCTCCTCGCCGCTGAAATGCCGCCACTCATCATCCGAACACCCCTCAAACAGCTCGGGACAATGCATCATCACCGCAACCAGATACCCCGGCATAGACCCGGGGGTTCCAAGCGCAACCCCCGCCTCGATATCCGGTCCGTTCGAGGCCCGCGCAAGTTCGTTCCGGTCCTCGTAGATGAATTCCTTGGTCACGCAGGCCTCTAGCCCTGTGACGCGCCCCCGGAGTCGTCAGTACGCGGTGTCTGCGTCCTCCTGACTCGGCTGGTCTAGACCGCCATACCACGTCCGGATCCGCGGGGCGCTGGCTAGCACGGTGCTGACGGAGCGGTCGGTCTCTGTGAGCAGGTCTTGTGGGATATCTGGTAGATAGGACTGGTTCGGGAGTAGTGGGCCCTCGAAGGCGGAGAGGGCGTATTCCTAGGGTTAATGCGAGATTGCGTAGATGATTCACTGTCTCCGAGAGCGAGGAGTTAAAAGAGAAAAGGGAGGTAGATAGACAGGTAGATTGAAGTGAACATCATAGGATACATTTCGCCCGTACCTCCCCATCACGGTCCATCTCTCAACCAGGGCTCTTTTCTGCTCGTGTTTGGAGAGCGGGGACGCTAGGTCCCAGTTTCCCTGGATGCGGTATAAGCTTAGGTAGGTTTTATATGGATAGTAGTCGGGGTGTACCAGGATAAATTGGTCAAATGGCAGCTCGCTGAAGGCAGGGAGGCCAAGGCCCTTTCTCATTGTTAGTGATGGTGGTGGTGATGAAGATAATGATGATAATGAAGTGTTGTTATTGTTGTTGAATAGAGGAATAGAAAGGTGAAAGAGTATGAATGTACATATGAAGGCAAAGGCATCCGTAGAAGATAGGCAGCAGTCAGGATGCAAGCCATCTCTTAGTACACTTGGTTAAATAACTTAGTTATGCCTGTTGTGCTTATGAGATTCAGCACTATTCAACCTAACTTGGTCGGCACAAATCCTAGGCGCTTGGCAGTCATTCGTCTACGACAAACCTATATAGTACAGAGTCTGATAGCATAAGTTATCCAAGGGATGTTCGTCACAAATCAATACTCACTACTTAGATACAAATGGAGTTATTTGAATGGGGCTTCAATCTGAATAATTGAATTCTTTGGCTTCAAGCATCTCGCGTTCACTGTTTCATGCATGCAACACCGACGAACCTAGACAGCCCAAAAGAAAGGAAAAAGGAGAAGCAAGAGACCTTCAATTATAATCGTCATAAGTAACTACCCCTGCATTCATTACGCATACCTTGTCATGCAGCTTGTACTGGCCTACCAGCGATTTATGAAATCTTATACTTCACGAGTCTAGATGCAGCGATCAAAAATTCTAGACACCGCAACTTCTTTCTTCTTAAGGGGTACTCTGTACATATATCAGTCACAATTAATTACATGTACAATTAATAATCACGGATCCGAATAACTAATAACATCATCACAAATTGGCTCAATTAGTTGAAGATCATCGCCGTTGAGGCGATGCCCGAGGGCTTAATATACTCAAGTGGGCCGTGAATAAAAAACTAAGGATCCTTCCAAACTCTGTCCCTGGACAATGGTTTGCATAATCCCAATTATTTGTGTAATTGAATGTGAGAACCATCCCATGTCGATGAGCAGGACACCAAAAAAGAAGACATGAAAAAAAAGATTACAAGAAAGGAGTGTAGGATTGAGTCGGTAGTGACAGATTCAGATCGAGCAGACCTGCAGCGCGAGCCTCCAACGATCTTCGATCTCCATCACGATAACCAGCTGTCAATCAAACAAACACCGTCCTGTCTTATCTTTGCACCACTCTCCTCTTTTAGCTATCCCTTATATACTAATACACCCCCAAACCCACCCAGACCAAATCCCACAAACCCCGAGGTTCTCCCGTGCCGTAAATGTTTCAAATAACCCTAAGAGCCCTACCCATCCCGGGTCACATTGACGATGATCAGAAGGAATAATGGATCCTCGGAACCACGGAAGCAATCATCAAATTCAAGAGAAGTCCGACGGTTATGGCCCAAGCTCAGCTTGAGTCCCAAATATCTGAGCGGCTGATAATTATATATGCCCGAGCTTTCCGCAATGAGTCCTGGCTGTCTCGACTCCGAGTTCATTTGGACTCAGCGTCATGAATAATGGCACCGATTCAGAAACGGCTGCCCTGGCTGCGCCGAAAGGCGAGGTGTCGGACTTCTCGCATCCCGATCGCTACTTACACACCGCTAATAAGGTAGTGGTGATCGTCGGCTTGGTGTTGAGCACGCTGTGTTTGTTGATGCGATGCTATACGCGTGGCTTGGTCATGAGGAGGCTATTGCTGGATGATGGTAGGTACAACCTTTTGTTGGAGTTCAAGAAAACAAGCTAACTGTGGTATGCAATAGTGGTTCTTGTTATTTCGTGGGTATGTAAGTTGAAAAGACTAGCCCTGTGATAACTAGCTGACGATTCTGACGCGACAAAGGTGTTTGCCGTGGCTACTCAGGCGTTGCTACTATGTAGGTTCCTTCTCTTCTTCCCTCATTCATCCCAACAAGACTGATGATATCCAAACAGACGGGTATAGCGAAGCAGGCATCGGGGTCCACGAATGGGATCTCCACGAAAGCGAACACATCAAGTCCATGCGGGTCCTGGTAGCCGGCGCCCTGCTCTACGCCCCAGCCATGGGCTTCTCCAAACTCGCCGTCATCGCACTCTACTACCGCTTCTCAGAACTGCGGACCACATGGAAGGCCACGATCATCGGCATGGCCATTTTCGTGGCGTCGTATCTGCTGGTCATCGAGTTACTTTTTCTATTCGGCTGTCGCCCCATCGCCAAGGCCTGGAACGACGATATTGCCGGGACGTGTGTCAATCGCACGACGATCTTCATGACCGGGGCCGTGGCTAGCGTCATTACGGATATCATCCTACTTGTGATCCCTCTCCCTGTGGTGAAACGGCTACAGATGCCGTGGAGGAAGAAGGCCTGGATCTTCCTGGTCCTTCTCCTAGGAAGTTTGTATGGTTCTCCTATACCAGATCACCTTTTCTCGCCATATCCGACCAATACTGATGATTGCTCTTTCACACTTTCTAGATCAGTCGTAACCAGCGGGCTTCGCATCTCCGCTATCATCCCCCTCTTCGACTCCAAAGACCAAACATATCTATTCGGAAAAGTGGCTCTCTGGATGTTCGTGCACCCGATGCCTTGCCCAATGCCCTCGCCCCCTTCCCCCCTTACTATACTCCGTTTACCATTCTAACCATACCTGAAAAAAACAACAGCAACGTCGAATCAAACCTCGTCATCATCTGCACTACACTCCCCGCTTTCCGCCAGATCCTACGAATCCACGAAGTCGGCTCCAACGGCAAGATCCGACGACCGCAGCGAACAGCGAGCACGTATCAGCTGCGGAATACGCGCCGCGAACACGGCTTCACGAATCTCAGCACGGACCTCGAGATGGATGATAGCCAGAGTCATCCGCCGTCGAGGGATCATGATAACATGAACGGATATATTGAACCGATAAGGACGAGAGAGACGCCGAAACAGTAAAAGCTACGGGTTAGGGTGGAGAGAGAGGGGAGGGTGGGATTGCCCACTCCTAGGTACATACCCTCTCTTTCTGACTCCTCTTCTCTCCTACAGGAACCCCGTTTCCTTCTTAAATATAGAATAAGATAGACTAAACACCCTCATATTCATCCATACATGATAAACACCAAGACCAAAAACATCGTTGCCTAATCCTATCTTACAGTACCTAAACACCTTAACTCAAGAAAAAAGATCTATACATAGCAACACCACCTCATCCCCGCTTCCCAAGACACCAAAAGATACTGAGCATGTAGAACAGAGCAGACTAGCAATCCTAGGAAACGCAACCTGCAAGTGACATCTTCACGACCATCTATAAATATCCCCCGTCACTTCTTTCCAACCAATCCTGTCCCCTCGCCCAAGGAATCCAAGACTCTTGGAAGGCATGGCGCGAACGCTCATTCGTCAAGGACAGGCCGTGTTTATTTTTAGTGAGCGTTTAGTGGGAGTCGTGAATATTACTGCCTGGGAGTGGAAGTTGAGAGGGGTTATAAATTGAGGGGAGGGCTTCTTTGCGTTCTTCATCTTTCTGGTTGTTTTAGTTTATGGATAGGGTTTCTTCCTTCTCTCTTTGTGTTTCTGAGGTGCAATATATACATTTCGAATTCATAATAGAGGGGGTTAATATGGACAGGGGATATTATCGCTCGCTGGCTCAGTTCGCTCGATCGTTTCGTTTCTTTCTTCCTCGTGCGGGATCGATCATCCTGTTGAGTCAACTTCGACTTCAACTTCAACTTCACCTCGACATCGACCAACAATCGAACGAGAACGACGCCAGACAGTGCAAAAGAATGTTATGAACAATAAAAATAAAGACATCAAGATGTGTGAACAACTCGACGCTCGGACAGGAAAAGGAGGGGACAGATATTAGTGCTCCTCGGGTTGAGGTATAAGGTATGGGGTATGAGATATGGGGTATATGACATCCACCGCATGATTGTGACCATGATATCAAAGGAAGGAATGCAAAAGAAGACCATCAAAACAAAGAAACGCAAACGGGAAAATGAAAAATGCAAATCGAGATTCGGTCAACCATCTCTGGTATGTTCTGACCTGTCCCTACCGTCACCGATCTGGTTCGAAGGACCCCATTTTCTCTCTTTCTCTTTCATGTAGGTGGGATAACCCCATGACAGAAAACAGGGAGACACTTGTAATCCTCAAACCACAGTTCTCCTGCCATCTCACTTCTTCTGATCCTGCTGCCCCTGCACCTCCCCCGGCGGCGGAAAGTAAGGTTGAGTTTGTCCGCCCCAGTAAGTTTGCGGCTCCGACCCCTTCTCCCTCTCAGGAGAATATGTTGTGCTGGGCGCCTGGACAGAAGACTCACTGACCGAGGCAAAATGTGACTTTGAAAATCCCACGTTATGCTGCGGTCGGCCGTCGCTGTCCACGAACCCAAAGCCCCCTGCTGCTCCTGCTCCCTGCACCGCTCCGTACCCCTGCTGCTGGACCGCGGGACTATACATGTCCTGGTACTGTTGATATTGCGCCCAGCCGTGCGCCGGGGTACTGATGGTGGTATCATTCCAGCGGGCATGCAGATGGCCCGAGGCGCGCTCCTTGCGGGCCTTCCTGCGCCGCCAGCGGATGAAAAAGAAGCAGCCGACTGCTAGGGTGCAGAGCAGAATTACAAATCCCAGAATGGGCAGGGCAATTACCAAGGCTAGATTATTGATGCCGCCTCCACCGTCGTCCGGATTGAGAAGGTCAACGGTGGATTCGGGCAGCATGGATTGGCTGAAGATGCGGGCTGGATTGATGGGGAAACTACTGCCTGTAGGGACATGGAAATGGCAGTTATAGCGCAGTGCTTCGAGGACTGCATTGATTGGGTGTGGTCAGTGCACTGGCTCACTGGTTCTGCCGGAAAGCAGGGAAAAGAGAGACCAAGACTTACAGTTCGCCATATAAATCTGCGTCGTGGTAAGGTTGTAGCAGAACTCGCACTGACTGATCAGATTATCGGCAAACGACGAAACACCGCACCAGGTATCAAAATTCGCGCCGCTGGGATCCTTGAGATCGTATTCTAGTGACGAATCCAGTTTCTGGCAGGAAACGGTACATTGAGAAGAGATATTGTTCACGCTTTCGGGAAACCCGTAGACGCAACTAGTGAAAGTGTATCGAAGGTTATCTGCATGGATTTCCCTTGCATTAGAAGCTTATCTTCACTCGAACACAGTGGCAGGGTTTTAAAACCGGAAATCATGCAGGGTCATAGGAAAAACGAGGGAATCTTACACAGTCCCCAGTTGACATCCGTCTGGCCCGAGGCCGAATCGCTATAATTACTGCGCAACTGACACTCGACGCATTGCTGGAATTGGGAACCCCTGGCCGTATTCTTGAACTCATCGTCGAGACAGGCAATTTCGGACCCCGTGGTGCTATTTGACTGTTGATTGCAGACATCCACGCAGGGCGATCCGGCGGTGCTCCGCAACCCGGCAACCGGGGTTGTTAGGCCTAGCAGGAGCAGCGATATGATTAGGGCTCCCGCCCATATCGTCGTAGATCTCGCAGGGCTCGAAGAGCCGAGCATCTTGGTTTGTGTTTTGCTTTTGAGGGATCGATCGGTCCGACGAGATCTCGTTTCAGATCCAATCTAGTAAGGAGAAACCAGATAGACTCTCGCCCCTCGTCTTTACGACAGCCAGACCAGGTGTCGTAGAGTCGGTCGTGCTGGCATCGATCTCACCGTCCGGTGAATCAAGACTTGGAGGCAGTCAGACGAAAGGATCGGGGGATTAGCAAGAGATCTGACGAGAGGAAGGAAGGGACAAGAACCAAGAACAAGCTATACAAACGACAAGACGGCACGAACGGCAAGAATCCCAGGGTTTGGCATTGTTCGGTTCCTTCCGTGAGCCTGATAAAGTACCAGACCCAAAGCAGGACGGAAAATGCAGAGGAGAAGAGAATCGAGCAAGCCTCCCAGCAGGAAAAGAGGAACAAGCATGGAGAGCGGGTCGAAGAGGCGTGCTGGGCGCTAAGAGAGCCTGTCAGATTGCACGACGCCGCAAATGCACGGTGATCCAACCTGAACCCTGGTCCATTGGGGTAGGAGAGGGACCGTGTGATGGGAAAAAGGAAAGTGAGATTCCGATTGTGATTGTGACGAGGCCTGCAGGTCGCAGCGAGCGCTGGATGAAGCTGTTCATTTGCCGATCCTCGCTGGCTAGTCGAGGCTAACGGACTTGCTAACGAGCCAACGACACTAACGAACTCGATGTACCCCTCACGGCGAAGGATTCAAAGCGATTGGTGGACCAAAAGCCTCTGAGGTTGCTTTTCTGTGTCGGATGCATCGCCCCGGAGGATGAACAAGGATTTGGCACGGTGGATTGACTCGGACTGACTTATGAGATGGCCGTTGTTGTCGCCGTGATGAAGTGACAACACTAAATTAGTGGTCAACACGCAACAAAGAAAGTCCACCAAATTCAGGTCGATCGCTTGATTTCCCGGATGGAGAGTAACATTGTTTGTAGGGAATCCCTGCGGTCCAGAACCCAATAGCTTAAATCGCGTGCATGGATCAGATTGTAGCACAGAGGGTCTCTTTCCAATGATCGTCCGATGGACGGACATGACCCGTTAACATATGCGCAGAGATAACCCAAGTGTCATCAGAAAATAATAATAAAAATGAATGAATAAAATATTTCAGAAATAAAATAACGTGAGAAGTAAATTCAAAACAAGAAGTTCCACCCAAAAATCAAAAGACGCCACAATGCAGCTGGTACCTTTTGCTTTGTCGCTGGTGACCACGGAGAATTAGAAGACAAAAATCCAACGAATAATATCAACACCAAGAAAAAGACTCAAAAATAAAATAAATTGAACCAGACAGCCTGCCATGACTCGTGGTACAGTCCCCGTCCAGTCAAAGCCCTATCCGTAAAGCTCATCGTACGATGGCACCAATTCCTGTCTCCTCACTGGGTCTGCCTCGCGGGGTTTAGTCCGTCGTGGCGGTGGCGGCTGTTGCTGAGGTTGCTGCGGTGGCTTTTTGTCCTGGTGCACAGGATGATAGGACCGGGGTTCCTCGGATGGCATTGAGGGCACCGAGGAAACGAAACTGGAGTGCTTAGAGCTGGCAGTCGTGGGTATCGTAGTCGGCTCCGTACCCGTGCTCTGTAGACTGCAGCGGCGCATGCGGGATGTCACCGACAACGGGGGTGACTTGGAGGCTCGCGCATAGGGGTCCTCGTCTCGGAACCCAACGCGAGAGGTACTATGGGGAGGGTGATGATGATATCGTCCCCGGCAGTCCCCCAGGGCCGAGGGCACGTCTTCCTCTTCGTCCTCGTCGGCGGAGTACTCGTCTGATCCAGCCTCCCATGCTCGCGGGGAATGAGGATAAGGTGGTTTGGTCTTTGATCGACCACGGAGTTTGGCGTCGTAGTGACCGGTGGGTATCGTCATGGCCGAGTCAACGGAGGCTTTGCGATCTCCTGATCGTAACGGAGTGGGCATTCGTGACGAACCCGCCGGTCGGTCCAGCACATCAAGCGAGCCATGCCGTCGACTCTGCTCGGAGGGCCTCGTGGGAAAGGCGTTGGGGACTCCTCCGGAGGACTGGCATTGACTCCATGATCCCTCGGTGGGATAGCTGATAGACACGTCGCCCCATCGAGCATGAAGCTCGGACGAAAGCTTGCGCTTTCTTCTCAATTTTTCAATAATGGCCGTCATGATCCTCCGAGGACTTTTCATGAACCGACGCCTGGAAGACCAAGGCTTGGTAAGCATTATGGGATCATAGATTACCGCAAGTCATCGACCATAGGGCGAAGCCCAGATAGGCTGTGTTTAAAGCCCAGGCCGGTAAGACGTAACATAAATAAATAAAACCACCAAATCAAGCATACAGAATCTCCGACAGTATAAGAAAGGGGGAACAAATGGCGCGTACCGAAGAGCAGCTAGATAGGAGCTGAATCGCGATGGGCAACTTTCTTTTCTTTTTCTTCCTCTTGTCCCCTTTATAATCAAAACCTTCTTTCCAAGAGTTCAGGTCCAAGGAGCAAAGAGATCAAAAAACGAGCGAACAGAAACAGAATAAGGGCGAAAGCAGCCACCGGCCTACATGAGGGTGAGGATATATCAGAGCATATCCCAACGAGCGCAACCGCGGGCGCATGCCTCTCACGTCAAGTCGGAAATAAAAGATTGTGAAAAACAAATCCAATGAAATGGGAAGGACTAAAGGCAAAAGGCGTGATGACGGGAAGATCGCCGCGAAGGAGAGTCAAGTGCAGAACCAGTCAGGCAAGTGGTGTCCTTCAGCAAGAGGGAAACTTCTGACCTTCCCACATTGGCTGAAGGGCAGAAGACGCGTTGTTGACCCGACAGTCTGGGTCGTCCCCCTCCTTTGCGCTCTCCTTTCGTCCCGGTGGAGTAGGTCGACCGCAGGCCCATTGGGATCACCCGCGGCGGTTTTGCGGCGGGACATCCGGCGAGCAAACCATCGCTGGCCCTGTCGGATCCGGGCTTGCATTGCTAGGATCTGAACGAGCGAGGAGAGCTAGGAGGGGAACCTTTCTCCAATCAAGAGATCCAAGGGGACCATAGGGGACCAGAGAATGAGGGAGGGGTCGCCAGGCGACTCGGCGGCGCAGTCAAGGTGCTTGAGAAGCGACATGGATATCGGATGCGGTGCACACGACGCAAAACCGGCGTCGGGTCTCTTGGCGTGGCGCTTGCTGACCAGAAGACCCCTGGACGAGCTAAAATGTGGGACAACCAATATGTAGGAGGAGGTTCCCATTCTTCCTGCCGTCGTCGTATCAGCCCGGCGACGCAAGCCAAGCCGTGGAGGCCCTTTCTTTCCCTCGGTCTCGTTGGCGAGGTGTCAGACGGGTCGGTGGGGACCGGCGCGTCAGTAATCGTGACGAGATCTCTGGTCGGCCTGAATGACGGACTGGACAACAACAAACCCATTCGTGTCGATATCGCAGGGGCGGAGGAGAAAGGCCAAGAGCCACAAAGAGGGGAAACGGACGCAGGTAACGACAGTCGCGAAAGCTAAGGCCAACGCCATCGCGGCGCCGTCGTTAGTCGGTCAGGGGACAAGCACCCGGTTGATCGTCACGGTTGGCCCCGAACCATCCACAGAGCTTAACTAACCGCCGTGATGGAGTCATTGTATCTTGGGCGCATCCCATTGACTCAAATTCTCCCTGTCGCTCAGTTGACTTTACAGTAGACTCTGTACTAGAACTGTGCAGGTGAACTCTTGCGGACTTGGGTGCAGATGCAACGACAAGACCCAAGACTCGGTTGACGGGGAATCGTCCTTCCTGATCTGGTAGGCTGAGCCCTGCTGGACAGGGATAGTATTTGAAATTGAGAATGGTGAATGATCATAGATCCATTCTCTGCCGGTGGCTGTGATGACAAGACATTAGCAGTCCGGTGAATCCTCGGCGTCGAAGACGGCAGAGTACCTCGTAACGGTTTGAGGGGCTAATGACAATCGTTCTTTCAAAGCTCGAGCTGTTGGGTGGATATTAGTCGGATTCTTTGGACTATCTGCGTGGTCTTTTTCATTAGTCCTTTTTGTCCTTGTACCCTACCTGCTAGTATGATGGTTTCTTTCAAGCAACGCAGTTGTCAATCTTGAACCGTCTCATTCCGTGCCTGGACTTGAGAGTCAATTATGGCTGGAAGGCATATCGAAGTATATCATTCAGCCTTAAAAAGTGACTATGGTCTTACTCCGGCAGTTGCAGTAAGGCAGGCACGACCTGCGTGGACACTACATCTGTGTCTGTCAAGGGGTCTCCAGGTCTCCAAGGGAAGGTGCCTCGTCACCTGACAGGAGACACTCAGGCCTGCTTCTCACTCAACAAATCAGTCATAATTTTGTATTTCCATTCCTATTCAGCAAAGAACAAGAGGTTATTGTCATTACTTCATACCATGGACTCCGTGACCATCCCATCCCATCTCATCAAACGAGTGAGTTATCCCAACCCAGACCCAAACACCAATTGAACCAGAACCAAGACGCCATTCAAGCACCAAAACAAAGACAATCGTATCTCATCGCAGCAGATCTAATCCTCACAGATTGGTAATCAACCTGGAGAGAACCGGCTTCGGCCGTCGTGGTCCTCGTCCCCCTTGACCGGTCAAAGTCTCCCTTTCTTCCGACTCGAACGACCGAGACCCTTCCGGCGATGACCTACTCAGGGAGGACCTCGCTCTCTGATCGAGCGACTGATCCAATCCCCCGATATACGTCGTCGAATGGCGATGCTGATCGCGGTCCGACCCCGACCCTGACATGGCCATCGATCCTCTACTACCCATCATCCACGACGGCTTCACGGCCGCCGGCAACCGACTGATCCCGATGCCCGAGTATCGCGAGGGATCGTACACAGGTAGAGGCTGATACGCGGGAGGAGGGGAGGAGTCGTGCGATTCTCTTCGTTCCCTATGTCCTTGCCCTTGTCTTTGATGCTGACTTTGACTCTGATGCTGACCCGATTCTTCCTGCTCCGGAGACTGCGGCGCACCACCATATGTCCACGATAGCGACGACGAGGCTCTCGTGTCCCCTAGTTCCAGATCTCCGAGGGCGAATCCGTACGCTTTATAGCCGTGTCCGCTTGTACCTTCGGTGGTGTGCGCGGCTAAAACCCGCTCCTCGTACCGGCGGATGCGATCCCATTTGCGTTTTTTGAACAGGACGAAAAGGATGCCGGCGGTGACTGGATCGGAAGGTTAGTTTTCTTTTTACTGACTTCTTCACCGCGAGAAAAGAGGTGGGTTCAATGAGCAGGGTGATAGGTCGGTAGGTAGGTTTGTTGGTACAAGGTAACATCGCACAAGTCGGGCGGCTGGAGGGGAGAAAACACGGGGAGGAGACACGTACTGGCCATGGCGGCTACACCACCGACCACGACGCCGATGATGATCCTGTCTCGGGATGTGTTAGAGGATGAGGATGATGAGTCGGTTGATTCATAATCGTCGGAGCGGACGTGGTTGTGATGAAAAGCGTCGTCCATGGCGGATTGCTCCAGGCGGCCGCGGCTTAGGGCAAGTTGAGGTGAGAGACTACCTAAATTGACTTCTTTAGGCCACCAAGATCGACGATGACCCCATCAACAGCAGACCCACGATAAGTGCTCCGGTCAATTGAAGGTGACAAGAGAATTGAGTCGAAAAGGAATGAATCCGACAGCAAACACGAAAGACAGAACAAGAATCCCAAACCACAACAACAACATCGACCCTGTCGTGTTTAAAAGAACGCACAAGCAAGCAAGCAAGCAAGCAAGCTCCCAGCACAGACCCTCGTTTCAAAATCGAATTCCCCTCTCTCGTGCATGCAAACCACCTATTTTAATCTCGAAACTTAGCAACCCCGATCGGATCAATTGACAATGAATTAAGCTGATCCTGCCCGCACTGACGGACCTGTCAGACCTCAGAAGCACTGAGAGTGTCTCCAGTCCCCACCCAAAAATAGCCCAAAATTAACGCAAATAGCAGTGGCAGGATCCATAGCTCTGCAGGTTTCACGGGCGTCATTGGCGGGGAGGGATTCGATGGGTGTGTGTCCAAGCGCCGACGTTCATTGCTTGCTGTTCATGTAGGCGCCACTGAGCGCCCGCTGTTCCCCGCTATTTGTACTATTAAAAGATCAGTAGAGGTGATCAGTTGTTTGGTTTGTGAATATTCAGGCAGGTATTAGCGATTAGCGATTAGGATATCTAGTGTGATGCTTGAGTATCTAGGGTTTTACGTGTGCAACGTCGTAGATTCTCGAACCTTTAGGGCTGGGTCTAATAGACACGATCAGTCAATCAATGTAATCCACACTCGATATATACCCAGTCTAGCCCATTTCCTCAATGCTTATATATTCCCCAGATCAACTATAATATCCTAATCCACTACTCCGCATAAGGTCTATACAACTTCAACCCACTCTCCGCAACGAACTTCAACTCCACGCCCTGTCCAACAAAAAAGACCGCCCCCTCCTTGACCTCCCAACTATGTCCCTGTCCAGCCTCCATCTTCCCCTCTCCCTTCGTAACGACCACCAAACTCGGCCCCCCAATCGCCTCATGCCTCTCACTCTCCCACTTCCCCAACTCCGTCGCCAACACATTAAACTCACTAAACGGCGGCGCATACACATCCGTCCTCGCCAATACTCCCTTCTCACTCCTCTTTCTGGGTAACGATACCTCCTCCGCGCCTCGCGGATGGAAACTCAACGCCTGCGCAAACAACTCGACATTGTCGCGGTCCGGCCGTGGACAAAATCCCGTGTTCAGCACGTTATCGGACCGCGCCATACACTCGACGATATCGCCGGAGAGCCACGCGTGGATCCCGTCGGCCGGAACACAGACGGCCTCACCGGGTCCGATGGCCATGTAGTTCATGAGCAGGGCGGCGACGAGCGCGCCGTTGTCGTATTCGGTGTATTGGTCCTTGAGACGGGTGAGAAGGCTGGGTATCATGCGGTTCTGGGCGCCGAACTGGGCGTCCGGAAGAGCTTGGAGCTCCGAGATGGTCTGCGCAACGATGTTGGGTTGGAGCGAGAGGAAGGTTTTGCAGATTTGGCGCAGGGTGGAGGCGTTGATTTCCGTTCCTCCTCCTTCGGCTTGGGCTGTAGGGTTGGATTGCGAGGGGAGATACCGAGTCAACGGGGGTAGATGCATGATGGTGGCGATCTGGTCGAAGGGCTTGAAGCCGGCGAAGAGCTCGAAGTGGGACAAGGCGATGGCGATCTCGGGCTTGTGGTTGCTGTCGCCGAATTTATGCGGGTCTTGGGCGTGCAGTTTCTCGGCGAGGGATTTGTCGGGGTGGATTTGGAGGGGGAGAGATTTGGCGAAGGAGAGGATCTATTTGGTATGGGTTAAGAGGAGGGTTGATGATGGGGGCCAAAGGAAGAGGGACGAGGGATGAGGAAGTGATATATAGAGAAACTTACTTTGGGTAAGAAAGGAATCTCAGCACCGCTCTTCTCTAAGGTCGCTTTGCCCACCAGCTGCGGGTTCTTCTTCAGATAGTCGGAGAGTAGTTCGCCGGTGGAAAGCAGTCGAGAGGGCACGGTAGGGTACGTGCCCATCCACATCTGTTTGTTCGCGATGAGCTTCACTCCGAAGAAAGGAATCGGGATAGAGCAGGGTGCTGCATACCTCGGAATATGTCTCGTCATCTTTCAGACTCTCTGTTCCCGGGGTCTTGGACCATAGCTGTCCAGCGATGGAGTCTTTGCCTTGCTTGCCCCAGGGGTCGTGCTATAGATGCAGATGCGATGTTAGTGACTTGACTTGATGATCGTACAAGAAACACAACTTTTCACAGTAAAGGAAAGGTCTGACACACCTTGCACTCGCACTTTAATTGCACTACTGAGTCTACCATTGTGTTGATTTCGTAGCTATTGACTAGATAAACCTGACAAATGAATTGTTGTCTGCCCATATCCATCCATTCTTATACTTCGGCGAACACAGCCATGGGGCAGCAGGAATAGGCCACGTTACCACGACGTCATAGCTGCATTTCGTCACAGCCATGAAATACCTATCAATCTACCTGATCTCCAGAATATCATGATTTTTAATATCTCCAATTCTACGTTACATATCAAGTCGTTGAGATTCTATGGGGAACGGACCAATAATCTACCAGCAAATGGGGTCTCGTCAGGCTGACGTCAACCGATTTTTTACTAAGGATTCAAGAAGGATTCATCATTCATAGTTCATAATATCCTGATCAGTCATTCTTATGTTCATCGCATCAATAAAGTAAAAGTAAAGTTGACCACCAACGCCTAACCCTGGCTCCGGTATGCATGAAGAAACAAATCGATCCGTCCCGCCAAATGCAGTTCAAGTAAAGCAACCAGAACTCCTGACCCAAACACATTAAACAAAACAGAACAGAACAGAACGAGTTCCGATTAAGAATATCCCTCTCATCCATACATCTCATCCGCATCCGGCACCATATCTGTAGTCAAGTACCTAGCACTAGACCGATACTTCTTCTTGTCAGACGAAGTCGCGCCCGAACTCCGACCTCCAAACAAGGAGCTTGCCCGCCGACCACTGTAGTCCGCACTACTGCGATAATCGGATCGCGAGAGTCGCGACGAAGACCGACCGGATGGGTACGCGACGTACTCGTCCTCATCTTCCTCGTTCAAGTCATCAGAGCAAACAGTCTGTCTATCCCGATCGCGACGATGGTCGCTTCCAAGACGCATGCTGTCCCTCGATCGGGAGGAGGACGACGCGGACGACGACGCATACGGCGACGGCATCCCCACATCCTCCGCATACCGCGGCGTAGCGGGAATATACCGGAACCGCGGCGACGGGTGATCATGCGTGGCGACGTGCTCGGCCACCTCGGTCGGATAGTCCTTCTGGATAGGTTTATATGCGAACTCGGTGCGACGGTCTTGCTGAGTGGAGAGTTCGTGGCCCGGACTGTCCTCGGTGTGCTTTGGACGAGGGGCCAGACGCACGGACAGACGACGAGGGTTCAACGTGCTCATGGAGAAGGTGCTTTGTCGTCTAGCCGAGCGCGTTGAGGGGTCTTCGTCTGCGTGGGAGACACCTCGGGGCGGGTGCTCGGGGACGAAGCCCGGCCCGTAGCCCCGGGTGCGATGGGACGATTGATGAGGGTTGTCGAACTGGTTCCAGGATCCATCGGTGGGAGCAGAGATGGCGACGTCGCCCCATCGTTCGTGCAGAGGTTTGTAGGTGTCGGATCGGCGAAGGCGGTTGAGTGGACGGCCGACGAAGCTTGCCATGATGGATTGATTTTGTATCACGGAGATATAGGAAAGGATGAGACGAAAGAGAGAAATAAAGGATAAAGGAGACGATTTCAATCCAGTAGCCAAACTCAAGCAGAGAATTCTAATCGAGAACTCATGACAGCACTTGCTATACAGCGCAACAGGACACAAACCAAGCAAACTCAGCACAGACCAAAGCAAAAGGCAAGTAGAGTTCCGCCCAGCCTTCCTTCTCGGTTCAAAGGATTCCAATCCGATCCATACATCAAATTCCACGAAGGAGCGAAACGGTCGATATAAAAGTTTAACCATCCAGCCGAAATCCCACGACGCCATACCGCAGACGGACAGCGTCAGGGAACAGTTTCGGAGCGTCGCATTGCATCATGCATCCCTGCAAGCGGAATGCCAACATTAGAAACCCGTCAGTAAGTTGAATCACTCACGGCGTCACGCTCGCCTGGTCATAGGATAACCGCCCGGACCAGCGCCGGCCCTCTGCATTAGCCCGGGGCTGATCGTCGTCCGGAACGGCTATGATTCGTCTAGCTCGTGTTTCCATTCTTAGCAAAATACTCTAGAAGTGGTCTATATTAAGGACTTAACAGAGTCTGGACTGTAGTAATTAGCGCCGTTCATGGACAGAAAAGAGGGGGAAGGAGGGAGGTTAATTAATTTAGTTCGAAGGACAGGCCCAAATTTAGAACATTTTCGAAGAGAGAGCGAGTCACTTGCATAGGCGAAGCGCCCGACCAGGGTTCTTGAAACAAGCCACTTGCGGATCACGGGCGGTGCAGATGCACTGCACCGATCTAATTTTAATCGGCGGCGCTTTGCGTGGGGATCATTCCTCTAACGTGCCTTGTGAGCGAGTCGATCGTTACGTAGATGGCGGTCATGCAGTGCCATGTACGCAACCCCACGGGTCGAGAACGAAAAGTCGTGTCACTCATGCGTGGGGTTTGATAGTCAGCGTTAAGTAGCCTAGTGTCGCTGATAGTCACCTTACGCGCGCGAGATAGGGACATAAAGGACACTGCAAGATAGTGAACACGCTAACATGATATCTATGTTGAATCTTCTCGGTAACGCCCGTCTGAAATACAATGCAAGTGCTAGGGCTAGTGCTAGGGCGGCGTTAAACATATCTAGGGAACCCGTAGAAAGGACCAAACTCCAAGGCTCAACAATGCATGGGGTAACAAATTTCCAAAATTCAAGGGAAATGAATAGAATAAAAATCAGAAACAAAATTGACAAGGGCAGAAATGAAGGCACATCAGATGGAACGGATTCTGTTTCCAGCAGAAAGCTCCCCAGGAGCAAGCAAAGGTCTCGTGGTATCTTCAGGTCATATGTTCGCACTTATGTATCAGCTCAGACCTTGGGTTCTGCAAATGACACCTGCTATCTCCCGTGGCCAATGAAATCAATTCTTAATGTAGTGAAACGGTGTATACGGAGTCCCCGCCGCCTTGGAAGGCGTCATCCGCAGCAGATGATTCTGTGCGGGGGACATCGATTTCGTAGAGGGCGTTTGGTCCAAAGAAGGAGGTGGGTCTGTGAGGTGCGAGGAATGGCGAGTAAGCGCCCCGGTAGACAGTCGTCTGGAGTAGAAGGTGTGAGGGGAGACAGGCCAGTGGACTGGACAATCAGTCGTCATCGGCTCCCACGACGCCGGGTGCTGTATAAGCCCAGGTCGTTGGAGAGACGGAAGTAACGGCTCGTCGTCATCGTCCGAGTCGGCGAGGGAAGACTCGTCGCTCGCACTAGGAACGTAACTCTGCGGGCTCTCCGCATGACGCTCGTGCTCCGGCTCAATCTCGTGATCGGTCGACATGTCCGGTGAAGCGCTCGAGGATACGGCGCTGCAGGTTCGCCTCAACTCCGGTCGCATTGCGCGGGCGGCGTTCATTTGGGTCTTTTGGGCCTTCTCGACTTCGTGGCTATACGAGCTTCTCCGGTTCAGCACGGCTCGTCGCGCTCCGTTGCGGTCGAGATTCTCTGAATGCCGCTCAACCAGATGAAGGGTTCTCAGGTCCACCTGGCTCCGACTGAAGGTGACTCTGGTTCGCATCTTCTGGATAGCCGAGTCCAAAGCCAGTTCGATAGCACAGTGGTTTCGAATCTCTCGGACCTTCGGCCATGTCGCTCGCTCTCCACTGAGACACGCCTCCAGCATGAACTCCGTCGTCGGGTTCTTCAGTATGAGAGGGAAGTGATTGTACGGAACGTCTGGATATATATTGATGTCACCGGAGTATTTCTGGTTAACGATGGAGATGGCTTTGCTGAGCGAAGTGGGAAAAATCCCCATCTCCGCCATAACCATCATGCGATGCAACAGTTCATCCTTGGCGAGTTGTGTTGCGCTTTGGACCCAATTAAATGTGCGGGAAGGGCTCTTCGTCTCTTTGGGATCGACGCTTTTCGGGAGGAAAGGAATTATATGAGGGTTAACTTGGGACACGATGAAATGGTTCACGTTGAACATCTCCGATAGGCGGGTCATCGGCAGATCCCCGTCTACCGAGCCGTCGATGTACTGTCGACAAAAGTCATACCAAGGAACCACTTCTCCGGTCTGTGGATCTTTAGCCATCAGGTCATAGGGTTGGAACACTAAGGGCACCGAGCAAGAAACGGCGCTAAGAAAGGTCAGTGATTACCTCCAATGCGCATTACACTCCGCAGAAACTCACACGGCAGACCAGATGCAAACGTTAGGTGCGGTGATGTAATTCAGCAGCCTGGGCAGTTCGTAAATCCCAGCGCTGGAAACACAGATATTGAGAATCCGGCGCGTGCGGTTGTACGCCTCCTGGAAAGTTATGTCACCCAGCCACCCTCGCATGAATTTGGCCAGATGCTGTATGTCCATAAAGGTCCCATGCTTCAAAATCCGCGAGATCATCTGCAGAATACTCTCCGTGCCGTCGTCCTCGCCGAAGACGTCGAAGTCTCCATAGGCGAAATTGTCCAGTAGTTCGGGAATCTCCTCCTCCGTGCGGGTGCAGAAGACGGAGCACACGATGCTGCCCGCCGAGGCACCGGACATGATGCGGGGAAGAAGGTTGGCCTGCCAGAGAGACTTGAGAACGCCAATATGGTTCATCCCGAACGTTCCGCCGCCCGAGAAAAGCAAAGCACTGCGCCCGAAGGCTTGTCGGGCGGCGAGAAGTTGGTCGAGAATATACCTGAGTTCTAGCCCGTCGCATCGATCTTTCCCCGAAAGTTCTGCCAGCGTCGAAATCGTCTCGACGGCCTCCGTGATGTATCGGTCGATGAGCAGCTTGGTGCCGGCGTGGGAATGGCTGTACAGGGCCGGGTTGGACATGTTACCCAGATCGCGGCTGAGCGAAGTGCGGATGAGAAACAACATGCGACTCACGTCGGAGCTAGCACGCGCGTCCTCGAGTTGTTTCAGGCGCTCCTGTATGAGACAGGCATCGTACTCGGTGCTCTCGAAGGTGTTTTTCCAGGATTCGTGATCCTCCAGCACATCCAATTTGGAGGCACAATCCTTCCACTCCTCGTACAACACTGCCTGCAGCATCGGAGTCAAGTCAGATCAGTGACACACGACAACAGCACACCCATTCTGTATGGAGAAACAAAACGAAATGCCATTGGAAAAAATTAAGGAATAAAAAAGACGTACTGTGCGCATTTTGAAATACAGCGACTGACGACGGGTCTCGGTTTCGGTAAGGCCATTTCGATTCTCCTTGGAACGATCGGCCTCGGAAGTCCCATACAACCTATCACCCGCCCAGGTCAACGAGCCCTTAACCACCGACGACAAGGATGGCAGCGAGGTGCGCTTAAGCAGCGAATCTCTTTGGCTCAGGGCGGCGGGTTTCGGCTTGGAGGTGTGTCTGGCCTTGCCATGGCAATGCGGGCGCACTAAGGCGCGATCAGGAAACAGGGACAAGTCCGACATTCCATCGATCTGAACTTCGGTTCACGCTCTACCTCTCTCTGTACCTTTTGTTGGTCAGGTGAGGATATTGAATTCGCAAGAAAGAGAGAAGAGAACAAAAGAGCAAGAATCCGACTGAAAGGCAGAAAAGAATGGCGAGAACACTGGGGAACCAAAGGAATATGAGGTGGGTTGTTGGCAGAATAGGGTTAGTTGGGTCAGGGTGTCCCCAGCCAATGTGGATCGCTAATAGGAATACCCTATAAGTGTTCCTCCACTCTCTCCCCGGGAAAGCAGGCGAGTCATCTGGGGGCGACTGTCATCCGATCGGTCCATTCACGCGCAGAGAAGAACCGGGGCATCTTGGGTCCGGCCGTAAGGAGCAGCCGCCCGACGTCACGAGGCGTCGACGCCCCGATTCCCCATGATTGCCCATCGCCACTGGACATTCTTGTTATGCATTCATAGAACTCTCGGGGCGTATATCGCACGTGAGGCTGTTCAAGGTCCATCCAGGGAACCGAGTGCCATTCCGGTATGGTGCATCTGCAGGGAGGAACCTTCAATCCCTGTCGTCAGTCTTCACCCTTAGTCTCGGTCTTAATCTTGATTGCAGCCTGACTATTGAGACTCCGCACCCCCACATTTTAGGTAGGCGGGGCATTTGGTCAGGCTGGGGGTGAGACGTAAAATCTCAGTACAGTCATTCTCCGTTTTGGGAGTCTGTCATCTGGTCGATTGATATTTGTCGGATGATTGGTTCCAAAGTGAATGATGGGTAAAAATACTGATATCTGGGGATTGTGGTAGATAATTGGATCAGTGCAGTGGACGATCGGAGGGGCTCGCTCCCTCGACCGGGGTTCATGCAGGATAACATCAGCGCTCAGCTGAATCTGCCCGGATGAAACCTGGCAGGCACCATTACCTATTAATTAATTCATTCTGTTTCTGTACGGAGTAGTTAAGTTAGTTTATCCCTCTGAGTCATCCTCTCCACGTCAAATCTCGTCAGCTTGGCTTCTTTATCCTCTTGCATGTCCCTTCATGACGATCCGCCTGTCGTGATCAAAGAATCAAAATGGCAGTTTACGCTCAGATAGCGGCTAAATTCTTCAAGTCAGGCGGTTCCTCTTCCGGGTCGTCTAGATCGCGACTGCAGAGTGAATCCCGAACCTCCAGACGAGGGTGGGATCAGAGATCTGGCGTCGTCAATCCGTGCAGCAGCCACAATCTGGACGGTCGCCAATCCAAAATCTCTGGGTCTCAACGCTGCAGGTTGAGCTGATGATCTAAATTGACAAGCTTGTATAGATGCTATGGCGACAGGAATCATCCGGGATACCAAACAGGCAACAACCTCAACAGAGTGAATGGGCCCAACTGCGCAGGAGGCAGTGAGGTAGCAATCCATGGACTACCTATAAGTCCTCTCCAATCCTACCCAACCCGGAGCAAGCCCGTCCAATTCTCTTCCCGTAAGCTGCAGGACGTCATGCGAACCCACAAGTTTCACATGCGTTGCAACGGTTTTGACATGTGAAAGACCCCGGGCTTGCTGGTCCTGGCGAGCCTCAGCGTTGTTTTACACACCGTCTTTTCCTCTAATTATCTGCCTGCAATTGATTCTTTATCCGAGCGGCCCGTCAAGGTATCTGACGCAACCACTCCCTCAGGGTAGCTCTGGCCTCAGACTCCGCACCGCGCTCCCGCCAGAAGTGCCCAGCCCCGTCGATTTCCGCCGATTGGAATTGACTGCCGGGTTTCAGGCCAAGCTCTTGCGACCATTGGCGCAGTTTCTGAGCGGAAGTAAATGCATCGTGACTACCATACATGGCCAGGGTTGGGTGTGCACGGAGCTGGTCGGTCAGATTGGGGCATGGGATATTCCTGCCCTGAGCGGCAGTGTGGGCTCCGACATTCAACGACAATTTGGAAAACAGGGTCAGGAACATGTTGATCGGGGGCAGAAGAGGCGAAACCAGAAGGTAGCAGATCCTCGCGCTCGAGATACTAAAGGCCCCTTCAGATGTCAATGATCGGCTTTGTGTTTCCTGGGTATCCGACGATAGTGCGAAAATCCTCTCCGCTTCTCGGCGAATCCGATATGTAGCAGACTCGGCGACGCTATTCTCAAAGAGGTCTGCAACGACATCAAGTGCCGGAAGATGCGATGCGATCATGGATCCGTACGAATAACCAGCTAATATAAGTCGCACATTCGCAGGTCCATCTTCTGGCCTGGGGTTTGATGAACTGAGTCGCGTTCTTAGAAGCTGTAAATACCACAGCATGAACCCGTAGAAGGAGACGTAGTCAGCCAGCTCAGGCCGTGCTGTCCAGCTTGTGCTCCCCTCCGACTCTCCGGCTCCCCTGTACGGTACATTTCACATTAGCATGACCCTGACCAATATTCCAAGCCCCAGCCGTAAAGCTGGCCGGGGGGGAAAGAGAACCAGCCTAAATGGCATGTGATAACTACCGGAAATTAAACGTCCCCACCACGTAGCCGGCTTCTAGGAGTTCGCTTCCGACGAAGTTCACGACCGGGTCATCGTAGCATCCGCCCAGGCTGGCATAAGGGTGGGCAACTATAGCTCCGCAGATTGGGCCCCGGCGTGTACCTTCGGGCTCACTCAGTTGGCGGGGAACATGGAGACGGCAGTCCAGTTGAATCCCGTCGTGGACCGATGGTATGGTGAAAGTATAGGTGGGTGGAGGGAGATACATATCATCGTAAAACCAAATTCGCAGTCGCAGCTTTGCGTGTAATCTTCAACGGCATACCCCCAGGACCGCAGAGTAGATGGAGAAAGCAAGCTGGCGGGCTCTAAGGCAGTTGAGATCGCGGTGGTGGTCCAAGCGCCCGTGAGGCATACTTTTCAGGCATCAATCATCCACCAGAAATCATGAGCTGTCTTGGTTAATTTCTTGGTGTTCAGTCACAGGATACCAGCATCATCTTGAGATATAGTCCTGTAATCAGGTTGTTTTCTGTTTTTTGGCTTGCATGTTTCCGAAACATACATATCAATCCAAATTATATATTTTTCGGTTGAGAAATCATCCAATTTCCGGTGTTGAAATCCTACTTCAGTGACATAGCATCACTATGGTCTCAAGAATTGCCCTATAATTTCCAATCTGTCCTTCGTTTAGACCCCCAAAGTCGACAAAATATTTCCCAGAGGGATGATCTACCCTAATATCGCAAAGTCCAAGGAGGTAAGGAAGATATGGCACACTCCATCGGATCAAGGGAGACAATAAACTAGCATCGCGTTCATCATGCAACACCCTTGATTCCCTTCGATTGCACCAGATATGACATACAGATGATAGTAGCCCACTGAAATCTTGGTATTAGCAGGACGAGGCATTGGGCGATGAACGATCCTCAGCCCCGCTCGGTCTCTTCTTGTCCGAGCATGTCGATGCTCACATGCATAAGTGACTGCTGACCTCTGGGGAAGTGACGTTTTCTGGGATTTTTTAGCATCAACATGCATGTTGAATCGGTAAACGGGGCATAGAAAGCCGAGTTGGGATAGTGCATCGACATATCAGTCCGGAGAAGGTGTTAATTCGCGGATTAAATCGACAGCAAGCCTGCGACATTTCCTCCAACTTGATGAATGACCCGATAAGTAGGTATAAATTCTGGCTGTTTCGACAATATCTAGAGTGTGTAGCCCCTAAAAAAGCCCGTAGTCCGCGCACAAAATGCTGCTTTTTCCTGTCTCTTTACTCTTTCTCTCGCCGGCCTTTGCGGCCTCTGCTCTGAAAGTTGACACCGTCGATGGCCGGAAGACGTGCACGGTGGCCACCCTAGGCGATGAGCAGAACGACGTCCCGAACATTTTGTCTGCATTCGAAGAGTGTGGATCCTCAGGGACAGTGATCTTTCCTGAAGGGGAAAACTACTGGATTGCTGAAAAGTTCACGGCGGATATTGAAGATGTGGAAATTGAATGGAGAGGAACATGGACGGTATGTCTCCTCCTATCGGGACAATCAACAAAATATCGTATATGCTTATTCCAAACAGTTCTCCGACGATCTGGATTATTGGCGCGAAAACTCATACCCAATTTCTTTCCAGAATCACGCAGCCGGGTTCATTCTGAAAGGCAAAGGAATCCGGATCAACGGGTACGGCACCGGCGGAATCAATGGGAATGGAGATCTCTGGTATACCGACGAGGCTGGAACTACTAAGAAGGGGCGACCCATTGTAAGAGCCTAGTTCGAAATATGGCTGTTCAGGTGAAGCTAACCTGCGAACGAACTGTAGCCATTTCAACTCTGGAACGTCAGTGATGTCACCGTTCAGAACTTCGCGATTATTGAGCCCCAGCTGTGGGCCATCAATATCATGAACGGTACAAACCTCGAGTTCGAGAACATCCATGTTAATGCGACTGCCACCAAAGCGCCTTCGGGCAAGAATTGGGTCCAAAATACCGATGGATTTGGTAAACATCACTGTTCTCTACATTCGACTCTCGTAACATGCTGGCACTGACATGTGCTCAGATACAATGGACGCGGACAACGTGAGGTTGAAGAATTTCACCTACACCGGAGGAGACGATTGTATCGCCATTAAGCCTCGATCATACAACATCCACATCGACGGAGTGGTCTGCAATGGCGGCAATGGTATTGCCATAGGTAGTGTCGGCCAATACCTCGAAGACTCCAGTGTTGAGAATGTGGTCATGCAGAACGTCAAGGTGAGCTCCAAGCTTGCCCTTTTCAGAATAAACAAGAACTGATCTACAAAGGTCCCACGCACTCGATTTGGTATGTATATCAAAACATGGATAGGCGAAATCGCCGAGCAAGATGGTTACGAGAGCGGAGGTCAGCCTCGAGGAGGCGGCTGGGGCAAAGTCCGCAACGTTACCTTCTCTGCTGTCGCCGTGACAAATGCCAACAGAGTTGGTCTCATCGACCAGAATTCAGGAGATAATGGATCATTCACCGGAACCAGCAAGATGGAAATCTCAGATATCGTGTTTGACCAGTTCACGGGCACGTTGGCCTCGGCCAGTAACCAGATTGGCGTCCAGTGTAGTAAAGTTTATCCCTGCTATGGCATCTATTTCAGTGACATAGACGTGAAATCTTCGTCTGGGAGCAGTCCCACTGGAAAATGTACATATGCGAAGAAAAATGGCATTCATGGGCTGTCTGGTTGCTAGTCGGTTGGAAGATGTACGTTCAATCTGGGATGAGTGGCTGTTGATGTTGCATCTTGAACATAAGAGTTCTTGACCATGACAAATGATGTATTACTTCAAATCCCATTTCATCAGGCAAATGGTGAAATAGGACTATTCATTGCTTCTGAGACGGCACGAATTCAATCTCATCAATCTCCCCAGACCATATATCTAATCCACAAATATCTTCCCCTCCGCCACAAAAGCAGCAGGACCCGCCAACTTAACACTCGAAACCCTTCTCCTATCCTCCGTCAGCTCAACATCCACAACGATGTGACTATCACGCCCAATCTCAGACCCCTGATCGATCAAGAACCGGTGCTTACGGCTTCCTGCGCCCTCCTGCAAAGCCAGGTACGCAGCCAGGGAACACGACCCGCTACCACAAGCAGGATCCTCGACATTAATCGCAATCATGCGCACCCGGAGCTCCCAAATCTTCGTATCAGTCTCCGTCTCGATACGCAACCCCAGAGTCCGGTAATACATGGTCCCGACAAACGAAGGGCTCCAGCCCTCGTCGAGCTCGACCTGCGGACTTTCCCCGGCGCTGATCTTACCGAAGACTTCGGGCGTCTCGGTCAAGTCGGCCAGGACGTACGTCACCCCCTTGACGATAGATACTGTAGGCCATGAGGTAGTAGTAGTAGTCAATCTTGAAGTAGCGCCTAGACAGGGTTGAATGGCCTTCAACGCCGAGAGAGGCGTCTCGGTTGCGTGGATGTGTACGTTATGCGGGACTTGCGCAGAGACGATCTGACTCTTGGGATTATATTCTATCTTGACGGGTCCGGCCCTTGTCTCGAGAGTCTGCATATGAGGACCGGAGGCTGGATGCTGAGTCTGATTCAACAGCTTCCGAAAGAGCAGGTGACCGGTGCCAATGACCGGGTGGCCGGCGAATTCCATCTCATTGACGGGCGTGAAGATCTCGGCGCGAATGTTCTGGGTTGATCCTCCGTTGTGCAGAAAGACGGTTTCAGAGAGGTTGAATTCCAAGGCGATTTGTTGCTTGCGCTCTTGGGTTAAGGGTAGGCTGGTGATGTCTACGATGGCGAGTGGGTTGCCTTTGAGTCTGATTGGGGTTTGTTAGTTGATTACTGGGAGGGTTGTTTGGGAAATGAAGTACTGCAGAGTTCAGGGTCGATGTAGTAATTGACGTACCTTTGATGTGCGAAGACATCGACGATGACTTTGATGTTATTAGTCTGGAGTTTTGGTGATGAGCCAATTGGGGTTCCTTACCGTACGAAGCCTGTGTTCCTGCCATTTCCTAGTAGTTTGGGTTGATTGAGGTAGATGTAATAGTTTCCTATAGTGATTTGGGTTTGTTAAAGTGTCTGAAGTGTTACTTGACTTTATACAGGTACGTTGCTTAGGATGAAGCCATGAATAATCGCAGAAATAAATCGATATGATCGCCGGTTAGGATCGGTGTGGATCTCACGCCCTTCAAGTGACACTCCTACGTCGGAGATTTCTATTCATTACCATTTGCGACACTCGATAAGGCGATCGATTATAAATCAAGATTGCCGTGGTTCGGTCCGGACTTTGTGACTAGTTCGTGAATAGTATATCCTGGCAAGTATAGTTCATCAGGTGTATTGTAAAATAGTTGAATGATAGTTCCTATCAACCCGCGCTATGCGTTCACTAATATTCCGCGATGCGGGCTTGTCTCTTTTATAAAAATGTTTTTACCTTCTTTGTAAATATATGTATCAGGACTCGGGGAGAAGCCAGGCAGGATCCGGATCTTCATCATCCCCGGACCTAGAGACGGCATCGTGTGAATGGTCCTCAGTATCCCTCAGTAAATCAGCGGGAGGCTCAGGGTTATCGACACCAAGAGGGTCAGCTTTCGAATCGGTGTCATCGTCGTCATGCCGATTTTTTCCTGCGCTTTCTCGGTCTGAAGATGGCCACAAATCTTCTTCAGATACGTTGAAAACACCGAGCAGCATTTCCCTGGCTTCCCGTAGCGCTACAAGTTCGGCACCGATGCAACAAACAAGCAGTCTCCAGTCCTTTTCTTCGGCCAGCTCCAGGTACTGTTCCACATGACTCGTTGTATTACTCAAATCATTCAAGACAGCCCGAGCCTGCTCATCTTCAGATTTGCTCCCAGAAGGTCCATCAGGTGTCAGGAGCTGTGATTGTTTTTGAATGGAGCGTCGCATTGCGGCCTTCAGCCGTCTTTCAAACCCTGTGACTTCTTTAACAACACGCTTCCACAAGCCACCTCCCTCTTCAAGTGCCTCTATCTCGGCGTCGACCTCCCGTTGACGCTTTTGAAATCTTGTTTCCTCCGATTTCCAGTGTTCTTGAGCCATTTGGAGAGTCCGACGCTTGTGGTTCAGTGAGTAGAATGTTGGCCGGTTATTGTTGGTCGGTTGAGGCTGGATCGGTGGATGCTGAAGGAATTTGCGGATGTCCGATTCCAGTAGGGACAAGGACGCTTGGTAAGAGGACAACTTAGACTCCACCGTATTCTCTAGTTGTGATAATTCGTGAGTAACCTGCCTCTGCCTTGCTTTCATCTGGGACAACCGCATCTCCATCTCATGGATGTCCGACTCGAGCTGATGACTTTCGTCGCGCAGCTCCCTAGAACGTTGGCCTTCCCCATCATTATGTATTGTAGATATCGCCTCATCGAGCCCGTCTCGCTTGGTATCAAACGTATCGATCTGTTTTAAAGCATCTTGTCGTTCACCGACATGGGAGGTGAGTACATCTTGCTCCTCCTCTCGAAGTTTCAGCAAATCGGAGATCGATCTAAATATTCCTTCCCGCGCGGCTCGTAGGCCGATCTTCTTTGCGACGGGTTGTCTGACTGGGACGGTTGAGGGACTTTCGGTGTTGTTGAATCCCGAGCTGGGGGCGTGACTTTCGCCGGACTGAGAGCTATCTTCTCCTGGCCCCTTGAGACCAGCCAAGAGACCTTCGCTCTGGGCGTCGATAAGAGCCTGTAAATTACGTTCGAGGTGTTTTGCTTGACGGTCAATATAGATAAGGGGATCCTGGTGATAGGTAGATGCCCTGAGTGGAGGGGATTGCAGGCGCCGCCCCTGGTCTTGTGAAAAGGATAGACTCGACATTGTGTCGAATAAAGGGGTGTCTATGTCTGTCTGGTCTAGCCTGGTGTAGTCTGGTTGTTTGTGGAGTCGAGCTCTTCGAGTGCGCAAAAAAGGCTATCTCGGATGGTAGAGCAGCAGGAACATAAAAGAAATGAGAGAAAATTGGGGCAATGAGTCCGACCGACCCTGCTCAGGCCCAACGACGCCGGTGACCAGCAGCTGTTTGCCCGTTGGTGTCGCCTGCACTCATGATCCGCGATCCCATGCCATCATAGGCACGTGACCCGTTCTAGGGGTTTCTGCAGGAACCACGGGAACCTTTCGACAGCTTCCCATCGCCGTTGACGTGTGCCTCGCTGGGTACAAGCTTCCTAGTATCTCCATCCCTCCATCCCATTCTCCATCGATCCGATTTTGTTGTTTGTTCTTCCTTCATTTCATCGACTCCCCTTGCAAATTCTGCCTCTTCGGCATTCTTTTCCCAACTCAAGGCCTACCTGACTAAATTAGGCCGACTTCATCCGTCAGACCTTCGTCGAAGCTGTCGCCTCATCCCTCCAGCGATAGCACAATCTCTCAGACATGGTTGGACTTGCTTCGGCCGCTGGCCTTGTCGGCTTCCTCTCTGAGCCCGACCCAGAGCTGCGTGTCTTCGCTTTGAAGACCCTGGACTCGCAGATCGATCTTCTATGGACGGAAGTCGTGGATTCTGTTCCGCAAATGTTAGTATTCGTCATCATAACCGTCTCACCTGCCTCACGTCTAAATTCGCGTTCTTTCCATCCCGTCCATCCACAGACTCCGGTGATGTATCCTCCTTGACTGACTCGATCATCTGCAGAGAGGCGCTTTACGAAGATGAATCTTTCCCCGAGCGCGAGCTTGCCGCCCTAGTCGCCGCCAAAGTCTACTACCACCTTCAAGAATACAATGAGAGCATGGTGTTCGCTCTTGGGGCCGGCAAACTCTTTCAGCTGGACCAAGGTGGCGAGTTTGAGGAAACTATCATCGGTAAGTAGCTCATTATCTATAGACTATCCGGAAATCCGCTCGAGCTTTGGTCTGATGTGACGTATTCTCCAGCGAAATGCGTCGATACTTTTATCTCCCTCTCTGCTGCCCAGAAGCCTGCCGCGGGTGACCAGCCGCCTAACTTGAACACTGCGTTCCCCACCTCCGGCGAAGGGGCCACGAGTACATCCGCCAGCCTCACCTCTCCGATCACCCCATTTTCGCAGTCGGCGTTGCCGTCAAAGTCGTTGCTATCTCGCCAGGAAGTTCCCGGGATCGATTCGGCTTACCCGGGTGGCGATGATGCCAGCGTCAAACAGGTGGAGACTCCGTTGGTTTTGCGCCGAGGTGTCCAGGGCCAGCTACAGGCTATCGTCGAACGCCTGTTCGAACAGTGCTTCCAGCAGAAGCGCTATCGTCAAGTTATCGGAATTGCTATCGAAGCCAAGAGCCTGGATGTCCTGCGTAAGACCATCATCCGCGCCAGTGAGGACGAGAAGAAGCAGGACGGTGAATCTCGACGAAGCGAGGAGCTCATGGAATATGTTCTCGACATTTGCATGGGTATTGTCCAGGAGCGTGGGTTCCGTAATGAGGTAAAAATCCCCTTTTCCGCCTACAAAGACAGAGGCCTCGATCTGAACTAACATTTAAACCAAAGATTTTAAAACTTATCCTCGACCTTCTCAACGAGATCCCCTCCCCCGATTACTTCTCGATAGCCAAATGCGTTGTTTACCTCAACGAACATTCTATGGCATCCGTCATTCTTCGCCAGTTGGTCGAGAAGGGCGATGCTCGGTCACTCGCTGTTGCCTATCAGATTTCTTTCGATCTGTATGATAACAGCACGCAAGAATTCCTTCAGAAAGTCCGGCAAGAAATTGCCGAGCTTGTGCCGGAGGAGGCCGAGACCGAGGAGAACCAGGGCACGACTGATGATGAGAACGAGCCCAAGGAATCCGATGCCCTGCTCGGGGACCAGTCTAGCTCCGAGCAACCCCGCTCTATCGGTGCCAGCGATGACAAGAAGCTCTCCTCAGAGACGCGCACGGCTTTCAAAAACATCATTGACATCCTTGACGGTATCAAGTCCATCCAATTAAATTTGGAGTTCTTGTACCGCAACAACAAGGCCGACATTGCCATCCTCAACAAGGTCCGTGACAGCTTGGAGGCCCGGAACTCCATTTTCCACACTGCGGTCACGCTATCGAACGCCTTCATGCACGCCGGTACCACTCACGACAAGTTCTTCCGAGACAACCTGGAATGGCTCGGCAAGGCTGTTAACTGGTCCAAGTTCACGGCCACGGCAGCTCTCGGTGTCATTCATCGTGGCAACTTGAGCCAGGGACAGAAGCTCTTGCAGCCTTACCTGCCCAGGGAACATATCGCCGGTGTTGGTGGATCGGGCTCTGTCTACAGTCAAGGTGGATCTCTCTACGCTTTTGGTCTGATCTACGCCAACCACGGTGGAATGGCTGTGGATCTCATCCGCGATCACTTCAAGAAGGCCACCGAGGAGGTCGTTCAGCATGGTGGTGCTTTGGGTTTGGGTGTCGCGGGTATGGCAACCGGCGACGAAGGCATCTACGAAGATTTGCGGAACGTTCTCTACACGGATTCTGCGCTCAACGGTGAGGCCGTCGGTCTCGCCATGGGTCTGGTCATGCTGGGAACCGGCAATCTGAAGGTCCTCGAGGACATGATCCAGTATGCCCATGATACCCAACACGAGAAGATCGTTCGCGGTCTGGCCATGGGTATGGCCCTGATCATGTATGGTCGCCAGGAAGCCGCCGACGAGTTGATTAACGGTCTTCTGGGCGACCCTGACCCTACCCTTCGCTACGGTGGTATCATGACGATTGCTCTGGCCTACTGTGGCAGCAGCAGCAACAAGGCCGTTCGCAAACTTCTCCACGTCGCTGTCAGCGATGTCAACGATGACGTTCGACGTGTTGCCGTGCTGAGTCTGGGCTTCATCTTGTTCAGGAAGCACCAGAGCGTTCCCCGCATGGTGGAGCTGCTTTCCGAGTCGTACAACCCTCACGTGCGATACGGTGCCGCCATGGCCTTGGGTATCTCGTGTGCGGGTACCGGCCTGGACGAGGCGATCGATCTGCTAGAGCCCATGCTCAAGGACTCTACGGACTTTGTGAGACAGGGAGCGCTGATCGCCCTCGCTATGGTTCTGGTCCAGCAAAACGAGGCCATGAACCCCCGGGTGAGCAGCTTGCGCAAGGCTATGATGAAGATGGTCGGCGATCGTCACGAGGACGCCATGGCCAAGTTTGGATGTGCGGTGGCTCTCGGCATCATCGACGCGGGAGGCCGGAACTGCACCATCAGCCTGCAGACCCAGACGGGTAACCTCAACATGCCCGGAATCGTGGGAGCTGCCGTCTTCCTGCAGTACTGGTACTGGTTCCCTCTCACCCACTTCCTGTCGCTCAGTTTCGCCCCTACGTCGGTGATCGGCGTGGACCAGAAGCTCGAGGTGCCGTTCTTCAAGTTCCACAGCAACACGAAGCCCAGCCTCTTCGACTACCCGCCCGAGCAGCAGGTGAAGACTGAAGAAGCGCCCGAGAAGGTCAAGACCGCCGTTCTGTCCACCACTGCGCAGGCCAAGCGTCGTGCCCAGCGTCGTGAGAAACAGCAGCGTCGGGAGAGTATGGATCTCGACCAGACACCCACCACACCCAAGGTGTCGGAAGCGGCAGACCGAATGGAGACGGACGAGGCCGTCGTCAAGGGCGAGGAGGAGGCCAAGGAAGGAGATAAGGATGCCGGTGAAGGCCAGAAGAAGCGAGTCGAGCGCGAGAAGGTTGGATATGAACTTGAGAACATGTCGAGAGTGCTTCCCGCACAACTCAAATATCTCACCTTCCCGGATCCCCGGTACGAGCCGGTCAAACGGGTACGTATACACTTCCTTACGCACAGAAAATTTGATCTATCAATATGCTAACCTTTCCCCCCATAGCCTACCGGCGGAGTGGTGGTAGTGTTGGACAAGAAGCCCGAGGAGTCGCGCGAGACCATCGAAATGAAGGCCAGCAAGGAAGTCAAGCAGCCTGCTGCCGCGGCGGAGACGCTACAGGATCGACTGCAGGCCGCCATCGGGGCCGCCGCTCTTCAGACCCCTCAGCGCTCTGGTCAAGCTGCCGGGGCGACTGCGGGAGCTGCAGCCGCCGCGGGTGTCTTGACGGCGGTGGACGAGGATCAAGAGGGCGGCGAGGAGGCCCCCGTACCAGAGGAGTTTGAGTACGAGTCGGATGGCGAAGAGTAGACGCCTACACTTTCGGTTGTATTACTAGAGTAATCATGGATCTATGTCTTTTTCTTTTCTTTTGTACCCACCCCGTTGCACGGAGAAATATCTTGCAAGTGGGTACTCATGTCTCCTTCGAATGACATATACAAGCATCGCCTTTTTGGATTGATTCATACCCAGAGACGGTCAAGTAGTGGCGTAGATCGGGAGTGGATGAACCGAGCTGGATTAACTTAAAACGCCCAGTTGCCCAAAGATTGGACAAATCGTAAACTAGTTTTAATAGTTAGAAGTGGACCATTCCTGCGACAAATGGGAAGCCTGACGATGACAATTCCCCGGTCTTTCCCCTGATTGTCACATGCCGAACCCCCGTCGTGAAGCCAGTTCCCAGCCTGAGGCTGAGCTCTCTGCCTGGACGCCTGGCGAGAGACCAGTCGATCTACGTCACGTGGTGACATCCTCGGCAGTTGCCTAATCGGGGCGAGCACTGTCAGCGACAGAATGACGCCAGGAGACGCACCTTCGCCAATCAGCGACGGCGCAAAGGCCGGCGGATGACCTGCAGTCCCGAGGTGTGCGACACGTGAGTCCCTCTGGACGCCAGATCCAGAAGGCCACAGCATGTGAAGACCGCTGCGGCTGGTAAGAATCCTCCGATTCCTGGGGATTTGTCCGAGTCCAGAGGCGTATTAGTATTCATATTACACTATATCTATTCCCCATCTCGCTCCCGTCTCCCGTCCTCTTTTACTTTACCCCGGATTGTCTTCTCCATATCTCTTCACTCCCCTTCTCTGGGCCTATACTATCCATTCTCCATTCTACCACAGCAGTTGCGCCTGCTCTTCTCCTTCACGTTCACATTCACCAGACAGCATGTCGAAGACTTTCTCGAAAGACGACGTCGCATCGCATAGCAAACCAGACAACCTCTGGGTTGTGATCGATGAGGATGTCTACGATTTGACCAACTTCCAGGATGAGCATCCCGGTGGTAAAAAGAGTATGTGACCCTGTCAGAGTGGCCAACGTCCCGCGGTGGGTATTAACGGTGCTGCTGCAGTTCTCCAGCGAGTCGCCGGGAAAGACGCCTCGAAACAATTCTGGAAGTACCACAACGAGGGCATCCTCAAGAAGTACAAGACCAAGCTGCAAGTCGGCTCTTTGGATAGCAAAAAGCCCGCGGCTGCTCCGGAGCCGGCGCCGGCGAAAGAGGCTCCTAAGCCTCAAGCAGCCCCCGTCGTCGACGTTTCCTCCGCTCAATCGTCGGACCCGCAGGAGCCCTATGGCGAGCTGATTCCGTTCGCCGATCCTTCATGGTACCAGGGTGTAAGTGTTCTAACGCAGGAGAATGGATCTGGCGGGTTGTGACAAGAATTCGGTGGCTAACCCTTTGCTTTCCTCGTTACAGCAACACTCGCCCTATTTCAACCAGACACATGCCGCCCTCCGCGCGGAAGTACGGGAATGGGTTGAGTCCGAGATCGAGCCTTACGTGACTGAGTGGGATGAGGGCAAGGAGGTGCCGGATAAGATTTACAAGCAGATGGGAGAGAGAGGTTACCTTGCAGGCCTGCTGGGTGTCAAGTACCCCGTCAATCACACTCCTCACCGGGTTCAATCGGTAGCTCCCGAGAACTGGGATCTCTTCCACGAGATGCTCCTGACGGACGAGCTGTCTCGCGCAGGCAGCGGTGGTCTGGTGTGGAACTTGATCGGTGGTTTCGGCATTGGCGGTCCGCCACTGGTCAAGTTCGGTAAGAAGCCTCTCGTCGACCGCATTCTACCCGGCATCCTAGCTGGCGACAAGCGCATTTGTCTAGCTATCACCGAGCCGGATGCCGGAAGCGACGTGGCCAACCTCACCTGCGAAGCTAAGCTGAGCCCCGATGGCAAGCACTACATCGTCAACGGCGAGAAGAAATGGATCACCAACGGTATCTGGTCGGACTATTTCACCACCGCTGTTCGGACCGGCGGGCCCGGTATGAACGGCGTCAGTGTCCTTCTCATCGAGAGAGAAGCCGGTGGCGTGAGCACGAGGCGCATGGACTGTCAGGGTGTGTGGAGCAGCGGAACCACCTATGTCACGTTTGAGGACGTCAAGGTGCCCGTGGAGAACCTCATCGGAAAGGAAAACCAAGGTTTCAAGGGTAAGTGCTGAGGAAATGTTTCGAGTGCGGAATCGCGATCACTGACGCCTTTTAACAGTCATCATGACCAACTTCAACCATGAACGTATTGGAATTGTCATCCAGTGCGTCCGGTTCGCTCGTGTGTGCTACGAGGAGTCCGTCAAATATGCCCACAAGCGCAAGACCTTTGGCAAGCGTCTGATCGACCACCCGGTCATCCGTATGAAACTGGCCCACATGGCCCGTCAGATCGAAGCCACGTACAACTGGCTGGAGAACACCATCTACCAGTGTCAATGTATGGATGAGACCGAGGCCATGCTCAAGCTCGGCGGTGCGATCGCCGGCCTCAAGGCCCAGTCCACCGCCACATTCGAGTTCTGTGCCCGCGAGGCCAGCCAGATCTTTGGTGGTCTGAGTTACAGCCGGGGTGGCCAAGGTGGCAAGGTGGAGCGATTGTACCGTGATGTTCGAGCCTACGCGATCCCCGGAGGAAGCGAGGAGATCATGCTGGATCTGAGTATGCGCCAGAGTTTGCGTGTACACAAGATGTTTGGCATGAAGCTGTAAATATTGATATCCACTTGCTTACTCTTTGTTGCTCCCCCTTCCTTTCTATGTGGCTATTATCTTCGGGTATATAGAGACTTCTTGGGTTGTAATATTTTGGATTACCTTCTCGGAGCGTTAAGGTGTATCATAGATTCAGAACTTTGCTTGGTCTTCTTCAAATTTTGAATACAAACTATAAATTCAACTTGATGGACTTCTTCCCGCAGCGAATATATAGAATATAGACAAATCAGTGGCCATCTCGCGATGCGATCATCGAGACAACAAATTTAATTTTGAATCCAAGGTACTACGTTTTCAGAATAGAAGCACTTAAATGTAAGTTTAAAAATATGAACCACTGAAGTGAAGGTGAACAGTCTGATCTGGGCGACTGCTGCAGAGCGCAAAGGCCCTCCGGCGGGGCACAGGGACTAGCCGCGCAGTCCTTGAGTCTTTCCTTCGGCGACGTCCTTTTCCAAACCTCCGCAACGCCATCAAACCTCCCCCTTTCACTCCTTTTGCCTTGCGGTACTGTATTTGCTTGGGTCCAGATACAGGACGTGCACACAGTCAACTATTTCCATTCAAATCATTTGGTTCGAACTTCTTTCACCACTTTCATTGTTCCTGTCGCGGTCGCGGACTCGGCGAACGACGACACGGACAAAGGCCCGCCCGCCTCTTTGGCCGAATCAATATCCCAGTCGGCGGAGCACTTGTTACCTGAGTTTACCTTTTCGTCGCCTATCTTACCACCTGTCGCCTCCTGCTGGTCGGACTAAGGTATTTGCCTACCATTTCTGCCTTCGCCCTTAATCTCACTGGACCTGGTGGTCTTTTCTTGACCGAGCCGTGAGCTGGCAAGCTTGCTGGTCTATTCAGCGCCTCTCAGCAGCGAGCTAACTTCAATCACCTCTTTTCTCCTTTTCACAGCTCAGCTCGGATCTGCCTTTGGCCCAACGACTCATCACCTAGACATTTCTCACCGGCCTCCGAAAAACTAGGGATCCCGATAGCTCATCCCGTCGCCAAAATCCAGTCAAGGGAAAATGTCGCGGAACGTCGTGGACCAGGACTTCGGTTCTGACGAGGAGGATGATGACTTCAACCCCCAGGCTGCCAACGATTCAGACGACGAGAGACCGAAGGTTTGTTCACATCGAATGGCGAGTTGGGCTGGGATCTGTGCTGACGACAAGGCCGATTAGCCGACGTATCAAAACCAGGACGATGACGATGACGACGACGAAGATGTGAACGTTGGACGGTCGAATCGAGGCGGTGATGGAGGAAGACACCAGGTCGTGGAGGACGACGAGGAAGAGGATGAGGAAGAAGATGGCGAAAATGAGGGCGAAGATGACGAGGAGGAAGAAGAAGAGGATGAAGAGGAGGAGGATGTATCATCGGTGAGTTGTGATAGTCCGGCGTGTTCGGAAACTGTTTCTGAGGTGATGTGCGAAACGCTAACGCTTTGCTTCATCTAGAATCGCCCGCGGAAACGAAGAAAACAACGAGGTGTGCACAACTTCATTGAAGACGAGGCTGGTGTCGACGAGGAAGAAGATGAGGCCGAAGATGAGGAGGATGAGTTGGCTGAATTCGGTGGCGAGATGCACCCTGACGATATGGACGCGCTGCCAGTCGGCGCCGAGACCGACGACCGTCGCCATCGTCAGCTTGACCGTCAGCGTGAGATGGAGGCGAGCATGGATGCAGAGAAACAGGCGCAGATGCTCAAGGAGCGTTATGGTCGGAAGAACGCTGCCGCCTCCGATTCGGTCGTCGTTCCCAAGCGATTGCTTCTGCCCAGTGTCGAGGATCCCAGCATCTGGGGTGTACGATGCAAGCCAGGCAAGGAGCGTGAGGTTGTGTTTGCACTCCAGAAGCGTATCGAAGAACGGCCCCCGGGCTCCCGCAATCCGATCAAGATCATGTCGGCTTTTGAGCGTGGAGGAGCTATGAGCGGATATCTCTATGTGGAGGCTCGCCGACAAGCCGATGTCATGGACGCGCTGCAGGATATGAGCAACGTCTACCCGAGGTCAAAGGTCATCCTGGTTCCGGTGCGGGAGATGCCTGATCTATTGCGAGTTCAGAAGTCCGAGGAGCTCACCCCTGGAGGATGGGTCCGTATCAAGCGTGGCAAATACATGAACGACTTGGCCCAGATCGAGGAAGTCGAAACGAACGGTCTCGCTGTGACTGTGCGCCTGGTTCCGCGACTTGACTATGGTATGAACGAAGATACCAGTGGACCGATGGTTGACCCCAAGCGAAAGCGTCCCGGCGCGAATCCCGCCGTTGCGCGGCCCCCTCAACGTCTGTTTAGTGAAGCGGAGGCCAAGAAGAAGCACGGAAAGTTTCTCTCTGCAACTTCGGGTCTTGGTGGCAAGTCATGGAACTACCTGGGAGAGACCTACGTTGACGGTTTCATGATCAAGGACATGAAAGTGCAACATCTCATTACGAAGAACGTCAACCCTCGACTGGAGGAAGTCACCATGTTTGCTCGTGGCTCGGACGACGGAACCGCCAACTTGGATCTGGCATCTCTGGCTGAGACACTCAAGAACTCGACGGCTGAAGATTCATATCTCCCTGGAGACCCTGTGGAAGTGTTCCGCGGTGAGCAGCAGGGCTTGGTTGGTCGCACGACTTCTACGCGAGGAGATATCGTTACTTTACAAGTCACGGATGGTGTTCTACGGGGTCAAATGATTGATGCACCCGTCAAATCTCTTCGAAAGCGCTTCAGAGAAGGTGACCATGTTAAGGTCATTGGCGGCAGCAGATATCAAGATGAACTGGGTATGGTGGTCCAGGTCAAGGACGATACTGTGACGTTGCTCAGCGACATGAGTATGCAGGAGATCACTGTCTTCAGCAAGGATCTCCGGCTGTCGGCCGAAACTGGCGTCGATGGTAAACTGGGCATGTTCGATGTCCATGATCTCGTCCAACTTGAGTAAGTCGGCCCCTCACCAAGGTGCCAAATTCTGTCTGTATACTGACTTCAGTTTAGTGCTGCTACCGTTGCCTGTATCGTAAAGGTTGATCGTGAATCGTTACGTGTTCTGGACCAAAACGGCTCCATCCGTACGGTTCTTCCTACGCAAGTCACTAACAAGATCACCCCCCGTCGAGATGCCGTGGCCACCGATCGTAACGGCGCAGAAATCCGACATGGAGATACTGTCCGTGAGCTTCACGGAGAACAGAGGAATGGTGTGATTCTTCATATCCATCGCTCGTTCCTGTTCCTGCATAACAAGGCACAGGCCGAGAATTCCGGCATTGTCGTGGTGCGCTCGACCAATGTTGTTACGGTGTCTGCCAAGGGAGGCCGATCGACGGGGCCCGACCTTTCGAAAATGAACCCGGCCTTAATGGGCAATCGTATGCCTGGTGGCGGTGGCATGGCCCCCCCCAAGAGCTTCGGACGAGACCGGATGATTGGAAAGACGGTCTTGGTCCGAAAGGGTCCCTTCAAGGGTCTCGTAGGTATCGTCAAGGACTCGACGGATGTTCAAGCCCGAGTGGAACTGCACTCCAAGAACAAGCTGGTCACTATTGAGAAAGAACTCCTGGTCGTGAAGGACCCTATTACCGGCCAGACGGTGGAAATGGGCCGCGGCAGAGGAAGCCGTGTTCCTCACGGTGCATCAGCAGCTCCGCCCTCCGGCTGGCAAGGAGGCCGTACCCCGATGGCTGCTATGGACTCATCCCGAACACCCGCCTGGGGTGGTGCAAACTCAGCTCGCAGTAAGTTCTGCCATCCTTCTCAATCACTACATTTCATTCTCTGACATAATTCTTCTAGCACCGGCTTGGTCTGGTGTGAGTGGATCTCGCACGCCCGCATGGAAGAACGATGGATCGCGTACCTCCAACCCTTACGATGGTAGTCGCACCGCCTATGGCGGAGGAGGTCTCGGATCTCGCACACCCGCCTGGAACGCCGGCGCACGAACACCGTACGACTCGGGATCTGGATCCAGCGGATTCGATGCCTTCGCCGCCGGATCTCGGACTCCCGCCTGGGGCTCATCAAACGCCGGAAATCGCACGCCTGCCTGGTCCGGGGCCACGGCCAGCAACGGCAGCAGGGACCGCGGCTATGACGCTCCTACGCCTGGAGCATATTCCGCCCCGACTCCGGGTGCTTACGGCTCCGCTCCGACCCCTGGCGCTTCCGCTCCCACGCCCGGAGCCTGGCCGGACAGCGCACCCACGCCGGGGGCCTTCAATGCTCCCACACCCGGTGGCCCGCCCAAGCCAGGAGGATATGACGCGCCCACGCCAGCGGCGTTCGACGGATCCAGCCGTCCGTACGACGCACCTACGCCAGCCATGGGCGGGGTCTCGACGCCGGGAGCAGGCGCCTACGGAGATGCCGATGACGGGGGACCACGTTACGACGACGCAACTCCCAGCCCGTGAGTGGACAGTACTTAGTGTGTATGTGAGAGAGAAAGATAAGGTTGAAAGTACAGGAAAATCTATGGATGAGATAATAAAGAGAACAAAAAAGGAAAACAAAACACAACCAATCAGGGAAACCAGGTCTAACATATTCCGAACATTTTTGCTCGCATGTTGGCTTTCCTTTTCTTTTTTCTTCTCGTTAATCAGATAAATACAGGCATCTGACATGATATGGTCAATCGGTTCATCTCATCTTCTGTACTTTTTGTATGTATTATTTTTTTTTTTTCGCTTATTCATTTTGCATCTATGACATCATTCAATCAATCCGTGGATTAAGCCATGTGTTCATCTATCTATCTATTCATTTATCTATGCGTCCGATTTTCTACCACTACTTCTATAGATCAATTAACCTATGCCACTAATTAATTTGACTAGCGTTCTAGTTGAATCAGTATCCCACCCATAACTCAAGGCCACCAAATCCCTCAGACTAGTTAGAGAAAGGGAAAGAAAAAGGGGGAGAGAGAGAGAGAAAATCGTTCACATTACACAAAGTACACATTTCATCTAATTGCCAAAAAAGAACCAAATAATCAAAACGGAAAAGATAGCGACGAGTCAATAATACAGGGAATTATTTCCGTTGAAAGAAAAACGAAAAGAAAAGAGAAGAGAAGAGAGCCAAAAGAAAAAAATCATCAACGTACCGTACACACGTAACGAAATAATTCGACCAAGAAAGAATTATTCTCTCCTCGCTTTGAACCCGCCGATGAAGAGCAAGCTTGGAGCAGATATATCCAAAGAAGTAGTAGAAGAAATGAGGAGAGAACGAGAATAAATATGAAATATGACGCAACTCCGAGAAAACACGATCCATGGCATAACTAAGTAGGTAGGTATCATCGGCCTTGGGTCTCTATCGATCCACTTTCCGAAGAAAGAGGATGGGAAAGAGAAAAACCAAAGAGAAAAAAAGACAGTGAAAAACAAAAAAAAAAAAAAAAAAAAGAAATGTCATACATTACATTCACAGTTTGCCTCTATTTGACGCGGCCACTGGACGGAGAAGATAAATGATAAATGGAGGGGGAGGCAGAAGAGAAAGATGGTAGATTATAGACAGAAACATCAAAAGGTAGACAGGAAATTTCGAGTGAAGATTTCATTGACAACATTGCTGGAATCAAGGAGGAACTGCTCTTGCTAACACGCGGATATTATCCACGAAGCCCTTTACTAACTCCTCGTACTGATTCGAAGGGTCTCCGGACATGGCGAGCTGGCCTTGACGGCGGATTTCGGCGGCGGAGCATTCGATCTCGAGTTCATGTTCAAATTCACCTTTGACGGGGGGCTAGAAGGGAAAGAGAGAACATGTCAACTATAAGAAAAGATGAAAGAAAGGGGAGGAAAGAAAGCACAGCGCAACATACCTCTGATTTGGCAACTTGTGTTAGATCGATTTGATAGGCGAGATGTCGATAGCTCATCCGATCCTTGTTACGGTCGCCGCCGCGTCCGCCTCGACTACCATCGAGCACAGGCAGGTGGGATACATCGCCTTCGTAGCTCATTTCAAGATTGACACTGATGCGCCAATCGACACAAGTGCATGGACTGTACACATCAAGGTCGGCAATCCGGCATTTTACAATTTTCGCGAGGATCTCGCCCGTTCGCTGGTCGACGGTGACCCGTACTCTGGGCTTGTGGCGGGGATTCAGGTTCTGTCGGATGACCGGAGGGAGTTCAGTGGGCGACACTTCGTAGAAGGTGTCCCGTTCCTTTTTGTGTGCGTAAGACAGTGGGATTCGATTGGGGTTGGTCTGTGGCATAGACTGTTTCACGGCTTCATTCAGGAAATTGTTCATCGCTCGATGTTGCGCCTAAGATCGGTTAGCTGACCGCGACAGTCCAAATGGAGGTGATGGGTACGTACCACTGTCATCGTGCTCTCGAACGCCGTCCGTAGGCGCGTGTTAGTCTTATTGATCACACCTTCCGTCTGGATTGGCAGATGAAGTCTCTCGTTTCGATCCATATCGATCAGTTGACCCATTTTGGCTTCCACCTCGATGATTGCCCCGTGGCCGACCGCCGATGTCCCTGCAGGGGCTGCAACGGCATCGGTTTGCAAGACAACGTGTTGATACAGAAAGTCACAGACCGTTTTTGTGATTTCTTCGTACGGAATGTTGCCTTTGATCGACGGCTCCCACGGGCCTAGACTGCCCGTGGTCTTACTGCCCGTGGTCTTGGGGGAGTCTGGGGGCTGACTTGGGGCGGCAGGACCGTCGACTGGCGGCGTCTCGGCCCTCACCGTGACCGACGAGTCGATTGCAGAGGTAGGAGCCGGATTCGACACAGACTGCTGGCGCTGATTCCACGGGTTCTCTGCCGAGTCCCTGGCGTATTTCGGGATTGGGGGAAGTCGGTTCGGGATCGGCGGGCATCTTCCTTTAGTGCGCACGGATCGTTGAGCGTAGATAGGGGGTTCGTTATACCTTCGTCGCTTCACCTTGGGACCGGTCGGGCTCATCGGAGCGACACGTGGTTGCGCGTCTTTCGCTGCCTGCGGCGCCGATCGCGCCTCGTCTACCAGAAGACTGTCGCGTGTCACCGATGCACGAGTCGACGGGGAGCTGTTAATGTGAGTCGCAGACGGTCCGACGCTCGAGCTCTGTACGCTGGACTGGCGTTCCCTCCCCGCGAAGCCATTTTCCATCGCCATGGGTTGCGACGCGACCGCCTGGTCTGGATATGCGCCGACCACACTTCCCTGTCGAGAATGCGGCGGATAAGTCTTCGGGCTCACGCTTTCGTCGGAAGCCCTCCTGTCTTGCGAAGCCGACGACTGCCGGGGGGTATATTCCATGAGTCCCGAGTCCTGCCGCGAGAGGCGGTGGAGCGTATTCGGGGACATACGAGCCGGCGTATCTGTTCCCACCCACGGGCTGGACACTTGCTGAGAAAGAGTATCCCGACCCGACGACAAGGGGCGACCGGACGGGGGCGTTTGTCGAGGATACGGCGCAGCAGCAGCAGCAGCGGTAGAAGCAGAGCCCCGAGGGGTCACGGGCATTGAGGCCTGCGCGGAGGCTTGCTGAGGAGAGTACGGTTGAGGGCCACGCGCGGGAGGGCTGTCTCTGAGATGGGATGAGTAGGTGGGGGCAAAGAGAGGGTTCGTAACGGACTGGATGGAGTGCGAACGCTGCTGCGCGTAGACAGGGGATTGCTGCTGGGGGAGATGGTTGTAGGGGCCGGGCGCGCCAAATGAGTCACGCGACGCGGAGGAGCCATACGGAGCGGGATGAGAAGGTTGATATTGATAAGGCGATTGAAGAGAGCCGTAGGATGAGGAGCGCTCGGGAGAAGCCTGAGGGTATGCGGGAGGATAAGAGGAAGACGGCGAGGCCGACGACGGCGCAGTCTGGTCGCGGGGAGGATAGGCGGGCTCGGATGGCTTCGCGGACGAGGCGGCCGCGTCGCTGTTCATAATCGTACGTAAATCCATGGCGGCGACTCAATATGCGATCCGCGAGAGAGGGTTGGATTGACTGGATCGAAAGAACGTGTGTAGTCCGGTGGGGAAGCTTGAAGCTCGAGGTCGGTCGATGGACCCCTGGGAGAGAAGGACGGCGATTGAAAGAAGCGGACGGCGTTCACGGCATGGAGCGGGTTGCGATCGAAGGGTCAGATGGGCGAGAGGAAGTGGAAGGGGGCGGAGGAGGAGGAGAGAGGAGCGAGGAGATGGGCGAGGAGAAGAAAGGCGAAGGTGAAGGCGAAGAAAAGAAGATGGAGAGAAAAGAAAGAAAAGAGCAGACGGAAAGAAGTGAAAGTTGGGCGGATTGCGGCCATGTGATTGGCCCGTCGGGCAGCATACTTCTTTTTCTCTGTCTTCTGCTTCTCTCTTCTTCTTCTTCTTCTTCTTCTTCTTCCTTCTTCCTCGTCTTTTTTTCTCTTTCTTCAATACCTCCAGCTGGACCTCTCACCTTAATCTCTCTCCATTCATCTCGCCTCTGCAGGTCTGTCTCCCCCCTTTCTCCCGGAGTAATCAGCACAGCTGCTGGAAGAACGCGTCCCATGCACGAAGCCGCGCCAGCGTTGGCGGCGCAAACGAGCTCAAACAGAGAGACAGACATGGCTGAAGCTACGGAACACATTGGAAGTCTTTGCGGAGCAGATGAAAATGGTCCATGGGATGCTGTGTACATCTTTCGAGTCCAGACGGTGTAGCCTTGGCCTGAAGCTTCGCAATGACTGGGCGACATGGTGCGACCTTAAAGCATCGTCCTAGGAGCAGACTACTTATCCATCCGTTCTTGACTTAGACCAAGTATTCTGCATGGGTTTTCCTCAATCTGCAATTCCCCGTCATTCCGTACACGGAGATCGAATGTGAACCGAAACATCGTCTTTTACTGATCATTGGCCGACTTGGATACGTAGGAAGACAAATTTAGCACACGTCCATTGAGAGGGAATAGCAGGCGGACTGATCGGCTACGTGCAGTCAGACATCGATAGCCTGGGCCGCAATCAGTTGCCTCGTGCATGTACCCGGGAAAAGCTATCCATCCATAATGCCCTCTTCCTTGCAGGAGGACAATGACTCTGACGACAGTGTCGATTTGTGCGACAGTGAGCTCAGCGCCCGGGGCTAGATTTTCATCGACCATGAGATGGAACGTTTGTTGATCAGGAACCGATCTGACTGCGCAGACGGAACCGACAGTCCCCCGTGGGGAAGAGACGGTCTCGCTGGCCTCTCTGTTCCTAGGTTATGTTTCATATGGACGTTTTCCTCTACGAAGGAAAAGTCAAATCTCGCACTGTTTGATTTCCTTCCATCTGGCCATGTCCTTCCACCCCTTGGATATTGATTCTTCTACCCAAACAGCTGAGAAAGAATGGGTAAACGGCCTTCACGACAGGCCTGCATTCGCTGCCACGGGCTCAAATTGCGCTGTGATCGCAATGCTGCTGCAAAAAACTGTAGCCGTTGCCTCAAGGCCGGGGTGACGTGTGTCTTTCGTCTGTCAACTCGCGGGCGTCAGCTTGTCGGCAACAAGTCAACACCCTCTCCGGTCCACGAAGATTCAGCTCACGAAGATCCGGCTCCTCACAGCTCAACAGAGGATGTATCCATTTCCGGATCTCCTGCCAGGGATTCGGAGGTGACTTCAGACACCTGTATGAATGAACTTTTACCCGGCTCTCCGTGCCAGGATTTCCACGATACCTCGCTGGATGTCGACTCTGTCTCAAGCCCTGTGAACCCAACCGCATTGCCCGCAAATCTGCCGACAGACGTCGCCTCCGACTGTTGTTCGATCGGGCAGACACTGGGCACGAACGACGGTACTGGGGTCGGCTTTCCCATGAACCTCACCTCGCCACAATTCGCCGACAGCAATGTGGTGGCACCCAAGCCAAGCGCACAGAGCCAATTCCGGGTGCAGTTCATGAAAGATGTGCTAGAGCTCGATGTAGAATTGATCCAGCATACTTCCGTCTTGCTCAATCCGACGGAGCATGGCCTCTTACAAGTCGCCGCTAATCAAACATTGACCCTCGCGCAGCAACTCCTGGAAATCTTCCATTCGGCGGAGTGCTGGACATCGCATACCGCTTCTCTGCAACTATGGGGCCCGTATCTATACCAGCCATCGATTCCTTCGGGATCGGAGCAGCCAGAGACGTTCCTGGACCAGGCGTCAACAATCCATGCGCTGTCCACGTATCTCCGCCTTGTCGAAGCTTATCAGATTCTGTTTACGCGGGCGATTGGCAACTACAACGCGGTCCTTGCGAATGGCTGGTGGAATTCCCTTTCCTCATCCCACGATCAGGAGTTTACCCTCGTCGGTCCTAGTATCCAATCGGCTCTATCAATTCAGTCGACCGTGCCAATGTTAGACCGGCTTAGTTTTATGGTGCAACTGCTGACGATGCCCTTCATCGAGGTGGATGTAGTTAGAGCCGTGATGGCAACCGTCCGTGAGCATGAAAGACAGCTGATGCAGAGCGTTACCCAACTGCAGCAGATAGGTAGTATTTGGTAGACTTTGATCGTGAATTTAATTCAATCTCAGTCGGGCTGGGTGCATTATTGCAAGTTGCAACGTAGTGAGAAAACACATGATCGGAGAATCCCTCCGATCGGCAATTAAGCCACTCGTCCGCTCCTCCCCTTCTCCTCTCCTCTCTTCTCTTCTCTCCCCCATCTCCGTCTCCCTCATCACCATCTCCATTCAATTCCTGTTGGCCCTGAGTAGTGGCAGCTCGACACCTCGGCGATATCCCTTCCATGGTGTCCAGGTAAAATGCATTTCTCCTCTCGTCGCTTCTAACCTCCGCTAACCTCGGTCGCCCTTCAGCATGCTGCGCCTACCCTCTTTACCCGGATGAATCGCACCTAGAATCCCTAGAACAATAGAATTAGACATCGTCCGCAATTCAGCATCTGTTTTCTGGCCTTCGTTTGTCCCTGGGGCTGTTTTCGCGCCCTCTGCCGTCCACGATCCACTCTAGTTTCCCCGTGTTACGCAATCCCCAACACCGAAGAACATCCAAGAACAACAAATCGCATTGCATTTCCGCCACTCTTCATATTGGTTTCTTCGCCTCCCCCTGCCCTCCATCATGTCGCAGCTCGGCAAAGACCCTGAGGCATCGCCGGCGATCCATGACATCCCGTTGAACGATCTGGAATCGGGCACCGGTCGCACCCTGTCGTCATCGTTGAACTGGCCGACTCTCGCTGAATTCTCGCCGTCGCACATCTGGCCTCCGCAAGCCAGGCAATTCTCGGACAACTGGCCAGAATATTTAGAACTCGTCGCTGGGAAGCTGATTCTCGCCCTCACACCGAGCTTTCTTCAGCACTGGGTGGGAGGACCGCCTCCCCAGCCGCCCAAACTTCATGGAATCGCAGCGCTGGACGGTCTGCGCGGTTGGGCCTGTCTGCTGGTCTTCAACTTCCATTTCTTATTTACATATACCTGGAAGGTCGCCCTCGGCTGGGGGTTCAATAACGACAATTGGCACCTCTTTCAGCTGCCCATCATTCACGTGTTGGTCTCCGGGCATATCATGGTAGCCATCTTTTTCGTCTTGTCGGGCTATGTGCTTTCTTATAAGCCTTTGAAAATGATTCGCGGCCGGTCGTGGGAGCAGACATTCACCGTTCTGGCCTCGTCTACTTTCCGCCGTGGTTTGCGCTTATATGTCCCTTCCATTGCGGGCATTCTGCTGGTCATGGTGGCTGTGCGTCTAGGCGTGTATAACTACTCGCATAAGGTCGTCGACCAAGGCCTCACAATCCTGGGGACCAACGAACAACACCCTCCCGTGATGAAATCCTTCAACAAGCAGTTCTGGGACTTGTACTCGACGATAGTGCAACTGATGGATCCGTGGAACTGGGGGCTCTACTACAACTACTACAACCCGCATCTGTGGACCATTCCGGTCGAATTCCGCTGCTCCATCGTGCTCTTCCTCACTCTCCTGGCCACATCGCGCGTGGCCACCCGCGTGCGTGTGTCCCTAGTTGGAATCCTCATTTGGTTCTGCATGCGATGGGGCCGATGGGACGTGGTCCTGTTCCTTTCCGGTTCGATGATGGCCGAGGCCGACCTGATCAACGGAACCTGGGAGCGCCCGGCGGCAAACGAGAAGCCATGGAGCCACCGCTCGCCATTCAGACAAAACGCCCTATCTCGCCTATCGGGTCGCAAATTCTGGATCGCCCTGTTCTTCATGGGCCTCTACCTGGGCTCCGCCCCGAACATCGGCTACAAATGGACCCCTTTCTACATGTGGACCTGGAAAGTCACGCCCAAGACCTACCCCGAGCCGCACCGGTTCCCCCAGACCCTCGGCGCCATCCTCATCGTCTTCAGCATCAATCACTCCAAGGACATCCAGAAGCTCCTCACCCACCCCCTGTCGCAGTATCTCGGCAAGATCTCCTTCTCCTTCTACATCGTGCACGGCCCCATTCTCCACTCCCTAGGCTACTCCCTCATGCCCAACATCTGGGCCCTCGTCGGCAAGGAGACCAACTTCCAATACTGCCTCGGCTTCTTTATCGGCTGGTTCATCTGCCTGCCGTTGTCCCTGTGGGCCGGTGACATCTTCTGGCGTGCCGTCGACGTCCCCAGCGTCAAATTCGCCCGCTGGGTCGAAGACCGCCTCGTCATCAAGACGACCGCGTCGACTAACCAACCGACGAACTCGCATTTGCAGTGATTGCCTTTCTTCACCCCTTTTCTGTTTTAACTCGTTACTATGCATTGTCCCCATTTCACACCCACAGCGGAATTTTTTTGACTTGTGTGTTTTCTGTCAGTCTTAACCAGCGCGCGTACTCTTCCCTATCCTATAGTATCATATCCCTCCACAGAAACAGCACATTATATATTGAATTGAATGAAATCGCTGGACGATTGACATTGTTTGCCTTTTTCGGCTTTATACTTTCGGTGACCCGATCTTATGGGCTTTTATGTTTTCCCCCTCCGGTTCTAGTCTACTCATCCTTTCACTTAACTACTCGGTCATAGGTCCCATAGAGTTCAACATGGTGATCGTGGAGGCTAAAAGATTTGTTCATTCAGTCGTTCACTCGTACTATACCATACCATATACCATATCATGCAAAACACGTCAACAAAGTTCATGATGAAGTGAAAATGTTTAAATATTTCATCCGTGCAACTTGAAAGTCGGAGAAATACAAGAGCCAACAGGGAGTCCAGTCCCAATGGAAAGAAAGGGAAATGGATGAACCAAATATGACAAAGGAGAAAAGGCAGGCAGATGGCAAATCGGTCTAAAATAAATGCAGCGGCTAGATGCATTTTGTTCTTCGTCATACTCTTGTTTCTTTTTTCTCGTCTGTTGTCCAGGCCATTTGTTTCTATCGTTTGTTTTATGATCTTCATAGAGACACGCCCCAAACTCCACGGCCACCACATACCCCTAGCCAATCACGAGGGTTTCCAGAGGGAGTTGTACCTCCCTGAGGCGACCAGCTGATGTTAGACACTTCATAGTCACATTTCCAGGCGGCAGCGGGGCCACGCTCAGACGTGACCGAAGGCGCGCCGGGGTTATGTACGGCGGGCGGGACGGGGGCAGCGTTGTGCTGATTAATCAGGTCCCAGAGAAGGACAAAGCAGTCGTCTGCGCCGGAGGCGAGAACACCACGGCGATTCGGAGACCATTCAACGGAATTGAGCGCGGCGGCATGCCCCTTGAGTTCGAGCAGGGCTTGGCCAGGTTGGCGAACGTCTAGCACGCGCACAATGTTGGAATCCTGGGAGAAGGTAGCCAGGAGATGGGCGTCATGAGGGGATGCTAAAAGATCGTCAGGGGCAACTCTTGGGAAAGACCTTATAGATACTCAACGTAGGAATCCTTACCGGCGATTCGCAGCAGGGGCGGAGGCCACGTGGATGACGGGGCTGAGGGGCTGCCATTTCCGGGGCTGATCACTGTGGGTAAAGACGGAGTCAGTACGGAAGAACGCAGGGAACGTAGCAGGCACCGGGTGATTACGTTTTTCATTCTTGTCCGTTGGCTCGTAAATGATCGTGCTGTGCTCTAAACTGCGAAGATCGAACATGCGCACGCTGCCGTCGGCTCCACAGCTAACAAAAACATCAACACTGTTGGCGCAGAAGCGGACGTCGTATACTTCTTTGTCGTGTGCGATTAATTGCGTTTTCGCCGTAAGAGTAGGGATATCCCAAATGGTACAGGTGGTGTCAATGCTGGACGTAATGATCAAACTCGGGGAGATGGTGTTCCAATCGAGCGAGGTAATGGGGGCGGTATGCTCGGGAGATTTCGAATTGGACAACAGGGCCAGGGGAGACAGCTTGGCCGCAGGCGGTTCTCGTTGGTTGGCCGGTCGTGTAATTGAGTTTGAGTGTTGCAGAGGCGTGGCCGGCAGGGACCACAATCGCAGATGGTCTCCTGAAGTCGCCAGAAGGTCGGTCGATTGTTTCTGGGACGAGGGAGGTTCCCAGAGGATTCGCGTAACAGGGTAGGAATGTGTGGCTTCCGCAGTCTTCACATAGTCCAATTTGATTTCGCCGGCTGCAGCATCGGGCGTGTCGGGGTCGGGTTGGGTCCAGTGGGTATCAATGATTTGTATCTGCAAGAGGTTAGCACGACAGGCTGTGGTGCAGATTCAAGGGCGAACACAAAAATTCAGCGTACATAGTTGTGGTTGTCTTCCAGGTAACTACCCAAGGCTAACTTGCCCCCGAAGGAGCTGGAGCTTCCCGTGATGGGCCACTTGCACCAATCCACGGCGTAGATGGGCCATGGGGCAATGTAGTTGCTGTTGGTCGGCACCTGATTGTCGCCATTGTTGGGCAGCGACCCTGGGCTCATGAGCGGATCGCTCAATAGATCTGCAGATGGCCGGATATCTGAAAGTCCAAGGGGGGAGTATTTGGCGCCTTGTGGAGTAACCGGCGGGAATGCAGCGCCGGGCGATGAGCCAAAGCGCGCGGTCTCCGACAGTCCGTGCGGCTTGTATTTCGACTGCTCCACACCCGCGGGGCTAGAACGGGAGTGACTATGAGAATTGGCCATGTTAGACCGAGGTGTTGTCGGAGGAGGTTGTTGTGGTTGCGGTGGTGGTTGTTGCTGTTGCTGTTGCTGCTGCTGCGTTGACAACTGCGGCAGTGTAGGAAGGACAGATGGGGCGGTGTTCACAGACATCGCGGGCGGCCGGTTGACGTTTCCCGGCTGCAGCGCTCCAGGCAGAGCTCCCCCGGCATTGTTCGTGGCTCCAAATTGATTCGGTTGGACATTCGTCGGGTGGAAATTAATCGCGGGGGCATGGCTATCGGCACCGGTCGCAAATTCATGGGACATGGACTGTCGCTGGAGCGAAGCGCCGCCGGAGGGGATGTGAAGCTCCTCCGGTTGGCGATTATACATGGTGGCCCGACGGGGGTCATAGTTCGGAAGGGGGTTCGACATGATGGCAGTAGACGAACCGGGCTGTTTGGGGTCGAGATGGAAGAGGTTCGATGTACATATAATCGCAGTGCAGTCGGATTGCGACTCCAGCGATGATTTATCGGGGAGGCAGGGAGAAATCAGGCTGGGTCCGGGAGAGGAAGGAGCATCAGCTAGAGGAATCCGACTGCACTGGCGACAAGTGCAAGAGGGATCATGCCCAGAAGGCAGAAGGAGAGAGGAGAGAGGAGAAGGAGGGAAGAGGAAGGAATGGGAAGGATATTCGGAGGGCAGAGGAAGGCACTGAATGAGATGGCGACGGGGAGGGAAGGAGCGGAGAGTCGCCGTCGCTCCTTCCTTCTCTCGACGAGAGTCTCGTGCTGCTGACTCAGCCGCGGGGAAGTCCCTCCTTCGGTCTTGACTTTCTTGACTTTCTTCTCTTCTATACTTCCTACACTCATCTTCACTATTTGCGATTTGCTTCATTTCCCTCCGCTCGGGCACTTAGACCTTTGCTCACTCTAACTTTGCCCTCCCACTCTTTACGCCCGTCTGGTCCCCCCTCTTCCCTCCTCCAGCTCCCCGCTGGGCTCTCGCAAATATGGCAGCTTCGCCCGTCAGCCAAACCTCGGCTCTGCTACTTCTTCCACCCCCGCCATCGGCTTCATTTGAACAGTTCAAGGCGGTGTACGATTCCCTTCTCTCCTCGGTCTGCTCCCGACTCGTGCAGAATCTACAAGGGATCCATCAAACGGCTACCCTGGATATTGTGTTGGCTCTGCCTGGTCTGCGATCGTCAACCTCTCAACCTCGGTCCCGGGTGTTCGGAAGCCTTCAAGCTTGCTTGGCCAACATATATCGACTGCTCGGGGTCCTTTCCGTGGAACAAGGTATCGAACTGGACGTACCCGGGGGCATCGATGCGCGAGTAGTGTTCCTCGACTTCGACTCGATCAACCTGCCGACCGAACAATCGCGCGGGAGCTCTCACATTGGCCCCATTGTCGACTTGCGGACGCTGGCCGAGTCGACACGTCTATGGGATTGGGTCTTCTTTCCGGATAACCACGTAGGCCAGACGCTGGCGAAGGCTTTCAGTAGTATCTATTCCCAGGCCAAAGATCCCAATGCTGGGGGCGTACATCCCATCCCTGGGATACCTGAATGGACGCCTTTCGACTCCTTGACGGCGTCAGGGGATGTCTCCGAACCCAAAGCACATTATTCCGTTGTTGTGGGCGGTACTTTCGACCATTTCCACATCGGACACAAGTTCTTGCTCACTGCCACGGCGCTGGTCTTGGAACCTATCCCGGACTCGGGGCCAACCGAAGGAATGATCACAGTGGGAGTGACGGGGGACGAGTTATTAGTGAAGAAAAAGTATGCCGCATTCCTGGAGAGCTTCGACGACCGGTGTAAGAGCGTGGCGGACTTCATCTCGGCCGTCATGGAGTTTGGTCCCACAGATAGTGCAGCGCGGGTTCAGCGAGTGAGCCAGCCCGGTCCCAATGGGGTGCATATGCTGGTGAAGATTCGGTCTGGTTTGACATTGCGCCTGGTCCAGATATCCGACGTGTTTGGACCTACCATCACCGAGGAGAGCATTAGCGCCCTGGTGGTTTCCAAAGAGACTCGCGCGGGGGGCGTGAGCATCAACCAGGAGCGCAGCAAAAAAGGCTGGCACGGTCTGGAGGTGTTTGAGATCGATGTGCTTCTGATGGGCGGCGTGCCCGCGCAGGACGTCGAGGACTTTGCTTCCAAACTCAGCAGCACTGAGATGCGTCGGCGCCGGATGGAGATGGCCAAGACATGACATGACTAGAATAATCCATGATTTATTGAAACTAGACGCGGGAAGCTGCTGGTCCTTTCCTGCAGCCATCGGATCTGGTCACCTTTTTTTCCCTTCCATTATTCTCTGCCTCTCTATTCTTCAATTTTGTTTCCCTCTCTGACATCTTCTCCCTGATCGCAAGGGCTTTGCGGTGTCACAATTGCTCCTGTATATACCGACCACGCAACCACAACAACACACACATGCGTCCATTCCAGTCCAGGAAAGCGTCAAACGGGGATGCGGTCGAGGTGAAGGCATGTAATCCAACGAAAGACCCGAGCAGCCGACCACCCGACGTACATATACTTTTGGACTTAAAGATGGGGGCCTGAACCGCTGCACGGAATGGCATTGTTGGCCACGACACCGATCCTCTTCTGCAAACTGTGGCCAGTCGATCAGCGTCCAGGCGGGGTTTGGCAGCCGTGGGCGTCTGCAGGCAAGTCGGAGTCTAGTCGATTGGCTTTTCTCCTTGTCGCATCATCGCTGCGCCCCCCCTTCTTCGCCCTCCCTCCCCCCCTCCTCTTCGCCCATTCTTCTCGTGCCTCTCTACCAATCCCTCCTCGCCGTCACTCTCGTCTCCTGCAGGTTCGCGCTGGATAACCGCATGCTGCTTCAATCATGTGACTACTGCGTCGTCCAATATCATCCTGTCCTGCGCTCGAACCAGGCGAGTCCTGCGACGGGCGAGGTTAAGTCTGATACTGACGACGATCGATGTGGGACGCACTAAATCTTGTCAGACATGTCGCCCTCCAAGCGCTGTGTCTGTGACCGCCTGGGGAGTCGAAGAGCCGATGTATCACTCGCCTTGGACTGTCCTGCTGCTTTAATTATTTTTTTCTTTTTCTTTTTTCCTTGTTTCTGATTAATTCTTTCCTCGCCCTGTCACCTTTTTTCTCTTTGCTTATTTTAAAACATATCTTTTTTCCCTTTCTTCCCTGACTTCTACCGACGTCGCTCGCCATTTTCCCTTATTAACCCGCCGTCCGTCACCACCGTCACATCTGCTCTTCTCTCTCTCACGCATTTCCTCTCGTGCAATCGTCCTTTCTATTTTCTCAATTACTTTCAATCCCTATATCCGACCTATAATCCATCTTCTTGCTTACTAAACCACTCGCTTTTGGTGCGCCGTCAATTCCTTTTCTTTGCGAGACGGCCACCTTTCCATGTGGTTGCGAGTGCCCCAAGCAGCCGAACACACGGCTGCCTCGCGGAACGAACACGATGGATACCCCACGGCGCATTGACGACCTCGCCGATGAACTCATCAGCGGTATTCTCTCCTGCCTCCTGAGCTCAGAATCCGCCTACAATCCACGCGATTCATGCCACGGGTCAAATGGTAGCTCCCGTACGGCGTATGGTGAGAAGACGGAGTTGGATCGATTTAGACTCGTGTGCCGGCGGTTCATGCGCATCGGGACGCCGCAAATGTTCCCCCTGTTCGTCCTACGCTTCTCGCGCGATGGATTCCAGCGGCTGGAGGATCTTCTGCACATGCAGCTGGCCTGTCATGTCAAATATTTCACGTACATGGTGCGACCCTTCTACCAAGGAAGCGGTACCGTCTCTGCAGACCCGTCCCCATTCGCGCCGTGGTTTCCTTCGAACTGACAACCCCGCTTAGGCTGGTCCCACGCCCTGACTGCGGTCGAATCCGAAAATCGTCCCGTCGCGCAAGTCCACTACCGCCGACTCCATGATCAGAAATACATCGTTGACCGGAACCAAGACTTGGCGCTGTTGCGAGGGGCCATTGCGGCGTTTCCCGCCCTGAAGCAGGTGAAGCTGCTGCGGCTGCAGGACGAGGCGGACGAGCAATTACTGGGATACCTCCGGGACCAATCTTTAGAAGAGAACGCGCGGTTGGATTGGGAGCCGGCCTGCACGCGCGCGGTCACTAGCTTAGGGGTCTCGTTGCTGGAATCAAAGCGCACTGAGGTGAATTTTGTCGCCCCGCAGATCAGCCCGGAGGCGACGGTGCGGCTTCTGCAAACACCGCCGACGATGCTGTCGGCCCTGGGGGCACGACTAACGAGTCTGGACGTCACGTTCCACGCGCACACCGACATGACCACGAGCATGGAGACGCTCTCCCACGTGTTCTACGAGTTCTTTCTGGCTGCGAAAAATCTGACGGCTATCCATCTCGGGTTCCCCGCAAACTTGCCGCTGGACCTATCCCTCGATCGCATCTTCCATCGCCTACAGTGGAGGCGACTGCACACCTTGAGCATCCAGGGCTGGCGCCTGGGCTCCGACGAGATCATCGCGCTGATCCGACGCCACCGACGACCATTACGCGACTTGCGTCTCGCCAGCGTATACCTGCGCGCCGGCGGCCGATGGTGCGACATCCTGTCCGTACTCCACGACGAAATGGACCTCCTCGAGCGCATTGATCTAAGTGAGATCAATTACGCCGCCGACTTTGACGCCGAGAACTACCACAACCATGCTCTCCTCAACGGCAACGGTCACGGCGATGGCGGATTCGACGGCCCCCTGCTATCCGTCGTGGCCCAACCGAGCCCCGACCTTCCGCCCCCCCAGACCGCCGATTACCTTTCGTTCGCCCCACGCGGGAACACCCGTCGTTCCTTCCCCGACGCCACTTTGGAGAAGCTCCGATTACTGACGGCCGACGATCTCGGCGATAACGGCGTCCGCGTGCATCGAAAACAACGATCCTTCTGGGAGCAGTGGGTGCTGTCGAGTTCGCGCAATATTATCCGTCGACGGGACTGAGGCGATGACAGAACTTGATGGAATACAACAAGAGAGGGAGAAGGGGGGTTGGAGGGTGGGTTTCTTATAATCAGCTCGATTCATAAATACTTGGTTTTGTTGTTGAATACACTTTTGGACGCACTATTTATGTCTGATACGATTGATCCATTTATTTCTTTTTTTGGCTTGAATTCTTATTCGCGGTAGATAGCAACAAAAAGAAGAGGTATCTTTGACCGAACCGCATGAGAACAAGATGCACAGATGCACGATGCAGAAAATGCAGCGCCATGACTTGCACAGGAAAAAAAAGAATAAATGCATAAAACAGGGAGACGAAAATTGACAAGAAGCTCAGAAGTAAACATGCATCTATCTATATACTATCCATGTCAAAGCCGGCATATCTTCTTCGTCTTTTGGGTGGCAATGCATGAAAAAGATATAAATAAACAAGGAGAGAAACAACAGTGGTCATAACATGGAAGAATTGGTAATGCTGGGCTCGATCGGCAGACATAAGATGATGGATAGGGTACGTATCAATGAAACAGAGATGAAAGAGATAGTAAGAGACCATGTACAAGAGCTACCTCCGTAGGATATATGATGGAACAGAGAGTAAAAGAAAGAAAGAGGAAGAGGAACATCGATCATGATAAGCTGGTATTGCTACCATTCCCATTCTGATCCACGGCGACAGAGACCGGACCGCCCGTACTCGCCGGCTTGGTGTTCCGTTCTCGCAACCGACGGCCTTCCATGAGACCGCGAAGGCCACGCTTCTGCAGGCCGATGACGCTGCTAAGATCACCAGTCCAGATCTCGCGCTGAGGGTGGATCTCGGCGTCGGTGTCGCGACGACGGTGGCCGGAGGGGAGGTCGGTGTCGGAGTGATCGAAGCTGGTGTTGGTGGATGCGGAGGTGGAGGTGCTGGCATTGCTGATGGAGTCTTCACGGTCGCGTTCCCTTTCACGCTCACGTTCGCGGTCGTGGCTGCTGGACTGGTTCCGGTGGCGACGACTGAAGATGTTGGTGTTGATGCGCAGGGGGATGCCGCGGGACTGGGAGGAGGAGCCGGTAGCGCCGCCGGCACTGCTGGCGACCGACACGGCGGAGGTAGTGCCGTGTTCAGTGTCGGATGAGTCGGAGTTGAGTCGGCTGCGCTGCGAAGCGTTGGTCCCCGTGCCCGTGGACGACTCGCTGGCGGCGTGCGCGCCGTTCAGCGCTTCGAGCGTGCCTCCCGGCCCGCCAGTGAAGCCGGTGCCACGACCCCCTCCGGCCGCCATGGCAGCAGCATTAAAGACAGCGGCAGCGTTGCGGCCGTCGAGCATCTGGTGGAGTCGCTCGACGGTGGCTTCCAGGAGACCGTCCACTTGGTAGGGGCGAGCGAGCTGGAGGAGGGAGCAGAGGATCTGGGGGGTGCAAAGGGGTGAACCGACGGCAGGAACGGAGGAGGTGTATAGATAGTAGACCAGCACCTGCAGGGTGAGGTAGGTGTGGGGGAGGTAGAGCACGCGAGGTCGGGAGGTCGGTGGTAAACTATGCGCAGAGGGTATCTCAAGATTCGCTAACAAGGACTTGTAGGGAGTGGCGGAGGGGTTGCTGACGAGGGTGGTGGCGTTGGAGTAGTTGCTATTGTGTCCGATGGACGGAGTGATCGTGATGCTCGAGTTGCGGCTGGGATGCATCTGCACCGCCGTGCGGAGCGTAGCCGCGTCCGACACTCCGCCATCCGAGGATTCGCGCAGGAGCTGGATGAAGTAGGGGCCCCATCGTCGAGTCAGGATGCGTGAGTTCACGGGGATGCGCTCTCCGCCCACCGCCTGTAGCTCCATGTCGGCCATCTCCGGCAGCGTCTGGGCCAGTTTGCCCAGCTCATCCGACGCCGAGGAGAACGGCCGACCTCCAGACGTCAACTGCGTCAATTTCTGCTGGAGAGAAGCCGGAACGGACGGGGCACTGTGCGAGATGTACCCGGAGGTGGGAGCGCTCCGGCACGGATTGTTGTACAATCCGTACGCTTCCAGCTCCACCATGCAGACATGCGAAAAGTTCAGTCGGCGGTGGTTGTAATCCTCCACCAGGCTGCGCTTCCGGTGTCCCAGAATTACAAAAGTGTTTCTTCTCGCCCACAACACTCCGCGATTCCAACTGCCGTGGCCAAAAACGGATCCACCAGCGTCAATTCGACCCCAGGTGAGGGTCTTCAGATCCAGTGCCCATAGGGCATACTCCTGCTTTGACGAAGTGAGGTAGGTCCCACTCACGACAAAGTGTCCGTTGATGACGCCGCCGTTCGGGAATCGCAGCCCCGGCGGCGATGCTTGGCTTTGCATGGACTTCTCGACCAGGCGGCCATCGGGCAGCCGCAATTGAAGCTCGAGTTTGACGTCTAGAAAATTGTAGTTAGAGTAGATGAGCATCGGCGAGCCCTCGACCTGGGACTCTTCGGCCGGCTCCTCGGTGTCCTTATCGACCGCGTTCGACCCAATATCCGAGACATTCATGCCGACCAGGGGCGCCACCACGCTGCGATACGCCCCGCAACTTCTCCCCAGCGAACTGGTGTTGGTCCACTTCAGGCTGCGCAGGTTAAAGACGCTGACCTGCTCGATATAGTGATTGGAACTATCCTGACCGCCCACCACCACCATTTCGGCACCGCCGAAGCCGTCAATATCCACTCCAATCGAGCCTTGATGCGGATTAGACGAGGCAGGGTTGTGATGAATGGCCGATAGCGGCGCGCTGGCGGAAGTGAAGTGAGCGCTGGACGGCAAGATGGTCGCGCAATGGGCGTATCGACCCTGAGGCGAGTCGGTCGCCGGCACCCGAGTCCATGTCCGGGAGGGTACATCAAGAATATGGATATCGGACATGACTACCACCTCCGGTTGCGCCTCTTGACCGGCCGCGCCGTTGGTCACGGGGTCTTTGGGAGCGTTCAAGGCCGGCGACATACCACCGTAGCAGACCAATTTGTTATCGCCGAGGGCACACACGCTGTGAAAGTACCGCGGGCGCGGGATATCCCCCGAGGTATCGATCCTGGACCAATGACGCCGAATCAGGTCCAGCTCGTACAAATCGGACGTCAGCTGCGGGCGATTCTTCGATAACACCCGACCACCGAACACGTAGAGCTTGTCGCCCAGAATGGTCGTCGTCGCACCCACCAGCGGATGGGGTTCTCTGCCCGTCGTCCGCCGCACATTGCACACGAGACCCGATAGGTTGATGGGTCCCGAGTTCGACGGCGGCTGCGCATATCCCGGCGACACTCCCGAGGCAGAGGGGTCATCTCGGGGCGCATCCAGGTAGCCCAGACTTGACTGACTCCTGGACATCATCTTGGCGACAATGAATTCTCCCCGGCCGAGTCAGCCCTCCCAGGTGTGATTGTTCCTTCGAGTGTCCGTACTCGTTGTCAACAGTAATCTGCTTCCGACCTCGATCGTGTGCCAGCGCTATTGAAAAACCACGTGGTCGGAAAAAAAAATATGCGAAGGCTCGTTGCCCGTCGAAATGCACAGGTTATCGTCGGCGGATCATGCCACTTACTAAAATCACAAGCGACGGAAGAGGAAGGGCAATGTTCGTCGTCCAGACCGAAAGTTGGGCCGAAAAGAGAACAAGAACAAGACCGACAGTATTCTTGGGTCGAGGACGAAGGTAAGGATCGGTCGAAGGAAGATGATAACAACGGAGGGGGAGGGATCAAGCCAGATCGGAAACGAGCGAGATCAGGGGCGGGAAAAAAAAGACGTGATTGCAGCCAATGCAATGCGGTGGCCGCAAGGAACGAGACCAATCCCGACGTCGACAAGACACACCGTCCCCCGAGGTGGATTTAGGGAGAAAGAAGAAAGGAGAAGAATGGACGACTAGGGAGGCGGGGAGAAGGAGAGGGACGAACTGGCAGGAGGTGAAAGACGGGGAAGGGAAGGAAGGAAGGAAGGAAGGCGGTCGATGAAGAGGAACCAGAGTCTAAGACACAAGACAGTCCAGGCACCCGTTCACCAAGTGGAGTCCGCGAAGGGCGAAACGTCCGCAAAGTCAAAATGGCGCTGACAGCTTCGGTCTAAACGACTAGAACCGGCGACGAAGCTGGCCGAAGTCTGTGAAACCCCCTGGTCGTATTTCCTCCCAGTGCACGACTTGGTTGCGCTCACAATTCCATCACTTACGTAGCCCGTACTGAATCCATCCCTTTCCTCTACATCACCGAGGATGTTCTTCAATTCAAGTTGTCTCTTGTTTCAGGATGCATCAAATGGTTTGCAATGCGGGCAGTGCGCGCTTACAGGCCCCAATCCACGGTCGTCATCCACCCTCTCGACTAAGCCCGTCCGAACAGGCTGAATGAATCCAGGGGGAAACCTCATGCAGGATGACATCGAAGCTACAGTCGTTCTTCTACGCCACATCTGCGGCGGCAATCGTATTCGCTGTGCAGGTCCCGATGGACTGGCAGTTCCTGCAGTTCCGTCTGCATCGCTCTACGTCGATTGTCGATCGCTCTGGCGGCTAAGATTCATCATCGATCGTGTGATTTATTTTCTCTTGGTTTGTTCTTGGTTTGTTTTTTGTTTTTCTTTTTTTTTTAAAAAAAAAATTCGATTGAGATTCGTCAGAGGTATCAATGTACTAGAAAATTCATGTCCATAACCTTCATGTCCCCTGTGCTCTTTACTACGTCTCCCACCGTCAGTTGTGCTCCCGGGTTGAAATTCTACCCTTCAAACACGCTGGTGCGGATCGGCAGAGTCAGCCAGACACGGCCATAATTTAGTCCTTCTTGTTGATGTTGGTGAAGCGCAGGTAACTAATGGGCGGCACGATTAGTATCACTCCAAGCCCTTGAGATTGCCACTGGCATGGTTCATATAACTTACGGCTTAACGGTGCGGACCTGGCCGAACTTCTTCTCAGCATCCTCGGTGGAGACGGGGGGAGGGACGACAACGTCGTCACCGGGGAGCCAGTTGATGGGGGTGGTAACGCCGTGCTTGTCGGTGGTCTGGAGAGCGTCGACGACACGCAGCACCTCGGCGGTGTTACGGCCAGTCGAGGCGGGGTAGGACAGGATGAGACGGATCTTCTTGTTGGGGTCGATGATGAAGACGGAGCGGATGGTCAGAGCCAGGCCTGGCGTCGCGTTAACTTCACTTTTGGTCCCTCGTCCGAGAGTTTCCATGGTGTGAATACATACCCTTGGAGTCGACGTTGGTGGTGTCCTGGTAGTCGACCATGTCGTATAGGTAGGCGATCTTGCGGTCAGGATCGGAGATGATGGGGAAAGTGAGCTTGGAGCCGTTGACCTCATCGATGTCCTTGATCCAGGCATGGTGGGACTCGGTGCCGTTGGCGCTCTAAAGGTGGAAACAATCGCGAGGTTAGTATGTCTTCCCCAACAGAGGCAGCAGCGAATTGCACTTACCAGACCAATCAGCTTGACGCCGCGAGCAGTGAACTCGGGCTCGAGCTTGGCGAAAGCACCCAGCTCGGTGGTGCAAATGGGAGTGAAGTCATCCTATTGTCGGCCTTTCGTCAGCACGGGTTCATAAAGCCGGAGAGGGGAGGTCACGCACGGGGTGAGAGAAGAGGATGGTCCAGTTGTTGCCGATGAACTCGTGGAAAGAGATGGGACCGTTGGAGGAGTCGGTCTGGAAGTCAGGGGCAGTAGAGCCGAGACGGAGGCTGTCACGTCACAAAATCACCGGTTAGTAAGTGACTGAATAGGACCCAGCAGTGCAGAGAGTAGCTAGTATGTATGTACTTACGGAGCAGCACGTTCTTGAGCCATTGTGAAGGTGAGGAGGGGTGAAACGATATGAGGATAAAGTCTTGAGATTGTAGATGGTAGAGGGGAGAGGAGGGGAGGGAGAGAAGAGGAGGGGGAGAAGGTTAAGTTAAGTATAGATTCACCATCTCCAAGGACCCCTCCAGCTCACTCTCGTAACTCCCGGCAAATGACGGCAATCAGTCACCGATCACGCAATTGACTCACCGCCGGGTGGGCAGAACACCGCCAATTGGCCATCCAGGGACGCATCCGCGGGGCTGCTCAGGTAGATACCTGAAGGGGGTTAGCGGCTGCCCGCATTCGGAGGGGTCGCTGTGGTTCAGGGGGGGGGGTCTCTCCATACTACTCACGGAGTATACACCGTAGTATACCTGATGCGTTGGGCGGTTGATTCAGGTACGTAGCATGCATGCTTCCCTCTCTGTCTTTGCCCGTCATCTTCACCCTTCACATATAGTAGAGTAACCATTCACACAATCTATGTTACTTCCTCTCACCCGAATCTGTCGGCCGACAGCTCTCACGGGGAATGGAATGGAGCCAATAGTCACCGTGAGAAATGGCGCAATTGCGTCTATCACTTGCGGGCATCTTGGTACTTTGGCCAGATGGAGTAGACAAAATGCCAACCCTCCCCGAACGGAGCCAAGGAGGCTTTGTGCATGCGTCCAACCCTAACCACCTGGCCCGGTTCTTGAACTAGAGGAGTCGATCCTGCAAGGACCCACCGTCATGTCGCCTTATGGTGATTGCGTTGGAGAAGAGAGTGTGTCAGAAAATGTGATCGAATTGAGTGGATGCTACCTAGGTAGTGGGGAAAATCTGAGAATATATACGAGGAGCTCGGTCCTGTAGAGAAGCCGGTATGTACAAGTAGTTGCATGTTGCATGTTGCATGTCATTAATCGATTATACTTCTTGAGTGCCGCTGCTAGAGGCCGGTTTAATGATGCATGATTTCCTAAATCCAATTAGCCATCTCCCAAGCAAGCATCATGAACACGACATACGCTAGCAAATCTACTTCTCGCGCGGATCTGCGGCCCGTAGAACGCCAACACCCACGGTACGATCGTTAACAAGACACCCTAGCTGGTGATCAGCAAGAGAAAACAGAACATCGTCGGGTACGAAAGTGCATACGATCCCCCCCAGAAGACTAGAGGCAGCCGGGTACCCCAGATTCGTGAACATCGCGTTCGTCACCAGCGGAAAGATGCCCGCGAGGACATTGCGGCCTGCATGCTTGACAGTCAGCGAGTGCATGGAACAGATACACGGGACAGTGGGGTTCTGACAAAATGATTGAGCGGCGATTGCAGAACTCGCATATCGATGATACGTATCGGCCAGGTAATTGAAAGCAGCCAGGTAGATGGTGAAGATGCCCATGGTTGCGCATCCGATAGCCAGAGTTGGTACTATCCAGGGAACCGACGGGAAGGTTGTCCATCCAAACCAGAACAGCCCGATGGGCATCAGGACCGACTCCACGCATGTGAAGTACAGACGTCCTTCGGGGGTCCCCGTCATCTTCCCAAGGCGGGTAGCGAGATGTTCTTGATAGACACTCATCACGGTGGCTAAGATCGAACCGATGGACACAGCTGCGGACACGCAGGGTCAGCAGGTCAGGCCAGTGAGATCGTGCGTGGGAGTACTTACCCGAGAAAACTGCTCCGGATTGCTCCACGTTAAAATTGTGGTTCGTCGAGAAAACAAGGGGAATGGCGCTAAAATTGAGGTACAGAATGGCCCAGCTAAAGGATACCCAGAGGGAAAAGAAAAACACCACCGGTTCGGTGAAGAGAAGATCTGCGACATATCACGTCAGCCCTATCGGTAAGTCGGAAAGACCATGGTCAGGTCAGAGGTTCAAGGCTCACGAAACGGCCTGAAACAGGAAATCGTAATCATCTTGGCTAAGCTTTCACGCTCCTCGTCACTCTTCACCTTCCATCGAATGCGCCGCACTTGTTGCTTTTCTATCGAGTCGCTCGAATTGAAGATGACTCCGTGATAACCTGCGGCCTCCAATGCATCGTAATACTGGTTGAGCACCTTTGCTTTGCGACTCAGAAGTACACTACCCCTAGTTTCCTTGAAGAGAAGAGTGAGAACCACAAGGAATCCCGCAGCTACGATGGCTTGCGAATAGTAGATCCAGCGCCAGTCCGCGCGATGCTGGATAAAACCAGAGATAAGCGGACCTAGTCCGGTGCCGAACAAAACGGCCCCCGAAAAGTACGACATAGGCGCGTTTCGATCCTCAGCATGATAGATATCTGCGATAATGCCTCCGACCATGGTGGAGAAGGTCGCTAAGAGCGGGAAGCATGGCGTTAGTCGCTGTCCAGTAACTGGTGCAAACAGTCAAAGTTCAAGATTATACACATACATCCGCCTATTCCCAGGAAGAATCTCGCTACGAGCATGCCCGCGAAGGACTCTGTAGCACCACATCCGATCAAGCAGACTGCCAAATATATCGTGTCAGCTATATCAGCCCGGATGCTTCATCTGTTGCTCAAAGGAGGAAACCAACCGGTAAATACAACCCCGCTCGATACAAAAATAGGTCTCCTTCCATTGATCTCGGAAAAGGGCGCCAGTACCATGGGGGCTATGGCGAACCCAAACGTATACAGCGTGATACCCAAATTATAGACGACTCGGCTGATTCCCCATTTGGCCGTCAGCTCGTCGCCCGGGGATGTATACTCACCCGCTGCATAAGCCGACATGGCCGTCACGCAGCAGCAGATGACGGTGATGACACTCTTGCGAGCATTAGACCATAAGAAGGGCGAGGCATATTTGTTTAATTTAGGGCTGGACGGCGGTGTCTGCTGGCCCGGCTGTGGCGACGCGATACCCACGGGATGGGGTAGGGGCGTGCCAAAGTCGAGGTACAAGTACTCGATCTCCTGGTGAAATCCGCCAGACCTGTCGGAAGTTCGTTCATACTGCGGATCCGCACTAGCGGGTTGTTCGCCCAGGGTTGAGTCTGTGTCCCCCGCGGGAATCATCATCGGTTAGACTGGGCTTTATAGTCGATTTGCCCCATAGGATCATGAACGGTGATTGGAGTAAGGATGCTCAAAGGCAGTCTAATAGAGATATCATCGAATGGTCAATGAAGGCCTGTAGATATCGGATACGAAGAGAGAAAGAAAAGAAGAGAAGAAGAGAAGGAAAGGAAAGGAAAGGAAAGGAAAGGAAAGGAAAGGAAAGGAAAGGAAAGGAAAGGAAAGGAAAGAGGATGGCGACATCATTTCTAGACGACGATCGGTGGGCGAGATACCCCAGGTTCTCCGACTTGGGGGAGGAAAATCCCAGGCGGAGACCGGGGTCTACTTGGAGAGGAAGTCGACGGGGGACGGTCTTGTTCCCAACGCAGGCCCGCAGTCAACGAGCGGCAGGACCGGTCAGGCAGTTGCGCGCCCTCCAGCAGTCGAAGGCCAAAGTTATCCACCGCATGCAGGCCGGAGATGGGAGGCCTCCTCCCCGAGGCTGCCAGATGCGGAACGGGGGAACCCAAGGATGTCCAGTCGAGGGTCCCATGGTTGTTGGATCTGCTGGATTGACCCCAATTTCTTGGCAAGGCGATCTGGATAATCTGAAGGGTGATTCTGGAAGGTGAAGAGAGAATACTCATATTTCGAACTTTCGAACATCAACGAATTTGACTTTGTCTGAAGGATCCTCCCGTCGCTGCCTCTGCCGGCCATGAAATCACCTGCAGCCACGCGATCGTCTCGATGCGCATCGGGGATGCGTCCAGGTATCGGAGGAAGCTCAGGAGTCCTTTAGGAGTACTCGATGGCGAGTCCAATTCCCCAAACTCGAGAGGCTAAACCACTACTCCGTACAATGACATCATTTCCCTCGATAACTGACAGTGATCAGCATTCGGCAGTCTACCCGTTCATCATCTCCATTGAAACAGAATGATCATGAATACCCAAAGACTCCTATCCCAGATACTGCGGGAAATCCTCGCAGCTGAGCCAGTGGACATGTCTCACTGTCTCAGACTGCAAACGCATACATACATCCAGCCTACAGGCATCCAGCCCTTTGGCCGCCAAGGCGGTTCACGTGATGATCGCCTGAGGCCCACGTCTCCATCGTCGCATCGACCAGAAGAATCATTGGAATCATGATTATGATAAAAAATTACTTGAGAAATAAATTCCATAAAATCAAATAAAATCAAATGAACAGATCCCCAAGAATCAACTAAGCTTCATTTATTTTCTCTCCCCCTTCTGTCTGGTAATCTCCTCTCAGTGTTACTCTCTCTCTCTTCTTCCCCACGAGGAACGACCCGAGCGCCAAAGCTCCTACCAGCGTTAAGTTGTTTGTTCTTCCCGCGTCTGGAATCGATTCCCCCCGTCGTACCTCTCATTCTTTTTCTCTTTCAGCCTTTCCCTCTCTCTCTCTCTCCCTCCCTCTTTTTTCTCTCTTTTCTTCTTATTTTCTCCCTCGCCGTTTCCCACTCCTCTTCCTTCCCCGCCTCCTGTCTTCTGACTGGCTGGAAACGCTTTCATTCTTTCATTTCCCTTAGTTCCCTTTTCATTTCCTTTTTTAGTTTTTCTACGACTGGCCATTATTATTATTATTATTATTATTATTATTATTATCTTCCTCGTCTCTCAAATTCCCTTCCATCTTTCCCTCCCGCCCTTTGTTTTTCCCTTGGCTCCCCGTCTCCCCAAAATAAAGGGAGAAAATACAAAATTCCCCAAGAATGGCTCCCAACAACAGGAAGCGCAAGTCCGACGGCGCGTCGCTAGCTGACGAGGCCAGCTCCCCCAAGAGAGTACGTAAGCTTGATTCCCTCGTCGCGGATTATTATCATTGCCCTTTTTTCGCGTTCTGGTGAAATTACCTTGAAGATCGACGGGTCCGACCTGAGCGAGCGCGTCATGCCAGGGCACCAAACAAATGGCCAATTATTGATCGCCGCTCACTGACGATTCATTCATCCAATTCCTGGTTACACACTCTTCCCCTTTCTCCCCCATCCATCGAGCTTTCTTCCCCCTCCCCAGAAAATCATCATTAGCAAATAATCTTAATTCATACTCCTCCTTTGTTTTTCTTTTTCCGTTTCCTTCGTCGGCCCATGCGGATCCAGGAGTGGTGGTTCAAGGCAACCTCTACCCGTGGAGACACGTTGGAGAATGAATGGACAAGTGGGGAAGACGAGAGGGGAATGGAAAGTGAGGCTGCCCGTGAACAGAGCTGGTTGACTGGTTTACTGGTTTACTGATTATCTTCCCCCCCTCCGTGGTTTGATAGTCTCCCGGATATCCATATCCATGAAGCTCCGATGTATGCCTCTTTTGTATCCGACCACGACAATCCATCGCGTCTCAATTCCAAGCCATCTTCTTCCCAATTAATAACTAATGTCGTCGCCACCCCAGCAGGTTGCTGCTCCGGCTCCGTCCACCGGAGAGAAGAGGAAGAGGGGCCGTCCTCGCAAGTATCCCGAGGGTACGATTCCTAAGCCTACTTCAGGCAGAGGACGCGGTCGTCCGCGCAAGGACCCCAACGCAGGTCCGTATCCTCCCCGTTCATCGTCCTACCCGTCCGGCCGCAGTCGCACTTGGACGCGAACGCGTTCCTATGCATCGTGTCACGCGCATTCTAATCGGAGAACAGAAACCCCCTCCAAGCCCAAAACTCCCCAAGAGGGCAAACGACCCGTGGGCCGACCGAGAAAGTCTCTCCCTAACACTCCTCTGAACGGCACCGACAGCCCCTCACAACGGAAATCTGCATCGGCCGATGCCAAAGTGGCCGAGGATGACACCGATGGCTCTGGTCGTTCGTATTGGTTGATGAAGGCTGAGCCGGAATCGCGCATGGAACGAGGTGTCGACGTCAAGTTCTCCATCGACGACTTGCGTGAACGCAAGAAGCCAGAGCCGTGGGATGGTAAGACTTTCCCTCGACACTCTGGATAACACACCCCCAGGCTGACCCGACTTCTAGGTGTACGAAACCCCGCTGGTAAGGATGCTGCCGAACACAAGTTGGTGAACCGTTTGGGTGAATGATAGGCTCACCACCAATAGCACGAAACCACATGCGGCAAATGAAGAAGGGCGATCTCGCCTTCTTCTACCACTCTAACTGCCGAGTCCCCGGAATCGCCGGTATCATGGAGATTGTGCAAGAGCACTCACCAGATGGTAAGTGAGAATCGGGACAAGACGCATGTTTGCTTCTCGATGACATAGTCTAACGACGTGATGATGAACTCTAGAATCGGCCCTCGACCCCGCTCACCCCTACTACGACGAGAAGTCGACGCGAGAAGACCCCAAGTGGGACGTGGTCCACGTCGAGTTCCGACGTAAGTTCCAGAACTATGTGCCGTTGGACGAGCTGAAGAGCAATGCCAAGTCGGGTGGAAAACTGGAGAGCTTCCAGGTGCTGAAGCAGCCTCGACTAAGCGTTTCTCGCGTGAGTAAGAAAGAATGGGACTTTGTGCTGGATCTGGCCAAGGAGGATCCCGAATCCGAGCAATCGGCGGAGTCCTCCGAGGATGCCAGTGCAGAGGATGAGGAATCAAGCGAGTAGAGGGTGCCGGTATCCTCCCAACTCGGTTTCTCATTTCTTTTCGTCGATCTTTCGCTATTTTTCACTATCTTCATTTCTACTGCCAGAGTCCTGAAAATGGATTTCTGAGGCTTCGATAAGGGTATAGCTATTTTCCTTGTGTACAATGAATGGGTATTTCAATTTCCTCGGGTTCTCTACGTTCAAAAGACCATAAACAGTAAGCAGTTTGAGAGTAGTCGACTTCACAGGAGACCTAAGAAGAGCCTAGAAGAGAGGCCTTGAGCTGTGAGGGATTAACCCTGCTCAGTCCCCTCCAGCGGTCGAGCACCCCAGGCTGTCGCAACGTAGCCCGGTGACCTACGAAAAGCTGCACCGACTACGCCAGTGTCTGGGATGTTATGCAGCCGATTGGAGCTCCTCGCAGGCAATCCCTGAGTAGTATTGCATATTATAATGTCGGCACCCGCTCGGGCCGAACCTCTCTCCCTTCCAACAGGGGTCCATACACCCAGAGCTGATGCTCGATGCGGAGCTCTTTCACTTCCAGCCTTCACCCCGGTAGATATTCCTACCCTCCATACATGGGATCGACGGTGCACGGTCAGCAGCCGAGCTGATAAGTCCCTAAGTCCGGTCGAGAGAAGGACCAATATAGCAAATGACTGATAGCCTGCAGGGCGGAAGGGTCCTGATACGTCATCCGGGTGGCAGCGTGCAGACCCTCGCAGGTTTCTCGGAGGGCATTGTTGGATGGGTGAGAATGTCGAAGGGCGTGGAATCAGGAACTCAGGGACCGTTCGGAGACAGCGTCGAATGGAGGAGCTGGAAATATCTCGGGGAGTTGGGGACGATAAGGAAGAGGGATTGCTGGAACCAAGAAACACTTGGCTGGGAAGAGCAAGTCGATCCGACACACTGAGGGGGGCCCGCTTATTAAGGCATCCGCGGACTGCGACGGCGGGGAAAGCAGTGCCTTCCCGAGTAGGTAAATACCTCTTCCATCGGTGGCTGCCAGTTCTCGTAATTATAAATGCTTGCCCCTCCCCCTCTTCTGCTGCGCTGCTTTCGCGCTTCCCGACCTCCTTTCTTCCCCTCTCTGTCCCGTGCCTTCCATCCTTCTGCCTCCACCATGTCCGATATCGCCGTGCAGTTGACGGCCCCGAATGGCCGTAGTTACTCCCAGCCCATCGGTCTGTTCATCAACAACGAGTTTGTGCCGTCGAAGTCCGGCGAGAAGTTTGCCTCCATCAACCCCTCGTAAGTTGGATGTCTATGGTTGAACCGAGATCGAGCCTTGTTAAGCTGAACGGATAGGGATGAATCCGAAATTGCCTCGGTCTATGCGGCCGGCTCGGAGGATGTCGACCTAGCCGTCAAGGCGGCTCGCAAGGCCCTCAAGGACCCCTCGTGGAGGCTGCTGCCCCCGACGGACCGGGGAAGCCTGATGCTTAAGCTCGCGGACCTGATCGAGCAGAACCGAGAAGTCCTAGCCACCATTGAGACGTGGGACAACGGTACGTCTTTGCCTTGGTCTCCCCACGTTTGTTCCGTCTGCTAATACTCTCCAGGCAAGCCGTACAATGTCTCGCTGAACGATGACATTGGCGAGGTCCTCAACACCTTGCGGTACTATGCCGGATGGGCGGACAAGATCCACGGCCAAACGATCAGCACCACCCCCGCCAAATTCGCCTACACGCTGCGCCAACCGATCGGTGTTGTCGGGCAGATCATTCCCTGGAACTTCCCTCTAGCCATGGCGGCCTGGAAACTGGGTCCCGCGCTGGCCTGCGGAAACACGATTGTGATGAAGCCTGCCGAGCAGACCCCGTTGAGCATCCTCTACCTGGCCACGCTGGTCAAGGAGGCCGGATTCCCACCCGGTGTCATCAATATTCTCAACGGCTTCGGACGGGTCGCTGGTAGCGCCCTGGTCAACCACCCCGATGTCGACAAGGTGGCCTTCACGGGCTCGACCCAGACCGGCCGGGAGATCATGAAGATGGCCGCGTCCACGATGAAGAACATCACGCTGGAAACCGGCGGCAAGTCGCCCCTAGTGGTCTTCGACGATGCGGACCTCGAGCAGGCCGCCAAGTGGGCCCACATTGGTATCATGTATAACCAGGGCCAAGTTTGCACGGCGACGTCGCGAATCCTAGTGCACGACTCGGTCTACGACAAGTTCATCGCCCTCTTCAAGGAAGCCGTCGCCTCGACCAGCAAGGTCGGCGACCCCTTCGCCGATGACACCTTCCAGGGCCCGCAGGTCACCAAGGCCCAGTACGAGCGGGTGCTGTCGTACATCGAGGCAGGCAAGTCGGAAGGCGCCACGCTGGTGGCGGGCGGGGAGCCCTTCAAGAACGTCGGCGACGGCAAGGGCTTCTTCATCGCGCCCACCGTCTTCACCAACGTCAAGGACCACATGCGCATCTACCGCGAGGAGGTCTTCGGCCCGTTTGTGGTCATCTCCAGCTTCAAAGCAGAGGAGGAGGCGGTGACGCGTGCCAACGACACGACATACGGACTCGGTGCTGCCGTCTTTACCAAGGACATTGAGCGCGCTCACCGCGTGGCCTCGGATATCGAGGCCGGCATGGTATGGATCAACAGCAGCAATGACAGCGATTTCCGGGTGCCTTTCGGCGGCGTCAAGCAGAGTGGTATCGGTCGCGAGCTCGGCGAGGCCGGATTGGAGGCTTATTCGCAGACGAAGGCGATTCACGTCAACATGGGCACGAAATTGTAAATCAAGTCAAAAGAAGAGAGGAGAAAAAAAAAAAAAAAAAAAAAAAAAAAGGAAATCAACCGGACCAGATGTCCTAGCAACAATGAGCAATGGGCGAGCAAACTGACATAATTCGGAGAATATATGTTAGGTTGGTTAAAAGTTAATGACGACCCGAAATGAACTTCATGCGTCTGTGTATTTACTTACCGTGCATGTGCTATTTCATCCATCTCATATCCCGGCTCTTTTTTTTCATCCTCACGAGTAAAGTTTGCACCTACCTACCTACCTACCTACTAAACCCTGCCACCTCAGTAAAATATATGCACAATCATCATGATGCAGAAAACACCAACCCAACCTGCAGATCCCATGCACAAAAAACAAATATAAAATCTCCGGGAGGCAGACAGGTAGACAGGACAGATAGACCAGCCTAAGAGCAAGACCGAGTCTGCAAGTGGAAGCAAGTGAGTAAGAAGTCTAATGAATTGCACACCGCTATCCGAAGATTATCTACCGGTATATATGAATAAGGTTGTGTAGGTAGGTCGGGAGGTAGGACACCGTATGACGTGATGTGGCATGATCAGATTGGTTTGTTTTGTGTTCGTACTTGGGGACATACATACATCAGGTGAGTGTTCTTTCTTTCTAAGTTACTTTAGTTTGGGTTGGCTTTTTTTTATTTTTTTTATACGGGATTTGAATGATGTGTTTCTGATGAATAGAGTTTGAGGATCTATTACTGTTTTTATAGTGCTGTTATGGTTGCTAATCTGTTGAGAATGGCACAAATCAGATTCAGCGGAGAGCTATTTTCAAGTACATACATACAGCACGGCACAGTAGAGTGCGTAATACATGTCTATTTTATGATTCATTCATATCACAAGAAGGGCATGCTAGTATATAAACCCAAGAGAAAAAGAAAAAACAGTAAACAATCAAGGTCAGAATATTAACCGCCCGTCTATATATACCCTGACACCCGACGCAACAGAGACATATACACAACAAATATTGCATCCTACATAGATGAAGACTTTATCCTAAAGATTGCTTATAGGTCAGGTTATAGAACAGGTAATTATATGTTTAGTAACCCCAGTACTGAAGTGATCTGATTGTCAGATCCACTATTCGTGAATGAATATCAATAGAACTTGTCATAAAAGATGTAGGATGGGAATGAAGTACAAATCAGCCGGAGAGAAATATACCAAATTTAAACACATTAAACTTCAAACAACACACAAGAATCCTGTATGATATACTATGTAAACCTACATGTAAACCATCCACATCTATATATCTATGTCTATGCATATCTACCTAAGCAATAACTTTAATATCCATAGTGTTATATACTTAATATAGTGGGAGAGAAAGCAGAAGAAAATTAGACATAATAAAAGGGCATAGCAAAGTATTTACGTAGCCGCTCTTTCCACCAGCAACTTGGGTGCCTGAGGTTATAATCTTGCGAATATCATGCTATTCACCTACTGCTTCATAGTCATTCAGCGATACAGGGCCTAGTGAAACATTCGTAGTCATCTCAAGTAGTTTATTTCTATCATTTTGATAACGGAGTTTTATCAATGGTCTTTCCCCTGCATTGAGAACTCCCACATAGCTACCTACAGTAAGTAGATAAACAACAACCCAGCAGCGAAACTGCCAACTCTTCATCTATAAGGGACACATGCAATACATACTATGCCCCTATGCCCCTAAAAACCTCAGATAGGTACCTGACCACGGAGAGAGAAGAAAGAGATACGACAACACAGCACAGCGCAGCCGAAGAACACGTACGTACCTGTCTATTCTAGGAAATTTCCTTGGGCTCTTCCTTTATGACCCACTTTCCCTACTTTGTCGTACATACCTGCATACACATATACTAGGTAGATACTAGGTAGATATCTGGGTATCCAGATGAGACAGGTAGCCACTGATGTGCAGTACCTACATACCTACATCCAAAGGAAAGAAGGAAGGCGAAGTAAAAACCGAGGAATCCGCAGCATGAAAACCCACCTAGCTAGAATGAGTTACATTTAATCCCTACACGCCGAACACGCCATAACCGTCCTGACTACCTACTTGCCTGTCTTCCCGCTTGCCTATCGACGGAGAGAATTCAAACCCTGCCTCAGCCTCTTCAATAGCTACATATATACATGCCCGATTCCTGTTCTAGATACGCACCTACAAGCCTACCAAGTAACCTAGTAAGGGCATGTACATCCATACATAGACTTTCCCACGAACACATCGA